GAAGAAGAAGAAGAAGAGGAAGAGGAAGAAGAAAGATTGTTAATTATAGATGGCCCATTTCTTTTACTATTCAATACTTTACTCAGAGGGTTTGCAAGTTTTTGGTTAATTAGCTCGTTATCTGGATGTTTTGGATTAACTTGTCTTGAGTCTGAAATAGAATTTGAGTTCAGATTTCTAATTAAGGATTCTACGTCAGAATCTTTTCTTCTTGCTATACTAATTCTTGTCATACTGAGCTTATCATTAGTTCTTTTAACCATAGAACATAGATAATCATTATTAACCTTAGAGATTAAAATGTTAGCTTGTGAGTTTACAGAATCCCGAAGATCACTTTCATCCAAGGTTGTCTCAATGTTACTGCTTTTAATATTCTTACTGTTTGGATCATTATCTAGCTTGCCAAAGAATTTTGAAGGACTAACAATGTTAGTACTCTGTTTAATTTGCTTATTTGTTGCCTTTTGAGATTTAATTAGAGATAAGGTTGAGGCCATTATAGGGGTGAAGTATTTACTATGTTTATTATTCGGAATCTTAAGCCAGGGATGTTTTATTACATTTTGCATTGAGAATCTCTCCTTAAAGTCTGGGATTAACATGTTTTCAATCAGATCTTGAGCTTCAGATGAAAGATTTGTTGCTTTAATCTTTCTAAAAAGATCCAAAATTTTTCCATTTACTATAAGTGACCAGTTTTGATCTTTACTTACATATGATTTCTCATTGATCTTGGCAACTTTGTAATCCTTATTATTCCCATGTACCAACCTTCCAAATAGTGAATTAATGAATCCTTCATTTTTCAAAGAATTCTGTTTCTGATGATCAGTAATTAACCTACATGTTTCAAAAGGCTGATATTTAGTTAGGGTAAACAAAAGCATCCAACCTAGACAGAAAACATCTACTTTCGTGGGGTCATATAAAGATCCTGTCTGATAAGCTTCAGGAGGTCTGAAAGACTTACCAAATAGAAAATCAACTTTTTGAAGCTGAAAACCGCTATCTCTGGGATGTCTTTGATAAACCTTCCACATATTAGAAACCTCATCTTTTTCTTTTGGATAAATCCTGCAAGCTTGCCCAGGATCAGTAACCTTTGGTATAACAATTGAGTCACCAGGTTTAATGATACCAATATTATCTGAGTCCTGAGACAAATCAAAAAAATGAGGCTCTTTGTTAAACATAAGAATATTTTCAAGAGAAAGATCTCTCATTGCCATATTATTGTTATGAAGATTAATTACAGCATTAAAAATCTGAGTAAAAAGCCATCTTGCTTCATTTTCAGTTAATGGTTTTCTTCTTCTTCTCATTACCTCAAAAAGATCCTCATATTCTGCATAGTCCATTTTAATATATATGTTCTTAAAAGAATCCTGCCAGATCTCAGAGTACTCTAAGACGTTTTTATGGCCTCTCATATTACTAGAATAAGTAACTTCAGCCTCCATATTTTCTTTTAATGATGGTTTTCGTTTTCTTAGGCTCATACTAGAGATTTTGATAGCTACTCTACTTTTAATAGGATCAAATTTGAAACAGGGAATATCAGAATCTTGAGAATACATGGTATTCCCAGATCTAATAGTATTTGGAATTTCATGCCTCTCTACTTTCTCATCCTTCTCGCACTCCTCAAGCTCGAAGGCTACAAAGACTGCTCCATACAAAGCTTGTTGAAGTTTCTTTTCAATATAGAAAAGAGAATTTGAAGATCTTAAAACTTTACCGAGATAATGTTCAACAAGATGATCAGAACTCTTGAATCCAGTTGGTATTTCTCTAGAATTAATGTCATTTGAAAGTTTTATGGAAGGTATAACCTTCATTTCTAAGCCATTTACTCTGATTCTTGTCACTTTATGTGGTAAAGGATTTCCAAACTTTTTTGGAGGAGACAAATTCATTCTATATAAGGTCCGAATCCCATTTTCTCTTATATAATTAAATTCCATAGAAACATCTTTTTGTTCAGACGCAGCTACTTTATTATTAACAGTTAGATTCTTCAACTTTGTAAAAGAAACATGAGGCTTAATTGACTTATCTTCTTCTTTAAATGACTTTATTTTCTCATTTTCAGTAATATTTGCTTTAGAGCTAGTCTTTTTAACAGATTCAGACACTTTTGTGTCTGTTCTTAATATTGGTGAAGATTGACCATGAAATAAAGATGTATCTAATCCTTGTAATGATGTCATTGTGGAAATTGTTGCCAAATCCAAACATGGATAATTCGACCTAGTTATGAACTCCTTTCCCACTGAATCATTTTCAAGGTTTTTATAATTCAAAAAATCGTCCATTAGATACTTTTCTATCTTCCTTCTATTTTGTTATTCTAATACTAACTTTTTGCTCTTCCTTTTCTCCTGCATCTATGCAGATTTTTTGTTTTAAATTTCCCCAGTTTTTAATATATATTATAATCTAATAATACATTCCTTTCTGTTTTTTTGTCGCGTTCTTTTCTCAATCATTATCCAGATTCTATATGCATACTTTTTGTAAATTAAAGCATGTCGGTAGACGTCTGGTACCCGTACACGTTTCCCGCCTCATTGCGGAAATAAAAGGGTGAAGCTGCAAAGAAAATTAGGGTAAGGAGAGTAGATTTGGAGATTTTGCGTGTTTGGAAAAATAGGTTTAAAAAGAGATAAGGATACCTGAAATTTTAAGTTTTGAATATTTTAATTGAGAATAGAATATAGAACTGTTTACTAGATTTAGTAGAATGGAAAAAATCAATAAGAAGTAGTTCAAAAATGCATGCATGCATTTTTGAAAGAATTTAATTAAAAAGAATTGTATTATTAAAAAAAGCTGGGATTTTCCTTTCTTAATGAATAATATTAGAAAAAATTGATGAGGATGAAAGACTTAATCTAATGATTTAGAGTTTGATTGCTTGAGTATATTTAGAAATTCAGATACTCCTTTTTGTTTTTTAGAAAAAAACTTTCCTCCATTTAACAATAAGCTTCGATTGTCATTATTATATTGAGAAATACTGGAAATTGAATTTTCACCCGTAATTGGAACACATAATCCAGAAGCTAAACTATGATCAGAAGAATTCAAACTCTGAGACTTGGATTTACTACGAGTTGAGCAAACTGAACTTCTTTTTGTACTATTACAACATTTGAATCCCCATTTTTTTGTATTTAAATCATAATAAGATCCCCATACAGACGAATGATTTCCTATGAGTACATCTTCCTCATACAATTCGGACTTTATCCAATTTTTGTTAACTCTTGTTTTATCTATTAACACATCGTGTAGCTGTTTGTTCTTATCAACAGTACCATCATCCTCCAATTGCGTTTTTAACTCGTTTTTTATCTTTTTATGGGATTGTTTAATGTCTCTCCTAAGTTCCTCAATTTCCCATTCCTTCTTCCTCTTTTTTAAAAGTTCCTCTTGTTTCTTTTCTTCTTCTCTAAGCTTCTCTTCTGCTAACCATACCTTCTCCCTATTCTTTGAATTACCTGGGTGAAAATGTTTATGGTTCAGAAAAACAGAAGCTTTGTTACTAATCCTCTGAACATTCATTTACTTTTTCGCTTCTTCCTTAAAATAGGTACCGATAACCCTACTTTTTTGAATTTTAATCCCAAATCTCAATCCATAGGTCTTTCTTGATTTACTTTTCCCCTTTTAAATCTCAACCTCCTTTCCAAACCTATTTCTTTTTTAAAACCTTACCAATCAAGAGATAAGTGTAGAATTTTTATCTTGAATCGAAATTTTGTTTGGTCATCTATTCTAACTTATCTTACATTAGTGCAGCATTAAAAATATTGGGCGTGGGTTCCCGCCTAAATTTTTATTAGTAGAACTAAAGCAAATTCTAGAAAAAGGAATAAATGTCATGAAAGAAAAACCAAGAGGAAAGAATGAGCCCAGATTGTTTGCAAAAGACATTAGGCAGTGGGTTAACTCTAACATTTTGGATCATAAGCACGAAAAAGATACTATATATAAAGGGAAATTTGGAAGAAATAGAGACAATTTGACTACTAAAAACAAACTATGTGGAATATGTATGAGTAATCTTGTGGTATTTGGGCTGGATTTTTCTCTTAAATGTTTTCATGCAGTCTGTTGGTGTTGTACTCTTAGATTGAGATATCTTTTGAAAAACAAAGAGTGTCCATTTTGTAAGAATAATATAGAGACTCTATTTTTCACTTCCAATACAGGCTATTTTGAACATCTAATAGACGACTCTTTTGAAGGAGTTGCAGATAGATCTTTAGAGGCTGAGAAACTGGAGGGAATGAACAGTATCAAAGCTAATTTGGGTCATCCAAAACTAGAGGAGGTTCCTAAATCACTTTTGGATGAAAAGATTGGTGTAATATACGAATCCTTTGCATGTAGGTGGGTATTTGAGCGTATATTAGAGTACAGATGCTGGTTTCCAAATTGTAGGCCCAAATTTCCCACCAAAGATTCAGAAAATTTAGATAATGAATTGAAATCATATAAAAATGCTAAACTTTTGGGAGAACATCTCTTTCAAGTTCATCACGTGAAGTGTTGTTATGTATGTATTGAGAAGAGGAAAACTATGTTATTGCCTGAGCACTATTTGTACGGAGCTAAAGATCTTTCTCGTCATTTAAGAAAGGGAGAAATGTCTTTAAAACCTCCAATATTACCCCACATTTCTTGTCCTATTTGCAAGATATGGTGTTTTGATAGGGAGGATTTTTCTGATCATGTTAGAAATGAACACTTTTCTTGTCAGATATGTGAAGAAAAGGAGCTTTCTAGGCAATCAGAATCTTTTTCTGGTGGTTCTAGGGGCGAAGAATCTGAAAATGATGAAGAAGAGTTAACAAATAGAGATGGGATTCAAGTAAGTAACAGTTCATCAACCAGAGAAAATAGGCTTCCCAAGATTACATATGTTTATAGAGACTACCATGCATTGCAAGAGCATTGGAGGCTAAAACACTATCCTTGTGACCACGAAAACTGTATGTTTATTGTTTTTGAAAATGAATCAGAACTGATATTTCACAAAGCTACTCATCATTCAGCATTAAACAGAAGAGGAAATGTCACTGTTCCAATTGTGTCCAGTTATAGACAACAAACCCAAAGAAGAGTGGATCAGATAACTTCCAACCACCAAAATTCTGCTCATACAACTAATCAACATGTTAATACTCCACTAGATATCTCTACTCCCTCCTTATATGCTATGGATGAGCTTAGTAATGCTATTCTAGCTAGAATTAAACAAGAAAAGTCTTTACTTTGGAGAGTTATTTTGATTCATGACCTTAGTAGATGTATACAGATTATAAGAGATGAGCTAATGGTCCAACTAGGACTTGAGGAGAAATGCAGAGATTTCAGCTCTTGGAGTCTAAAAGTGATAAATGACCTCTTTTCTGGAAATGAACCAATGATTAGAATCATACAGAAACTTGGATCTGCCTATTATAAGAAAGAGATTTCTGCTCAAAGTTTCATTATTGAAATAGTTTCTCTTTTTTGGGGAAACTCCCAAAACCATTCAAACAATACAAATCTTCTTCAAAACACTAAGAAACAATTCAAAAACATCTCAGCCTCTCCAAGTTCATTTAAGATTTTCTTCTCCCCAGTCCCAGAACCCATAACCATATTTGAAGACTCCCTTAAAGAAAGATCTGGAATATATAAAAGGATTCCAGCTCAGCTTGTGGACAGAATCCTTATAGATGAAGCAAATTGGTCTCTATTATACTCGGATGTCATTTCGATGATATTAATTGCATTAATTCTGGGACTACCTAAAATTGAGAATAGAAAAGAACTAATTAAAGCTTTAACAAACCTCAAAGATGATATTCAGGAGAAAAAGCTTACAATTATCTCTAATACCAGTTTTCCAAGATTCTCTTTTGGTAACTTACAAAGTTCTATAGAAATAGAAAGGTTCCATATTCAACCTCAAGAGAAAACAGAGAATTATTCGCAAGAAAATGTCAATAAGAAGCATATAAAACAGAAATTTGTTCATTTTGAAAAGCTTATTAAACCTGATGAAATGCTTATTTCTCCAAAAGTTACCTTTTTGGAATCACTAAATTCGTTTCTCAGTGTATGCTTCCCTAAGATCCCTCTTTCACAGCTCTCAGAATTTTTACCAGAGACATCAGAGAAAGAAAAGATTTCTGACAAGTTCAAAATCCTTATTGGATCCCAAACCTCAACTGAAATCAATGCACTCTCGTCCTTATACCAACATACTAGCAGCTTAGTTTCTTCAGCAAACACTATAGAACGTATCCTGGGCCTTAGAGCTCCATTTTACAGACTAGCAATGAATGCTTCTGGTTCTTCAGATGAATCCCAAACCCAGAACAACATTGAATCCTTGGCACATAAACAATGGCTTAATATCTGTACTAAAGCATTCAACAAGATTTGTATCTATGACACCGAGATTATCCTTATATACTGTAAAGCTTGTGTTAAAACTCTAAAAGATCCAAATTTCATTCTTTTAGAAAGACAGAAAGAAGAGTTATATGAGAAAAACAAAGAGGAGAATTTTTCAGAATCTGCTCCAAAAACCGTGAATGCTAACTCTGGAGTAATATCCTACTCAAAACCTCAGGCTTCCTCTTTTTCTTCAAACTGCCTGAAGATGAGCTCTTCTGGAAATTGGGCTTCGAAGACCTACTTAAGTACCAACAACTCCGTCCCAAAAACTGTAGTAGCTTCCTCATCCCCAATACAATCTAGCTTTTCGCACTCTTCTTTTCCCGCTTCCTCTTCGTCCTCCTCCTCTACAACCAACACTACTACTTCAACGGGAAAGGCAACAAACTATATTCAGGCTGTAAAGTCTAAAGATACTATAAACAAACCAAACAACGAAAAAGAAGCTAAATCTAAAGGAATTAATGAATTTCCCGAACTTGTCGGTAACGGTGAAAACAAAGGAAAAGCTCGCATGCGACCCGAAAACCCCCCTAAATGGGTCTGCATGCTTTGTACACACGTGAATTCAGGCTCTAGAAATAGATGCCAAATCTGTAGTACTAAAAAATAATTTTTTTTTTAATTTTCTGAACTCTTGAAAATTGACTTCCTTCACTAATCTTCACTACCATAAATCTCAGCGGAATTATATGAAAAAACGTGAATTTATATTCATTTTAACAATTTTAAATCCAATAATATCATTTAATCAAACCTAATTTCTACCCTGTCTCCCCACATTACAGTGATTATCTATTCTGCATGCAAACTCCCGCCAAAACAAGTCTGAATATTTATTTAAGTAGTTTTTGCATGTAATTTGAATTGCATGGCTTGAAGGTGGGATGTGGACAGGCAAAGTAAATACAAATGCATGCATAAATTGACAGAGAGTCTTAAAAGTGTGAATTTAAATGATGAAAAAAGAAAATATAAATGGAAAAGAACTAAATTGAAAATAAGTATTGGAATTATTATTTCATGAGGAATTTTAATCATAGTTTAAATTTCTAGGATATTTAGAAAGATGATAAGAGTTAAAATTTAAAAAGAATGGTTTTAAGTTAAAAATTAATTAACCAAATGGTGTATTTGGCAAATTGCGCCCAAATAGTAAATTTGACATTATGTCTATTTGGAAAAAAAAATTAAAAATAAAAATCTTGTATTTATTGGGTTTAGCATAATAATTCAGGCTTTTTGGAGAACTTGTGTGCCTTTCATGTATATTTCAAGTGAATATGGGTAAGAAAATGGAAAAGACCGCAAATCTAGACCCTAAAATGAAGAAGGGAACTCCAAATTTGGGTTTGAAAAGCACTTCAAAAGATAGCGAGGGGAAAAACTCAAGTTCTAAAATAAACTTGAATTTGGGTCCAACAAAAGGGGAAGATACAGAATTGAAGAAGATTCCACTTTTTGTAATGAAGCCTTATATGAGGACTCCGAAACTCCTTCTAAACAATTATTGTCAAAAGGAAAAAAGACCAAAGCCCATTTACAACAAGCTTGCAGCAAGTAAAGGAATGTTTAGGTACGTAGTGATATTGACTGATCCGAAAGGTAAGGAGGAAAATTCAATGAGATTTGAAACAAAGGAATCTTTTATCAACAATGAACTTGCTCAACATTATGCTGCCTTGCTTGCTTTAAAACATTTAGAGGGATCAAGACCCTTATATAAATTGTTTCCAGCTCCGCTTGATGAGGCCTGGTTATCAATGGAAACAGACCATCCTTTAGTTTCAAGAGGTAATGAATTTGTTTCCCAAAAAGAAAAGGCACTTTTTGAGAGCGAAAAGACGAAGAAACAGGCAGAAAAGAAGAACAAGATGGATATAACTGGTCAAAAACAAAAACTAGAGATTCCAACCTTATCAATGAGCTATAATATAAGGAAGAGGACTATAGGAATTGTAAACAAACACTTTCCAATGTTGTCTAAATCTTATAGTTTCAAATCCTGGCTTTTTGATAATTGCAGTACTTTTTCAGGATTACCAAGATCAGTATCAAAGCCAAAATTGGTTTCCTTGAGTTTAGAACATATGAGCGAAACAAATAAGGGGAAATATTCGACTTTTTTGAAATTTAATGGTTTAAATATAAAGATGGTATCTTTGAGTTTAAAATATTGGTTCGGGGTTGAAAATAAAGATAAGGAAGCAATTATAAAGCTAATAGAATCATGTGGTTTCGACACTGAAAAATCTACAGCAGCTCTAAATGTGGTTATCAAAGAGATTGAAGAGTACAATAAGTCTAGAAAAGATTCGTTTCAATTACAAAAAGGAGTATATATGGATCATTTTAGAATTTCAAATATTTGCATTGTTACAGATATAGATATTTCAACCTATCCAAAGCATTATGTTGCTTGGTTATGTATAATGTGGTTGTCAATTCATCTAAAGGAAAATGATCTACCACGTTTAATTACTCCCAAAAAGGCTCAAATTGAGGTTAAAGACTACTCCACTTCAAAGACACCAAATAAGGAAGAAATTGGATTGATTAATGATCAAATTAAGAATTTGTTTATTTCAAGTTTAGAGAGTAATTCCAAGCAAGATAATACGGTGGAAGATCAAAACAAAAATATTTCAAGACATTCCCCTCAATCTAATAGTTCTTTTAAAGTTTTTAGGTACGAACACCTTTCTGCCTCAAAGAATGCTGAAAAAATTGTTGAAAAGCTTAAATATAATCAAATCCTAGTGGTTAAAGGAGAGACAGGTTGTGGAAAAACTACTCAAATTCCTATTTTAGTTTATGAAGGAATTACTCAATTCACTGAGGGAATGATATATTGTAGTGAGCCAAGAAGATTAGCAGCAGTATCGGTTTCTACGAGAGTTAGAAGCGAAGTTATGAAAGAAAATCGATTAGTAAAAAAAGATCTCATTGGTTATTCTGTTAGGTTGGATCATAGTGTTACTAATAACACCAGATTGGTTTACTGTACTCATGGAATTTTGATTAATATTATCAAATCAGAACTAATGGGTATTTCTCGTAATTCTGACATAGATACACAACAATTTAGGATTCCAACCAATTCAGTTCTTATTTTAGATGAAGCACATGAAAGGTCATTGGATGTTGATCTATTGTTATACTTCATGAAACAGCTTGCATACCAGAGAAGTGATATTAAGCTTGTAATCATGAGCGCTTCTATTGATGTCTTAGAATTTGTTAAATATTTTAATAAATCATTCAATGATGAAATTCAGTCCAACATAAATGACTCTGAGATACAAGAACAAAGTAAATATATTAATAAAGAAGAAATCTTCAAGATTGATACAATAAACCTTCCTGGTAGAACTCCTTTTCCCATTGAAATTTCATATCTACCAATTAAACAAAAGAACCATATAAATAATCAATTTAAAGAAAACAATGACGCTTCTATTCAAGATTATGAGGATTTCTCTGACTTGGAAAGTAATATTTGCAAGCCTTTGGATATCCCTAAGCTTAAAGACCATGTTTTAAACATTATCAAATCTCTTGGAGACCAGGAAGGATCTGTTTTAATTTTTTTAGGAGGTATTGCTGATGTTAATCACCTAACAAAGCTCCTAAAAAGAGAGTTTGAGGAAAATGAACAAGATCGGGAATACTGTGAAGATTTTACAGAAAAAATACAACTTCCTATCCCATTATACGTTCTCCCCTGCCATTCTAATGTCAATTATAATGAACAACTTGAAATCTTTAAACCTGTCAAAGGTAAACGAAAGGTAATTGTATCTACCAATATTGCAGAAGTTTCACTTACTATTGAGGATATTAGATTTGTTATTGACACTGGTAGAGTCCGAATTTCCATTTATGACCCTATAAGACACGTCACCTCTTTGCAAGAAGTATTTATTTCAAAATCATCAGCTCAACAGAGAATGGGTAGAGCTGGCAGAACTGCCCCAGGAAAATGTTTCCGTATATTTTCTCAAGAAGAATTACAGTCTCAACCCCTTGAAATTACTCCAGAAATTCTTAGACTTCCTATTGAACATATTATTCTCGATATATTATGTTATTTAGGAGAACTTCATTCTGATAAGGATTCAAATATTCATAATTATCGAGGCTTGAGAAACTCATTTAAGTTAATCCAGTTAATTCACTCACTTCAAGATTTCTTCACTCCTCCAAAACTCTCATCTATTGAAACTTCATTACTCTCATTACGTAATTACGGGGCCCTCGATGACCATTTCAATATCACTCCTCTTGGAGAACTTCTTAGCAGATGGCCAGTGGATCTAAGCATTGGAATATTATTCATATATGGTTTAATATTTGATTGTATTGACCCCATAGTTACCATAGCATCATTTCTAACATGTGAAATACCATGGAAACTTGAAGAAAGACGTCTTCCTAAATCTTCAACCAATTGTGATTATATGATATTCATTAAAGTTTACAACTTTTATATTGAACATTTTAAAACAGTTTCTAACTATAAAACTTCAAATCTACAAAATATTGAAAATCATCAGTTACCTTTTGATCCTAAATGTTTGGATATCTCAAAAATGGAAACCATCTACCAAACTAAAAAACATCTTCTTAGGGTTTTGTCTATTCAAAATCATACAGAAAATTTGGATGAAACTTCTATCTTTTCAAAATGGAATCTAATTCAAACTTGTCTTGCTGCTTCACTTTATCCAAATGTTGCTTGTATTCGTCTTCCAAAAAAAATCAAGTACGTAGAATCTGGAAGTGGTTTATTTGCTGAAACTATTCAATTTAATAAGTTAATTCTCTTCAGAAAAAACAGATTATCAAAAAAGTCTATTGGCTATTTCTTTAACCCTCAACCAAAAGAAAAACCTATTACTATATCCCAAGCATATGATCTTCTTAAAGACTCAGAAGATGTTTCTAGAGTATTCCTTTCTGAATCCAGTGCCATCTATAACAGAATGTATGATCTTGGTACCTATCATTGCATTATGTATATGAGCTTATTTCAATCTTTTGCTCAAAAGAGAACCGTTTTAAGATTCCCAATCTCAACATCTATGTATTCTCTTTTATTATTTGCATCTGACTCACTTCAATTGAACCCACTTTCTCTAATCAATCAAATGAAAAAAGCATCTCTTGATCCCAATTTAAACAACTTAAAAAAAAATAAAACACTACCTGATCATGATATTGGCCAAGAGGATTCTCTTAATCATGTTTTAATTGATGATTGGATTCTTTTACAGTGTCCTGGACAAATTCAAAGTATTCTATGGTATTTCAGATATGTGGTTAGAGAGTTTATTCAATTCTTATCTCAGAAGTTACTCGAGTCCAAATCAACAATAACCTTATCCATTCCTCGTCCAGAGATTAATTCTTCCTTTTCTCTTAAAGAAATTAATGAAATTTTGCAACTCCTTCATTTTCTTATTTAAACATACTTGAATACTCTTCAAACAATCTTTCAACATGCTCATCACGTCTTAATTCATTCAAATTCTTTATAAATTCTTGGGACTTTTTCTTGGATTCAAATTCCATATATAATGCATAATCGCTAAAGTTCAAATCTTCACCAAATCCCCCTCTTCTATTATCCACCAAAACTCTTGTATAAACTGGAAGTAACAAGTTATTCAGATGGTAAATCCTTCTATTTACTTTTCTCTCCCTTGGTTGTATTATTGCTCCTTTAAAGATATTCGGGGAACTCAATAAGTCTTCTCTAAGAGGTAATTCATAAAGTAAATCATCCAAAATAACATCTTCCTCCAATTCATGTCTACGATACCTTAATAATAAAGCTACCAAGTATCTTATTGCTGTTTTATAGGATCTTGTTATTATTGGTACTGGCTTACATCTTATTATTTTTAAGTTTGCCAACATTATGGATTTCTTTTCTGGTTTCATTAACAAGCTTGTTAATACAAGATTTTTTCTACTTAAGTCAAAGATCACATTACATTGAATGTTTTTTCCGTAATTTGAAGGTCTGTTTACCTTTTTTGCTCTTATTACTGAAACTCTATATGATTTGGTTTCTACTAGAATTCTCATTTTTTTATATAATACCCTAAAGCAATTGTTGTTATCTATTCCGTAACTCCTCTCCAATTCTGTCTCATTTACTTTCTTTTCAGTATCCTTATTCAGATCCTTTAAATCATTATTACTATTCTTGTCTCTTCTGAATCTCTTTAATAACCCACAAAAAATCTCAAATATCTGAAGGTTATTATAATTACTTCTTAGTTTGTCTATAAAAATGGATCTTGAATTTCCTGATCCCTCCTCATTTACAAAAAGATTACAAGAGTTATTTGGAAACCATCTGAAAATTGGATAAGTATCTATTAAATTCCATAAATACCTTTTTGATAGTTTTCTGGAACTAGAATCTCGGATTAAAGGAAGAATACAAAAGTTAGAGATCACTTTTTGAGTCCATAGAATTGTATTATTATAATTCTCAAACATCCTAAGAATTAAAAGCTCGTCCTCATCCTTCCATTCCAAGAAGTTTTCACAAATCATATAATTCAAATTCCCTATTTCATTAAATATTGAATATTTCTCTCCAGTATTTAGATCCCTTCTAAGTAAGTCTCCAATATGTCTCAAAGTAATATTTTTAAAGTATCCCATGAAGGTATCCAAAAGTGAGCAGAAATCTTGAAAATAGTTACTTTGTCTCACTGTCTCATGATCCTGAATTACTCCTAGCGTCAAAAAAGTTACAATAAATAAACACAAAGGTCTTAATTTTGTCATATAATTATTCTTCTTAGAAATGGAAACAATCTTTTCTAGAAATTGAGCTAAAAATAAAAGACATTCCAGTCCTTGGTTATTTAACTCATGAGACAAGATCTCGAAATTTAGCTTCGAGTAAAAGCTTTGAAATTCTTTTTTAATAAGAAGCTCTGATTGACTTATTATACTTTCAAAGTCTTTTTTGAGTATTTTTTCCTTTATACAAGCTTTCATCATAGTATTGGAAGATTCTAGACTGTATAAGAAGTTATTTTTATCCTCCTGACCACATTTCCAATTTCTTGGAAGAGATTTACATCTCCTTTTTTCAAAAGATCTCTGATGGATTTGTTTTTGTTTTAGTGACAAGTTTGAACAGATTGGGTTTGTAAATTCTATTTCCACTAAAGATATATTTTCTGTATTCTTTGTTCTGTAGATCTCCTCAATTAGACTCTCTTGATCATCTTTTTGATGGAAAAAGTTAGAAAAGTTGTTAATAAATGACTGAAATAAGTTAGGGACAATGTTTGAGGTTTCTAAGTCTTTCTTTGTAGAAATTTCCATTTTCTTTTTTTCCTTTCTTTCTGAGAGAGTTGTCTCATTACAAGAAAGAGAATTCTCGGGAGGATCTTCTATGATAGCATCCTTAATCTTTTCCTCATATTTTTTACCCCAAATAGAATATAAGCTCAGTAATCCAAACATTAAAACAAACTCAGAATCTTGTTCTAGATAGTTAATCAAGGTAGAAAATATGTTTCCAAAAAGTGTTTGTTGGTTTCCAAGCTTTAGAAACCTCTCCCAAATATTAGAGATCAGGAGATCATAAACTTTGTTTTGGTTATTATTGTAAAGAAACAAAATAAGCTGGTAGGTAATATAAAGATAGATCTTAATTGATAAGGTATTTCTAGAAATTCCTTGGTTAATGTATGAGATTTCATTAGTAATCTTTTGAAAGAGGACCATTTCAAATACTTGATGTAGTATTGAATTACAAAATAACCAGGAGATACTTTGAATTTCAAGAAACACAAACTCATGAAATAGTTCCATAAGATCTAAAATGATTTCCACCTGTTTACCTAAAGGCTTAATGAGACGGTCATAAAATGTTGGGTTTAATTGATTTACTATCGGAGAGTTATACTCATTAGTAGAATCAGTTTCTGTATAGGAAAGGGTAATAGGGGATGTTGCACTGATTGGAGACATATTTACAGTTTGTGTAATTTCATTAGTTTCGTCATCATAAGGATGAGACTCTTGTTGGTCATTAATAATAAGACACATGTATTCTTCTATTTCAGGCCATCCAAAATCAACTTTTTCTGCAAGCTCTCCAAACTGGTGGATTTGTTTGATTAAGCTAGAAATTAGAATTTGAATGATACTTATTGAATGATTTTCATGAGAATAGAATGATTCTCTAAAAAGATCTTGAGTTATGTTTGGATCAATTTCAATATTCCTTATAACCTCCTCTATCTGTCCCAGGTAATTAAAGTGTTTAATTTCTTCCAAAACAATGTAATCAATGATTTCTTTTTCTCTAATTCTCAGGATATTAAGCAAAACATTCCTACTGGTATTTCTAACCATAGTATCTCGGTGATTAATATACATGCATGCATTTTTCCATAGAGGGAATTCTGTTGAATTATTAATAAATAGTCTAATAGTTTCCTTGTTAAGTCTTAAAGCTAAAGTTCTCAGTAGTGCTATGTAATATGATAAAAGTTCGTCCTCTTCTTCCTCTTCTTTACTAATTATACTAATATTTAAATCAATCTCATAGGAGTTTTGTGAAGTGTTATGTAGACTTCCTGATCTGAATGTGTTATTCAATAGTTTAGTAATAACATTATTACTCAAAATATAATACAAAATATTAATGTTTCTGATATTCTGCAAAATAATTGATAAAGTCTGTAAAGACTGCTTTCTAATTGAATAATTAACTTCTATGTTAATTACCAATTCTACTAGAATGGAGAAGATCTCAAATTCACATGTAATTTCAAAGTAACCCTGTTCTTCATTTTGGTCCTCCCAAATCAAAACTTCAGCAACAGTCCGAATATTCTCAACTATTTCTTTTTCAGAAAAAATTTTACTTGAGTTAATCAACTGAAAGTTTTTTGGATCAAAAGATATATTTAAAATGGAGTGCTCTCGTTGGTTTTTTTCTAGCTTTCTAGGTTTGTTTAAACTGGAATAATAACTTAAGATATCCCCACATAGTTGTTTATAATCCTCCAAATTACAAAACTTTCCACTAAAGTAATTCATTCTATTTGGTCAAACTATTTCTTTCTATTGGACCAAATTTAAGTTTTTCCCTCTTTTTTTATCCTCTTTCTTTTTTTTTCCTCGTAATTCTGATCATCAAAATTCTGTTTGCATGCATGCAGCCCGCCAAAAGATGGAAATGGTACCAAAATTAATATATAATTACAAAGAATAATAACTTTATATATTTTTTTTTTGTTAAGGAGATAAAGATAAAAACTTAAGGATAGATTCTGGTTAATTAGAGGTAGAGAAATAAAGGGATTAAAACCATAAATATAATGAATAAAGTTTATATTTGAAGATCTTGATCATAATTCTTACTATTAAATGTAATGCATGAATGCATCAGGGATGTTTGGAATATAAAGAAAAAATCATTAAGTAGAAAAATTGTAAAAAAAAATAATTTAGATTGAAAATAATGAATTATAATAATTATACTAAGTTGTCTAGGTAAATGTAATATATAAGGAATATATTAATATGTTAAGATCTCTCTGAGGATGACTGTTGAATCATGGATACCTCTAATTCTGATAATCTTTCAGCCAAATCACTATTTAATGACCTCAGTTCATTGATTTCATTCTGTAAACTCTGTATATACATTTGTTTTGCATTGTTTGAATTAAACTCAAGACTATTTGTAGGACTTTCTTGATCTTTAATTGTAGACTGGAATCTTTGGGCGTCTTGTATAATTTGGATATGATCAGCTTCCAGTTTTTGAATCTTTTCAGATAATTGATTGTTTTCAAGATGAAGATTTGAAATAGTATTTTCCAATTTCATAATTTCAGTTTTTAAGAGTTCATTTTGATTATTAGATTGATTTAATTGATTAGAAACAATTTCAATTTCGTTTCTTTCTTTGGTAATTTCTTTTAAATAATCATCTTTAGTTTTCATTTCTAATTCTAAATCTTGTTTTTCTTTGACTAATTTTGCAATATTATCTTCTTTTTCGGATGTTATTGAAATAAATTCTTCTTCTTTTTCTTTCAAAAGATTTTCCAAGTGATTTTTCTCCTTTTTAATTAATTCAATGGCTTCTTCTTTTACTATAATAATCTTTTCTAATTCATCTAATTGATCCTGAACTATTTTCTCTGTATCAAATGTTTCTTGTTCGTTTTTTCTGAATATAGCTTCAATTTCTTGCTGTTTTTCTTTTAAAATGGTCTGAATCTCCTCATCCTTTTTTTCTTTTTCAGTAATAAGGGATTCAATTTTCAGATCTCTCTCCCTGATAATATTTTCGAATCTCTCCATACTTTCTTTTAAGTGGGATTCTATTTCCTCGTTTTTTTTGATTCGAATAGCCTCAATTTCCTCCATCATTTCTTTAATTTTTGCTTCAAATTCCTCTTCTCTGTCTTTAATTACCTTTGCAAATTTCTCCTCCATATGCTTAATTTTGGATTCAGATTCATCAATTTTCTCCTTTTCCTTTTCTTTGATAACCTGGTTCAGTTCTTCTTCCATTTCATTTAATCTGTTTTCCAATTCCTCATCCTTTGCTCTTAAAATATCCTCATATTCTTCTTCTTTCTCTTTCAATAAATTTTCCAAGTGATTTTTCTCTTTTTTAATTAATTCAATGGCTTCTTCTTTTACTATAATAATCTTTTCTAATTCATCTAATTGTTCCTGAATTATTGTCTCCTTCTTAAATGTTTCTTCCTTCTTTTCTTTAATAATTGTTTCAATTTCATCCTGCTTTTCTCTGATTATGGATTCATTCTTTTCATTCTTCTCTTTCAAGCATTGAAACTCTTTCATAATAATATCAATACTCTGACCAATCAATTTATTTTTTACTTCCAGGTTATCATTATTATCATTAATCATTAATTCTAAACCTTTTAGAGCGTGATTTTCCAAGTATTTAAGTAATTTAGATTCTAAATAATTACGAGCATTCTCAAACTTGGAGCACCTTAAACTCAAATCTTGAACCTGCTTATTAAGAGATTCTCTCTCTAATTGAATTGATTCAATATCTTCAATATATTGGTTGGCTTTTTCTAAATTAGATTCTTCACTCTTTCTTAAATGATCGATCTGTTTTTGTGCATATTCAAGGTCCTGATTAAGCTTACTAATAATCTTTTCCTTTTCAGCTAAAATCATTTTTAAGTTTTTCTCCCCATCATCTAGAGCCTTACTTTTTATTTGAATTTCCTCTAATAAACTTTGATTTTCTCTAATTTTTTCATTAATCTGTTCCTTTATGTTCTTGTTAATTTCCATTAATTCCATATTTCTGTCATTTATTTCATTTTTCTCCTGACAGATTTCATTATTTTCATTAATCTTTCTAATTAACTCTTCATTTTTCCTGGTTAAATCAGAAATAATTTCTTCACTCTTTTTTTTACTAATTTCAAGCATCTTAATTCTATCTTCCAGATTCCCAATAGTATTGTTCCTATCCTTACGTAAATGTTCTAGTTCTTTTTTTAATTTATCAAGAGCCTGTACCTTCTCCTCCAATTGTTTAACATAATTAATCTCTTTTTCTTTGTATTTGCCATTATTAGTTTCAAGAGTTTCTATTTGATATACTTTATCTTTGTTTTCCAATTCTAATGTATTAATTCTTAATTTATAGTTTGAAATAGATGTCTCAATTTCTTTTTTCATCTCTGATAACTCCTCAATTCTTGTTAACAAACGAGTGTTCTCCTCTCTTATCTCATTGACTTCACTTTTCAAGTTATTTCTTTCCAATATGATATCTTCTTTTTCCTTGGTTAATAAATCAATGTTTTCCTGTGCTTGTTTAATTATCTGCTCATTCTTACCCATCTTTTCAGTGATCTCTTGATTCATATGCTTTAAATCATTAATTTCTTGAATTGAATACTCTCTGTTATATAATGTCTCATTTAATTCACTTGAAATTTGATCAATCTTTTCTGTAAGACTTTTATTTTCTTCGTTTAATCTTTTTATCTGTTCTAAGTTATCCTTGTTATTACTCATTTCTGACTCAAATCTAGAAAGCTTATTTTTTGTAATAGACTCCAATTCTCTCATTTCTTCTAATTGATTATTCAAACCCTTAATTTGTTTTAAAAGTTTTGCACATTCTGCTTCCTTCTCAGTTAATTGTGTTTGCTTCTGCCTCTTTTCCTGCTCAGATCTTGCCAACATGTCTTTCCACTGCTCATTTGTTGCATATTCTGAATTATTCTTATTTTTAATACTCATTTCACGAGTTTTGCTTCTTCTTTTTTCATCAGATAACTCATTCTGCAATTCTCTAATATATAGCTTCTGGTCTTTGATTGTTTTTTCTAATTGCTCCAAATCTGATCTTCTTAGCAACTCCTGTTTATATTGTTTCTCCAATTGTGAGTATTTTTTTCTTAGAGATACCAATTCAGCTTGTAAATTTGAAATTGCACCTCCATATCTTTGTCCAAATCCATGTGAGTTTGCTCCTGAGCTTCCGCTTGTATTAATCAACCCTCCTGAATATCCGTTGTTTAACTCATTAAAACTGAGTGGATCTTCTTGTTGACTTCTTGAAGGAATATTCTCCAAATTTACTGATTTTCTTCTTAAATCACTCAGTTGCTTTTGGAGTTTTTGTTTTGAAACATTTGCAATGTCTATTGGCTCGTTTGACAGTCTATTTATATTTGGAAGAAATTCCAAATTTCTTGGAGAAGTTGATTGGAAAGGTGCTCTGGTCATGTTCGTTAATGTAATCCAACTTGAAATAATTAGCTAAGCTTACATGATATTCCCTTTTCGAGTTAGTTTTCTAATGTCAATCCAACCCAATCCAGTATCTTTAATAGTTGCTGTTGCTGAACTACCCCCAATACTGCCACACTATCACTATTCTACTAATACTATTATAACTACTACTACTACTGCTAATATTACTATTACTAAAAATAAAGCAAATACTTACGTTAAAATTACCTGTAAAATTAATCTTTTCTTTTTATTCCTCTGCCAGATCGAGACTGTAAATCAAGTCCACTCTTGAAACAATTTCCAAAAATGAGCAAGTATTGTATATATCTATATTATCTCTCAAAAACTCCCTTTCTTCGTCTTTTAATCTCGAATTTTTTCCCAATATATTCAACCTTGTTTTTTTGTAACTTTTCTTTCCATTATCTTACAAATAATCCTTTACTGATTTTTTTTTTAACCACACAAACAGGCGGCATGCATGATATAACAGGCGCCACATACATTTATACCGGTTTTTACATGTAAGCAGTCCAACATGTAATAATATTAGCAAAAAAAACATGTCAATGTAAAACAGCAAATGATAAAGCCATGATATGCATGTATGGAAATTAAATAACCTTATAATTAAAACTATAAACTAATTAGAACTAATTTTGTTTTTTTTGTACAAGATGGTGAATTCCATCTTGCGTGAATTGGGAGCTCCCACTAGTTATGTTGTTGATAGGATTGACAATATTCGGTATATTAGAAGGTGTCTGTCCTATTTGTAAAATGTTTCTATTGTGGTAGTGCATGTTACTATTACCGTTTGCAGCATTGCTATTATTATATTTTTGATAGTAATTATTATTGCCACTCACACTGGAAACACTGTTATTATTTATGTGGGGATTATGAATAGGAATCTGCGACTGAGGGGGATACTGGTGGTATTGATGTACTTGAGCGGAGTTTTGGGATTGCATCTGCAGCATTTGCTGACGAGATCTCATGTTTATACCGTTGACTCCCATTCCCTCTGCAATATACATATTCTGGTCTAAACGTGCTCGTTCTTTAATTTCAATAGGTAGGTCTTTCTTATTAGTGTTTTGCTGGTACATTACATACCTATTAGCATTGTTACTGCTATTATTATTATTATTATTATTGTTATTATTATTATTTGTAGTAGCACTACTATTAGTACTATTACCTACGTTTGAGTCAGCTCCCCGAGAAATGTACTCGCCATTTGGCATGTAACCACTTGGAATGGTTTTTTGCTGTCCAATACCACCTCCTACCATAGTGTGGTCCACAAGTTGAGCAGTACCCGGTACGACTCCAGTTCCCCCAGCTCTGGTTCCGGCTCCAGTTCCGGCTCCAGTTCCAGCTCCAGTTCCGACTGGGCCTCCAGAACCCGCGTTAATTTGGATATAATGACTATTTGGTTTACCACCATGAGTTCTGTTGAGATTAGGATGCACCTGATGGTGAATTTGATTTGCCATCACGTTTTGAGGATAGTTTAACTTCTCTGGAAGTCTCCGAGTCTCGTTGTTCAAGTATTGTATATTTGGGGCATTTGTGGCCAATGAAGTCGTTGAAGCTGTGGGAGTTGTTATAGCAGAGTTCGGTACGTTACCAACGTGATTCATAGAGTTACCTCCATTTATTGAAGTGTTAGTAGCTGACCCAGGAGCAACTGAAGCTGCAATAGAACCACCTAAAGGAGTAGTGACTGTAGTATTAGCAGTATTGGCGGAAGTTATATTTGTAGAGGAAGCAACGGGAGTCTTAGGAACCGGAGAAATGGTATTAGCAGAAATAGAAGCATTAGTGGTGGCTGTGGCTGTGGCTGCATTAGAAGATATGTTCAAATTAGCACTCAAGCGAATATTATTTGTATTGTTGGAGCTGGATGTAGAAACACTAATATTTGGATTAGTGCCATTTCCAACACCACCAGGAGCAATGTGATTAGAACTTGTGGAATTAGCCACTAAACCGTTGCTTTGGATACGATGTCCATGTAAATGCCCAGGCCCGGGACCTGCAACATGTCCCTGCACATGTATTTGGCCCGCGTGTTGGATTCCACGTCCATTGACCTGACTGTAGCTCAGAGAACCTCCTGGATTACTACCTCCAGTAAGAGAAGAAAGGGGCTGAACATTTGGTTGTGAAAGGTTTGTTGGCTGAATTGTATGCACTGAGCGTGTAGGATGTGAAGTATGGGGAGAGATTGTTGTGTGTGAAGAGGGAAATGTATGGGATGTACTACCATGAACAGGATAATGGGAAGACTCAAATTTTTGGATTTTAGTTGGAGGGCAGCTCTCATAATAGCTGCCCATGCTCCCAGTACCAGTAATTCCGGAGGTTCCTGCCTTTCCGGGAGTATTAACAACAGCTCCAGACATAGCTCCAGTCCCTGATCCAGGCCCAGCTGCAATGGGATAGTTGTGTTTGTAGGCTACTCTGCTGTGAGGGTGGGTCTGGCCTATCTGGGACATAGGGATGTTACTCATACCAGGAGTTTCCGTAGAACTGACTAATCCCTCTCCTTGTTGATTAAATCTGTTATAGTTTGAAGGCTTGCGATCTTGAATTTTAGTCTCAATACCTGTCATAGTTGGCTTCTGAGAAGGTAAATCAGGCTTTTGTTCACCGGCCTGAATGTGGGGTAAAGACGGATGCTGACTCTGGCCAGTGACTCCAAAAGAGGGCTTACTAAAGTTTATGTGGGTAGCTGAATGTCCAGCTCCAGGTACAACTCCAACTCCGACTCCAACACCAGTCCCCTGGATTCCAGAGGAGTTGGGAAAAGGACCCTGGTTAGGCTTGGTTACTCCCGCATTTTGTTGTGTGGAGAGAGGGTGCTGGGTATACTTAGTTACAAGCTCCCTTAGAGCCGAGAGATCCAAACCAGGGACATCATCCTCGAGGGTTAGAGCAACCTTTACATGATTTTCACCAACCCCCAGTAGAAAGCTTCCATCTACTGATAAGTTCTGATTAAATACAGCAAAATCATCTGTATCTATTCCAAAGAGCCTAGTGTCACTTAGGGGAAGCTTGGAAATACTTGGATTAGGATCAATTTCCAATAGGGCAGTTTCGATATCCATAATCTTCTTCAGAGCTTGGATACTGTCTTCTCCAATAAATCTTTTAACAGAGTTACGGTACTGAATCTCAGAAAGCTGTTTGTCAAAGACATACCAGTCATCTACAGTTGGGGTTCTGATGCATGGCTGGGTTGCCAACTGTCTGATTAAAGAGCTGAAAGGTTCAAACTTATCAATTTTGAGTTTCTCGAGATTCTCTTTAATTGACTTGACTCCTCCTCTACAGATGTCTGCCAAAGTAGGACCTTTAGGCTTGGGATTTTGGTGACCCTGAGTAGGTATTGCTGGATATGGATATCTACCCAATTCTCCCCCTCTATATATCATTGTACCTCCAAATGGATGGCCTCCTAACGCTCTTCTATTCGTTAAATCAGATCCTAAAGCTAAGTCTCTTTCCCCTGCATATCCTCCTACTCCAGATGTACCTCCCCCAACTCCAGGCCCTCCACTTCCCTTAGCCACCCAAGGAGAATGAGAGCTTGAAAGTCTGGCTTCCATTCTTCTTGTTACCATTGACCTCTGGTTAGATGGATTAGGAGATTCAATTGTTGGAGGAGAAGTAGGAGTCTGATTCCAAGTTGGTTGTGACTCCGACTCAGAGTCACTGATAATTTCACCAGCTCTCTTTTTCTCCTCATATTCTTCTATGTTCTTTATGGATTGCTCATATCTAGTCCTACTACCCTCCAGACTTTTATCCCAAGTCTCCTCCAGAATCAAACCCATCCTATATACCATAGTCCCTATCTTATTGTATGTATAACAGTTAGTTATGATAAGTTTAATGTCACTGGCAAATGAATCAAAGTCTTTATACTCATCTTGAGACACTTTTTTCCTCATTGTCGAGAAGTCCATTGGGTTTTTAATAACTTGGTAATAGTCAGGGACAAATTCAGCGTTTACTGGTTCTGCAAAGATTTGTTGTTTGTCTCTTTTGTATAACCTATGTATAATTTCGTGCATAATATCCTTTGGACCTTTTGGACGCTTCACCTTTAGAGGCTTATTAGGAGCGGCCTCCGGCTCCACTTTCTCCTCAGGCTCCAAGGGACGAAGTCTTGGCCGACCTCTCTTTCCTTTAGGCTTATCATCATCTGCCCAAATAGAAGTTATACTAACTAATCCTGATGGACCAATGTCGGTTCTGTTAGCATTCCGTGGAGGCCTCCCTCTTCCTCTTGGTATCCTGATCTCTGATATCGCATTCTGACTACTCTGCGTCACTACTGAAGAGGCATCAGCATCCGTCTTTTGACTGTAAGTCTTACCCTCACTCCTCTCGCTTCCTGCTCCTTCCTGATCCTGATCCTGATCCTGTTCTTGGTCTTGGTCTTGATCTTGGTCTTGGTTTTGGTCTTGGTCTTGATCTTGATCTTGATCTTGATCCTGGGCCTGTTCCTGGTCCAGATCATGTCTCTGTTCTAGATCTAGGTCCAAGTCCTGGTTCTGTCCCCTATTTCCCTCTCCCTCCACTTGGGCTCTAAGTGGAACGGAGGGATCAGAACAGAGCTCCTGGTTCATCTCCAAAGATCCCCCCTCTTCATCAGAGCTTGGGCCAGGGTGATTATTTGGTGTTTTGCTCCCCAAGATATCATTCATTTTGGTTGGTAATTCTAATAGAAAGCTCCCCAAGACTTTAAAGTCTTAGTAGGTGGGGAAACTCAATTTAGTTTGCAAAATTCACAAACTTGTGATTTCAGAACTTCGTACTGGAAAAGGTAGTTCTTGGCATAAAGCTTGCTTAACACTGAAGGATTAAATAAAAACTCGAGAATGACAAAATATATAAATTTTTATCAATATTAGTTTCTTTGACCTTGAAACTTAAAATTCAAAGACTAAAATAGATAAATACTGTATTTGGCAAGATCTCAGTCTTGGTAACTAGTGTATAGTTCCAATCTTTGGGGTAGCTTTAACTTCCCCTAGAGAGATAAGGCCTGAGTACAGATAAAAGTGGTCACTTAAATGAGCCCAAAACTTATATACTGAGTTTGTTGAAGGAGGATCTATCTTTACCAATGTTAATTTCTTATTACGTAGAAATTCCTAAGCTGATTTTTCCCGGGTAAATTTAATAAAAAAATAAAAAAATTTTTTTTTTTCCTCAGTACCGGTATTTGGGCAACCCCCATTTTGGAGCCAAAAAAATTCCACGCCAAAATAAGGGGGGCGAAAGTGCGCGCGCAAATTATTTAATGAATTATTTGCCTTAAGTTTTTTCCTTATAATTGCCGATAAAAGAATTCTAAGATAATTAAAAAGGATTCCAAAAGGCGCCAAAATTTTTGAGATAATTTGACAATGGCCTCTAAGTATAGTTGAATATTTTTTAAATTGAGATTATCAAAACGTCCTCAAAATATACTGTGAATCAAGGTTTCTAGGTAATTTTAATGAAAATAACCTTGAGAGCTGAGGTATCTAAGATATAACAAACAGAAAAAAACTGAGAAATAACGATAAAAACACTTTGAAGCAGGAATTTTAACTTAGAATTGGGGAATTTGAGATAATTTTTTGTATTTAAGTTTTTAATGGCTCCCTGACTCTATTAAGAACAGTTCCAAAGCAAAGATGGATAGCGCTTTCAATGCAAACTTACATGGAGTTTCCGCTGAGCCCACCCCATTAATCATCTCATCGGGTGGTTTAAATGGAAACTTATTGAGAAAGAATGGCGAGGAAGGAGCTGGTGGTCTAATTTTGGGCGAGACTGAAGGGAATAGCACCTTAGGGAGCAGGTGTGACGGTCAGGATGACTCTGGAACAGCTGATGTTGATACAGAAGGAAGCGAAGAGTCTCACAATCAATATTGGAAGACAAAACTTTGTTTGATGTTTTCAAAAGGAGCATGCAAGAATGGAGATAATTGTAGGTTTGCTCACGGAAATGAAGATTTAAGAACTCCTGTAAATTTGAAGAAGACTAAGCTATGCCCATTTTGGTTAAGTTCTGCTTGCAGTATTGGAGAGAATTGTCCTTTTGCTCACGGTACTACTGAACTTAGAGTTACTAATGACTTTTATAAGACTTCCGTCTGTAGGTATTGGAAGATGGGCGTTAAATGCGATGCTGGAGTTCTATGCAGGCATGCTCATGGGGAGGCAGAGCTTAGAAAGAAGACAAACAAACACTTACTTAGGCGAAAAGATGACCAAATTCCGTCTTCTATTCAGGAAGACGAACTAGTAATTTCAATGAGAAATAACAAGTTTAATGAAAATAGTCGATTTCTCTTTCAGGTTCCTCCTCCACCTCCTTTAGTGTATTCAAACTCAAGCCAGACAATACCATCTTTGGGGAAAATTAGACAAAACCAGTCCCACTCTCAGACTCAACCCCAATCACAAACCCATTCAAATCTTCATTCAAACTCCAGAATGGGCCTGGGATCTCATACCCAGTCATTACAGACCAAAACCTTACCGCCAATCTTTATGTATGTTGATCGGGATGCTGAAGAAGAGCAGAAGATGAAACGTAATTACAGTTGTGACGATAATTTTAGAAAAGAGGGCTTTTCAAATTCTCACTCTCACTCCCATCCTCATCCCCACTCCCATCCCCACGCCCATTCTCAACCTCAATCACATTCACACTCCTACCCTCCTCAATTCAATTCTTTTCAAGATAATCAAAATAATGATATTACAAATGTTCAATGTATCAGGAACTCTTCATCCCTTAATAATTTGAGAGACTGGGGGTCTAACTCCAAGAATGATCAATTGGATGTATCTCAAGACATTTTTGGCTTTTCTGGGCTTGAGAAGAACCCTGGAATACCTTCTACTAATATGATCAAAGGCAGGTTTCAAGATGAAGATTCTGAAAAGCAACTTCTGGACCTAAAGTCAAATGAAACAGACTTATCTTCGTTTTGCTCTTTAAGACGAATGGAAGATAGCTCAAACTCTTTGGTTTCCAACATTTCAGACTTGAGTTTTGGAGATGATTTCTTTGGTGGAGTACTTCATAATAAGTTTCAGAACCATCAAGTTTTGAAGCACTCCCCTGGATCCATGTTCAATGGCATACTTTCATGTAATGTTGAAAGCCATGGTGGCTCAGCTGTAGGACACAATTGCCAATCATCAAGTATTGTTAAGGAGAACAAGAGAGATGAAACAAAGTGTTTAGACCATTTCAAGAATATCCCAGATGTGGTTCCATCTGAGGGATTTATTTCAAAAATCAACCAATTTAATACCAATTTGGAGATTGCTCATTCTCCAATTTTGGTTAGAATTAAGCTTCTTGATTCTTCGGAAATATCCTCTCTTTCAATTGGAGAAGTCCCTGCCATTCTGATTCCTTCTGAGGATATGAAGTCTGCAAAAGTACATTTTTTGTCAATTTAAGCATTTCAAGCAAATTATTTATCCGTAATTGAAGCGAAACTTGGCTTCAAAGCAGCCTGTTTGTATTCATCTTATTCTCAAATTTGAGTATAAGATTTTCATGATTGAATTTTTATAAGCAAAGTTTGCAATGTTTAACCATAGAACTTGTCCATCATTTAAAGCGATTCTTTTTTTTAATCTTAATTCAAGTCTAGAGATTTATTGAATGGCTATTGGTAATGATAGGTGACTGAGAATATCAAGGCTTTTCCATTATATCTATTGATTGTTTTTAGTTTTTTTATATATGCTTTACAAAATTAATGTCTTCTTTTTATCTCTTAAACAGACATCCTTTCTTGTATTTTCACTTAGTTAATTTTTTCAAATTCGTTTTTTCGTGTTTTGGTCCTGCATGCAAAAAATGAGCGCGCGACACCTTGTTTAAGCTTGAGACAAATATTTATTTTAAATATCTATATATTAGTAAGAGAGGATTTTGGGATTAGAAAAAGACTTAATAAAGACTCTAGAAGGTATGAGATGTTTAAATACAAAATATTTACAATACATCTCATTTTTATTTTATTATTATTTGATTTTTATATAATTTTCTTTATAGTGGTTTTTTTTTGATGATTTACAGATTAAAATATTTCTCCACAATTTGGCGCCACAAATTTTATGCAGATTATTTAGTAGGGAAATTTGGATGTTACAAAGGTTTGGCAAAAAAAACTGCAAAAGCCAAGGTGATGCAAAGAAACACAAGAAAAGGGGTCCTAGATAGAAAATAAAAAAATTCTTTGAGTGTATATTGTCTAAAGAATAGGGAGAAGGAAAATTGGTAATATTGCTGGAATTGTAAGGTAGTGCCAGGAAGATTCATTAGGTTTACTAAGGAGAGAAGAAAAGCTAGTTAAAGGTAGCAGTTAGAAGGATGTATAATGGAGTGGGACTTAGAACCGTTAGGGGTTCAGGAACTAGTGGTCATGTACAAAAGAACTTATCAGCTTATGTGCCAAAACATTGGGAAAGGAGAAACGATACTGATATAAATTCAAAGCAAAGACCAAAAGCCCCTCATATAACTAGGCATGACCCAGAGCTTATTGAACATGAGAAGTTGAGAAAAATGGAGTTAGAGCTTCTGGAGTTTGTTGAAGAACAAGAATCTAAGGGTCTTAAGGGGGCTGATTTGGAAGAAGTTGTGGCTAAAAAACGCAAAGAACTTTCTTCTTTGCTAGGAAAAAGTTCTAACTTTACTAAAAACAGTAATAATAACCATCGTCATTCTGATATCTATCAAGAAGATGGATTTGTTAATTCTATATTTGACACTGATGTTGAGAAATTGGATTCTAATCAATTATCCAGACTGAAAGAGGAAGAACTTAAGGTTTTTAGGAGAGCTTTGGGATTGGAAAAACCTAAGAATGGGAGGTACAGACAAACAGAAAATAATTGGAGAAGTAGAGATGGGCCTACATATAAGACCAATAGTAGGAAAGAGGATTGGGAAAGAAGTGAGGAAAGAGGGAGAAGCAGGCAAAAAGGAGGAGAAAGAAAATCTCCAGTTAGAGGAGATCAACTTTTATTTGATACTAGGGGCAACTTGAATCACACAGACCATGGAGACTTTAAGCAAAATCTTGGGAACAATCAAGGTCTTGAAAATTTCGCTCATTTTTATGAGCGTGGCAACTATGATAAGTCAGAAGACATTAAAGAGATTCAGAATAAGTATAAATCTGATATCCAGCCCCGGATCGATCTCAGTTCTCATTCGGAATCCCAATCAGAGTCACGTTCCGATTCACCCTCGCACTCTCATTCATGCTCTCGTTCCTGCTCTCGTTCCTGCTCCCGTTCCCGTTCTCGTTCTCAATCTAATTCTCACTACAACTCCAATTCCAGCTCCAGATCTCACTCTAAATCCCGATACTCATATTACGCTCTGAGCAATAATACACTACAAAAAAACTCAAGCTTTCACACTATAAACCCCAAAAATAAAACGAAAAGAGAAAAGTACTCCAGTTCAGCAAGAAATCTTGCCGAACTAAATAGCTTTGAACGCAGGAAAAAATATAGATACAGAAGGCCGAGAAGATCTCGGTCACCTTCTACAGTATCTAGATATCGGTCTTTTAGTAGAAGTCTATCACCGCGAATGGCGCCGGCGGGCTCGCATGTGGTTTGCATGTAATAAGTACAAATTGTGGGTGAATAGAAATTATTTAAAATAGTGTATATAGCTAGGGAGAAAATAAATAGAAAACAGAGGAGTCTGGTTACCCAGAATTATAAGTTTCTATATGGAGATATATTCCTGTAGTTTCTAATTTTCTTTGTCGATTCATCTTTTTTAATTTTATTTCAGAATTTAAAAGTAAATAGTTTGTGACTTGCTGGGGGGAGAAAGTAAATGATCGAGAAAAAAAGAGATAAACTATTTGGTGTGGCTACTTCAATTGCAAAAGGTGCGGAAGTAGCTTCGAGTATTGACTCTCTGAGGCCAGTGGTGACAAATGGAATTAAGAACGAAACAAGAGAAAACAAAAGTAGGTGGAGTGTGGATTCTTTTGGATCTTTAGATAATCAAGAAACTGATTTATCTTCCTTTGGAACTCCTATAACTCAAAAAGGTGAGAATATTTTAATTAATCATACAAAAGAGAGAAAGTTGATTGTATCATCAAATTGTATTCAATTAATTCCCAAGTCAAAATATCTTTCTTTGAGTGATACCAATAATAAGCCATTAGAAGTAGAAAAGGATGTACGAGATTTCCAGATCAAGGAGTATATGATTGATACAATGCCCCCTGAAAAAGATCAAAATGACCTTTTATCAAAACAATCTAATGAAAATTTAATTAAAGGTGAAATTAGAGATCTACCACTAGTGCCAAATATCCCATTTTCTCTTTTTATTTCCTATTTCAGAGAACAGAGAAACCAGACTTGCAAGAAACTACTGTCAGTTTGGAGAGGGTACAAGACAAGGTCAATATTAAGAGGAAGTTTAAGAGGATTACCCTTATTGGAGGCTAATGGTGATGGAATCGTTTTTCACACTAGAAAAGTCTATTTGGGTTACACTATCCACAAGATTCTCTTGTCCATAATAGATTTGTATGATTTAATATTGGATGAGGAATCTAGGGCATCTCAAGGTTGTGTTGGAGGTGGTACCAATTCTAGTTCTTGGTTGGATGCAATGTATGAACAGGTTGGAGACTTCAAAAACAAGTATATTTCGGAAGTTAATAGTGCTTTAAAGGAAGGTTCTGGAAGAAGATGGGTTTCAGATATTGTTAACGCTAGGGAAGCAAATAGAGGAGATATTTCAAGGAAACCAAGAGAAAGAAAGGGGTTACTTCCAATGAGGTTCGAAAACAAATATAAAGAGAAGATTCTGAGAAGCAAGTTACTTTTGAAGTCTAACAAAACTGTAATTAGAAAAAACAACATGGGAGATCAGAATATCACAAAGGGGAGAGGGGCCAATGATATAAAAAGTTTACTAGGAGGGAAGCAGGAACATCTAAGCAAAGATGAAGAGTATATTAATGGCTTTAGTCATATTTATCTTCCTTATTGCTTAGTGAAATCCAATTCTTTGGAGGAGGTTTCTAGTTATTTGGGTGTAAAGATAGACCAAATTACAGGTATAATCCAGGAAGAATCTATTTTAAACACTGGCAATAGTAGCAGTAATGCCAATAATTATAATAGCTTTGAAACAGAGAGTGGTTTTGAACTGACTCCAGGATTAGGAAGAAGAATGGGTGAGTTTACTAATGATAACACTCCATTTTTAGATAGGACAACTCCAAATCCGTTGAGAGAACCCAACTTCAACATGTACTTTACACCAAACAGTTTTGTTCAAGGCTCATATAAGGATCAAGGACAGGATCTTGCCGAATATTATACTCCAGTTCAGGAGGAGTTTGGGGATCCTATGATTGAAAATTGTGAATACGGAAATGAACATATAGAGAAACAAGGAATAACTCAGAAATCCATTAGTCAAATTAAACCAAAACCATATTTAAAGAGGAAAAGCAAGAGTATCTTGCCATCAAGAGAGACTGATATAGAATTGGACAAGGTAAAATCAAAAGTTAAAGAGCTTTATAAAGGTAAGAATCTAATTGAAAAGAAGATTTCAAGAAAAGTCCCAGCTTCAGGTGGATATGAACTATCGGGTTCTAGGATCCCAAATATATCTTCCACTCTAAATATAATTTCAGTTTCAAATTCTCCTTCTTCAAGGAATTCTTCATCAAAGGTTTCAAGAATTCCAAAGTACACTACAGTTAGTTTAAATAATACGTTTAAAAACTCCCAGAATAGTAAGGGAGTGGATACTCCACAAATAATTAGATCAAGATATAGTGATTTTTAAGAGTTTAAAAAGTTTTCTATTTAATTTTCCCCTTGCTCGTGACAGTTATCCATCCATCCTCATCTGGGACCCCCTTTTTGTTGCTGTTGGTTTTCTTTAAAGCTGATGAAGATGAGGGGCCTTCAGCCTGGGTATTGTTTCTAAATGAGTTATTATTGTTACTACTATTATTTGAGTTTTTATTACCTTTAACTCCAGAACCGTGTTTCTTGGTCATATTTGAGACTTTGTATTTGAGTCCTTGAATATAGATACCTCTTTGACAAAGAAGTTCTTGGGATTGGACTGAATCTACTTGGACAATTGCTTCATCCTTATTTCTGTTAATTGCAATAGCAAATCCCTCGTTGCTGTTTTTAAGTTGGAATGAAATAGCAGAGAGAATATCCTTATCAGATAACCCTGAATTGGCTGATAGTCCGTGGATCTTGACTTGGTGCTTAATTTTGGCAGATTTTTTAACATCTTGATATGTAGGGAAGGTCTTGATGTGGTGATTCTGGCTATGTGTGTGTCGATTTCCAGTAGTTTCATGCTCGGTATTGTTACAACGATAATCTTCTAGATCCGTGTTCTTTAGATCATTAGTTAAAGAAATGGAATGGGATAAGGAAGGTTGATTTGTGAAACTTTGCATACTATACATACTTTTCATGTCAAATGGTACTGGAAATACATAAAAGATATTATTAAAAATCAGAAAGTTCTCTTTGTTATGATGATCTGGCCCGTGAACCATCTGCAAAACTTGGAAAAACAGGAATCTCTCATCTCCTGAGATTACATGGCCATGTATAGACACAGTAACTATATTTTGAGTTGTTTCATTGATATCCATAATTTCTACTGGAATCTTACAACTTATGGTAGGTAGGCTTGAAAATATATTAAATAATGTGTCCTTCTCGAAGCTTTTAATACTAAGTATTCCATTGTCGAGAAGTATAGAACCTTGAATTCTTGGATTCCCTCCAATGGCGAAGCTTGGAATTTGCCATTTCAAGTGGGGGTCAGGATTGCTAATATGTAAATCAGCTAGAGAATTTGGAGAATCGCCAAGAAGTGAGTAGTAGTTTGAGATAAAAGGGACAATTCGTGCATTAATAGACGATGTGGAGGAACCAGCAGAGCTTCGTCTATTGGGGCTCGTTGATCTACTGGAAACCATATTTAACTTTTCCAAGAAATAATTTTTTTTCTTGACAATTCTACGAGGACAGCCAACCTTTTCCCCACACTTATGTTTTAAACAACTATTAACTATTTATATAGGAGCTCTAAATTCCAAACCACTATGTCTTAAATCTCCAGGCCTTAATTTCTAACAATAACAATAGTTTTTCTAGTAAAATATTAATAATAATAAAAATAATACTTATTAATATGTACTTTTTTTTTTGCTCCTCTTGGCATATTCCACCTTATTACACAATTTTTTCCCCTTGTGCTTTTTTTTATATTAGATTTTTGACAGGGGAGACAAGACGCGCCACATTAAAACTTCATGTATAAGTGGTGTATAGAGTGGAAATAAATACGAAAGGAATGAGAGTATGAGATAGAGAAGTGAAAGGAATGAGAAGAAAAAACTGAGTAGAGTTTTAGTTTAAAGTTAATTTAAAGAGCATAAATTTTTTCAATTTTTGAGATTAACCAGAATGAATGTTAAAATGCATGTTGGTGCTTGGGGGAATGTGCATGATTATGTGGGGTTTGGGAGAATTGGGTCAGAAATATTTGTCTGTGCTTCTGAAATACTTAACTAATTTGCATACAGGTGGGATATGGTTAGTACATAATACTGCCTATGTGAACTGTATTTGAGTGTTTAGTTCATATCGCATATTTGTTTTTTTTAGTTAAATATACTTCAAATTTTCTTATAGGCGAGGGGATTTTTTTCTAAAGCTTAGTTTAATAGGTACCGGCGTCTCGTTTGGGGCGGCACGCGCCAAGATGCGAAATTTTGGCGCGTCTTTTTTTCTTTTCTAATTGAAGAAGAAAATATACTAAGAAGAAAATAAGAAGGCAGTAGCCGTGATAAATTGAAGGTTGTTTTAGCAGTAGCAGGAATTATTGGTGAAATAATAGTTAATATTAATTCGGTTACTGGTAAACTATTATTTAATAAAGACAATTAAAAAATAGTCAAAGTATACAAGACTTAAAGGAGGCAAAATTCGGGCTGACAGAGTAAATAAAAATAATAAGAAAAAAGTACTTTAGTAAGAAAAACATTGACAGAGTTTGCTTAAGATCCAAGTTGGCTCTTTTCTAGTTGTATTCCAATAGGGAAAGGATAATTTCTCACAAAGAATTAGGACAAGAAAAAGTTTGTAGACTGAAGCCAGACTTTGCTGTGAATAACAGAAAGCATTGTATTATTGAACAAGGAGATTATATAATAAAATGTCGATTTATTGTGCCCATAATAACATAATTTGTGAGAGTGATGGATTCTTGGTATCACACTTATCAGATACTAACTTAACTTTTGATTCCTTCTCAAAACCATCAATAATAAGTTGCAGAGTGAACCCTTTGGTTGTATTGTCTATATTGGACTCTCACCTTAGGAGACAATCTGGACACCAATACGTAATTGGAACACTTTTGGGATATATCAATGAGGGTGGAAATGTTATAGTAACAGATTCATTTGTAGATAGACATTCATTTACAGATGATGGGATGCTTTCAATAATGATTGATACTCATGAAACCATGTTTGAGTTAAAACAAAAGACAAATTCTAGATTGCAGGTTATTGGATGGTATAGTACATGCTCTGGTATCAATTCAGTAAGTTGTGCTGTCAATAATTGGTTTAAGACAGATGTTGGAAGTTCAAAGTTTCAACAAACTCCTTTGTTATCTGATCCTATTCATATAGTTGTGGATCCCTCCTTTTCTAACGGTAAATTGTCTATTAATGGGTATATTCAAGTTCAATCAACATGGACAAATTCTATAGTTTCTGTTTTTAGACCAATTCCACTAGATATTGTTGCAAGTCCTTGTGAAAGGCTTCATATTTCAAGAATATTAAGGCCATTACTTGAGAAACATCATTTGAATGCAGTCGGTATTCCTCCAAAAAGCCTTCCCAGGACTATTCTTGGACCAGAAGACGAAATATGTACTGTTTTACCTTTGAATAACTCTAACTATAATTTACAATCTGGAGATGTTTCTCAGTTATTAACCAAGCTCATACTTCTTGTTCAGAGATGCCAGAACTATGTAAAGAAAGTTCTTTCTGGAGAAGTTCCTATGGATCCTATGATTGGAAGACAAATTGATTATGCAATCCATTCAATTTATGACTTTGAATATAATATCTATAATATTATTAAGAACAACTCTACTCAAGATGCACTTATTATTGGATGTCTCACAGAACTTACGAGAGTCCAGCTTTCCCTTTCAGAGAAACTTCAATCATTGATCATTACTTAATTATGATTTGGAAAGACGGTTTAGTTTTTGTCACAGAGTCTCTTGGACATTATAAACCCTCTTTACTCTGTTTTATTACTTATATCTTATGTTGATAGTAGCTTTTTTTTCTTCTCCTTCCAGACTTTGTCTCAAGGTAAAGCTATCTATTCATTTTAATTAGACACTTTCTGTATATAATTCATATATACCTTGCACTTATTATTTATTTTGTTCCTTTAACTTATCATAGTAGTGAATTTCCCTGAAATAACGAATTAAAAAGAATATATTAGAGGGAAGAAGAGAAGAAACACATTTAAAAAACATAAGTGATATATAAGTTATAGATTAGTCTACACTGTATAGTTTGGTGGGAGCTTAAAGAACAAAACCAAAGCTAGAAAAATTTAAAGATAAGGTTTACTTTTGTTTCTCTTTGCATTCATTCATACTTCTTAGTTCCTTTCTACAAGCTTTCTGAAGAAGTTCAATGTCAACTTGAGAAGGAGGAAAGAAGATATACCTAACAACACTTCCTCTGATAAAACAGTTCTTAAGAGATCCCAAATGAATAAAACTCTCATTTTGGTTTACTGTTGTGTTATTTAGCTTTATATTGAGATATTGGTCAATGCTATGTAGGATCCCTGTTATTTGCAAATCATTCTTTAGTTCTACTGTAACCACTACCTGCTTCTCAATAAGAGTTTGTAAAAAGTTAAAAAAAAGCTAATATACGGAAGATAAAGAAGTAGTGTGAGGAAGAAAAAAGAAGAAAGTAGGTATAGATAGTGTATTTGAGTTAATTATTTTTTAAGTTAATTTATTGTGTATACAAAATTGTTGGCCATATCACACCCATACCCAATTCACAGCTCTTTAAAAAGAATTTTATCTGATCAAATACAAGAAGATCCTATTTTCAACCAAAATATGCTTTATGACTTCTTTTATAAAACAGTATTCCAGAAAAAAAGTTTTTGAGAACCAGTTATAACTTTCAAAAGAGCAAAGCCAGATGTATATGACCAAAACCAACACAAAAACTTACCATTTTCAGACAAAATCAGATATAAACCAATGACTAATTGTCAAAAAACATTGAATTTTTGTATATATTATATATTTATATATAATAATATATTTTTATTCTGTTTTTAAAAATTAGTTTTTTTTTTCAAATTTTACCTATACCGGTTAAGTACCGGTATGCAGGAATTTTGTGTATACCGGTGTATGTATGTAAAAATAAAAATGAGATTTTTTCTTTCCTAAAAAAAAAAAAAATTTGAATGTAAAATTCTTCTTATTTGATCAATTTTCACTCTTTAAATCTCTTTCTTATGCTTTTCTTTCTTCTTTGATTTCTCTGAATACCATTATCTCTTGTCAAAAATATATTAATATTCTAATTCATGGACATGTCTCCAAAGAGGGGACGATGAAATATAAAGACTTGAATTCTACAGGATCTTTTGAAAGATAGATTTAAAAAATAAACATAATTAGCTTATTAAAACTATTTGAAACACTGTGAATAGTAAAATAATTTAGTTATCTTCAAATATTAATATAAACATGGAAAAGTTTAGACAATTTGCAGATGAATCAACAGGTATAAATCCATATATACCGGTTTGGGGTCAGACCAAGACATCATTAATAAGAAAGATACTTGGAATACCGATTTTTATAGCAAGAACTGCCATTTTGTCTATTTGCTTAATTATGTTTGTTATTTTTTCAATGATAATTGAATTGATGTATTTAGATCATCTCAAAATAATCTTTTATTCAATTTTCCTGAATGGCCTTTCCAGAGTAATACTTTTATGTCTTGGATGTATTTGGATATCTGAGGATCTGGATAAGAAAGTATCATCAACATCAACGACTGAAAAGAAATCTAAGGTTACAAGAAAGGTAGTTTATGTGAATAGGCAAGGATTTTGTGATATATTTGTTTGTTCCTCAGTCTTAGGCGATCCAGAATATCTATTTATGGAAGATTCTGGGATATATTTGGCATCCAATTCTTTGAGTGCTTTGCTCTTTTCTATAGGATTAAGAAATATGAAAGGAATTACTTGTTTTTCTTCAGCAAGTAAATTGAAATCTCAATATAGTTTACGTCCTTTAGTTCTTTTTATGGAAGAGGCAAACACTAATGGTACATGTATTTTAGAATGGTGTAAAACTGAGAGGATTCCAGATACATCTGAGATGAGGGATTTGTTTGGAGAGAATTCTGAATCTATGGTTATTAAATATAAGACTAAATCTTTATATGGCCCCCAATTTACTACTGGAGACTCGATTAGCCATTTAATTAACATGCTCTCAAAGATTACCTACTTTGAGATTGATCTTAAAATAGTTTCTAGTGAAGTAATGAGAAACAGAATTACAAAAAAAACGGATGGATCTGGAGATAAAGATAAGAGTTACACAAACTTAAAAGATTTACAGAGAAAAAGACGTATTGATGACTTACTTTATAGTATACAAAATGTTCAGGGGAAATCTTCTAATCTTCCAATAGTAACTAGTGGGGCAGAAGAAGCTCGAGGATTTATTGATTACTGGGAAAAGACTAATAAAGGTAAATCTATCTAAAGTAGTATTAGTATTAGTATTAATAATAATAGTAAAATAGATGTTATCTGCTTAGAAGTATCAAATAGTTTTAGCATTAATGATATTATAGTTTAATAAAATTGATTTTAATATTAATTAATGAATTCTTACTTAATAGCTTTATCTATTGTTAATACTTCGAATAATACACTTTTCTATAGTCTGTTTTGTGTTCTTATCATAAAGAAATGCAAAAGTACAGGAGTCACATAGCTGACTTGGGTTTCTTGGAAGATTTACAGAGTTGAAAATAACCTTACTAACTTGGTTAACTCCACATATTTCACAAAAAGTAATAGTTCTGCTATGAGAGTAAATTTGTATAGGATAAGCATCTTTGTATGGGGAATCATAATTTGGATTAAATAATCTAATATTAGTAAAAGTTACTCTATGCTCACAATCACCAGAGTGAATATAACTAGAATGTGAGTTGATTGGAATCTTTAAGTGAGATATCTTTGTACTTTTCATTTCAAAAGTCCCAGGATTAGGTTTACTAGTAAAATCTCTTAAAGTATTAACAAAGCTTGACTTAATATCATCACTTCCATCTAAATATAAATCCCCATTAATCTCAAAACAATCTCCTGAAGGGTGAAATCCCAGTAATTCTTCTTCTTGTTTTGAGTCATGACATATAAATGAATCTCTCAAATCTGATAATGTTTGTGTATCCAGAATGTCAAATTCTGAAATCTTCATACCTCTTATTTGGTGATAAAATGAAACAGTAACAATAGTTGTCCCTTCTTTGACTCTTTCTTTTTCTGTGTCATTACTAATAGAATCAAAAAATCTTTTTCTTGATTGATAATGAGGTAAAACTATACTATTAACACTCACAAATTGTCTTCTTAATCTAGTACTTCTACATAGTCTTGTCAAATAATAAGAATTCCAGGAAATTTCTTTTCTTCTTTTTTGTTCCATTTCCTGTAAACTTACTAATCCAGACGGAATCCTTACAATTTTCCCAGGAATCCTAGACAAACGGTTTCTTGTAACTCTTGTTGGACTTAAATTCTTCAACCTTTCCAAAATAGCTGTGTCCACATACTTCATGTGCATATCTTTCTCCAAATCCAGCTCATTATTTAGCATTCTCTCAATTTCATCATAGTAAGTCTTTACTTGTATTTGATCTATTCCTTGATTTATTTCATTTTGTAATTGCTCATTCAAAATTGAAGAAGAGGTTAACTCTAAAAGAGAAGAAAGGATCTTGTTTGCTGTTTTTCCAAAATTATCAGTTGAATATATTTTCTCTGGGAACTCCGTCCTTATATATGCCTTTTTATAGTAACCAGTTTTATTATCCATATGTTTAATACAAAATCCTAAATTCAACAAAAACTAGACAAAAAATTAAACAACCAGTTCTTGTCCATTATTATAAAATCAACAATTTTTAGCCAATTTTTAACTGTTTATTCTTCATTATTCACCTTTATATTATTTGGATCTTTTTATGACATTAAATTCCAAAATTTCCCGCCAAAAGTACCGGCGCGTTGGCGCCAAAGTCATGTAGAGGTAAAGATGTCAGAAAAGAACTTGAATTAAGGGAATAAAAAATATATAAAGTGGATTCTAGGAAGGTTAATTTGGTCAGTGAGTTCTTATGAGGAAGTTAAAGTTTCATGAACAGAAGCTACTTAAGAAGGTAAATTTATATTCTTGGAAGAAGGAGGATAATGAAAGGGAAACAAAGATTTTGCGTAGGTATTATATTCAAGACCGAGAAGATTATACAAAGTATAACAAGTTATGTGGAAAGATAACCAAATTTGTATCTGGGATCAGGAAACTTCCTCCAGAAGATGAGTTTAGGAAAAGCACAAGTGAGATGCTTCTTAAGAAGCTTTACCATATGGGAGTAATTCCAACTTATAAAAGTTTGGAGGCAATTAGTGAGCTTTCAGCTTCTGCTTTTTGTAGGAGAAGATTGGCTGTTGTGTTGGTTCAGCTTAAATTTTGTCCAAATTTGAAGGATTCTGTAAAACTTATAGAACAAGGCCATATTAGAATTGGTCCAAACACAATCACAAATCCGGCTTTTCACATATCTAGAGAGATGGAGGACCATATTACATGGACTCAAGGCTCCAAGATTAAATCAATTATGCAAAAGTTCAATAATGAGTATGATGACTTTGACTTTCTTGGAAACTAAATGCTCTAAGTTAATTTATACATATATATATATACATATTTCTATGAATTTTGTTCCTCTAGCTACAAAAATCTATTAGTTTGTAGATGATACTTGCTTTTAACTTGTTATGAACTATCTCTTCTTCTTTTCCTTCACTTTGTGTTCTCAGTTTTTTTGGTTTCTCATTATTTTCGGCTTAAGAATGTTTAAAGCAACAATAAATAATTAAGATCTAGGTGAGGAGGATAGTAGGTAAAGGTAGAATCCTCAAAGTGAGTGAGATAAAGTCTTTAATTTTTCATTTTTCCATTAAGTATTATTAAAATTTAAATACCATGCTCCACTTTGAGCGCCATTTTTCTATCTGAATAAACTAGTCAATAATATTTCAGTAAATTAGATTTAGTAATGAATCTTTGGGAGTAAATTAAGAAAACGAAATCCCAAATACCTTCACAAAGCTCACCAAATATTTACTTTTATTTGTCAGAATTCAATTGTACTAAGTAAAAAGATGAACAAAAAAGTACTACCCAGAGCTATATCTATAGATTGTGAAATGGTAGGTTGTGGTGAAAATGGACATATATCTGTACTTGGAAGGATTGCTGTTGTAGATGATAAGCTCAAGTTACTTATGGATGCTTTTGTGAAGCCAAGTATGAGAGTTACTAATTTTAGAACTAAATGGAGTGGCCTTACTTGGGATCAACTTAAGTTTGGAGAATCGTTTGAATCAATTCAAAAAAAATTCCTTCAAATTGTGGAACATTATAGAAAAGAAAGCAGCTCAGGGTTGGTGTTTGTTGGCCATGATATATCTAATGATTTCCAAGTACTCAAATGGACCCCTCCAGAATCCGAAATAAGAGATACTTCTACTTATTTTCCTCTTAGAAAATTATTAATCAAATCTCTTTTAGAAAAAGGAGAAATCACTCGTTTTCAAAAGGAATGTTTTCTTAGACAAAAACCTTCTCTTAGATCCCTATCAAAACATGTCTTGAATGTAAATATCCAACAAGGATCACATTGCCCTTGGGAGGATGCCAAGTCCACTATGATGCTTTATCTAATGGTCAGAGAAAGGTGGGAAACACTCATATTTAATAAAAATATGATTGTCAATCCTCCCACAACTGGTGCTCTTAATAATGAACAAATTGAGGATTTGGGAGAAGTTGTTATACCTAATAGGACAAAAAAGAATAAAAAGAAAAAAGGAAGGAAGGGAGAAAGGCAGGTAATTATTAACAATAAATGATTTTCCCTATTTAGGAGATTATTTTAATATATTGAAAACAATCAAGTAATAAAAACTCTTTTAAATCCACAAATATAATATCAGCTTAAAAACTCTTTTCAAGTTTCAAACTCTACTAGCCATAACCATATGCATTATATAGGCTATATGAGTTTCCCGCCCAAATTTTTTTAATCTAAAATAATAATTTAAGGTAGAGTTTGGTATTTCATCTTTTTTTTTAAGAGATTTCAAAAGAACCAACTTGAGATTTCTTGATATTACTGATTAAGAAGTATGGTTAAACAATTTACGAATATACCGTTACCTGAAGGATGGGATCAAATTAAAGATGAGTTAGAGAAATATAATGAAATGATGAGGGAGGCCGAGAATTCTTCTTCTAAAGGTAGGAAGAAAAACGAATATTTGTGGCCAATTTACAGAATTAACCATTTGAGGAGTAGATTTATATACACAAAATATTACTTGGATAAAGAGATTTCCAGAGACTTATATGAGTACTGCTTGGACCACGGATATGGTGACAAAGACTTGATTGCAAAATGGAAGAAACAGGGTTACGAGTATCTTTGCTGTGTAAATTGTATTTCCACCTCAAATACCAATTATGGAACAACTTGTATTTGTAGAGTTCCTAGAGACCAGCTAGAGGAGGATATTGAGTGTGTCAATTGTGGTTGTAATGGTTGTTCTACTTAAGCTAAGACTGAGCCAAGCTTATTATAAACTTAACCCAAATTTGGGAATAAGTTTTGATGTAATTGGTTAATTAAAGACTGAGCTTTGAAGCTTTTGTATCTTTTTTATTAATTACTATTTGAACTACTCAATGCAAATATTTTCCTTTGAATTATGCCAAATAATCACAATTTTTTAGGTTTGGCTTTGCATCATACTAATTTAATATTTATTATATATCTCTCAATTAATTAAGCAGTTTTATTTATAATAAATCACTTTATTCTTTTCTCTTTCTCTATATCAATGTTATTTTTCCAGATCTCAATTTTATCAAGTTATATACTTTTTCACTTTTTTTTATCTTTAAGAGAAAAAAAAAAGTAACCGGTACTATATATTTCAATCACGGGTAACTAGGATCTAAAAATAACTGAAAAAATATAAAAATCTACAACTTTTTCCCCACCCTTAAAATAAGTCTCCCAAAAATAACGTATGTAAATACTTCACATACATCCAACAAATAACTCTTCTGAAATTTTTTAATTTACATTATATACATTATTTCCATTCTAATCAGAATTTTCTCCCACAATTACTGGTATATTCTTATATATAAGGCGCCAACAAATTCCCGCCACCCCTCTATGATAGATTTACATAAAAGTAAATGGAAGGAAAAGTAAAACAGAAACCAAAACTAGGAAAGATTTCAGGTAATAATTAAAGTTTGAATTGATTATATAGTTAAGGAAGCGTGTTTGAAGCAGATTATATGGAGAGAGTGACTCAAAAAGAAATTTAAATAGAGCAAGGATTAAAAGTGGAGGTTTAAAAGGAATAAAAGGCTTTCGAAAATCAAAGCAAAGAGAAAACTTGAAGAAATAGTGTCTGAAATCATTTTAAGAACTAAAAAAAGAAAAAGAACTACTGAATATAGAAAGAGTTAATTGTGTGTAAATATGCCACCAATATGGACAAAGTCTGATTTTCTTGAATTAGCTATTGGTGAAAATTGGGGAGTACCGTCAGATATATTAGGATGCAGTGGAGGATCATGGTATAGTATTAGTAATAGTGCAAAATTTTATCTCAGAGTTCTTGAAAAATTACAGAATGAGTATTTTTCAATGCGTAATAACTCTGGAATATCAGATTTGGAGAATTTAAGATTATGTTTAAATAGGATTAGAAACTCTGTCAGTTATATATCAGAGGAATTTCCGTGGTCAAGGCTTAAGTATATTTATGAAAAAGCAGTTCTAAGGAAATCCAGTCTGGATTTTAAAGAATTACATAGGTTTATTGTGGATACACTTTCAAAAGTTAAGAATCTTGAAAATGATCATTCTATAGTACTTCCAGGAATTGTTTGTTTGGATGATTTAAAGAAACCCATATTTTTACTTTATGTTGTATCTAGAAATGATTGTCAGCATTCTACAGGATTTGAAAATTTTAAAACAGGGACTAGTTTTGGTCAGAATATTGTAAGATACTCATTTTCTGTCATAAATGTCTCAGGATTTGGTACCGAATATCATTTATTTGGAAGTTCTTTAATGAGTAATAATCCAACATCTCTTATGAGAGATTCTGTATTTTTGATTACAGATATTCATACTGAAAGATTACTTCATTCTGCATTTTGGATTAGCTTATATAGATTATCTTTTGTTCCTTCAAAGAACAATATACACTATCTTTATACTGTTTTACTCCCTTTTTTGAATGAAAAGAATCTTTATGATAATTGGGTGAGAGAAGATCACAAATTTTCTAAAAACCTAGGAATAGGTAATATTTGGATACCAAATCCAAAAAGAAAAGATTTTGGATCTAGTAGTAGATTAGTACAGTCAGCTCTTCAGCTTCTTTTTCAAACTTATTCCATTTCAATTTTCAAAGGAATTAAACCAGAACAAAAAGCCAATCAGTTCCAGTTGTTCTTAAATTGGTCTGTTCTTAAACTTATGGAAGAAGATTTTAATCATTGCATTCAGAATTCAGATTCACTTTCTTTTGTTAATGCTTCCACTATTATCTCTGCATTTATAAAGGTTTTTGCTTGTGAGATTTCAAACTATTCTTTTGGTCTTTCTATTTCAGACATTAAACCAATTCATATTCAAAAAGAAAATGAACAAGAAAAAACTACAGTTTTAGATTTTTCTTTATTAGAAAGAAGAGAATCTTTGGTTTTATCTTCAAATAATGCCTCTATCCCTTTCCGTGAATGGTATGAACATTTAAGCCATTTTAAAACAAACTTTGAAAAGATGTTCCCTTCTAGTTTGTTTGGGTTTGGAATTGGTTCATGTACTTTATCTCCAAATATTGCATCTTATCCAATCACTAGAATTGGCTTACATTCTACTTTTGGAAATTTTGGACAGTTTAGACTTGATGGGCCTAATATAATGATGTTGGCAGGAGAATCTACTGAACCTAGTGTTGATATACCTATAGAATTGGATTCTATAGATAGAAGAATCACCTGTATTGAGGATGTTATTAATGTATTAGAAACCTGTATATCAGCATGTGTACTACTTACAACCCAATCGGAGACTACTAAAAATAGTCATTTACTCAAATTCAAATTAATTCAGCATGTATTTCAAGATCTTATTCCGATACCTCTCCCTTGGACACATCCTCAAAAGAAAGAGAGATGTTTCTGGAGTTTTGAACAGTCTAAACTTTTAAGATCTCAACAGGTTAGACTTTTGGAATTACTTTGTTCATCAATGAGACATTTTTTAGCCAGCTCATTTTCTATTGGATTTAATCATAAAATCCCTCAATTTGATAGACTTATAATAGCTGGTGCAATTTCATGTATTGCTGATAATATTGCAAGATGTTTTTCTTCTGATTATAGATCTCCATTATCAGTACATCTTACTGGTAGGCACCAAGGTCCAAAGAATTGGTTTTATGTGGATCTTCTTAATTTTCAAGAGATCACAGATTTTGGTATATATACAGATCCAAGTACCGTAACAATAAGATCTATGGTACTTGATTATTTTTATTCTACACATTATTATAATTCAGATGAAGCTTTAAAATTGATTCCAATATTTTCATTTGAAGATAAGCCTGGAAATTTGGATGAAGGGACTATAGAACTTTTAATGCAAATTTCTACAGAATTTGGATTTCCTCATCATTTATCTTTAACAAAAGAAGATCAAAGAAAAATGAAGACTTTTTCAATTCCATTGTTTTTTACAGGGGAGAGTAAAGAAATGATGGATATTGTTCCAGAATTTTACAGTCTTCGAGATATCTTCTTTTACTTAAAGTTTGTGATTACGTTAAGTCCTGAGAATTATCCAGAAATTTCGAGTTGGAATCCAGCAAATTCTTTTCTTAATTGGAGTTACAATTCTAACAAAGATTGTTATCATGTTAGAGGTTTTGAGAAGAGTTTGGAATGCATTTATATTCCTACAAAAGCTTTAGATACAAAACAACATAAAGGACTTTGGTCCTCTTTTACTGGTTGGCTCACAAATTCTGGAGATAAGAATTATTTCAAGAATTTCTCCAAATTAGCTGACCCCAGTACAATAATTAATACCTTTGATTCTCTTAGAAATACTCCAAGTGAATCTCTTACTGCATTAAATTACGGTTCTTTATCTTCAAATTCTTGCTCATTTTCAAATCAAAATCAAGTGTTAGTCTCAGGATCAAATTCAGGTATAGGCTCAGGATCAGGATCAGGGTCAGGACCGGTATCGGGATCAGGATCAGGAGGTTCTGAAAATTCAAGTTCTTCTGCCCATGGTTCATCCGGATCTTCAGTTTCAATAAGTGACGAGAGTGACATACTTTATCTAAAGAACCTTCCAGGACTTAGTGATCAGTTACTACCAAGTGAGATAGAGCGGATTTTTCAGTATTTAACTACACCTTATCTTAGGATACCCCTTCTTCTTCAGTTCTTTTCAGATGAAAACAGGATCAATTCACTTTCGTCGATATCAGTTCAGCATATTATTTGGATATCAATTTTAGAGCCTTGGCAGTGGTCTCCTCCTTCAAATGATTCTAAAAGAGGAGATTCTCAGACTAATTCTTCTCTTTTAGTACCGGTAGAAGATGTTAAAGAAATTTCAACATCTTCAGGTCTTTTATTTAACGAACTTTTGAGATCTCCTTCAACTATTTTTAAAGCTTTAGAGGAGTTAATGTTGATGGCTTTAGACAAAGATACAGGATCATTTTCTGGAGCAAACTCAAAGATTATTTTATTTGTACTTAGGATTTCAATAGTGATCTCAAATTATACCAAGTACTTAATTAGATATCACGACAATTGGAAAAATATGGGATTAGGAAAAATCTTACTATTAAATGGTGATCAAGATTCTATGTTTTCTCATCATGAAAAGAACTTTGAGATAGATTCTATGGTTGGGTCTTTAATTAATGGAGTATTTAGAGAATTTGAGGTTCTTTTTAAGGATGAAAAGCTTATTAACTTACTAAAGCTTTCGTATACAAGGTTGAGATATTTGATTGAGAATCTTTACTTAAAGATGATTATTGACTGGATGAGAAAAGCTTTAAAAGAGCTGAATATTTCTGCTTTATGTGTTTTATATGCTCACATTGCAAGTATCTATGGCCAAGTTTTTACAGTCCATGATTTGGATATTCATTCAGTAACACTTTTACTTTCTTCTTTAGTCTTTCTTACAACTCATTACTCTGTAGAGGAAGGTACCAAAACTGGTAAGAAGTTTTCTTCTTCCTCCAATTCTTCTTCCTCAACTTCTTCTTCTTCTTCTTCTTCTTCCTCCTCCTCCTCTGCTTCATCTTTTTCTTCATCTTCCTCATTATCTTCATCAATTCATCAGTCTGAGAAGAAATTTTCAAGCCTATTTATAGGTAGTCCTTGGGGTTATACATTGAATAATGTATTAGGGGTACCAGATCTGGATATATTTTCAATCCAAGCTAGATCAAGAAGTATTATAGTAAAATGGCTCTCAAATCATGTAAAAGAGGCCAATTTAGTGTTGGATACTGTAGTAAATGCAGTGGCCATGAAAGGAATTGGCGAGATAGATTACAATTTGGATCTTGATAAGTATTTTGAGAATTGTAATGGAAAAGGACTAGGCCCATCTATAAGAGAATGGATTCAACTTCCAAGTATAAGTGGTAGTGGTAGATTTGTTCCATTAAGTGAGATTCCTTCAGACTTATATGATTGGTTGAGTTGTGATGATATTGACTCTGTTAAGAATAAGATCAATTCAAGACTTGGATCTAAAAATTCAAATTCTAACAGATCATCTTATAGATCTCTTAGCTGGTGGCGTCTAAAAAAGAAATTTTCAAGAGCTTTACAAACAAAGAATCAGAGAAAGGGAGAAATCCGCTCAGATGATACACAGAAAGAAACTTCTAATTCCATTATGGACGGATTGGGAGGATTAGGAGGTATTTCTTCTCAAAATAGATACTTGAGTACAAGATTGGAATACAATGAGTGGTTTAAAACAGTTCTTTCAATTAATACAGAGACGGAAATTAATGTCCAGTTCTCGCTATTTTCTCTTAAAAATAATAACTTAAGGGTTCTTGGAAATTGGATCCATGAATTTGAGGATTTTAAAGATGTGATTAGGGAATCTGATGATTTCCAAGAGGAAGAAAGTTTCTCTATGGCTGGATTAGGAAACCAGTTTCAATCAGCAGATATAGCAAATACTCAAAATCTTTATTGGTGTAAACTAATAGGTAGTAGGATGGATTTGTACAAGTGGGAAGCCTTTCATAAGACAAATCAGGTTACCTTTAAGACAAGGTATAGTAGGAACAGCCTTCCAAAGGGTACCGAATGGATTATTGACATTTTTGAACCTTGGAGAGCCATTTTTCTGGAAGGAGTATCTACAATTTATATTGATGATGGAAATTCTGATTCAAATAATTCCAATGGGATCTTTGGATCTTTTAGTTCTAAGGATCAGGTTGGTGTTAGTGTGAAGAATAATATTTACAAGCCTCCAGATCTTTCAAATGTTGTGAGAATGCAATTTTTGTATCCTTTGTATGAGCCTGGAGAGGGTCCAGAATCTCCAAACCAAAAAATAGGCAGATCGGTAGTTTCCAGCTCTGAATTTGAGAGCGAGGAGAACATTCCTTCCCAGAGTCCCGAGATTGTGACTCACTCTCTTAAAGAAATAGTTATTCAGAGATTCCCTCCCGTGATTTTGGTCTTCGATATCGTTGAACAGGGTAGGCTCTACTATAAGCAGCTTTGCCACACCTCAAACATATCCTATAGTCTTGGATCCTTGAGTAATAGTAAGTTTATTACTCCACTTCTCTCAACCAGGGACTTTTATTGTGACAGGGGTGGCACTATCTCTGTAGGTTCTACAGTAGCAGGGCTCTCAGGGGGAACAGGAGCAGTGGGAGTAGGAATGGGAGCAGGAACAGCAGGATTAGGAGGAACAGGAGCCGGGGGAACAGGAGTCTTCTCTAAACTAGACTCAAACATGGATGGAAAGTTTGCACTGGCTTCTGGAATGCCTTTAAGCAGAGGGAGAAAGCCAAGTAGATCTTTGGTGATCATGAGAGATTACCACAAAGAGCCAGTTGGTACTGAAATGTATGTACCTCCAAGGTTTCTATTGGGGTTGATTCCGCAAGTATTCCTTGAAACTCACGAATTTTGGCAAAGCCAAAATACGGGAAATATTAGAGGGTACCCAAGAAAATCCTTAAGATCTTCTAAGGCTGAAAGAAAAGGTACTACTTCAAAGGAAGGATTGAGTGCCCAAAAAGATCTAAAAACAAGACAGGAACTAGACAAAGATAAGTTTGAAATTCAGTCTAAATATCAAGATCAGAACTTTAGGGATGAATACAAGATGCACGAGGAGGATCTTTATTTACTGGACATTTTTATCTTTTCTTGCTCAAATCCAGCTCAAAGATATGGATTAATAGGAGATGGAATTTCTTTAATACAGAGAAGATATATTAAAAATCCAAATAATGTACAGACCTTAATCAATCTTCAAACTCTATATGGGGCTTCAGGAGAGCTGCATTCTTTGTTCAATACTTTACAGAGATTAGATGATGTATCCCACACTCTTTTGTGGTCTAATGATAATCCCATAGATACTAAAGGAGTTATCCCTAGAGAGAATCTTTCTTTTGAATTAAAATTAGACCATATTGAGTTTCCAAGACTACATTTGAGCTTTGTGAGAAGAGAAAGGGATAGATCCAACACGCTTTTAACTATGCCAACCAATGTGAGCTCTGGATTCTGCTCAGGACAAGTAAGATATGTATGTGAACAGCACAGTGGACTTTATTTAAGTTGGAGAAATATATTTGACTATCCTCTAACATGTGAGTTGCTTAGAGGACTTCCTCACTCAATTCTTTTAGAAAATGATGATGGAGACTTCTTCATTTTGGCTCCTGCTACTGCAAAACCTGTATTAATTCCTCCTATTGGGAAAACAGCAGGAGCAGGAAAGGATAATAACTATAGTTCATCAACCCAGACTAAAGAACAAAATGTAATTGAACGCTTATCATCATCAGTGGGTAACACTGAAGGCTTATCTTCTTTAATTACTAGTACAAGCATTTTGAGTGAAAACATTGAAAGTATTACAGCTGCTCCTGGCCAATATATAGTTTCAATGGCTTCTGCTGCATCTCAGACTCTATTTCATACAGCAGTCTCAGCTTTAGCAAACGCTACAAAAAGTGTAATAGATGGAACAATTATTAAAGCCGGAGAGATCATTGGAGGAGGAGTAATGGTTGGAGGAGGAAAGGGAGTAGGAGGAGCAGGAGAAATAAGTGGAGGGATGGACGGAGGAGTTAACCGGGTTTCTTCGTTACTATATAGAGGTACTTACATTTTAGACAGAGGGGACAAAGTTTGGATCTCAAAATTAGGCCCAACTAAGCATCATTTATATCCAGTACATACCTCGAAATCTTTTATATTTATAAACTCAGTAGTTTCTGGCCTTTATTTGATGCTTTGGAGGTTTCTGGAACAACAGTTTGAGTCAGTACTTTCTGTATTGGATATTGCAACAAGTAGTGATATGGAAAGCTCAGTTTCTATGGAAGATGAATGGAATTCAGAAGAGAAGCAACTTTGGCAGGTATTTAATAGCCTTGATCACGCTTGGGATTGCCATCCTGATGCACATGCATGCAGACTTAAGATGTGGCTCTATTGTTTAAGACATCTCTCAAATTCATCATTTTCAAATACTAAAACTAAATACTTATCGTCTTCTTTAAAATCAGATGCATTCTTATGTACTTGGGATCTTTATCCTGATATTGAAGGATATGTGACAAAACTTGGGAATATCTCAGCAAATTGTAGATTATCTTTGGAGGAGGAGCTGGAAGTTTTGCAAGCTTTTCCCCATTTTGTAAAGGATAGTCCCGAATTAAATAACCGTCTTAATTTAGTGATTTCAGCTTTTGAAAAGAGGAAAAAATCTTCAAAGGAGAATTTAAAATCTTTTAAAGGAGAAAAGACAGGAGGTATTACTGAGACTGATCTAGAAATGATTGAATTTCAGCTTTTTAATCCTCAAATTCCTCAGATTGATGACTTTGATAGTTGGATGGATATTTCCTGTATTGGGATCTCAGAATCTGGAGGAGTTTCTAACATTAATAATCCTGTTTCCTCTTTATGGGAGAATCTTTCAAATACTATAGGAGCTTTGAATCTTCCTCCAGTAATTAATAACTCAGGAGGATCATCAGAAAGTGGATATTCTGTGGATTATGGGATGAATGGAACTCGAAAAACTTTTTCAAATGGACAAATAGGATACAAAAACGAGAGGTTGGTCTCAGGAGAAGATGCTACCGAGTTTTTAATCAAATTCTTAGGCAGATCAACCCTTTCAAAGATGATTTCCAGTGCAATTTCTGCAACGGTATCTGGAATTTCGGGCGGGGTGGCAGCTGCAGCAGCTGCAGCTGCTGCAGCAACAGCTACCAATTCTACATCATTGAACCAATTTGGACAAAACTTCCAAATTAGCACTTCTGGTGGCCCCCTTCCCATAGATATTCCTTTTGCCCAAAATAATTCGAGTTCTTTTGTCTCTAATACTGGAGGAGGAAGAGGAAATTCTCCAGTTTACTTGTCAGACTGGATATTCATCTACGAACTGCTTACAGGACAATTCCCCATGGAGGTACTTCCGGGAGAATCAACACATGTGTGGGGAGTACTTTTAGCAAGATCTCTTCCAGCTTGGGACTGGAAATCTCCAAACATCTTGGTTTCAATCTTGAGACTACTTATACTTAACCCAGGCTTAGCTTTAAGCTCAAGAATGCCACGCTTTTCAGAAGAATTGAAAAAGAATAAGCTTCAAATTGGGACCGTATTAAAATCTCAAGAATGTTTCCAAACTTTGATTAGAGATGCATCTTTGATTCTAACTCACGAGTATAAAACTGGAACTCTGGTTACCCATTCTAAATACTATTCAACAAATACTTCAAAAAGTTCTAAGAATTCAATTTCAACTTTCTTCTCTTCCTTGTTTACTCCAAGCGTGGGAAAAATAACACAGGAAAACTCAATTAAAGCCTGGACAATTTCTCCTGAGTCTCGTATATCAAGATGGAGTATTTCTTTGACTAGGGGGAATTATAACTGTGAAGAAAGAAAACTTGGATGCATTGGATCTTCTGGTTGCCATATAAATAAACAAGATCTACTTTGTTACTCAAGATCACCCATATATGCAGCTCAAAACATGGACAAATTTTTAATTCCAGTTCAAAAAGACCCAAATATTTCACAACCAAATATTAATAATAGTAATAAGCAAGAGATGGATCTGATTTATGATCTGCCTGGGATGCTATTCTCACATCCAATAAGCAAAACTACTATTGGGAAATCTTCTTTAGAGAGATATAGAAATGATATAAAAGAATACTCCAGTATGATTTCTAAGAGAAAGGATTTTTATATTTTAGGAATTAACTATCAAAAGCTTTTTTCTGCCTTTTGCCAATATCACGGCATAACAGAAACCGGTACTGGAAATGGAAATCGAAATGAAAGCGTGTTTTCAAGTGGAAATAGTTTTGAAACTAATAGTGAGAGAAAAAGCTCAGGTATTAGGTGGGAGGAGATTAGACAAGGTATTATGGACTTAAGGATGCTTTTGTTACAGCTCTATTTCAAGGACGGGCAATTCATAGACTCAGCTATATCAAGACTTAATGAAATTGCCAATTGTAATACAAAGATTATGAGCCAGGATAAGAATATCAGTAGAAATGAGAAGGATTGGTTTTTGTATTGGTCTAGCTGTTTTGGAAAGCTCTGTGGGAAAGAGCCAATATTGCATTTTGACTTCTTGGTCTCCCAACTAATGAGCTCAAATTCCCAAACTGATATTAAGAAATTAAGTCTATTTGTAAGCGATGAAGATATTGAAGTAATTCATTCACTAACTGCAGCTACTATGATGAGTGTAAATAGAAGATCTCAGGTAAGCAATGCTTTAATTCAGCTTAGAGATATTATTTGCTTCCTCTCTAGTATCCAAGATGAATACAGACTTAGAGAAAGTGGAATTTCTAGCCAAAATGGTTTGGCTTTAAATGTATCTTCTAATACTCAAAAAGGACTCAGATGGTTAGAAAGAAGTCTGGTTTCATTAGAAATGAAACTCAGAAATGTAGCTAGAGTGCTTTCTTCTGAGAGACATTATGTAAGACTAATGGATAAGAAAAGTGGAAAAGAGATAGTTTCTAAGCAAGATCTTGAACAATCCAAAACAGAGAATGTAGTAGCATTATATGATCCCAGATTTTTAGTCTTTGAGTTTGCTTATAGTATTTTATTAAGAAAAGATCAAGTGGAACTAATCCACAAATTATACAACTCTGCAACCAAAGGGAGGAGTATTTGCCATCAAATGATTATGGGAGCTGGGAAAACTACTGTTATATCTCCTTTGTTATCCTTATTATTAGGAGATTCCCAAAGATTGGTAATACAAATTGTTCCCCACGCTTTACTTGAGTTTACTAGAGATGTACTTAGATCTAGATTCTCTTGTATAGTCAAGAAAAGAATTCTTAAGTTCCAATTCAACAGGAATTCCATATGTACTTCTGAATTATATAGGAAGCTTGTTCATGCTAAAGAACAAAAAGCTATTATTTTGTGTCATCCAACTTCCGTTAAGTCCTTATTCCTAAAAACAATCTTTTTATTTAGGATTCTAAGGTACTGGAATAATGATATTGCTTCCTCTTCTGGACTTAAAATGGCTCTTAGGTATATCTCTATTTCTGCTAATATTAACAAGAACAAACTTGTTGGGATTCTTGATAAAGGAGGATCTTCTATTAAACAGATCTTGAAATTTGGGAGCTCTGGAAAAGATAATCAACATTCTTTAAAGGCTTTTAAAAAGAGAGAAATAAGAAATGCCAGATCACAGGAGATCTCATCCAAACTTGTAAGTACTTTAAGTAATGAGGATAAAGAGGAGCTTTATTTACAATACAAGAAAGAATTGGACTTATGTCTTAGAATCTTACATATATTTAAACATGAGTCTGTAGTAATTGTGGATGAAATTGATATGATCTTACATCCTTTAAAATCCGAACTTCATTGGCCTATTGGAGAAAAGATTCCACTAGATCTATCTGGTGATGTTATTTTCCCAGATAATACAGACGGAAATGATCATTTTGGATCAAGACAAATTCTAGATCATGAATATAATGGCAATAGTAATGGTTCTTATGGTACAGATTCTACAGGAATGAGATGGTTAATCCCGTGGTATTTAATTGAATCTTTACTTACAAAACCAAACCAGATTAGCCTATTAAGCAATGACCGAATGCTCAAAAGTGGTTCTGTAGTGGGTATACTAATAAAGATACAATCTAAAATAGAATCTGGGATCTCTAAAAGAAGTGTCCAAAGCAATCCTCACCTTGTATTCTTGGATGAGGAGTATTACGAAAAAGAGATTAGACCTCTCTTGATCCGCTGGATTATCTTTGTAATCAGATTACATAAGTTTTCGGGTCTATCTGACGAGCTTTGTGAACTCTACTTTAACAGTAGAGGATCATTAAGAACAGGAGTATCAGAAGGTAGTAATAATTTTGTTGGTGATGTTAATTTTAATATTAAAAGAGGATCTGGAGAAAATCCAAGAGATCTAAAAATGTCGAGCTTGATCTCGAGACTGGACCAATTAGATGACTTAAGCATGAAGCTTCTCAATCTAAGTAAGGACTGGGTAAATGAATACCTTCCTCATATCTTCCAGCTTGTTCATAGAGTATCATATGGTTTGTTGGATGAATCTACATCTGGAGTATCTAGAAGAGATTGGCTGGGACGAAGATTTCCAGATGTAGGCACTGGCCAGTCTGCATTAGTAGGAAGTGAGCAAACTCCTCCTCTAACCAGACATTTACTTTCCATTCCTTTCATTGGAAAAGACACTCCCTCTATAGCTTCTGAATTTAGCCATCCAGATATAGTAATAGGTCTGACCATTTTGTCATATAGATACAATGGACTTAGGAGGAATGATATCTACCATTTACTAAATTCACAAAAGAGATCTTGTGAGAGTGGATTTGGACAACTAAAAGACAGACCTAGTGTTCTTGAATTTAACAAGTGGGTAAAACTTTCAGGAGGAAGAGTAAGAGGTACAAAAAGAGATCAACTAAAAAGTATTATCTCCTCCTTACATTCTAATCCTCAAAATTCAGCTAAGAAACATCCAACTCCTGATCTAATTAGTAATTTGGAAAGCCCTAGTAGCCAAACTATAAAAGGTAACCAGAAATCTTCTCAAATATCTCTTCAATGTTGTCGGGCGTCACAAATTGATCAGATATGTTTACTCTGGCCATTAGATGTGATTAATTTGGAAGATCAAGAACAATTGGAACAGCTTTATGGACTTCTTAGACTTCAACCTTTAGCTATTAAAGCCTTCTTGGGAAGATTAGTATTCCCAGAGCTGTTGGAATATAGTGAAAAACAGCTTTCAGCTTCAGGCCAAGAAATTGGCGGGGAAATGCTTTTCTCTACTAGGCTTGGATTTTCCGGTACTCCTAGTGAATTACTTCCAGTAGAACTTGGAAAATGTGAATATGAGAAGGGAAGTGATGGAGAAATGATTCATTATCTTACTAATGGGGCAATAGTTTCTTCTATAGAGATTTTAGATGTTGACTGGACTGTTAGAAATTTCTTGTTGGATATATGTACATGCAGAGACAAGGAGGTGCATGCATTAATAGATTCGGGAGCTTTCATTACAGGATTATCAAATGTACAAGTTGCAGAATTTTTACTTAGAAATGGTCTTAAAGATATTGATGCAGTTGTTTTTATTGATGAAAGAGATAAACAGATGATCATGTTAAGAGATGGATTTAGAATTATTGAGATCTCACAATGTGGGGTTTCTTTAGAAAGAAGATTTGCTTTTTATGATCACGTTCATTCTATTGGACAAGATATTAAACATACTCCTCTTGCTAAGGCAATTCTTACAGTAAGTAAGGATATGGTTTTTAGAGACTTTGCACAAGGAGCATACAGAATGAGACAACTTGGGCAAGGACAAACAATTCACATAGTATTACAGGCTCAAGTTGCTGATCTCATTGAGAAAAATGCTTTAATTTGCAGGATGATTTCTGAGAGGAATTTATTCACAAAATCTGATGGATCATGTGGAGATTGTAGAAACTTGATCTCTGATTCATCTGATTTGATTTCTTTAAGAGGCAGTTTTGGAATTCCTAATCCCCTTTTATTTTTAAGATGTCTCTGTGGTTGGCTTCTTATTCAAAGTATAACTAAAGAGTTTGAACAAAGCCAACTTCTTTGTGTTCAGTCTTTAGAAAATATTTGGAGGAAAAAATCTTTTAGAAGAATGGTGAATGAGCATGTTCAGTGGGAGGAGGACTGTAACTCTAATAGAAAAGAAGATAAGTTGGTTGATGTGTTTGTTGAGAAGCTTTCCTTTGAAATTCCAAATACCATTCCATTCAACGTTTCTATTAAGGACCAACTTAGAAGCAAGCTTTTGGAAAATCATGATCTCTTTGTTAAAGACTCTGGATTCTCTGCCTCTGGTGTTAATTCTTATACCGAAGTTGGAGGATCTGAAGGCAGACTAGCAGATGATCTTCTTGGACAGCTTGAGGAAATGAATCTTTACAGAGGTCACCAAATTGAGAGAGTTGGTGGATTTGACCGTGAAATGGAAAAGGAACTTGAAATGGAAATGGAGATCTATCAGGAACGAGAACTAGAACAGGAAAAAGAGCAGGAAAAACAGCAAGAAAAACAACAAGAAACAGAAAATGCAAATCTTAATATAAAGTGGGCCAAACCTAGTTTGGATGTAAGCCGAGATTTCTGGCCATTTGAAGCTCTTCTAGATGGAAACACGATGCTTGTTCTTGGGGTAGGAGCTGGAAATGGAACAGGGTTAAAAGTTGGTACAGAAGCTGGAGACAGAGCTGGAAGCGGATTGGAGACAAAACAAACTTCGAGTAACATCACAGGTAAGAAAAAAATAGAAGATCTTACACCTTTTGCCTTCTTCATGACTTCAAAAGGAGGTGGAATCCATCGTCAGGCTTCTAACTCTTGTCAAAATCTGGAAAAGATCTTTCTCCCTCTTAGTGAATATAATGTAGTGAGCTCCACAACAAACAACATTACAGCTTCCATTGATTTCCCAAACCACCTGAGATTTACATCAAATCTATATAATCCAAACATCGCGAGAAATTACTCGAGCAATTCAAACATCCAGCAAAGGCTCAATAACTTAAACATAATTATAGAGTGGGAGACTCAATCTAAATATGATGATGGGAATTCAATCAAAAATAACCTCCCCAAGGACTATCTTGTTCAACTTAAAGAAGCATTTGCAGTATTTGATGGAGATTCTTCTGGAAAAATCAGTCTGGACGACATTCCTGATCTTATTAAAACTCTTAATTGGGTAGAAAACGTGAATTTGTTTGAGAAGGAGATACTTAAACATCTGCGACTAAAACTGAAATTCAAGCCAAAACCGAAAATAACAAGCCAAAATAACATTAATCTCTGCAAAGGAAAAGAGTTTTCTCTTTCTTTAAATGAAAAAGATAAGATGATCAAAACTGTAAATAACTTACTCAGTGTTGAAAGTGAATTTGATATTACTGGTAATAAAACTGTAGGTGAAATAGAATCTGGAGGAATATTGCCACAGGAAGACATACTAAACTTTATTAATGACCACCCTTGGGAGAACTCAAGTAATAACATGGAAAATGGTAAACTTATGGAGATGGATTCCAGTGAATTAATCTTGGAGAGTAGTTACCTTCAAGAAGAAGAAAAGAAGATGAATATAGACTTTGAAGAATTATATGATGTTTTAAATTCTGTATTAAATACCAACTCAAACAAATGTTATATTGGAGTAACCTTAGAAGAAGCTCAATCTATTAGATGGCTTATGCATAGAATATGCTCAGATTGTGACAGTGGAGAAACTCTGAGAAAGAGATTAAACCCAAATATGAACAAATTATTTAGTATTAAAATTTACCATCTCTCTAATACTCTTCTTTTGTTGGATGAGATGAATAATAAAATGATATCCCAATTGTACAATAATAATAATAATAATATCAAGAAACCAATAGATTTCCTAGAAAGAGGAAACCAGGGAATAATACCAAATACTGTAGATAATAATGAACAGGAAAATAATATTGAAAAGATTAACTTGTTGGAGCTACAAGCTCAGTCAATCTACAAATTTGTAAACTCTGAGAGTATTTTCACAAGACAAGAAATGAGTACTGTTGTTAGAACTCTTCAAAATAGCCATTGCAAGCTCAGGAAAGACTTTTATGTGAATATTAGAAAATGTAGAAGGCGTAAAAGAGAAAATGAAACCAATTTCTTGGAGAATAATAATCTTTTATCTGTAATATTCACAACCCCAAATGAATCAGCAATCCTACAATGTAGAGGATTAGCAAGTAGGTTATCTTCCCGACTGGATAAATACAATATGACCATAATAGACTTCTTTAAAGCATTAGATAAGAACCAAACTGGAACCATCTCATCTGTATACTTGTATGCATCTTTGGAGTCACTAAAAATAGCTCCTAATCCTCTGGATTATTCAAGGATTATTCACTTTATTTTTGGAAATAATCAACCAGACTTTGGAGGAGACTTAAATTCTTTTTATCATATCCCAATTTCTCAAGAAAACTTTATAAAAGCTTTTTCTACTAATAGAAGCTGTAATAGTTCTTTTAATTGCAAATCAGAAGAAGAAAGCTCAGTACCAATAAGTAATAATATTGGAATGTCAGTTATACCAAAAATAGATGAATCTATTATTGCTCAAGCTGAAATAAAACTTAGGAATAACATAAACATTTATAGAGATTCTTTTAATGATGAGCTCAGATTTGGAATAGGAGGTTTTCAATATTTTGATTCCGTATTTCTTTCAAGACTGAAATGTAAGTTGAATCTTCATAGTAATTTCCAAAAAGTCTTTGAAATTCCTGGAGTGATAACCATTTGGAACCCAGATCAACTGGAAGGAAAATACAGAGGTGTAATGAAAAAGAATAAAGAAAGAATCTGCCTTGGACAATATGGAAGTGGAAACTATGGTAGTATTAATGGAAACTTTCAGTCTCAAATACTTGAAATAACTGATAATAACTCTTCAAGTATGTCAGAAAGCTCAGAGCTGAAAAAGTTTATTAATATTGTTTTTCCGAATCCAAAGAAATTTAAACCAATTTTCAGAGGATCTCTTTTAATACCAAATACAAATATGGAAACTGGAATCTTCACAATATGGAAACCTATTCCTCCATCAAGCCAATTTGTATCATTGGGAGTTATTGTAACAAAAGGAGACGAAATTCCTTCTTTAAATACAATCAGATGTATTCCGGTCCATTGGTGTAGAATAGTCAATTATAGAGATTTACCTTGTATTGGATCCCTTTACCAGAAACAAACATCAGGACAAATTATTAATGAAAATAAAATATCTAAAGCTGTAATCCACCCAGTATCATTTTGTCTTACATCAAATTTGCAATTGCTTGGAGCTGTAGTTAATATTAAAAGTCATGGCCACTCTGAAAATACAAACGTCTCTGGATCTTTTATAAACAAAGACCAATTTCTCCAAATATATAATAAGCTTTACATCCCTGCAGATGAAAAGATTGCAAGTATTCTCAATTATCGTGAAGTGTTGGATAGAAATACCTTGTTTTCAAGACTATTCTGGCTTGATATAGCTTACTCTGAAATTTCATTCCACTATATCGATAATAATTATAATGATAACAGTATTAACTTTAAAAATAATGAAACAATGGGTCCTCAACAACCCAAATCCATCCCTCAAATCATTCACTGCTCGTATTTGATCCCCCAAGTTTCGAATAAAAAGAATCAAATACCTAGCCAAAACCCAATTTCACTTTTTGGGATTTAATTATATTCTTTCAGGCAAAATCCGAATAGAAGGATCTCTACTATCGCAGAAATCCTTATAATCACATTTACATGGATATTTATAGTGACTTTCTTTATACTTCCTTAATGTTATTGAAACTCTTCTTTTTCTCTGCCAAACTTTTCCCTTTATTTTGTCAAATTTTCTAGACTTGATTCCATGCTCCCAAGCATACCTTATCTCATTTTGCATGATATATAAACTATTTTCCGGCACATATACAGTCCATTTTCCCACCCTATCATATTTTCTGGCCTTATTAAATTCACCAGAGAGGCTTTTATTTATTTTTAGTTCATTAAAGTCAAACAGAATCCCACTTCCTAAAGATATAACAGATATATTTTCTCCTATTGTATGGTGAGAATCTATATGATTTCCAATACCTTTTCCTACCTCATATTCATTTATAGTAATTTGGTCTGGAATCTCCATGATTAATTTTAATCCTACCATCCTCTCTATTAAACGGCCTAATATACATGGAATGTCTCTCTCCCATACAGAACTTATTATTTTATTATTATAATCAAATGAGTAACCATAGTGTTGAACTCTGCGGTTTAATTTAGTCTCCCACTGACCATTATTGTCAATCCAGTTCAATAATTCTTGTGCTTCTGACTCGGAAATAAAATCTTTTACCAAAATCAATCCTTTTTTTTCCAAAAATTTCTCATTTTGTTCGTAATCTTCCTCCTCAATTTTCTTACACCTTATTTCCACCCTCTCTGAATAGTCTACTTTTATTTTCCTGCCACCAATTAACATAGGTGATTCTGCATGCATTTGCATGCAATGCTCGTAAAATCGTATTGAAGCGGGCAAATTGGCAAATAATACAAAAGAATTTGAATTTTCACCCAAATGAAATTCTTTGACTTCTCCAAATGCTTGAAGCTCTTTCAAAAGATCTTTCTCTGACCCAAAATAACATTTACGACCGAGATTTGAAATGTGAATCCATTCAGAAGGACCCTTGGACCTCTTATAGTTGTAAATAACCTCCCCTGCCATATTTGACATATTTGCTTTTTTATATCTTTTCTTCTTGGCAAATTAATTAATTATTAATTTTTCTTGGTTATTAAATTTCCAATTTTGCCTTTATGCGCTAAAATTTTGCGTAAAAAAATCATCCGTGATTATATATTATTAAAAATTAACAAAAAGTTGGTAATGTGGCCACTAAAATATCAAAAAAAGATTCAGAGCCAAAATGAGCAGGAAAGACTGCGAAGATGATGATCGGGAGCTTGAGAGGCTCTTAGAACATTTGACTCTTCAGAACGACGCATTTTCATCTTCCAACAAACTTCTAATGAGTTATTACAAAGCATTGAAAACTCAAACTTGCAATATAATGAGTCTAATTAAGGCTTTAATATGCATCACTAATCCAAATATCTCATATCGAGAAGACGAAGATTTCGCTCTAATTGTAAATGAATGCAAACTTAAATGGGTTGAATCTCTTTATGATTTCTTAAACATTACTGAACATGATTTAGAAACTATCATAATTTCACCAATTTTGCATTCTAACTCATTATCTGAAGCTAAATTTGAGCTTAAAATGAGTCTTATAAAGTCAGAACTGAACCTCACAAAAGATTTGATCTCTAAGGCCTTCTATACAAATATTATTGGATCCTTAAACCTTATTCATGATTCAAAAGGAATACGTGAGTTTATTCTTGAAATTTTGAATCTTTTTAAGGCACAAAAATCTGAAGATTCAGTGCCAAATAACAAACTTTTATTCAATTTATTTCTTGTTAAACTCTTTAATGGCCAAAATTCTGAAGAAGCTATGCTAATTACCAGCAACAAAAATGAAGAATCTTCACAATTCTTCAGTGAAAAACTCAACTTTGTAGACCTTTCCAAGTACTTTTGTTTTGACAAATGTATTCTATTTAACAAATTTAATCTGAGATTCCTCGTTTATAATAGTACAGGCGGTCTTTGTTGGTCTGATAGAATCTGTGATATGAACACCCAGTTTCTCCAAGATTATTACTTCCTTTTCAAATTTGATAATCCTAAGAGAAAGCTCATTTTTAACATTATTTCATCATTTAACCAATTTATCTCAAATTTTATCATAAACTCCGTTGACGCTTTAAATATTGACCGATTCAATAATAATAGTGCTCTAAAACTTAGTCAAAACCAGCATTACGAACTTCAAAGCAAAAATAGCTCAGTGTTGGAAAGCAAATATTTAGAACCTTTAAGTCCAATGGAAACTTTTAATACCATAAATGACGTTCTCTCCTCAAGTAACTCACTTCTAAGCACTTCCATTATCAAGCCTGAAAATACTGATCATTCAATTATTAATTCAATAAATACATTTACATCATGTGTATCTCAAGAAATACAACTAGATAAAATTGATATCTCCTCAAATCAAATTACCAATCTTTTGGATAACAATTTACCAATCCTCCAAAGGTCAGACTCCAATACCACAACTCTTTCAGAATTTATAGGAGAATCCAATAATTACCTCATACCACCTTCTGAGCCTCAAAATAACATCAATATTGACTTTTTCTATGAAAATGATCTTCAATCTCATGAGTGGGTTCTCTTATAGTTGCTTTTTAAATTTATCAAATTTTTTTCCTGCATGCACCACCCGATATTGTGGGGTGACTATTTTTCGTTTTTAGGCGCCATCCATGTGGATCTATTAATGACCGGTGAATGCATGTAATTTACTGACAATGAAATGGAATTAAATGAGTGAATAGGGAAATTAAATTATAATTATTAAAAATTTTTCAGTCAGAGTTGGATTTCATGTTATTGAATTGATGAAATTAACTGAAGTCCATTAAATATATAATTCTGGGTTGAATATGGAAAACTGAAATAATTTAATGAGTTTACAAAGTGGAAATATATGAAATAACCATCATAACTGTCAATTTTGGTAATATGAATTTTTATTAACAAGAGAAAGAGGATTTATTAACTATAGTCAAATTTTAGAAATGATAACCAGTTTGGTTGAAATCTTGGATCTCCCAAGGAAATCTAAAACAAGCTACAGAAAAAACGAAGATATTGAAAAGCTTTTTAAAATTGTTAATGAATCAAAAAATTCTAGATCTTTGTTAAATGATAGAAATTTTGGAATGAACAATTCTGAAGGTTCTTACAAAGAGGCTGTTGAATCTTTGTTAGAAATCTGTCGTTCTTTAATGCGCCAAGGAGATAGTCTTTTAGCAATAAAACAAGTAAAAAGATTTCTATTTACTGAGCCTAGAAGTCTGGAGTCTCATTCTTTTATTTCTTTGCTTTATATGAAGATTGGTAATTACTTTAGAAGCTATGAACATATAATGGGTGTGAGATTCATGACTAATGATTGCGATTATGATGCAAAAATAGCTTCAGGGTCAATTTTGGATACATTAATTTTTCAGATATGTAGGCTTCCCTTAGGTCTTAAGTCAAAATCCTTAATTGGTTTCAATTTTGATGACGAACTTCCATTTGATGAAAGGAAACTTGAATATATTTATCAGTATAAATTGGAAAAGTTAAATTTGCCACCAGGATTCTCCCCCACAACTTTGGACAAGTTTACAACTCCAATTTCAACTAGCCAAATAAATGTCGGTGATCTTGTACACGTTGAGGAACCCTACGCTTTAGCACCAGAACTACCAAGTGACTTGAGTATACAAACAACATGTTTCCATTGCCTGAGAGAAAGAGAAGTTTATGACCATGCTTTTAGCTGTTCTGTACATCCAAATACTTGCCCATTTGTATTTTGTCGTTGGGAATGTATGGTAAAGCACAGCAGACGACATGAGCTTGAATGCGAATTTATTGGAACAATCATTGTAATTTCAGATAAATCTGGGCTTCCTGTTTCTTTCCTGCTTTTAGCACTCAGATGTTTAATTCAGACTCATTTGGACTCTATATCACTTTTAACTAAGACTGAAGGGGTCTCACAAAAATTACTAGATTTTCCGTCATATTCAGATATTATTGAAATAATCTCCCCAGATTTCCTTTCAATCTTTGATCTAATAGCTGAAGAGTTTACTAATTTAATTCCAATACACTTAAGACTGTATTTTTCAAGAAAAGAGCTTAGAACATTTCTAATCACATTATACTCTAATAAACTTCCTATAACAGTTACTTCAGCCTCTTCTGCTTTTAATTCATCCCCAGTTCCAGTTTCAACAGGTCTTGGATTTTTTGAAAAAGCTAGTAAATTCCAGCACTCATGCATTCCGTCTTGCGTTTATTATATGAATGGTGAAAATAAACTATGTATTCGATCTGCTTATAATGTACCAGAAAATGCAAATCTAACTATTTCCTATATACTAGATCTTTACCAGCCAACATTTAAAAGAAAATCAATCATAAACAGTCTTAAGGTTTTTGCATGTATGTGTTCTAGATGCCTGGATGATTCAGAAAACGAATTATATTTGGAAGGTATTAGATGCCCATTCTGTATTACTGGATTTTTTGTTCCTTCTCCAATTTTTAAAAAATCAGAAACTTTAGAGTCACCTGTTTCTCAATCAAACTTAAGAGGGTTCTTCAAAAGTTTGATACCAAGGAAACCAACCACTTTTACAAAAGAAAAAATAGCTAAAGATAATATTGTTTCTCCTGGAGCCAAAATTGAAGAGAAAATAACTCCTGATATTAAGACTCTCTGTGAAAGAGCTAGAATTAGTTGCAAATCTGGCAAAGTACAAATGAGATGGAAATGCAATAATTGTGGTGAATTCTCCAATCAATTAAGCTCTTTTTGTGATGAATTGGTTTCAAGAATGGAAAAACATTATAATTTAGCAATTAATTCTTTCAATGATGGAAAAGATATTGAAGCCAGAAAGCTTTTTGAAAAATTCGTTAATAATTATTCTCTTATTACTCATCATAATCATTATTTGTTATATAATTCCAGGTCCCATTTAGTTGGTTTATATAATTTCTCAAATTCCAATGATTCTAAAATGTCTTATAAATATTGTAAACCAATCATCGTCTCATCAAACAAAGTATTTCCAAGTTGCCACCACGAGAAAGTTCATTTATTTTTGAATATGGCTGATATTATTTATAAAAAAGAAATGATTCAAAAAGTATCACAAAGAGGTGTTTTCAATAATTCCAAAGATTTAATTATGGAATGCTCTTGGTTATCCTTATACAATAGTATGGTGTGTTATGGACCAAAAAGTCCTATATATTATTATTGTTTATCAAGAATGCGTCTTTATTCATCTATTTTGGGAGTAATTACACCACCAAGTAACATGAGAATTCGTATATCTTCTATTGATTTGTTCTCAAAACTGAATCGCGATATTCTTGGTAATAGTACTATTTCAAAAAGTGCTGATTATCTTTCAACATTATCTGAATATAGTGCTCTCTTATTTATTGCTTCAATTAAAGGACATTTAATGGATATTGCACAATTATTAGTTGGTCAAGTAAAAGAAATATTGTTAAATCAAGTAACTTATTTACCAACAGGATTAAATCTTCTTGGAATGGCTGCAAGTAATTTAAGGGATGATGTTTGTGCATTATTATTAGAAGAGGGGTCTGATTTATTCTTTAAAAATGAGTATGGAATTACACCAATACATGCTTTATGTACATATCCAGAATTAGAAGAGGACGATCTTGATATTCATAATGATAAAAAAGCTGCAATTATAGCTAGAGATATGATACGTAAAGCTATTAGTTTAGATATGGCAGATAAATCCGATTCTAAAAATCAAAACAACTCTGGGGAAAATGAGTCTGATGTGGGGAAAAATGCATGCATGAAAAAAATGTTTGCATATACCGGCAAGTCAGGAGAAAAAAAAATGATAGAGCGGGGCTCTAATAGATATAAATTATTATATGGCAAAACAATTAACTGGTTAGGATCTAATACGCCATTACATATTGCAGCTTTTAAAGGTAGAAAATATTTATGTTCAGAATTAATACATGGAGGTACAGATCCAAATGTTGAGAATATTGAATTAGCAACACCATTGCATTTGGCTTCATTAGAAGGTCATTTAGAGACGGTTGATATATTATTGAAATGTGGAAGTGAATTAAATAAGGAGAATTATCAAGGTAATACTCCATTATTATTAGCAATTTATGGTTTAAAATATGATACAGTACGTTTACTATTAGATAAAGGAGCAAATTTAAGTCATAGATCAGATACACTTAAAATGAATGCAATGCATATGCTAGCTTTGGGATTATGTTGTAACACAACATTGAGTTTTCAATTACCAAAAAAGTTGGATGATTTACCATTAATATCACATAATGGATACAATAATAAAGATTTAAAGACTTATATATATTCAATGGGATCACCCCATACAGGTTTTGGAAATAATTCTTCAACAAAAGTGTTATCTATTCCAATACATACTCCAATTGCAGAGTTTTTATATATTTCACCAAGAGAAATGTTAATAAGATTGAGGAATTGCTTTGATATAATAACATTCTTAACCTGTGCATATGATCTAAGCCCAATGTTTATACAAAGAGATTTGAATGGTTATACCCCTTTTGAATTGTTAGATTCATCATGGAATGATTTTTTGAAATTAAGAAACGAATCTCTATTAAGTCAAGGATTGTGGTATTCGTCTTTATCAGAAGAGGATAAAATATCAACGGAAGAGTTATGGTCTCATATAATGCAAAGGGTGGAGAAATTATTGGAGAAATTCAGAGTAGAAGAGAATATTTATGATGTAAATGATGATGATCCTGATTTAGAATTACCATTACCAAAGAAGGAGTATAGAGGAATTCCAGAATTGGAATTACCAAATAAATCTGAGGATGATAATGAATATTTGGTAAGAAAAGGATATATGGAACCAATAGTCATGAAAAAACCATATTATGGAAATTATTCAATAGGAACAGATTCTACAATATACACTCCTGGATATATGGGTGGCAATTTCCAAATTAGAGAGTTAAAAGAAATAATAATGAGGAGAAGGAAAGAACATATGGAAACAGTGTTAAAGAAAGATAAAACGAATAAGAGCGGAAATGTATATGGCAAGATGATGCAATCATCAAATAGTAAATCTATTTTGGGAGTCGGAAAGACTCCAAGTTTATTAAGTCCGAGAACAACTGAAGGTAAAGCATTGGAAAGTAAAGTATCAAGAGCCAGTACAAAAATAGGTGGTTTATCATCAAGTTCACCTGTTTCAAGTTCATTATCTCCAGGAAAGAAGGATTCAATAGTTAAACATGAGTTTACAAAAATAAATACAATCAATACTTCTCCAAATCAGCTAATTTCTTTAAATAAGAATAATGCAGATTCTACCCCAAAAAAATTAGTACTGAAAGCTGTTTCAAAGCCAAATGATTCATTATCATCTTCTCCCCCGAAAGTTATCATGAAGACTCCAACTGTTGGAGTGACACCAAAGCCATTAACAGTTGGTGCAAAGCTACCAGGAGCTAAATTAGACTTATCAAATGTTAAAGTAGCAATGCCAAAGAAAATAGAAATTAAGACAAATTTGATTCAACCAAAAACCGTAGCAAAAATAGTCGTAAAATCAAAATTGGTTCCAAAAAAATTGTAATCATGTGGATTGTTTCAGAGATAATATGAGAAAATTTAATATAATTTTTTTATCAAACGGATAAAAAATACGGTATTATATTTTTATTGATTAGGTAGGGTTTAAAGGTAAAGTAGAAATGAGGTTTTTAATTAATTAAAAATATTAAAACTATATGAAATAATTAACTATTTTCTAATTATCCTATTCTTTTCAATTACCTTTTTCTTCATTTATTATTAATTCTTTTTAATATTACATGCAAAAGATTTATAGAAAATGTCAGGCGCCGACTCTTTGGCGCCAAATGTGGGAGTGTATTAGTAACTAAATTAATATAGAAAAGGAGCAGAGGGGGAAAAATAATAGGTAAAGGCCATATATATTGCAATGAATGGAATCGATGAAAGTTTAGAGTTTCTACAGACTTTAAGGTATGGTATATTAAGTAAGAACTTATTCTTAGAGTTGAGAGGCATAAAGGAATTTGAGGATCAATTGGGAAAGAGAAGGGGTCAAGTTGGGGTATGGATAGAATATGTATCAAAGATAAGGAGGGATATTGAGGTTACTAGAGATGGTTTGCATCATGAAGTTGCATATATGATAGATAGAACTGAACTAAATCAAGAATTAGATGATTGGAAAAATACAGAGATGCAGAAAAAACAAGGCATAGATGATAGTAATCTTGAGTTGATGTACAAGCAAGATTACTGTTTGTTGATATTAAGGAGGGCATTATCTTCAACTAACAGAAGAGTATTGTCTATATGGTTAGAGTATCTTAGTTTTATCGAGGAATATGAGAATTTCATGGAGACCAAGTTAGGTAAGGAGCTTATAGGGTTGGATTTGAGCAATGAGTACGAGAATAGTCTAAAATCATGTAATGATTTAGATCTTTGGCTGAGATACAATGCTTATTTATGTAAATCTCGGTTAGAGCTTACCAATTCTCGCTTGGTTTTGGACAGAAGTTTGAAGAGTTTGCCTATAGAACAACACCATAAGATATGGGAGAGGTATTTAGAATATATAATGGAAGTGCAAATTCCAGAACTCTCAATAAGCGTTTTAAGGAGGTTTTTGATATTTTCATATGTTGAGGGAATTAGAATGTACATTCAAGCTTTGATAGATGGAGGTAGGTATGAAGAATGTTTGGATAGATTGGTAGATGTAGTTTTGGAGAAAGAAGGAAATTTGAGAGTTCAGGAGACTTTTGAGGGTTTGAAAAAAGGATTATTAGTTGGAGGAATCAATTATAAAGTTAGTGAAATGGACAGCTTAATAGTTTTGGTTTTGGCAATCATTTCCGAGTATGTTTTAAAAATCAACCCAAAGAAAATTATTGAATATACAATGAATTTAATGCTTAGGAAACTGAAGACATGCGATGGCCGTGTTTATCAGGAAATCATTGATGAAGAAGTTACTCAGGAGGATAGAAATACACATAAAGGAGGTGCCATATTTAGGCTTACTTTCGGAGAGGTTGTCTGCAAAGTAGCTCAGATTTTTATGAGACTAGCAGATTGGGAACAGGTAAAAAGTACTTTTAACTTTGGAGTTGAAAATTGCCATTTTGTTTACGACTTTATCACAATTTATGATTCTCTGATGATGTTTTCCACTATCCACTTGAGTAGAGTTTTAAAGTCTTCTCAAAACTTAGATTCATCCTCATCCCCAATGGATGAAGATCCCCAAGAAATCATTAAAAAGAGTATCTCGGATTTAGAGAGGGTCATAGAAGAACACAAAAGACTTCTATTTAGGACATTGGTTAAAAGTGATACAAACAATGTCTCTAGATGGATCGAGTATATTAATGTATTGATACAGGAAGAAACTAAGGAAAAGAAAAGTCATCCATCTCTCAAGGTGGTAAAGATATTTGAGGAGGCTATAGATACCATAGATTTTTCAAAGGTCAAAGATAAGAGTAAGAATATTCTTTGGGTATTTTATGCTTCTTATATGACAAGTGCTATAGATAATGGCCACGATAGATTGGATCTTGATAAGAATAGAAGTGGTAAAAGTGATCAACTGATTGATTTAGCAAGGGATATTTTTGAAAGAGGCTTGTCAGAAGACTATATTGAAGATTATTCTTTGATTTGGACTGAATGGATCGAGATGGAGCTTAGATTTGGGAATTTTGAAGAAGCCTTAAACTTATCTAGACGAAGTATATGCATGGCAAAAGAACAAAAAAGCAGAATTACCTTGAGAAGTAGTCGTATTTGGCATTTAGCTGCAGATCTTGAAATGTCTTTCGGGACTTTGGAATCTACAAGAGTATTAATAGAAGATTTATTTGAGAGTGGTATGGTAACTGCAAGTTTATCAGTAACTTTTGGAGCTTATTTGAGGAGTAAAGAATGTTATGAAGAATCTTTTTCACTATATGAACGTTCTATGAACTGCCTAACTATACAGTATTCATTTGGATTATGGCTAGATTACATTGATAGTTTTATTTTCCACCATAATAATGGTCTGAGCATTTATAAGTTATTTGATGAAGCAGATACAGATTCCATAGAGTATGGTAACTCAAAAATTGATCGTTTAAGAGACGTTTTTGATCAGTGTTTGGAATCTTTGTTGAACTGGAAGAAGGCCAATATAAATGAAAAGGACCGAAAGTACTATTTGAATTGTGTATTTATAGCTTATAGTGTTTACTCAGCTTATGAAGCCAAGATTGGGAGAGTTAGTAGGGCTTTTGATATATTTAATAAAGCAATGGATGAGCTGGAAGATCATGATCAACACAAACTGAATCTTTATTCCAGATGGATAAAATTAACTTTAAAATGTAGAGACATCTCATACACTAGAGAAATATTTGATAAAGCAATTGATGACATCAAAGCTTCTGATCTTATTATAAGGTTGGCTCTAAGATATGTAAACTTTGAATTAAATATGGGAGAAGTGAATAGAGTTAGGTCAATATTTATTTTTGCTGGAGATTTGATTCCAAATATATATCTTGTAAATGAACATATTGAGATTTTTAACAGGTTCTGGAATACCTGGAACCAGTTTGAGGTTGAGTATGGGAATGAGGATACTATTAAGGATATGCTTAGGGCAAAGAAGAATGTAGCTTTGGTTTCCGGACATTCTAGCATACATTCGACTCAGTTAATGCAACAAGAAAAGCAGAAGGAATATCATCAAAGTGACCCTGTTGAAGTCTCTGACCAGAATTTGGAAGACAGAAACATTTCTCCCAACTCCGATTCAGACGATGAAATTTTACTCTCTACTTCTTCTGATGAGCAGAGTTCCATAAACCAGGAAAGCGATGAAGATATGGTAGATTCCGAGTCAGATTCACAAATTAAGCAGGGGGATAGTTACTCTGATAATAACGAAGAAATATGAAGGTTTTTAACTTAAAGTCTGATTTGGAGGAGCTGAGATAATAAATGCCATACAATTTCCATCAAGTGAAGAATTATCATATTTTTTGGCAATACGTTGTGTATTGCCAGCTATTTTATTATTACTTTTTTCTATTTTAAATTCTAGTATTATTCTGCTTCTTTCAAAGAAAAGAGTAGAAAGCTATCCTATAGGCATACATAGATAAGGAATTATATTATAAGGCAATAAGTGTTATATAATTCCTAATTTTTTGTTTATATCTTTGCATTTTATTTGTATGGTTATTTTTTTTGGATATTTTTACTGTAAATTTGTGTTTTGCATGCATGGAATTTTGCATGTAACGCCTTGGGTGTAACGGGGGTTGAACCTTGTAAGTTTATGTTATTTGGTTAGTGAAATTAAAAAGATAATTTTGGCAAGAGACCTCAAGAAGATAAAGAGGAATAAATAGATGGATGAAAAAAATATAGAGTTAAATTCAAGTATTAAAAATATAAATGACACAGAAAAGCTATGTTTTTTTCTTTCTTGTACTATACTTTAGTATTACATGTAAAAATTTATTACTTAACTAGTGGTTTGTTATACACGTCATTTATACAAAAAAAAAAGAGTTCATGCCGGTATAGAAAGTGCGGGAAAACTGTGTAAATGCATGTATAAATAAAAAAAATGTCAATTTAAAAAAAATGGTAAATAGAAAACTAAGCATACAAGGAAATGATATTATTTTTAAAGTTTTATTTTTAGAGAAGTTTCTACATTAATCATTCTTTGTTTTTCTTTTTTGTTAGTCTTTTATTTAAATTTTAGAAATTCTACTTATCTTTATTTACATTACACACTTAAAAATATATAGAAAAAATAATGACCAAAAAATTATTGAAAATTAACACACAAATGAAGACTTTAAAAAATATTTTAAATATTTATATAGAAATTAAAATTAAAAAAAATTGGAAAATATTAAATAATGCTAGATTTTGATGATGGAGTAAGGGATTTAGTGAAAAGAATAGATAATGTGACAATACAATTGGCAGGACTGTTTTGCAGTCTTGAAAATGAGCTATTAGAATTATATAATTTGTGTGGAAGTGGAAATGAGAGAAGTAACCGGGGTTTAAAAAAGTCAGAGTTTATTGAAGGTATGAAAGAGTTACTAAAGAATAGTAAATTGAACAGCCAAGATAATATTGGTGATGAGTATTTGATAGCATTGGACAATTCAGTAATTAGTCTGGAAACCCTGACTTCTGCATTGGTAGGTACAAAATGTTATGTTAACTGTAAAGTAGTGAATGAAAATGAAGAGACAGATGACTTAAAGGGGATTTCAAACACACTAGGGGATTGCAATGAACTAAGCCTTGGTGAAATAAATGAGAATAGCAGTTTAATAAGACTTTGTAGGAGTGTAAGTAGATTAACAAAACATAGAAATAAGATTGAAAAGTACGATATAGAAATGAATAATGAATTAGATGCTATTAAGAGAGAGAAGACAAGGGAATTGGAAAACAAGCTTAAAGAGATGGAGGTAAAGCTGAGAAGTAAAGAAGCGTTGTGTTATGCTCATGAAAAACAGATTGAATACTTAAAATATGACTTAAAAGAGTTGAATAAGATTAATAGCCAAATGATTTCCCAGATTAACATTCAGGAGTTGAATAATGAAAAAGACCAAAAGCTTGAACTATATATTAATACAGATACAGAAAAAAGTATATCATCTCAATTTCCAAGTAATGAACTTAGCTTATATTCTGATAATGAAGAGAAAGGTGAATGCATCTATGTAATTAGCAATAAAAAAGAAGAAGAGCAGAGAATTACTCCTATTAAAATAGAACCAATTAATAACTTTAATCAAGTTATTAATTGCCAGACTGCTCACAAATATGAAAATACAAGTGTGCAGGAAACTTTTCGTGAGGAAGATTTAGATATCTTAGAGCTTAAGGATCAGATTCAAATTTTGCACGTAGATCTACAAAACCTCAAAGAAGAGAATTGCCGATTAAAACTACAGCTTGAAAAAGTGGCAGAAAGTAATTTGGTATTTCCTGAAAAAATCACACCAGAAGAAAGTGAAATTCTATATGACATACTAGTGGATAACAATTTCTCAGAAAAATATACAGAAACAGATACAGAGATGTTCAATGACAAAAAATTTATAATCAAGAATATTCAAAAAACTATAAACATTTCAATTTTTAATCCATTCCCAAAACTCCAAAAAACTCAACTCAAAAAAATTGAGATTTCCTATTTGAACACCTTACCAATTCAACAAAATCCAAAACCATGTTTGGTTATGTGGGAACCCATTATAGATTGCCCTTCAGAGTTATCTTCTGCTATAAATACCAGTAATAACATTATACCACTCCCTTTGTCCTCATATGGGCAGTTTAGAAAATCCAGAAAAAGTGGAAGGAAAAACCCTCCCACAATAATAGAGGGAACTACTCTTAGTAGAAAAGTTATTCCTATAAATAGAAATTCATTCTATTGTGATTTAGAGAAGATTATCAAGAAGAATACTAAGAAACAAGAATCCTTAATTACGTAGGATTTTTAAAAATCTTTAATGTCAATTTAATTCACTTAAAAAACTAATTTATTTACTAATTATATTTTATTTCATTAACTTTCCATGTACTTTTTTGACGTTTCCCAGCTCCCGACCTCCACTGCACTCACTAGTCACACCATTTGCCCGCCATAATAAAAATGTGGGGAGGGGCATATTGGCGGGAACCGTTGAGACGTATGGATATTTGTTTTGGACCATGAAGAAGAGCTCAAGGCAAGAGCGCGAGAATAAACGAAAGTGAGGGGTGAACAAGCAAAAAACACGAGTTTAAAGTTGAACATTAATTATATTTGTAGCTTGAAAAGCTAATTTAAGAGAAAATGGCTAAGGGATTGAGATTTTTGAATTTGATTAAGCCAGCTCTGTGCGTGATTCCTGAGGTATCATCTCCGGACCGCAGAGTACCTTTTAAGGAAAGAATTTTATGGACTTTGATATCTTTGTTTGTCTTTTTAGTATGCTGCCAGATTCCACTTTATGGAGTTTTGAGTAGCAAAAGCTCAGACCCATTCTACTGGGTTAGAGTTATCTTGGCATCTAACAGGGGAACCCTTATGGAGTTGGGTATCTCGCCAATTGTTACATCCAGTATGGTTATGCAATTGTTGGCAGGAAGCAAGATCATTGATGTTGATCAGAGTTTAAAAGAAGACAGAGCTCTTTTTCAGGGAGCACAGAAGCTTTTTGGTCTACTTATCACATTAGGAGAGGCAGTTGCATATGTAATTAGTGGTATGTATGGTGACATTAGAACAATTGGTGCTTGGAATGCAATTTTGATCATTATTCAACTTTTCTTTGCTGGGGTTGTTGTTATTCTTCTTGACGAGCTCATGCAAAAAGGATATGGTCTTGGATCAGGTATTTCTCTCTTTATTGCTACTAATATTTGTGAAACCATAGTCTGGAAGGCATTTAGTCCAACAACAATTAATACTGGTAGAGGAACTGAATTTGAAGGTGCAGTTATTGCTCTCTTCCATCTTTTATTCACAAAGCCTGATAAGATCTCAGCATTAAGAGAAGCCTTCTACAGATCTCACGCTACAAATATGACAAACTTACTCGCAACTGTTTTGGTCTTCCTTATTGTTATTTATTTCCAAGGATTTAGAGTAGATCTCGCTGTTAAATACCAAAAAGTACGTGGGCAACAAGGGTCTTTCCCAATTAAGCTCTTCTACACCTCAAATATCCCGATCATCCTTCAAACTGCACTTGTTTCTAATCTATATTTCTTCTCTCAGTTGCTTTACCGCAGATTCAAATCCAATATGCTTGTAAATATTCTCGGACAATGGCAAGAACTTGATGTTGGTGGCCAATCTATTCCAGTCGGAGGTATTGCCTACTACATTTCACCTCCAAATTCATTGTTAGATGTAGTTTCTGACCCAATACACACATTCTTCTACATTTCCTTTGTATTGGTTTCATGCGCTCTCTTCTCCAAAACCTGGATTGAAGTATCTGGCTCTTCTGCAAAGGATGTTGCAAAGCAACTCAGAGATCAGCAAATGATTATGAAAGGATACAGAGACAGCTCATTGGTTCAGGTCTTGAATCGCTACATCCCTACTGCTGCTGCCTTCGGTGGTATGTGTATTGGAGCACTCACTATAATTGCAGACTTCCTTGGAGCTATTGGTAGTGGGACTGGTATTTTACTAGCAGTTACAATCATTTTCCAATACTACGAAATGTTTGCTAAAGAAAGAGAAAGTGGAAACATTGTGTTTTAATTCTGAATAAGTATTAATGGATCTTAATTCGTTTGGAGATTTGGGGTTTTTTCAAAATCCGATAGCAGATGTTAAAACTTTGATGCCTGACAAGCTTGTTAAGCTCGGATGGGGGTGTACCGTCACGATACTTATAACCTCAACCTAGCGAATATTCTAAACTTGAAATTTAACAAGAGTCGAAGAATCCTAAGGGTTCTGGATAACTTTGGGGGTCATTTTTAACCCAGTTATGTTCTTTTTAAGACTATTAAATTACTAAATAAAAACTACCTAAGTTGTCTTGCTTTAATCTATAATATATAGGTATTAATTATTATTATTTATTTCCAGTTCTTTTTATGTATTTAATATCTTAATTTTTTTCATGTTGCTTTATTTTTGTTACTTTTATTACGTGGATTACGTTTATATTTGTAAGTGGAAAATGACGTAACAAGCATCCTTATAAATTCTAAATATTCCAGTTTAAAATGTCAAAAAATTGAATTAATAAATTATTTATTGTGTTAATTGCATTCATTAATAAATAAATTATTTACTACAATGAATAAACGTAATTACATGCATTTTCCAGTTAAATTAGCTAAAAAAATGCATGTACTAGGAAAAAATTATTTCTCCAGGGTATAGAGTTTCCAACCTGCAACGAACTCTAAGCTAGGAATTCTAAAAGGGCGATTTGAAGAATAACTATAATCTGATAATAAAAAATTTGTTTTTATGCTTAAAGTTGAGAAGACAAGCAACTAAAATGAGACAATGAGTACTTGATAGAGAATTCATGACCACGAGCATTTAAGTCGTAGTCATAAAATTTTTGTTTTCTATTTGATAAGATAATAAATTAAGAAAGAGATGATATATTTAAATAATTAAATAGATGTATAACTAATTCGTTATTACGTATAAATAAATATGTACATATATATAATAATTCATTTATATAAATATATATATATAAATATATATTCATATATATATATATTTATATACAAACATATATTTATATTTAAATATAATGTGATATATATATTTTATATAGTAAATTCACATATTTGAGAACAAGAAAGAATATAATATAATAATAATATTATTATTTACTCAAGCAACAGTAATTTTACTTTTAAAAATAAATATATTATTTTTAATTATTGAAGGTATACATAATAAATTAATTTATACATTAAATAATTTATTATTATATTTAAATAAGAAAAAATAATACAAGGATATGTATCTATATATAAATCCGTAATTACAATTTTTCAAGTTATTACCATTACTTTTAACTTATTCATTTATATACTTAATATACTAATTTACAAATTATTGGGAGTAGCATACGTAATAAAATGCGCCTAATATTTTAAAGGTTTAATTTTAAATAGTGGAAGTTTTGGCGGGTTTTCCCAATTGTAAATATATGCCACTTGTTGTGTATATAGACTAAACAAGTACGATTAATTAATTGAAAAAAAACTTAGTAACCAATACAAGTTTATTATTTAGAAGAAATCAACAAAAAACAATATATTGTTGAAGGAGGTGTCGTTGTAGCTAAGTTTTTACAGCACTATCAATTTCCGAATGACGTTCTCATCTGAGTTAGGTGATGTTGGAACTGGTGGTGATAACTCGACAAAAAAAGTATATATAGATTACAATGATGGAGGAGATGAAAATAGAGAAGGGGACGGAAAGGTAGACGAGTCTAAATCTCCTTCAAGAGAAAGGGGTATATCTGACGATGAACAACGAAATACAGAAGGAAGGAATGAAGATAACAGAGGAGAATTAGCTGAAGAAAGAGATAGATCACGTTCTCGTGAAAAGTCAGAAGTTGATGTATCTGAGGGATGCAGTTTACTTGTCCGTAATCTACGTTTTGAGACATCTCCTGGTAGGGTAAGACATCATTTCGAGAGATACGGTCCAGTGAGAGATGTCTATCTTCCACTTGATTACTATACCAGAAGACCTAGAGGATTTGGCTTCGTGGAATATATGGATCCAAGAGATGCACAGGATGCTGTCAACAGACTAGATGGAAGTTTACTGGACGGAAGCACTATTCGAGTTGTTGTAGCACACGATCGCAGAAAGAGTCCAGAAACTATGAGAAGAATTCAGAGAGATTTGGGAAGAGGCCCCAGAATGGGAGGTCCTCCATCCCGCTATGATCATCGACCATCTGGAGGTTATCCCCCAGAGCATGGTTACAGAGGAGGTAGATATAGGGATGATTATTATGGTGGAAGGAGACAAGGTGGCTATCGAGATGATGATAGGAATTACAGGCCTAAGAGACGGTATTCAAGCAGAAGCCCCAGTTACCATTCACCTAGAGGAAGAAGTGTTAGTAGGTCTCCATACAGAGGCGGAAGCATAAGTAGAGAGCACAGTCATTCGATTAGTCGTGACCCATATCAGGGTAAGAGATACCGAAAATAGCGGACTCGTCTCAAAAAAATAAATCAATAGAGTAAAAAAAAAAATATGAATTTGACTGATAAGACTTTGAATAAGAGTGTGGTTCCGCGGTGACTGATATAATTAATAGTGATGTTTATTGTGTTAATTTTTTTAACTTGATGCCCGAAAATTGAAGAAGAGACGCTTGTGATTTTCAGTATAGGGGGTGGAAGATGCAGGATAGTCTGTCATGATGGTTGATGTTGTGAACAAAAAAAAGAAAAAATGTGTACAAGTTTGAATTAGGTGCAGTGAACCAAGGGATTACAGATTTCCATGATTAAGCAGGAAATAAGGAAAAGGAAAGAGGTGATCTCACTTAATCGCTTTTTTTTTTTTTAATTCGCTAAGTGCATAAAAATATGTGATTTGTAATCTGTTCTTCAACAACCATGAGCATGGACGAGTGGTAGAAAAATACCAGTAAATATTATTATTATTATCATTTTTGTCCGCTCAAATACCAAAAGTACAAGGAATAATTGCTAATTATTTAGGCATTTCGGATACGTAGATATTACTGAATGAAAGATTGGGCATTTTCGATAAGGAATAATTGGTATCAGTTTGTTCCACGCCCTATCTACTTAATTTAGCTGTTAAAGTCCAAATATAAAAAACAAAAAAAAATTATTTTTTTCTCTTTTTTTTCTTTTAAGGATTTCGTCTTTGAGCTTTATAAGCAGAGGGTTTTATGCGCCAGGGTCCCGGAGTATGTATGCATGTGGGGGAAATTTGTGCATGTATGCAAGACTTGCGTACCGGTATGCAGATAATTGATTATTAAACTCGGTTGAAACTGGGGTGAATATAGAATGTCGAAAATAATAATTAAAAAAAAATTATAAGATGGAATAATGGCAATACTAAAAGCAGATATGAAAAAAGTCAACTTAATATTTGGAATGAGAAAAATAATAATATATTAAAACTAATGTTAGAGGTATAAATGAATTAGTATAATGTAATAAATTAGGGATCTAAGCTTCAGAAAGATTTGATTTGGGAGAATGTATGGATTTTTCATGAGTATCCTCATTTTCTTCAGATTTGATATTTTCATCAGAATTTCGATCATTAAATGACTGAGAGTGCCCCATATACTGGTTTCTTGGGTGGGAGATTTGTTTAGTTTCAAGAGGCAAAAGCCCATTGATATTGATAGAAGAATTAGTCATAGAGTAGTCAATTAAAAGCTGTTCACAATTAGAGAGAGGGATGTTCTTGGTGGAGAAATCTTGATTATTAGTCTGAATAAGGCCATTACCATTAATTTGATACGAAGAAGTTGGAGTACAGTTAGTATAAGTAACAGTGCCAGTTGGAAGGAAGCTGCTAGAAATATGGAAATCGTTGTAATTGTTTGCAGAATACTTTTTCCAAAGGAAATATAATCCAGATAAGAATATTATGAAAGAGAGTACTGAAATGAAAAAAAGTGTAATAATAAAAGAAATTACATTTCCCATTAAGATTGGGTGGTTTCGAATGATTTCTTTCCAAAAGGGGAGTTTTGTTTGGAAAATAAGGTTGCTCTTAGAAATATGGAGGGCAGGTTTCATTTTAATCTTTGCTCCACATAGTTTGATATTCGTTTCAAGAGAATTAAAATTGAAGGGGTGTTTTCTTCGAAGAGGAAAGTTTTCAACAAGCTTGACACTGATTTTACTTTCAAGCCCCAATCCAAGGGAGTTAATTTGTATTCCAAGCAGAGAAGGAATGATAGAAATATATTCTTTGAATTTTAAGACAATATTAGGTAAATATTCAATTGCAGATGTTTTTTTGAAGCTAGCCAAGATTTTTGAAGAGTTAGTACTGTTATTATCAATTCCAATGCTATAATTAAGATGGGATTCTAAACATTGGATTAAATCCAGAGTAATTTGGAAGGGAGTGATATTGATATTATATTGGCTAGGAAAGTAAAAAAGTTCAACAATGATGTCAATTTCATTTCCAAGGACTTCCAAATTCATTCTATTTTTAAATCTAAGGTCAACGTGTTTATGAATGATTTGATTAATTCCTTCATCAATTCCTTTATAGTACCTTTTCTTCTGGTACCAGTTAAATGTTACGAAATTGTAAATCTTAGAAGACCAATAATTTTTTAAATGTACAAGATATTTCAGAACCCCAGTATTAAAGTTATTAATATTTTCAGTGGGCATATCCAAGTTTTCAAGATATTTTGTTTGGTTAAGTAGATTCTGATTGGAGAATGAATTGCTTTTATTAACAGCACTTTTGTATCTCCAAGTGATGTTATTAAAATTCAGAATGGCAGAAGCTTCAGACTGCTCATAAAGCAGCTGTCTGGATAATTCATGACTGCTAATGAAATTACCATATGCTCTATCTTTGTAATTCAATTGGGAAAAACCTTGAGTTGAGTTTGGGAACTTACTTATGAACGCGTTATCACTATTCAAGAAATAATCTGGCAGAAATTGAGAAAGATACCTGTTTTGGTAATCAAAATTTATTGGGAATGAAATAAATTTTGGGGGTATCCAATACCAGTAAAATCCAAGATAAATTATCCATGTTAAACTAAAGATTGTAAAACTGAGCAGCACTAAAGCGATAGTCAGCGGAAAGAAATACCTAGTTACTCTTAAAGACCAATATACTAAGCTTGCACAAGTATCAATAACTCTATATATACCTTTTGAATATCTGTCAAAAATCCTTTCAAACATCACAGCTTTATTTGTTACACCCGTAATTTAATGAAGATTAGATTCAAGACTTTGATTTCCTGTTCGTTTCTTCCGTTAGTATGGCCATGAAATCCACAGATCCTAATACATGCAAAATATTAAACTGCTAAAACCTTTAATTAACCTCTTTAAAGTTGTTATATAATATTCTCACAATGGCCCGCCTAAATTTTACTTGGCTTATACTTATTTTTATTACTAAAATGGCATGAGAAAAAAAAATTTCTGGAATTGGCGGTATCGGTTGGAGTGTGGTTGGGGGATATGCAAAAAAGGTTACTTAAAAATGTAAAATTGACATTAACTATAAAAGAGTTAAAATTTGAAGAGCAATTGAAAAAATTAATATTGTTATTCTGATTAACTCTATTTTTGGGGACTTGTTATGTCATATTTTGATAGGAAAATCACTATTTGCAGGTTCAGAAACAATTTGTAGGTATAAGTAATTTAATTACATTTCAATTTAACTGGCAAAATTGGAAATTTAATTAACTGTAGTTTTGTGAAAAAGAAAGAAGAATAGAAGAAACAAAAATGAGTAAAGAGATTCCAAGCCTTGTTAATCTTACTACAAGAGATCAACAACAGTTTAAGAATATTGTTCAGCTTTATGATCAAAGAATATATAAACGATCACTGAAGCTTACTGAGGCAATGCTGAAAAAATATCCCAAACAGGGAGATTTGCTGTCAATGAAGGCTTTTATATTAGGTGCAATGCATCCAGATAATAAAGACGAGAAACACAAGGAAGCTTATGAGTGTGCTAAAGAAGCAATCAAACAAAATATGAGAAACCCAATGAGTTGGCATTGTCTTGGTACATTATACAAGGGTGACTTTGATTACAATGAAGCAATAAAGTGTTTTAAAACTGCATTAAAATTTGACAAGGAGGATTTGGTAGTTTTGAGAGATTTGGCTACATGCTTTATTCAAATACGAAATCACCAAGGATTTAGAGATATAAGAAATGAGATTAAAAGGATTCGCCCTGACATTAGAACAAATTGGATAGCCTCTGCATTAGGGAATCATTTTTGTGGGTATATTAATTCTACAATTAATTGTTTAGTATCTATTGATCAATTTGGTTCTTCAGAAGATGGCAATATTTGTTCAAAAAAGGCTATTTTAGATGGAGAAAATTATGGGATTTTATTCTCTTTTTTAGAACCATTTCAAAGATCGGAGTTACTTTTATACTTTTTAAAAGTATTGTTGGATGGGAAAAAGTATCAACAAGCTTATAATTTTTTAAGATCAAATAAGGAATTTATTCTTGATAAGACTGACTACTACACTATTATGGGGAATCTTTTACTTAAATGCAATAAAAACTATACAAAAGAGTGTTCTGAATGTTTTAACCATCTTTTAGAGCTTTATCCAGACGATGATTTCCCTTTATTTGGGTGTATGATTACAGATCAATCTTTAAAAAATGTGATATTACCTCCTCCAAATTTACCAAATCAGCTCATAAAAACATTTGAAATACAGGATAAGGAAGATGAAAACACTGTATTTGAAAATGAGCCAGTTATTCCAATTTGTGGTATAAGATCCAGCTTTTTTCATAATAGAGGTACCTCAGGTATAATGTACTATCCTATACTGACTAATGATACAGTTGGAAGGAATGAGTACTTAAAGAACAAAAAACTAAGTTCAGAAAAAATTGATAATTCTTATGGTTATAAGCCCTCAAGTAATATAAATAATGAAGTTTTGGAGTTTATAATTTATGATGATAACGAATTGGCTGAAAAAATGGTAGAATATCAAAATTCTCTAAGAAAAATTGAAAGGTTTTTCGAAGAAAAAAAGTCTCAGTTCCCAGCTAGTGACACTATTTTAAGGTTAGATATGGCATTTTCAAAAGGAGAAGAATTTTTAAGAAAATTCAGAGATTACTTAAAAAATAAGCTTGGGAGCAGGATTACTGGGTTAAAGTCTCTAATAGGTTACCTAATTAAAATGGATGGTAAAAAGAAAAGCTTAATTCATACAGAATTAAATAAGATTGTTAGTGAATCTGAAAGTTTATATGAGAAAGCTCAATTTGGAAAGAACGAACTGATTACATTGTATTATATATATTCCCAACATTTGGATTGCATGGGCTTTTCTTTGGAAGGATTGAATTATATTGAAAAGGCTTTAAAACTAGATGAAACAAGGCCTGATGGATTTTACATTAAACGAAAACTCTTAAAACATCTTTATAGGTTTGAAGAAGCAATGGAGATGATTGATCATGCAAGATTGATTGACATAAATGATAGGTATTTAAATACTCGTACTATTTGTGCTTGTTTGGAAAGTGGAAATTTTGATAAGGCTAAAGAATTATTAAAAAAATTTGTGATACGTATAAATGAACAATCTAAATCCAAAGAAAATGAAATTATGCCATCAAACGAGACAGAAATTAAGAATTTGCAGATGATATGGTATGAAAAAAGGGCTCTTAAGAATCGAGAGTTACTGGATTCTAGTGATAATAGCTATGTGATGATATTTGATCATTATTTAAGATTAATGGACTCAATGGAAATTATGAAAACTGATCAGTATGATTATCATTTGTATTGTTTAAGAAAAATGACACTATGTAGGTACCTGGATTTTATTAATATGCAGGATAAGTTGTTTTGCAATACAAACTATCGAGAAATAAGTATCATGTTTTGGAGAAGGCTTTGGATTAATATTTCAATGATAATAAATGGTAAATTAGAATTAAAACAAAGTTACTATGAAAAGGATAAACAAAAAGGAAAAAACAAAAGTAATGATGGAAGTGAAAGCTTAAAGGAAACTATTGAATTTATTAAGGACAATGAAAGATGTTGGAGTAAGTCACATGAGATTATTCAGAATTACAGAAAAGACTGTATATTCCATACAAAAAGTTTTACTCCAATATATATTCACTATTACTGCTCACAAAAGATCCTTGGGAAATTATCTCTGGAAACTTGCATTTTGGTTTGCAGCCAATCAATTTACAGAGTATATATACTCGAGAAGTCTTATATTAAAGAAAATCAAATTGGTATTTTTCCTGTTTTGCTGGTTCATTTTTACACTAATATGCTAAAATACTTAAGAAATGGTTTTAATGATGTTTCTAAGGAATACGGAATTAATATAGTAAATATCATTTTTAAACAATTTCAGAAATTTACTAATAATGAGAATTTAAATATTGATAATATAAATACTTATTTCCAGGATTACATTTCATCTCTGAATATTAATAATATCACTGACATTGAAAGTCTTTGTAATTTGGTCAAGATCTCAACAATTAATGGATCATTTAAAAATATCGAGACTTATCTTGACAACTCAGATATAGATTTGAACAAATTCTCTGGAATATTTAACCAAAAAATTGTTGATTTGGTAAAATTGCTTGTAATTAGGTCCCTTAAGTCCACTAACTCTGACACTGAATCTCTGAATTTGAATCCATCAAATTTCTTCATTGAGAAACACTCTTGTTTCTCTAAATCGAAATTACTCAACAAGATTATGAATACTTATGACATTTACACAAGAAGATTTATTAACACCAACAATCAAGAAGGCCAAAATCTCAAACTAATATTACAAGTTAAACATTTAAAAGACCAGATTTCTAAAGAAACTGTGGATATCTCAAATTTGCCTATACTTGCTTTATCCATCTAATACTCAGAACTTACACATAGACAATTGGAGAAACAATAGTAAACAGATATATAGACAGATCGAGTAAAACGACTCTAAATATTTTAATATCTATTCGAATTAAATTTTAAATATTTCAATCTGTACGAAACTCAAGTACCACATCAAATTTCAAATCTTGTTTTAATGTGGGTTCTAGTGCCGTCTTTTATATTAAAATTGTTATTTTCGCACTATATACCATACTAAATAAGTGTAATTACAAAGTTTAGCTTTTTTGAGAAAAAAGCTAAACTTTTCAAACTTACTCAGTTCAACAAACTAGTGCCATTCTAATCCTACCCTGTCTGTTTTTATAATTTTAAATTGCTTTTTCATTTATCAAATATATAATGACGTGGATTTCCCGCCAAAACTACTTAATTAAAAACTGTCGCAATAGTTTGATGGTTTTATATAGACTTGAATTGTTTTTCTCTACTTCTTTATTGTGTTTCTTTTTGAGAAAATATGGAATTAGGAAAGAAAGGAGTTAGAAATTGTAAATTGAGCAAGAGGAGAGAAAATTAGAAAAAGCCTTTTATGCTCGAATTTTAGTAAAAGGTTCTCCCCACATGTGCGATTAAAGTACACGTGTTCCCCACAGTGGTGTATGCATGTAAAATCCGCGTACACTGCAATATTAGTTGGATTTTCTCATTGCTAATAATAAAAAGAATAGAGAAACATTTTTTTTAAAATTTATATTAATTCATTTTGGGAATTTTTTTTCAAAGTTTGTGTTTTGAATTTGTATAATCACTGAAAATAATGGATCTTTCAAAGAAGCTGAATATAACTGATGTTGCATCAGAGGTAAGTTAATTGTTTGAAAGCATGAGATTAGTAACTTTCTGTTGCTTAAAAAAATATTTATCACTGTGATAAATGCAAATATTTCTTAATTATATATTGAACTAATACTAATTATTTTCATTTTCTTAACGATTTTAGTTGAAAGATAAGAGAGTTTTCATTAGAGTGGATATGAACGTACCAGTAAAGAATGGACAAGTTACTGACAAAACTAGAATAATTGCAAGTATTCCAACCATTAAGTATGCTTTGGACAGTGGAGCTAAAAGCGTAGTTTTGGCTTCTCACTTGGGTAGGCCGGATGGACAAAGGAAGATGAATTATACCTTGAATGTAATAGTTCCAATTTTAGAAGAATTGTTGGGTAGATCAGTCATTTTTGCAAAGGATTGTGTAGGTAAAGAGACAGAGGAGATATGCAAGGACCCACCAAAGGGAACTGTTATTTTACTTGAAAACTTGAGATTTCATTTAGCAGAGGAGGGGAAGGGAGTCAACGAGAATGGGGAAAAGGTGAAAGCAAGTTCCGAGGAAATTGAGAGTTTCAGGAAGTCCTTGAGTTTATTAGGTGATATATATGTTAATGATGCCTTTGGAACTGCACATAGAGCACATAGTTCAATGGTTGGTGTAGATTTAACTCCAAAGGTTGCTGGCTTATTATTAAAGAAAGAGTTAGAGTATTTCAGTAAGGCATTAGAATCTCCTATTAGACCATTTTTGGCAATTATGGGAGGAGCAAAGGTTGCTGATAAAATTCAGTTGATTAAGAATCTACTTTTAAAAGTGGACAGAATGATTATTGGAGGTGGAATGGCATTCACTTTCAAAAAGGTTTTGGATAATATGCAGATTGGTAAATCTCTCTTTGATGAAGAAGGAGCCAAAATTGTTAAGGAGATTATGGATATTGCTAAGGAAAGAAATGTTCAAATTTTATTACCTAGTGATTTTGTTATAGCAGATAGTTTTTCTGCCGATGCAAATGCTAGAATCATTAAAGATACTGAAGGCATTCCAGAAGATTGGATGGGTCTTGATATTGGACCAGAATCTTCTAACTCTTTCAAGGAATTTATTCTCTCCTCAAAGACTATCGTAGCAAATGGTCCTCCGGGTGTATTTGAGATGGAGAAATTTTCAAAAGGATCTCGTTCCATGGTTGAAGCACTTGTTGCAGCAACTGAGTCAGGTTCTATCACAATTGTTGGTGGAGGTGATACGGCATCTTTGATTGAGAAATGTGGATCAGCCAATAAAGTATCTCATGTTTCCACTGGAGGTGGAGCTTCATTAGAATTACTCGAAGGAAAATTACTTCCTGGTGTTACTTCATTGTCATCGAAATCTTAGAGTATTTCTTTAGAGAAAAATAAATTTTTAGAAAATTGTTATTTTTTTTTTCAAAGCATTTTTTCTGTAAAACTTTTAATTTGGATCTCATGCATGCATTTTTTTTTTAAATTACTCTAATTTATGGGGGGCTGTGTGCTGATCATTTTCAGGTTGGGGGGCGAAAATAATTATTAAGGGAAATTAGGAAAAGTAAAGTAAAATAATGAATTAATAATAATATAAGTACTCATAATCAATTATTATTTTTGAATTAAGTTGAAAAAACAATTACAAATATATTGAAGAAGCTGGATATAAACAGGAATATGGGTATTCACTATACATATTAACTAAAGGGAGGTGAAAATAAATAAATCAGTGAAAAAACTGTGGAATAGAAAGTGAGATCAAAGACAAATAAGCTAGCTTCTTGGCTAGCATAACCATGATTAATCATTTTCAAGAATTTTGGACTGACTCAGAAAGAAACCATGAAATAAATTTCTCTGCCATATTAGATGAGATTATTATCTCAGAATTGAATGAAGACCCAAACATAAATTTACAGAATTGGACTTCAATTCCAAAAATGAAAATTGGACTTAGTTATTATTTGGAAATAGTTGACAAAGTAGGGGAAATTCTCTTTTATAAATATTCTTTTAACATATTAATTTTTCTGTTTATTCAAATAATACAAAGACACTCAGAAAACATTTTGGATTACAACAAATATGATACCTTTTTAATAAGTTCAAATATATTTCTAAATAATACATGGATTTTTTATTTAATAGTTTATGTAATTGGAATAATATATTCATTTTTTGTTTACAGTAAAGAACAATATTTATGTAAATTCTTATTCTTTCAAAATAATCTTTCCAGCCAATATGAAAGGTACCGATTAGGAGAAATCTCCAATTTTTGGTGTATTATCATGGGTATCCTAAGTAGATTTCGTGAAATAGTGGATGCTATTATTTTCAGCTACTTATCTTCACATTATTTGCAACTTTCCCAAGCATTTTTATTCTTTTTGGTTCGCTTTAGCCTCGTTATTATCCAGATTAGATCTTTCTTAGCTGTTGGAAACATTAGCTCTAGTATCATTTGGATCACTAATTTCCAGAATCCTACACAAACTTCAGCTCTTAAGCCTCAAAGTCTGCTTTCTTCTTCTTCTTCTTCTTCTTCTTCTTCTTCGTACAATTCAAAAACTAAAAAAGATATTTCTTTTGACCAGGGTTACGTTGGGTACCGAGATATGAATCCTAATATTTCCAGAGTTTCTCCTTCATCTTCATCATCATTCCACTCAACAAAATCTCAGGAACAAGATAATAATATCGATCAAAGTATAAATGCTTACTATGATACTGGAAATAATCAAAAAAGGTGTCATGATTTGTCAAAACCTGTTCCTCCAGGTTTTTTGTCTTCTTCTTCCTCTTCTTCATCTTCCTCTTCTTCTTCTTCATCCTCCGCCTCTTCTATGCCATATCCACTTCCAAACTTTCCAATTGAATATCAGGACAGCTTTATACTTTGCAAGTTTTCTCAGACTTTTTTTTCACAAGGACTAGCTTCCTACTTTTATCCCAATGGCGTTAGATTGTTAAGAAAAAATCTTACAAAATTGAGTTCACAGGATCAACAGAGCCAGGCGAAAATAAAACCATTTAAGATTCTCCAGCTTGCAGATCTAGCATTTTACCTAGATTTGTTTTCCCTAGAAAACATTTTAAACCATCTTTATATTTTAAATAAACACAAGGAAACACACGAATTTAATATATCTACTTTTTTTTTATGGAAGGTACTTTCACATGATCTGATTATCGATATATGCAAGTTATTCTTACTTATTTTTGTCTCAAGATTATCAAAGATTTATCTAATATTAACGTTAACTATCTCCTCATTAAACATTTCTAGCTTATTTTTCTATCTACATGTAAATAAACAAGTAATTAATGATTTACTAAGATGATAGTGAATTTATAAAAATTGAATTTAATATTTTTCTATGGTTAGTATCTAAATTGTATATAAATATGTCTGCATGCATGCAGACATGCAGACATGCAGACATGCAGACATGCATGCAGATATATATTGTCTTCTGCAATGCATCGGAAATTTTATTGATGGAATTTAATTACATTTTATATTGGCATAAGTTAATGTAATCTAAAATAGCGTTCTGAGTCTTCTTAGGTAGCCTAACTGAAAATACAGAATCAGATGATCTTGGTTTAGACTTGGATCTGGACTTATATGATGCACTGTTTCTTAGAGCATTTTCCATTTTAATTTGATCCATTTTAATTAAGTGTTTAAAGTCCTCAAGCTTTACGTTTCTTAAAAGCCATTTCTGAGTTCTGGAAACAATTACCATTTCTCTGGTCTGCTCATCATATTCGTCTGGATCTTTTCCATCTTTAATCTGAAGATCATTGTGACTGTGGTTTTGGGAGTGTTCAAGTCGATTTGTGTGGTCAAGATCATCCTCTATAATTCCTTTATACATTACAGTTTCGTGATTCTTCCTGGTAACAGGATCTGAGCTAGGATCCATCATATAATCAGCTCCTTCATATCTTTCGTTGGACATTGTTTCCTGATCATAATCCTGAGACTTTGTTAATTTAACTCCAGTTATTTCTGTATTATCTTTATTAGATCCATCAGAACTGCTGCTGTTAAGTTTCATAACCCTGTTTATCATATCGTAATTACAAAATTTGGGGTCTATCTCACTGCCCAAAAACTGTCTGGAGGACCAGTCAACTCTTTGAAAGCTTGCGTTCTCTAATCTTCTCCAAAGACTTTTGATCATAAAAGGCACTAATTTGCAATAAAACTTTGATATCTTTTTAAATTCCAACTGAAATCCCAAATTCTCATAATGTTTAATCTTAAGTGTTATGTACCTCTTTATTTCTTCTTCCAAAGTAAAATCCACGTTCTTAGCCTCCTTTTGGTCTAAGTAATCCTTAAACCAGTTCTTTGAATGAATTACCAATGCATCCTTTGAAATTCTCTGTCTCTTACAAAACTCAGTTACCATACAATGAAATTTACCAATATTAAATGAGTCATCTATATAAGGTGTTAAATACCCCAAAACTCCCATATTTTGTCTGTATAAAAAGTGTAAATAGTCCCATACCACTTTTTCTATGGGGATGTTGTAATTCTTTACGGGGTTTAAAGGAGCCAAATAACTTTGTTGAGATAGCTGAGAAGGTTGGGTAATCTGAGAAGGTTGGGTAATCTGAGAAGGTTGGGATGGTTGAGAAGGCTGAGTAATCTGGGAAGGTTGGGATGGTTGAGAAGGCTGTGAAAACTGAGGTTGGGAAAACTGAGAAGGTTGAGTAATCTGAGAAGGTTGGGATGGCTGAGACGGCTGGGCAATCTGAGACAATTGAGAAATCTGTGATGGTTGGGTCATTTGAGATAGTTGGGTAATCTGGGAAGGTTGGGAAACCTGAAATGTCTGAGATGGTTGAGTAAGTTGATAAGTCTGGGAGTTTTGAGAAGATTGAGAATAGTGGGGAGATGGGGAAGGTGAAGGATGCAAGAGTTGTGAACTTTGAGAATACGCACCTTGGGAAGGGTATCCATTGATTTGGCAGGCCTGGAGTGCTGGAGACGATGGAGGAGATGGAGAAGGAGATGGGGGCACACTTTGAGGCCGAGAGGAAGGCTGGGACTGAGCAGAGTGGTGTACTTGTCGTTGGTATAAATTTTGAGGAATTTGCTGTCTTAGATTACCTTGATGTTGAAATTGAGACGGGCTTTGGTGCGGAACTGAGCCATTCAAATTTTGATAACTATAATGATGAGGATTTGGAGGATGAATGGAATTCAGAGGAAAATGAATATTTGAATTCTGACTTTGATTTTGCCCAGGATTAGAACCCATGATCAAGTTCAGATTAGAGCTTGAATTTGAGTTTGTAAGAGAAGTAGAATTTAGATTTTGGCTTTGGTAGCTCTGGCTTCCAATAGAAGATTGGCTTCCAGTCAAACTTCCTGTATTACTATTATTTTGCGTACCACCTCCCAAATTATCCATTCTTTGAGAAGATCCTCCTAACACTTCATGGTCTTCTACCATTATTGGAACGGAACTGTGATTATGTTGCTGAATCTCATGATATCCCGTGTGGTTACCACTCAGATCTTGAAATACCATATTATGGGTACCGGATTTATTGTAATAACCCCCGTTACTGTTCCCCCTACCGTGAATATTTTGATTCATAATCCGATTGTCTGAGTAATCAGACCCTCTTCCTGTATGGGAACTTTGATTCATTTCTCCAGATTATATTTTAAATCAAATAACTTCAATACTTACTAAATAGTGAGCTTATTTATATAGACAAATGGGTTTGGATATGAATATTTATACTAGATTGACAGTTACTCTAACCAACTTAAGATCCAGATCTATTTATTATTGATAATGGTTATAAAAGTATTTTAGCAACAAATAAAAATAAAAAAGTTGAGAAATAAATTGCTTTAACTTTCAAATAATAACATCCAGGTTTCTTATATATATTTAATGATTGAAAGAATGGAATAAGTAAAAGTAGTGAACATGAAACATTAAGAGCAAATCCAAACTCTGGATCACAAACCCTACTGATATCTCTCCGTTAGTTACTCCTAATTCTATTATCTTTTACTATTTTGATTATTTTTACACTATTTAATCCTCGGTATTCTTTTTTTTTGCTCTGCTTTTTTCTTCCCACTTATAAATTAATTAATTACACTGGAGACACCGGGCCCACGTCTAATCAAAAAATCAATAAGTAGTAGTAAAATAGTAAAAAAAAAGGGAAAAAGGTTAGAGGAGAATAAGAAAAGGAATCCCCGAAAGAAAAAGCTGGAAAAATACAGATAATATAAGAATAATCTGCGATTTAGGACTTGGATTACCTAGTATAGGGGACCTACTAGATCACTAAAGTTCCAGAGTGGGAGAATATAAGGGAATAATTTAAAGTTAAAAGAAAAGGAGGTGAGAAATTTTAGTCTTAGTTATAGAAGGACCTTCTATTATTGATTTTGATTGTATATAAAAGAAAATTTACTGTAATTAGAATAACGAGATGTCGGAAATGGTGGAATATGACGACGAGATAGTATGTTTGGGAAGGGGAGGAGTATTTAGACTTAAGGGAATGACAAAAGAAGTAGCTTCAGAAGAATTAATTGTTAACAATCCAAGTCCATTTTTGGAGGGTGTTGAGATTTATGCACAGGAACCTCAAGGGAAAGGATACTGCTTTGTTCCCAAAGATTCTAAGAATTCTGTAGTGTTAATAGTAACAAGGGAAGGTGAACCTAATAGGGAAATTAATATAGAGAGTGATTTTCCAGTTAGAAAATTGCAATATTCCCCATTAGGAAGTTATTTATTAGTACTAACAGTCTTTGAACAAGGAAAAAATGAAAATAATCTACGAGTTTACAAACTTAAGGAAAGGGAAAATGTAAGTTTACTATTTTCCTTTCCTTTTAAAACTAACAGTGCAAAGGTATTAAGTACTTGGCCTCCATATAGATGGAGTAATAATGAGATCTTTGTATTTAAAGTCCAGGATACCAGTGTCTCAATATTCAAAGGCGATACTGAGAATCTGGAAAATCCTATTGGAACTTTAAATTTCTCAAAAAGTATTCAGTTGTCAGTTTCCAACGAAATTAATCAAAATCCTTCTAAAGAAGAGGGAGTTAAAAACAGTGCCTTGAACTTTACGGTACTAACTCCACAATCAGCCCAAAACATGGACGTGTTTGTATACCACGCTGAGATGGGTAATGAAAATGAAATTAATCTTAGTTCTATAGGACAAATTTGTGTAAAAGAAGCTCAGACATGCCAGGTTTCCTGGAATAGCTCAGGAGATAGTGCTTTAGTGTTTGCTCAAATTGAAGGTGAGACTTTGGGGAAATCTTACTTTGGATCTTCTAGTCTTCATCTAATTAGAATACAAAATTCTAAAACTGTAGTCGCAAATAGCGCCTGGAAAGGAAACAAGGGAGGAAATGCAGAGCTTGATAATGGAAATGTTGGCTTTAAGCCCTCAGAAAAGCTGAGTCTAAGACATCAGGTCGTTGTTCCTCCTGAAGAAGGCCCAGTGAATGATGTAGCCTGGTCTCCAACATCCAATGATTTTCTATTATGCAAGGGAATAATACCCCCAGAGTTAACTTTAAATAGTGGGATTGATGGCTCACCTAAGGTTAGTTTTGGGAAATCTAGAAGAAACACCATTAGATGGAACCCTTCTGGAAAATGGTTTGCTTATGGAGGATTTGGTAATCTTGCAGGAGATCTTGACATTTGGGATATCGAGAAACAGAAGCTTATTGGCCAGACCAATGCTTCTTGTTGTATCACTCTCGAATGGTCAGTTTGTGGCAGATTCCTCTTAGCCTCAACAACATCGCCCAGACTTAGAGTAGATAATGCCGTCCGTATCTTTAGATACAATGGTGACCTACTTAGAAGAGTCAACTTTGATACTCTTCATTCAGCTTATTGGTCACCAAAAACTACCAGTTATAGACACTCAGTGAAATTCAGATCAGTTTCTCCTGGTAGAGAGTTTAACTCTAAACCACAACCAGAAAAGCAAATATATAGGCCCAAATGGGCAAGTAGTGGGTTTGCTGAGAGAATGAGAGCTGCAAGAGACTCCAATCATGTTCCCACTGTCGTTAATGTTCAACAGAAACCCAAAAATGAGTATCTCATCCCTGGGCTCCCAACACTTGAGGCTTCCGCTTCTGCTGCAGCATCTTCAAGACAAAGCAATCACCACCATAAACAAAAACAGAAACCCAAAAAGTAATTAAAATTCGGATTATTTTTTTTCTATATTCTAACACCACTTTACATTATTATAGCTATTCATTGCACCTGATTTAAATGCCGCCCATATGCATGCAATGTGGGGAACTGGTATGCCAAAGGGCGGGTTTTACAGAAAGCCCCCATAAGTATAATTTTTAGAGAGCATTTTAATTTTTTTATTAAAGGGTGGAGGTATTAGAGAATACAGTGGATAAGGACAGTAAACTTACCAGAGTATTTTAATAGTAAGAAATTTTGCTCTTTTTTTGTGTTTCCATTTAGAAGCTTTGTTTTTTTATAGAAAAAGTTAGTAACTCAAGTATAAGAAAAGAGCAGGAGCTTCTGGTTGGAGTTTAGTAATATAGTATTAACTGGTCTATTTAGATTCTGATTCTTTGCGCCAAATTGAACATTAATGTGAGAAAACATGAGAACTTCAAGATACCACCAAATCCTCAACCAGTGGATTGGAAAGACCAAAGGTTTATTGGTTGACGAAAATAGGGATGCTAATAGAGTCCAGTTGGCCGGAGAAAGTAAAGGGGTTGTTGGCAAAGACATTGAGTTAGAATGGGGAACTAAGTGGAGAGTAAAGGACAATGAAAGTGATAACAGAAAGAACGAGAAAAAATTGATTGGTGTGGTTTCAAGTATCCCCTCATTGACTGAAATAATTCGGCCATTTGGGGATCTTCCAAATGAAGTTTATATGGATTTAATGAGCAAATATAAATGCTATTTACACGAACTCAAAATTAGGCTGATTGAAATTTTTCGTATTAATTCTGACAAATTCAAAATTCAGTACAAGTTAGATATAGTGGATGAGAGATTAGCTCTAGTTGAAGAGCTTGGACAAGAAGTATATAAGCTATCAGCTGCTGATCTTGCTAGAATACATACTCAAAAAGATAAGGAGGAATGTCTGATGGTTGACAGACTTATTCCGGTTGTTGAAAAAGCCAAATCACTTATTATTACAGAGGAAGAGAAATTCCTTTTTGAACTTAGCTCAAAGCTTAGAACAAATCTTGATCAACTTACTAAAGAATTTTCTGAGCTACAGAACCAAATCTCACAAGTTGACAAACAACTAAAGGAAGCAGATGAGACTTCTAGTAGCTTTATTGCTGATGCTATTGAGACATTTAGAAAATGGTCAGAAAATGCCAAGGAAGTTATAAAGGCAGTAGAACGAGCCAATTAATTCTGAAACTCTTAATATGGCTATTCATCGTCTCAGCTCTATTTTACATACAAAATATAATTTATTTCATATTTTTTAAGCATGTAAAAAGTTACAATTACATTTACTTATTTTCCTTGATTCTCCAAAATTTGATTTAATTGGCGAGAGAAGAAAATAAAAAGAAAAAAAAAAATAACAGAAACAGAAATAAATGATTATGAAATCTGAATTTTATGTTTATATAAAATTACTTATGAACGGTATGCATGCATGCATGCATGCATGCATATGGTTTCTATATCTTTTTTTTCTTTTCATAAATTGTTGATTAATAAAGCTGTTTGGAAATATCCTCTCCTGTTCTTTCCTCAATATTTTTGATTATTGACTTAGCAATGTTAATCATTTCCTCAGAATGGTCGCTCAAAAGTTCTTTAATAGTTGGAAGAATGTCAGATAAATGAGACAAAATAGAAATGGAACAAATTTCATCTTTCCAAATCTTAAGCAGGATCTCTGCTGAAAACATTCTCACTTGCTCGTTTCCATTCCTTAATTTATTTATCAATAATCTGATTATTCCAGCTAAAATTAAATCATTATTTCTAAAGCATCTAATAGAATGAATCCAAATATCTCCAAGAATAAGATCCCATTGTTTCCCACACCCAGATAAACTTCTGGTAGAATTTGGATCAAATAAAGCAAACATATCCAAATTTGTGATTATTGGATTCACCAAATAATCCTCTATTGAGCTTGGTACATCCTTTGATTCTTCCTTTTGTCCTGATAAATAAAAGTAAATCATTTTTATTAAGATTAAATTATATATACCTAAATGGTACCAATACCAACCAAAGTCATTATCTAAATGACTTAAATTAGCAATCTGTTGATGACTTGGAGATCTTTTACTTGGACTCTGGATATTTCTGTATTGTGAAATCGTAATATTCTGAACACACGTTAAAGCATTCATTTGAGTCAAATCACATATTGACTTGACATCCAATGCTATGTCATCTATGAGGCAGAATACACCATATTCTCCTGTTGATTCAAATACTGCTAGTAAAATTAAAATCCAAATTCTGCAAGAGTATATATCTTTGACTAAATTTGAACTTTCTGAAGCAGAAATCTCTCCATAAAGATCCCTAATTGCTTGTTTATCAGAATTATTTCCTGTCTTTGAATCTCCAGATTTCTTTGTCATTGAGCTTACCTTGGAAAGGAAGCTTTCTCCATTTCTATGAATAAGTCTCTTTATTAATAAGATTAACTCTCTAAGTTTCTTTGCATTTAGTTTTAAAACAAATACTGATAGTAAAGTAGAAATACTTGATTCTAATCTCCAGATCTTAATATTTGAGTTAGAATTATTCAATAATGAATTTGATAGTTTTTTAAGATCTTTAACATCCAAACCAAACCAGTTTGGATTTACAAAAGCATGAGATAATAATACATCTTTCCCAAAAATACTTGAAATAAAACAATAAAGAGACTCTTTTCCACCTTTTTCATTCTTTATATAATACTTATCATTATTATCTTTCTCTTCTTCAGTTCTTTTTCTACCAGATAACTTTTCTTGATTATTTCTAATTTCAGAATCTTGAGAATTATTTTCAACTATTTTTAGATCTGTCTCCTTAATTGAATGTAACTTTGAGAAATTGATGATTAGTAAATTCACAAGTAAAAGATAAAATTGAGAAAATCTTTCAATAAATGACTTTTCTGTTAATAGCTTATCAGCATCGATGAAATTAATGGAAAATGAAACAATCAAAACCAAAATAGCCAATTTAGAATAATATATATCAATTTCTTGTCCAATTAATATATTACTGGTACCTATATTCTCATTAAAATTCAATTTTGAAAATAATTCTGATGAAATTTCTTTAAGTATTTGACTATATCCTCCAATAAAATCCTCATCATAAGAATGAGATGTTGGTGAACTTGTTAAGCTACAGTAAATTATAAGAATTCTTATTATATAACTTTCAAAGGTGTATCCTATCATCTGAGATGAAGATCTTATCTTCTTGTCTAATTCTCCCAAATAGAATCTCAATTTAAAGGTATTATTGTCATTTTTTTGCTTACTTATAGATAAATCCTCAAGATACTCAAAAGATTTGTCTTCTTTATTCTTTTCTCTTTTTGAATTAAATTTAAGCTTTTTTGATCTTTCACTCTTTAAAAGATTAGTTAGTTCAGAAAGATCATAATATGATACCATCTGATCATGTAATAATACATTTACCAAGATTTCTTTTCTAATTTCAGCATTCATCATCACTGAACCTAAATTTGAATTTAATAAAGTACTTAATAAAGCCAAATAAGGTAGTAATAAAGCTTTTTGTGTCACAGAATCCTCATTTTGATTCTTATCAAGGCCTCTATAACTTGAAGTTATCATAGAAATTAATATAGATTTTACTTTTCTATCATTTAAAATATCTTTTTCTATTATATTAATATTATTCATATTTGCATTATTATTTAAAAATTTAATAGTTCGTATTGTATCTTCAAGAATTGTCTGGATTTCACCTAAAATAGAAACAGCCTCTATCTTTTCTAATGTTAAGATCTTTTCTAATAAGAAATTTTGAATTAATGGGATCTTAAATATTAATCCATATCCATCCTGAATATTTTCATGATTCTTATAGAAATGAATTATTCTCGAAAATATTAATTTACTGAATTTATCTTGATATTTTTCTTCTCCTTGTAATACAAAAACTTTTAAAATTAAATCTATAATATACCAATTCTTTATCCAAAGCTTCAATTTAGATTTCAAATCTTCCTTTTCATTTTCAAACTCAGATCCATATTTAGATCCAATATCAGAATCTGATCCCGTTTCCATTCTTTCATCTAACATTTCAAGATCTTTTTCTTTCATTTTATAATTGATTAAATATTTTGGATCTTTATTAGAAACAATTATATCTAAAAAGTATTCTATTGTATTAAAAATTATGGGACTTTTTTTATCATGCTTATTAATTGAATAAGATCCTAAATCAGAAACTTTAATATTCTTATCCAAACATTCTTTTAAAATAATACCCAAACAATCCATTTTATTATTCAATAATATATTATAAAACCTTCTTCTTAAACTTTTAATAACTTGAAAACTTGGATCTTTGGATAAATCCCAATTAACTATCAAATATTTCTTCATATTATCATCCTCTATTATACTTTGAATTAATTGATCAATCTCTTTTTGGATACCCTTATTATCATTAATATAATAATCATCAGTATTATTATTATCTATTACATTGTCTCCATTTCTATCTAATTCAAATGAAGTTAATAAATATTCCTTTTCTAATTTATCAATCCTTGATTTGAGTTTTTCATTAATTTCAAGATCTGTCTCGTTACCTTTTAAAACGGTACCCAATTTTTTAAGAATTCTTTTATTCATTAAAGTTTTAATTAAAATCAAACGGTCAAATAATTCAAGTAAATCTTGAATTTCATTTGATTTTATTTCAGTATTTAATAAAGTTTTATTCAAGAAATAAATAATAGTTTTTGTCATTAATATAAGATTCTCTAAAATGACTTTTTTGGTCTCAAATCCATGATCATTTTGATCATGATCTTCAAATTTCATTAAGATCTCCATTTCATTTTCAACATTAACAAGTAAATCCCTATATACATTAATTCTTGTATCAAACAGCTTATTCTTTAAAAGATGTTTAATTAATATATCAAGATCAGTATATTCAGAATTTTGTTTCATACTTAAATAATATTTAATAATCATGAATATTCCTTGACTCTTTTTAAATCTTTGTTTTTTTTCTTTATAAATTACTTCATTATGTAATTTTTCCATAAAACAAAGTAACTCATTTATTTGATTAAACCTATTTGTTTCAACAATTTCCTTAATTTGTTCACTTATTAAGATTTTGAATAAGATACCCTTGATCCTTTCTTTACTATAATGATCAAAATATATAGAATTTTGTAAACTATAATCAATAAATAGACTAAGAGAATAAAATGTTGACTTTACTGCAAAATTTTTCTTATCGATACCTCCTTTTGTATTTTTTACCAAATTCATATATATAGAAAATAATACCTTACAGATTTTAAAGTATGATTTAGAATGATCTGTTGTATCCTTATTCTTAGGTTTTATTTGAATATTTGAAAACATACTTGTGATTGAAGATACTATCATAGGATTTAACATAAACTTTGATATCACATTTTTGTCATTACTTTTTTCTTTAATCTCAAAGTAATCCAAAATATTCTCTAAATCCTTAAATTGAGTACTTCTAAATTTAATTCCAAATTCTAATATTCTAATTAAGTAAAACTCAATCTTAATTAAAATATCAATATCCATTTCTTCATTAAAATTCTTTAATCTATTTCTATTTATTTCCAAATATCTTAAAGTTTGGCTAACCAAATCTTTGTTAAAGTTATATTCTATTTTTTGATCTTGAGACAATTCTTTTTCTCTTATATTTAAAATTTCTAATGAAACTAAATTTAAATCACAATAAATCCATTCTAATATTATTTGTTCATTTAATCCAATACCCAAATCTGTCTCTAATTGAATTTTAGTATTTAATCCCTTATAATTATCTTTTAAAATACAATATTTTAATAACCCAATAATTAAAAGATCTAATTTTTCCAATGATTTTTCTTTAATATATTGAGATAAAGATATCTTTTTAATATTTTCTGGAGAATAATATACAATTTGGGAAATAATTCCAACTATAAAAGAAACAAATTTGTCATCATTTCTTAAATTTCTTGTAATCTTGTCATCTAAAACTATTAATAATATCTCAATGAAAGTTTGTCTAGCTAGTTTATTCTCCTTAATCAAATCTAAATATTGGAAATCATTCTCAAATCTTTGAATCTTATTCAAATATCCCAAAATTAAATTGTTTCTTGTTTCAATATTTTCTTTATTGTCTATATAATTAAGTAAATTTTCTATGCCTTGCTTTAAAAAAGATAATCCAATAATTTCTGTAGAATTTGAATGTTTATCTTTATGATCAATATCACTTTTAACTAAGAAACTTTGAGCAATTTCTATTAATATTTCATGATAATCAGAATAAATATTTCCATAAATAAGATTTTCTCTTATGTAATTAGACAAAAGATTTAAATTCACCTTAATATCTTCAATTTCTTGATCAAAAATTAATTCAAATATCATAACCAAATTTAATAATAATAAGGTACCGGATACATTATTAGATCTATTGTCTCTAAAAATAATTTCCAATAAATTCTGATTTCTATTTTCAACAATTATTTCAGATTGATGATTTAATAATATATCAATAATTTCCAAAACATTATTAATTTTTGGACCTAATTTATTTAAATAACATGATCTTAAGTTGTTTTCTTGATAATTGAATTGAATACCGGTATCATTAGAATGATCATAATCTAATAAAATATCTGAAAATTTGAGATTAATACCTTTAAATACTTTTTCTATATTAACTAGTTGTAATGTATCTTTAATTGCTTTACAAAGTCTAAAAGATGCCATTTTTATAGACATAGATCTTTGACCTAAGAAAGCTGGTATTACTGCATAAGATAAAGTACTATATAAGATCTTGAGTAAGTTTGAGACAGAAAAAGTATTATTTTTCGAATCTTGTGAAATTGGTAATTTTGAAATAACTATTTCAAGAAAAGAGTAACTATGACTTATTAATGTCTCAGAATAAACATTCTTTCCATAAAATGGTGAATTATATAAATCATATTCAAAATTTGTGATATCAAAGTAGAAGTCATTTTGGGACAAAATATTAAATAAATTTCTTGAAAGATTAGTCACCAAGTTTGAGATCTTTTTATTTCTTATTTTATAATCAGGGTCAAAACAATTATTAAGAATTTGAAATATAGGTAACCCCAAATGATTTATTGAAAGGATTCCAATATCTAAAGTATCTACCAAAGTAATGTTCAATAATTTAGAATCAAATATGTTATTTTCTCTAGAAGAAACAAGATGGAAAATAGATCTCAAAATAGTTAAAACATAAGTACCAACCAAATTGTTTGTTGTTTTTTTATCATCCTTAGATTTGAATAATGAGTTAATATAATAGTACAATTTGTAATATAAGGATTCCAATAAATTAATAATTTGTTGATCATTATTTAAATTTATTCCAAATTCTAAGAAAGAAAGATTAGGTAATAGGTAACTGGATTTAAGATCTGAGTTAAGTTTTTTTAAAGATAATAAAATTAAAGAAAGTTCCAAATAATTTAGATTTGGTTTCATAAAAATTTGTTTAAAGTAGACATGAATCTGATCATGATTATATATTAAGGAAATTAACCTAGATGAAATTTTTTTTAGATCATGAGAAAAAGAAAGATCTTCATGAGAAATTAATGTGAATAGAGAAATAAGAATATCAGAGTTTTCCAAAAGAATTAGATCCAAATCATTCATTTTATTTTTTAATTCAGAGTCAACATTCTCAAAAATTAAAGAAATACTTGTGAATAAATCCATAAACTTTTTCTCAAAATCTTGACCAAATATATGTGAAAATATAGATTCCATGATCATATTTTCAATACCAAAGTTACCATTTTTATCTTTGAAATTTAAACCAAATGAAACTTCTTTTGAAAAAAAGTCAAAAAGAGTAGGATATCCAGTTGTAATTTTAGATCTAAAATATCTAAGAAAACTCTTAAAAATTAGAGTAATCCTCCATTGGTATTGGTGATCACAATGACCTTGATCTTGAGACGGGGAATTTTCAAGATCTAAAAGATGAGAAATTTTTATTGTTTGAGTTTGCCTTAAAATTTGTAAAGCAGATTTCTCATTAAAGTCATTTTGGTTATTATCATTATTAAAAGAACCAAGAAAATGTTTCAATGATAAGTCAAATATCCTTTTTTCAAAATGAGTCATTTCTTTAAAATTCTTTGAAGATTTTTGGATTAAATTGGTAATCATATCCAAACAAGAATTTAAAACAGATGGATCTTGACTATTTAATAAAGTTAAAAACATACGAGAATTTTGTCCTTCTTTAGATTTTAGATCTGAGCCTTCTTCTTTGAGAACAATATCCAAAAACATTTGAGCCTTTTCTTTAAGTTCAAATAATTGTGAGTTTGGAGATGAGGATACACTCAATGAGAAATTGAGAGCAGAAAGTAACTCTGAAGGATAATTTGAATGGATAATTTGAATGATATCCACAAAATATGTATTTTGGATTTGATCTTGAGAATATAAATCTATTAAGGTTAGAATAATAACTTTAACCATTTTAGATTGTCTTCCATCCATTAATAAGAAAGAAGATGTATCTCCTAAAATATTTAAAATACTTTCAATAAAATTAATACATGATTTAGAAAATCTTTGATCTTGGATTATCCCAAAATTAATAATAGATTTAGTAATTAAGGTAAGGATTTGTAGAAATTCACCATCCCAATTTGATAATTGTTTAAAGGTATTAATAAAAACAATTTGTTTTTCAAGTATAAATTGAGATATTTCATGATCTAAATATTCAAGATGTGATAAAGTTCCAAGCTGAGTCAAAATATGATTCATTAATATAATAGTTTCTGGAAGGTAATTTGATGAATTTATATGATTTTTTGAAATAGATTTAAAAAGTTCCTCAATAATTCTAATTTGAATTTCATTTGAAAGATTAAGAAGAGGAGTTGCTAGTTTATATAGAATACAATATCCTGTAGATCTTAAATCTTCATATTGAGATCCTTTTAAACAGGTACCAAATATTATAATTTCAATAATATTTTCAAGAAATACATGTAAATTTTTTAAATCTTTAGATCTGGATAAATCTTCAATAATCTCAATAATTAACCAAGTTATAAGGTTTGTTAAAGCTATATTTTTTGTTAAATGAAAAATCTCCAATCTTTTTTCCCAAAAAACTATAATATTCTTAAAAAGAACTGAATTTCTAAGTAAAATAGATGAAAGATGACTTCTGGAAGTGATCACAGTACCTGTAGCCTTAATTGAATCAACTAACCCTTTAATTTCACTGCTTTCTGGTATATCCAAAGTTTTAATTAACTGACAAAATTCAGCCATATCATGATATGGTAGAAAAGAGTAAAAAAGATATTCCCCTAATAAAACATTGATATCATAGGCTTGAATTAAATACTCTATACAGATCTTTGTAGAATCCAATAAGAAATAAGGTACCAAAAAATCTACAAATCTTTTTAATTTTTCCAGCCTTTCTCCAGCTTCTTGTGCTGTCAACATTTGAATTGAAGAGATATCAGTATTCTCAAAAAATTCATTAAAAGCTTCATGAGAAATTCTCGGATTTAGAGATTCTAATTCCGAAAGACCTTGTTCTCCAAGGTATCTTAAACGGCCAAGATCTTCATAAATTGGAATTCTATTTTCAGCTGTAACTCCCTTTCTTGCATAAAACTCTGTTTTAGTGTCAAAAAGAAAAGAAATCCTTTCCTTCTTGCTTCTATTCACCTTTAAAGCTCTTTGGGATAAAAACGCCAGCTCATTGTTTCTTAACTGAGAATTTATTTGTTTCTGTAACTCAGTAGACATTCTATTATTCTTCTCACCTTTTATTATTTTCTTCTAATAATTACTCATAAAATTCAGATTTCGGATAAAAAACTCACAAAAGATGTTGTCTTTATTACCTGCCTAAGCTTCTTCCCTGTTTTATTAAAAAAAATATTAAAAAGAAAAATATAATCTATTTTCTAGTTTTTTATTGACATTTTAATAATTTCGATACCCCTTTTGGCGCGCGGTTGCATTTAAATTAATTACCGGTATTAAATTTAATCAACAAAATTATTATTTCATTACCTTTTTTCTCTCTTAAAAATTCTTTGCTTTACAAATATGAATATTATTAGATTCATTTTCTCTTTAATATATTTGTATTATTCCATTTATTTCAAACCCTTCTTCATTATACTAGCTTTGCTACTATCTTTATCAGTGTGAATTTTTTTAATCATTATAATTTGCTTAGGAATATAATTAATATTTATTATATATTAACCACATGAATGCTTTACAGAATGAACTTTCCATAGTATTAATTATTTCAGCTGTAAAATTTCACCTTACTATTACATGAGATTTAATATTCCAAGTTAAATTTTGGATGTTAACATATTTATTTGAATAATTTACAAATATTCATATGAAATTATATGTGTATTAATAATTGAATGGTAAAAGAAGTAGATTAGTAATGAATATAACCAGAATGTTAGTTTTACTCTTAAAAATAATAGATGTCCGTGTATATATATGTTTTAATGCATATTATATGTTGAGTAAAAAAATTAAGTAGTAATTAATCTTTAATTCTTATATATTTTTTTTATAAATTTTGAAAGAATTGGAATTATTATTCAATTTTATTCTCTGTGAATAATAAAATATAAGAATTAAAACCTCCCAAACTGTTTGATATCGGAAACTATAATTATTAATAAATTACTTATGTTGAGCTTTAGTATATTTGATAACATCCATTGGACCAAAAACTGTAAGAATAACTGGAAGAATGATAGCACCATAACAAATTCCAATGCAAACAACCAAAGTCATCATCTTGTAGAATGTCTGAAGTACATATGAATCTGAGAATGCCAATACAGTTACTGCAAATTGAGTTGACATTGCCCCATGAAAAATTGGAATCCCCATTAATCCTTAAATTACCAAAGAACAATCCAGAAATATTTTAATTAATTGAACAATTTAATTAATTTGACTAAACTTACCCAAAGTTTCAATAACTCTTGTATTCCTATCTTTACCCGAACAATGTGCAAAACAATGGCATATATGGGTGGAATAATCTACAGAAATACCAATAGACATAATCAAATTAACCATTGTAAGCATATTTAGTTGAAGTCCCCATTGAGCCATCATCCCAATTATACATACATCTACCATACATAGAATAATAATAACAATGATGACTGAAGATATACTTGGCATTAATATTAAGGAAGCCTGAAAAATTAAAAGGTAAAAAATAAAATTATAATAATTTATTAAGAGAAAACTTACAAGTAAAACTGCAATTAAAGCACATCCCATATTGTACAGTGTTTGAGGAAGTATTGATACATCACTTTCATAAAATATAAACAATGGACTGTAAGCGATTGGTTCTTTAACTCCTGGTACAGAATCCATAATCTTTCTTATATCGGTCATATACTTTCCTCGAATAGACGTATCTGGAAGATAAATTGGAATCAAGACAGATCTCCAAGCCTCGAGTTCTCCAGTATTTTGATTAAAAACAAAATCATCTTCAAAGTGCCGATTATATGGGGAGCTAATAAATGCTTTAAGCATCTTTGAGTATTCAACAGAATTCTTTGGAAGTCCTTTAACTAATAAAGAATCATAAAAAGCGACCATACCATCAAGTTTAATCTCAGTAAACCATGAATCATGAATCTTTGTTTGTAACTCTTTATAATCGTGAATAAATGAGTCATCCCACCAATTATTATTATTTTTATCTCCTAACTTTTGTGAAGCTTGAAACATCATATATGTTACATCTCCGTACTTATTAAATAATTGTTCATGGTTAACATAAAACTTGTAAACTTGGGAGCTTGGGGGAGCTAAAACCTTTAAATCAAGCCCCATTTTAAGTTTTATAGACGAATAAATTGAAATAGCTAGGAAAATGGATGCTAGAATAAATATAATCACTCTTGTTGAAGTCATTGTAAGAAAAGTTGCATAATATTTAATTACAAATCTTCGACTCTTTCTACCAATATTTTGTTTTGTTTCCATAGGAAAAATAGTTAGTTCAGACTCTGATGAACCTGTTGTGGAATCCGATGAAGAACTTGATGGTGTAAAATGAGAATTAGTTGGTTGAAGATTGTTTTCTGAGATATAAGACCCTTCTGAATTTGGAGAACTTAACAACAAACTTTCAGTTTGGCTTTTTGGAACCATTCCTCTATCCCTTTTAAGTTGTTCTGCAGTATAGTCAGAAACTTCAATATTCTCAGTAAGTTGAATTGAACTATGAGCATTTGACCTTCCTCTCTTATAATGAAGCAATCTTGTATCCAGAATATCTGCAAAATTTGGAATTACCTTCATTTCTTGTGACTTATTTTCACTTTTAGCTTTATTGTGTTCATTTTTCTTTTTATTAAACTTTGAATTGTTTTTTTCAGATTTAGAAAGATTGACTATTTTATCCTTTAATTTATCTATCTGATTCAGTGAATTCAAATTATTGGGAAAAATCTTTTCATCATTTTCCAAACATTTTTCAGAGCCATAATTTGAATATTCTTGTCTCTGGGTTTCAAAAATATTTTCTTTTGATTGTATTGATGATGTTTTGTTACTAAAAAGAGTACTTGGAGGCCCAGAATTGTTCAAGTAGGTAGTATTTCGAGTATGATCTTCGCTTCCAGAAGCTTTATTTTTATATAGCATTTTAATTTTATCGTTTTTATCAATTACCTCTTCCTCATCTATTGGACTATTGATTGATGCATCCTCAAAGTTACTTGAAATTTTTGAAATCTCAATTTCATTAGAATCGCCATTTTTAACAGAATTGTTTTCAATCAAAATTAACTCTTGTGTATCAACTTTTGAATTGGGATGTTTATACTGAGAAACCAGAAATCCAATTAAAGCTACAGTGGAGAACTTCTCAACAGGCACCACCATATCAGGAACTAGTGGATCTGGATATTTATGATTTGTGAAAAATTCCCTTCCAAAAATTTTGATCATTTTTTTTTCTTCAAGTCTTGCATCAATGCAAAGCACTCCCAATAATATGGTCAAGCAGGTTATATAGCCAAATAATAATCCAACAAAAGTTAGAATACAGAAATTTTTGATTGCTAAGTATCCAGCTGATGTTCCAATTGCAAATGATAATAAATTAGTCAAAGTTGTAAGAGAAATTGATAGTCCACAGTCTCTGACAGCAGAAACAATTCTATCTTCAGCATTCTTTAATGGATAAGTCATGTTAAATGAGTTAATTACGACAAAAGAATCGTCCATTCCAACTCCAAGTACTAGAAATGGAGCTGCTGAGGCTGTTGATGTATGTTCTAGACCTGCCAAATAACACAATCCAGCTCCCCCAATAAATGCCAATAAAGCTGCAATAGCACCACATACTCCACTGGTTGCTCTTGAAGTATATATATTACTACCATAACCAACAGTCCAGCCATAAATCAGTAATATGACAACAAGAGAACCAATAATTGCGTAATCTTTTAGAGTATGAATATATGTTTGCTCGGTAAGTTCATCGCTCAGAGCTCTCCTTGCGTTGAAAAATAACGAAAGTGGAGCATTTGATGACTCTCCTTTAAATAAGTACTTGGTTGCTCCTTTACTTATTCTTTTTATATTTGGAATTGATGATGATTGCCAATTTCCTGTCTTATTTTTAATGTGGACTTTTTCAGTATTCGTAATATAAATATCATCTAAGCCATCATAAATAAAATCATCATTAGAGATGTACTCAGTACCATTTTTTTTGTTATTATTCTTCTCAGATGTGTATGTTCCTGAACCAATATCTAAGTCACTGGCAAATGCCAAGAAATTGGATCCATCCCTCAAATCGTCTCCATAATCACCTTTTTGTAATCTTCTCTGCACCTTCTCACAATATTTCATAAATTGTTCTTCCCATCTGAACGAAAATTTCTTCATTTTATCCTGATCTGAAAGCTGATATTCTAGAATTGCTGCTCTGGAGGCCTTAACATAATCTGTTTTATTCTCATATTCCATTCCTGTTGGTGAAAGCCACATATCAGTTCTAAAAGATTGATAAGTTAGTGTGTTAATTACGTAAGGAGCAGGGATTGGTTTTCCAAAGTCCTTTGTATCTTTGTACATCCACAAAATCCCAGATGGACGTCTACATGAGCCACCTTGAACTCTTGCGCAAACATGACTGAAATTAAATTTATACTTTTTCACAATTTTTCCTGATGAATCCTTTTCTTCAACAATTTGTGGTGCAATATAGTCATTTTTTGTAAACATTTCTATATCCAAATAGTGCTTCTCCTTTTCCTTTGGTTTAAGATTACCTTTAGAATCATAACGAGTACTATTCCGGTTAGTTTGATTGCTACTTCCGAATTTGTTCTTGTTAAAGTTCCTTTTTGCTCCAAAACCAAACTTTTGTCCAGGAATCAACTTCCTCTTTATTAATTCATACTCCTCAATACTATTCATTTTTATGATTGGATCTTCTAGAATACTCCTTAAATGCCCTCCTTCTTCCGAGGATGTACTATTCAAATGATTTTCGCCAGTGGCTCTATTTTTTGATGATGTACTATTTCTCAATTCGTTATATGCTTCCAACAGTTCCTTGGCTTCGCCTTCATTCAATGTAAAGGTTAAATTCATTAAACCCTCATGAAAACTTTTCATAATATGCAAATTCTCATTTGTAATAACTGAACCATCTGTCATAGACTTGAAAATCACTATTTCATGCCTCGTTCTTGCCCCTGGAAATGCTGAATTATAAAATTTTTCATCATTTTTTGCTTTGCTGTTCGGTAGAGCAAACTGTCTTTCAGAATCCTCAACTGGATGTCTAAAAAAATGGCCTAAAAAAACAGTTATTTGTCCCAAAAAAATGACCGAGCTTTTTTTTTTAGATTCTGATTATCAATTATTTAAACTTACCTATGCCCAAAAAAAGACAAATTAATGTCACTACAACGATTACTGCCACCGAATGTCTGAATACAAACCTGGAATACACCATAAAAAACCTTTCAAAGCAATTCAAAGTTATCATTTTCCACCTTCCATGAAATATTACATCCACACACTTTTGGAGAAACCTAGCTGGCATTTTTATTTTTTCTATTGTTGATTTTATTGTTGGAAAACTGCTTTCTGAACTCTTTATCATCTTTACTTGTCTATTTTCATCATCTTTAGTTGCAAAATTTATGTTTTCTCTTGCCAAGCTAGTCAAATCTGACTCTGAATGGACGAATACCCCAACATCTTCACCATCTTTATTATCTGTTTTACTTGTTACATTTGATTCACTCATTTGAGAAACCTTTTCTTCTTCAAAAGATTTTTTCACTTAAAATATTTTTTTTCCTGTTATTTCATGTGGAAATTTATTTAACCTATCAGTGATTTCTCTTAGTTGTTATATAGCCAGATTATTTATTTCCTCTATTCCTAAATAATCCACGTCAAGAAAGACCTTTAATATTTTATAGCTTAATAACTATTTTTATCTTTCATAACAGAAAAAATTTGCTATTTTTATTTTAACTAGTTTTTTTGTCAAATTTTCTTACATGCAACTTTTTTAAATTTATCGTTTTTTTTTATCCACATGCAACTTATTTAAAATAAGGTAATTTGCATGCGCAGTTATGCATGCAATCATTTTTCTAATAGTTACATGTAAACACCGGTATTAGAAATAGAAAAAATATTATTTCATGTGAAAAAAATGATTTGGTATAATATTAAAAAAAAAAGGAGATAAATAGGGATTCATTTAATAAAAACCTAAAAAATTTCATATAATTTATAATGTATGTTAAATATTAATTAAAAAGTTAATATTTTTAAAAGAAAATGTATTATTAGTATTCAGTTTTCTTTTTAAGTTTATATATGAATGCCAATGTATTTAAAAGCATCAATAACCCATTTTGGAATACCTTCCTTTATTTCAGAATCTGTTAGATGATCTAATTCAGTAGATGAATAATAATTTTTTACAAATGATTTGCAATATTCTTCAAAATTTTGGTTTCTAATTGCGTTTCTCATGTCGTTACAGAACTCCATCATGAAAGATATATTGTGAATTGTCATAAGTTGACATGCCAGTGAGTCTTTTAGTACAATTCTGTACAAAGCGGCCCTGGAGTAATGTTTACAACAGTAACATTTACATCTGGAATCAATTGGCCTAATATCATCTTTGTACTTACTTAATTTTAGTTTTAATAGCCCATTATGAACCATAGCTGTTCCAAATCTTGCAGTTCTACAAGGGTATACGCAATCAAACATGTCAGCTCCTAGAGCTACACAAACCAAAATATCGATAGGATATCCAACTCCCATCACATATCTTGGCTTGTTTTCAGGAAGGCCAACTCCAGATCTTGTGCATAACTCGATAATTTGCCAAAAGCTGTCTTTGCTTTCGCCCCCTGAAAGACCTCCAATTGCGTATCCTGGAGTATCTCTCTTTTTAAGACTTTCTAGAGATCTCTCTCTCAGATCTTTAAAGATTCCTCCTTGGACAATTGCAAATAAGTTTTGTTTATCTGGCTTTTTGTGAGCCTTAATACAACGATCCAGCCATCGCGTTGTTCTATCCACTGCTTCGTCAAATCTTTGATAGTCAGTTGATTTAGCAGTAATTACATCATCTAACTGCATGATTATGTCTGCTCCTATTGCATTCTGAACTTCGATCGATTTTTCCGGTGTAAATAGTAAATTTGCATTCGTGTATGGGTGTCTAAATTCAACTCCTTCTTCTGTAATATCTGCAAATTTTAATAAAGATACCATCTGGAATCCTCCACTATCTGTCAAAATGTTCCTATTCCATCTCATAAAGTTGTGCAAACCTCCCAACTTGTCAATAATCTCATCTCCCGGCCTGCTTCCTAAATGATAAGCATTCCCCAATAAAATAGGTACATTTAACTCTTCAACTTGGGAAGAAGAAAGCCCTTTAATAGACCCATGAGTAGCAACTGGCATAAAAATTGGAGTATCTACTCTTCCATGAGGAAGGTTTAATACTCCATATCTCGCTCTTCCGCAGCTATAAGGTACATAAAAAGATAAAGCTTTCCCTGTTTCAATGGGAAGTAAAGGAGGGAGAGATTTTGAGTCCTGATTATAAGACTCACTATTCTCTCCACCAATTTTGTCTTTCATAAAGTTATTCCAAATCAAGCCTAGATTGTTTTACCTTTTTTATTTGCAATTTTTCTTCTTTTCGATTTCATTTTTAGTTTTCGCCTAAACAATTTTGGCGCCAGGTTATTTTCTGATTGTAGGCACGGCTTACTTGTACATAATTATAAGTGAGAGACTATTCACATTCAAAATAAGGATAAGAACACTCATTAAATGAAAGATGGTTCGGTTTTTTATAGAGGAATTGGAAGTGTTCTTTCCATATGAGAATGTTTACCCTGAACAACTTGAATACATGAAATACTTAAAGCAGATTCTTGATGCTCATAGTCATGGTGTTCTCGAAATGCCTACAGGTACCGGTAAAACAGTTACCTTGTTATCTTTTATTACATCTTATCAACTGGTTCATCCCAATATGGGTAAGTTGATTTACTGTACTCGTACTGTACCAGAAATGGAAAAGGCTCTTCAAGAACTCAAAATAGTTATTGAATATTGTAAAAAGGAAATAGAGAATGATAAGATTAAGTCAGAAGTTGCACTAAGGGGTGAAAATGAGTCTTCTTCTCCGTTAAATTCTGGGCATCCTTTTAATGCAGCTTCCATATTAGGAATTGGAATGACAGCCAGAAGAAACATGTGCATCAACCCTAGAGTAGCTGTGCATGCTGACAGAGACAAGATTGATTCCATGTGTAGATCAATGACGGCTCCTTGGGTAAGAGCAAAATATCAGATGGAAGCAAGAGAGAGGAATTCTATGAATGAGGGAGAAACTGATTCTTCAAAAATGACGGAAATTGCTGATATTGAAGAAATGTTAGACTCTGGATGTACAACTTTGTGCCCATACTATGAGGCTTATGAAAGGGTATGGAATAGTGATCTTGTACCTACAGGGGTTTATACTATTGACGAGTTTAAAGATTTTAGTAAGAATTGGGAACATCCAATATTAGGAAAGAAAATCCAATTCTGCCCATATTATGCTTCTAAAAGACTTATACAGACTGCTAAAATTGTCGTACTTAATTACCAATATATTCTAGATCCAAAAGTTGCTCAGGCTTCGTTATTGGGAGGTGGAACGGTATCTCAAGGATTTAGCCACGGTGCGAATCCAAATGGACTTAACCTTGGCTCCAAGTTAGCAGCTTCTCTTTTTCCTGAACAAGAGGGAGCTAAAGAACCAAGTGTTGTTGTCTTTGACGAAGCACATAATATAGATAATGTTTGTATTGAAGCTTTATCTGTTAATATGAATAGACAAATCTTAAATGGTGCAGCACGTAATTTAAGAACTCTCAAATCAGAAATTGAAAATCTATCTTCCTTAGATGAACAGAGACTACAAGATGAATATACTAGATTAATACAAGGTCTTAGAAACTCTGGACAGATTCAGGATGAAGCTGTTTTACAGGACCTTGAAAGGTTTCCAGTGCTTCCTGATGAAATGGAAAAAATTAGGAAAGGTCTAATTCCCGGATCAATTAGAAGAGCTGAGCATTTTATCACAATTATGAAAAAGCTTATTCTATATTTGCAAGAATATATTCGAGTTTACTCAACCAGAATTGAAGGTCCTCTTACCTTTGTTAAGCATATTGAAGCCTCTTGTTATATTCAATCTGGGCTCCTTAAGTTCTGTGATGAGAGACTTAGATCTTTATTGAACACTTTAAGAATAGTAGAAAGCGACCAATACTCTTCCCTTGAATTAGTTTGTACATTCTTCACTATTTTAGGAAGCTATTCAAAGGGATTTATTGTTATTGTTGATCCTTATCCCGAGGTCTCTGGACTTTATGACCCGGTAATACAATTGAGTTGTTTAGATTCATCTATTGCTATGAGGCCAATTCTGAAGCGTTACCAAAGTATTGTATTAACATCAGGAACTCTTTCTCCATTGGATCTTTATCCGAAATTACTAGGATTTATTCCCGTTATTAGCCAAAGTCTGACGATGACTTTGGATAGGACATGTATTTGTCCTTTAATTGTTACAAGAGGATCTGACCAAACACCTCTTTCATCCAAATTCGAGTCTAGAGGTGACGTCTCAATTCAACAGAATTATGGTAAACTTATCTTGGAAATCACAAAAAAAGTCCCTGATGGGGTAGTTTGTTTTTTTTCATCTTACTTATATATGGAGCAGATGCTTTCACAATGGTACGAGTCAGGAATTTTGGCACAAATTATGGAACATAAATTAGTGTTTGTAGAAACTAAGGATATTGTGTCCACAACTTTAGCTCTACATCACTATAGGAAGGCATGCGATATCGGGAGAGGAGGTATATTCTTTTCTATTGCTCGAGGAAAAGTTGCAGAAGGAATTGATTTTGATAGACATTATGGAAGATGTGTCGTAATGGTCGGTATTCCTTACCAGTACACACTATCAAAGATTCTTCAATCAAGACTTAGTTTTCTTAAGGAGAATTACGGGATCCAGGAAAACGAATTTCTTACTTTTGATGCAATGAGACAAGCATCTCAGTGCGTTGGTCGTGTTATTAGATCAAAAGCAGACTATGGTTTGATGATTTTTGCCGATTTAAGGTACAATAAAAAGGACAAAAGAGAGAAGATTCCTCCATGGATTTTGAAACATCTCAAGCCTGAATATTCGACTTTATCTACTGACATGGCAGTTTCTATTTCTTCAAATTTCTTAAAACTAATGTCACAACCTTATACTATTAGTAAGTCAATTATTAAGCCAAATTCTGAGTAGCTTTTCTTTAGCTATCTAAACTTGTTTTTATTTAAATATGTATAAATTTTATTTTTTAGAATACTGTTTAATACCCTCCACTTTATACCATTATTATTACATTGCATAGGCTACATGAAAATATGTTTTAACTAATTACGTGTCCATGTTTTTTGTAAATAAACAATAACAACATTGCATGCATTGCATGCACACAAAAATATGCCACGTAATTGGGCAAATTTAATTTGCATGAGTTAGTGGAAATAATTCCGCATACCGGTGTACAGAGAATGTTAGAGAATAAGTTTAGAGAAAAATTATTGTTTTGATCAATTAAAAAAAAATTAGTTATAATTTCAATAGAATATAAATCTATCTGATACTGATTTATCTGTTAATAATAGATAATAAGAAATGATTAGGATTGTTTGGAATTCAATCCACATATAATAAATAAATAGAAGCGAATTATCCAAAAGAAAAATAGTAATTGAAATAAAAAAAGTCAACAAGTTTGATTAAACAAAATAATCCGGAACTGGAAGCTGATTTTCCTGCCTCGGAAGTACTTTCTCAGGTGCGTGGTCAAATTGGAGAAATGTAAAGTTTCCCAAATCATCGATTCTTAAAATAGCAGCTTGGTTCTCGCACCTGTAACAATAATTAGGAGCAGAGAATACGGTTACAACATTCTTATTATGGGACCATTGATAACCATCCAGAATTAACTGGTGGGCCCTACAAATGAGTTGCAAATTATTTGTATGGTTAAACATTTCACTCACATCCTCTCCAAAAGTATATCCTGCCCCTCTGTGAGAAATTCCCCAGCCATAACGCTCATCAGGGTCTGACCATAAAAGGTCGCACATTGGTCCCTCATGAGGGACCTCCTGAATTCTGTCTAAACTCTTAATGGAGTCTAAACTTGGAAGACTTGGAGACAAACCAGCATGTGGACAGAAGATCTTATTGTCAATCAATGCTGATAATGGAAGATAATCAAAAAGATCAGTAAAATATCTCCATACATTTGGAGTTCCATATTTTCGAAGGCATTCATCATAGAATCCATAAACCTGTGTAATTTGACGGCTTTCGTGGTTACCTCTGATTAAAAAGACTCTATTTCTATACCTAACTTTTAGAGCAACAATGAGAGTTACAGATTCAACTGAATAGTATCCTCTGTCAACATAATCTCCAAGAAACAAAAAATTGGTTTCGGGAGGAACCCCTCCAATCCTAAATATTTCTTTAAGATCAAAGAACTGTCCATGTATATCACCTACAACTGTTAGCGGAAGACCAATTTGCTGTACGTTTTGTTCCTCTTCTAGAATCTCTTTTGCTAATTCACATAGCTGTTTTATCTCGTTTTCCGAAAGGGTTTTGCATTCAAGCAAAGTAGAAATCTCTCTATCCAATTTTGACGAGTCCAGATATGCATCCAAGCCCTTTGGCATCGTTGAAAAAGGTTGTCTTTCTCAGATCCAGGCTTTTTCCAATCTAAACCCTACCTAACCCTATTGCCTTATATTACTCTATTGCAAAGAAATGATTTTCGTTTGCTACTTGCTCGGCATCCAACCTTCCCTGCCTTTCTTTACTGAGAACTCTTTTTTAATAATAATCCTTTATTCCATTTCATAGAATAAAAGCCTTAATCAACTTTGCACTTTGTGTTCCCCGTCCTTGTTCCCGGATCCCACATATTTCTGCATTTTTTGGCGCCATTTAATATTATACATAAATGTATAATAAATAATAATAGTAATAGTAATAGTAATAGTAATATTGATATAATATAATATTATTTTATTTTATACATAATGTTCTGCTCATTGTTAATTTTATTGAGTATAGTAGGCATATAGTGTATATACTCAAACGAATATATATATATTATATATATATATTATTATTATTATTATTATTATTATTATTGTTATTGTTATACCAATTAATAATAAATACAATTTTACATTTATTTATTTATCTGTTAATAGGGTGTTATTAAATAATATTTAAGAATAATTAGAGAAAATTTTTGTTTGAAATTAATAATTGTTATTATAATTAAGTAGGGGGTAAATATAAAAAAAAAACTTATCTAATTATTATTACCTTTTTGTTTTCCAATTAATTACAATTAGTATTGTTCTTTTGAAATAGGTATGTGAATTAATTTATATAACGTAACCACAAACTTTATATTGGGTTATTTAATTGTTAACGAGAGTATTTTTGTGTGTAAGTAATGTATTCTTATAGATAAACTATGTCTGTTCGAGGAATTAATCTAGATTTGTTATATTATTGGCCGCTTGTAACCTATCTAGTTCTCTAGCCATTGAGTGTAGTGAGGAGGACGCAGGAACAGTGCAAGGACTCCATAAACTACTGTGATATAAATTGCTGTCTGAAATGTACAAAATACTGTTTTTGAAAGGTCTTGATTCTCCTCTAGAAACACTCTTGGCTTTTGGTTCCAAATACAGTGAAGGACTACTAGTACAAGGAACGAACTTTCCAACTGGGTCAGTATTTGTAACAGTTCCGAAATAGTTGGTGAGAGAAATATTCGACTCTAATATATGAGCAAAGTGTACAGCAGAACAATTCGATAATGATTTCTGGTTCTTTTTAATAATATCCTCAATATTATCAAATAGTGGAGAGATAAAACTGATAAATTCACTAATAGTAATTATGATATTTTGACTATCAATTTTTAATTCTTCAACTCCTTCTTTAATCTTCAAATGGTAAATGTAATTGTTTTTGTAGGTTTCTATTGAGTTGCAGATTCTTTGAGTTTTCCCCTTATATTTATCAAATATCTTTGTATCTACATTTAAGTTATTATCTTGACAAAAGGAATTATGTTGTTTCTTTGCCCATTCCTCAACTGATTTTAGTGTTATTGACCCTTTATTATCTGGATCAAATAACGAATAAAGCTTATAGCACATAAAGAGAGTATATGGGCTTGATTTTTCTGGCAATTCAAAGAAATTTTCCATGTCATTTAAATCATCTGAATATATTTTCGCCAAATTACTGATTTTTGTATTCCTCTTTGCCATAAAATCCTTCACTTTGCAAACAAACCATTTTTCCTGACTCATTGTTCCAATTTTTCTAAAATTCTGTTTTTATAATTTTGTAAAAACAACCAGATGGTACTCTAATATGTCTTAATCTTAACTTAGGATTTTTTTTTTTTTTTTCCACACAAATACTTTTATTATTACATGTAAATCCAGATTCGGTACTTTGGCGCCAATGCAAATTGCAATAATATTATTTTATAAATGTTTGAGTGATAATATTAGGGAATATTTCTCTAATAAAAGAATTAAGCAAAATTAAATTATAATAAATTATAGATAGTAAATATTAATTTCTTTATATAATTAATGGGGGAAAACTCTATCCTTAAATTATTTACAGATTTCTTGCAAAGTTAATAATATATCTAAATCTATAAATGCATCATGGGAAATTTAATCAATTTACTACTATATAAATTATTTATATTGTAAGTAGCATTAAAGAGCTTGCTAATTCCAGATTAATCATGATAGATGGGGAAGATTATTTTATTGATGGAGGAATATGTATCTAATATATTAGTATTAAATGATAAAAAGATCAAATGCAAAAGATTTAAATCTTCTCTATAAGTTATGTATTACAGATAGCAAATTGTAATGTGAGAAAGTGGAAGAAGAAATAGAGAGATTTCAAAGTAAGATCACAATTTGTTAGAAAATTTGGAACAGAGGAGTAATGAACTAGCATAAAGAGATAAGTAACAACACAATATATTGCTCTTATTAGTATTCTAAGAAGGAAGTTTCTCCAAATGAGGGTTTTTAGAATTTTTACCTCTTTATTAATAGAAAAGTGTTAAAAGTCTTATAGAAGAATAAAACAAAGAAATAAATTGATACTCATAATAATTTTATTCTTCATCATCATCCTCCTCCTCCTCCTCATCTTCTTCTTCCTCATCATCATCGTCGTCATCAGCATCTTCATCTCCACCTTGAGTTGGTTCTTGTTCATCTTCTTCCTCGTCATCATCATCATCTTCTTCTTCATCATCATCATCCTCATCATCATCAATATCATCTAACTCCTCTTCTTCTGATGGTAATCCATCAAAGTCGTCTTCCTCTACATCAACTTCTACAGAATTCTTTTTTAAGCTGGTTTCCTCCTCGTTTCCCTCAGAGTCCACCTCAGTCTCTTGTACACGTTTTCTCTTATCCCCTGCCATATCGACTTTTAGAAGAAATTACTTAAAAAAAGAACTTTCTTATTGAATTAATTAAATTATTTTTTCTTAACGATTATATAAGAGAAATCACCTGCTTGTATTATACATATAGACTATACATTTTTATATTACTAGTCACTAGTCCGCCATTGCCATTATTACATATATTCTAACTTATTTTATTATTATTATTATTATTGACATTTACCTTCAAATGCAATTGTTGATTGCACAATTTATTATTTAATTCTCCTTTATTTCAGGTAACCTTAGAGGTGAAAGTATGTGTCCCAAATTTCCCGCCATAAGGCGGGAATGAGCACCTATAATATTTGTTTATTTTGGGAAAGCTCAAAAGGAAAAACTGAAGAAAAAGAGGAAAAAAATCCGAAAAATAGAAGCACCGCACATAATTTGGGGAAATCTAACTAAGACTAGAGAATGCTCAGAATCTGGAGCACGAAATCCATATTAAGAAATATTTTAACTAGTTCATGTTTTTAAGGATGGCGCGCGGGCAATAATCGTCATAGTATTTTATTATAAATAGATCTATTAGTTGGTGCAATATTAGAAAATGCTCAGAGTTTAAAATGATGAGATTTAATCATTTTCCTCTTATTTTGAGAGGATGAGATCTGGAAACATGGTTTTAGAGTGTTTACCTATTATTTAGCTCTATTATAATATATTCTGTGTATTTTTTATTTAGTAGACGTTTTTTTGTATTTCAAACATCTTCCAAACTTCTATAATACAATACCTTTTGTATATGCATCTAAATAGACCTCCAATTTCGTCTTTTTGGTTTCCAAATCCACAACTAATAAAGAACCAACTTTATTCATCCTGCAATTTACATTGTCTCAATTATTATTGTTTTAAAGTGCTATAGTGGGTTATGGCGCCAACTTTGTGAGTAATTATTGCTCACAAAAAATTAATTATTAGTTTTGGCATGAAAAGCACTGAAAAATAGACATAAATTTTAAGTGTGATTTAGGATTTAAGTTTTGTTTGATCAATGAGTTCCTTAGTGAATGTAAGTTTTGCTAGGAAGGGTTGAGCAATGTTTTTAACATGGCTTAAGCCCATCAATACTGAAAAATATTAATAAAAAGGTTTAATATTTTAAATTGAATCGTAGGGATTATCTTCAGAAATTTCTCTTAGTGGTGGGAAAATGAAATACGAATTGGATTTTAGGAATGACCAAGTTATCTATGGGGTTCAAAATGTTCAAAAGGAAAATACTTACACAACTGTAAAAGCAGCGGAAATAAGTCCATTGAGATCTGGACTTATGATTAACGAGGAATCCGAAGGAAAATTGGGTGTTGAAACCAATAATTCTCGTGGAAAGGCCTCTATTGGTCTAAATAATGGCTTTTGCGAGAATTATTACTCGGGACTTCCAATTCAACAGCAGCCACAAGTTTATTATCAAACCAAGAACATTCCCATGGCCAGTGATGCAATAAATACTGGCCAAAATGTCCCTATTGGGGATTATAATATGTCCTCATTACACTCTACTGGGGCAATTTTCCAACAGAGTGAAAATGCAAATTTTGTGGCCAATACGAATCCAGGAATACAAATTAAAAGGCTCAACATTCCTTCCAATAGTGTTAAGTCAGTTTCTACGATTCCGTCTAGCGGAGTAAATGAACTACCTACTAAAGTTGGAGGCTCAGGATATGATTTTAGAGATGGAGGAGTAATAAACGGGACTTATCAGCAGACTTTTCAGACTCAAAACTTAGTCAGAAATATCACAGGAAATTCTTCAAATCAACAAATTTCAAGAATCAAAAATGCCAACTTTCCAGAAAATCTTAATACGAACACCGACTCATCCATGCTTGCCACTAACCCCAGTAATACTAATGGCTATTTCTCTGAAAATAATCTATCAAGCTCCAGAACAAAAGAAGAGTATTTACATTACGAACAATACTCCAACGTTAATACAAATAGCTTAATTTCACAACAAAATTCAAACTTTCAGGCTAATTATCAGTCTAACAATTCATCTAATGCCCCATTCTTTTCAACTAACTGTTCAAATCCAAGCCAAATAAACTCTTTAATAAATCCTCAGTATCTGAATTCAGTCCCTCTTTTGGCTCAAGTTAGGATAGAAAGTATCCAAGATTTACCAAACAACATCCAACACCATTCCATGAGTATTTATAACTCTATCACAAATATGGACTACTCTATTGTTGCTAGTTTTAACAATATTGATGATAAGAACGAAACTTATAGAATTGGTCCGTTCCCAAGTAGTAGTATGATGAACTCAAAACTTACCTGTATAGTACAGGATGATATTTCAATTCCTTTCTCCTGGTCCCAACCGGTTCTGAAACTCAAAATAATTGAGGAAAATGATTTCAAAGCTGATATTATAGGAGTCTGCTCGATCACTATTGATATAAATTCCGTAGGGATCCCTTCTCAAGCTTATCTGATAGATCCTCAAACTAATCAAGTAAGAGGAATTTTGAGATTTGTTGTAAAGTTGGTCCCAAACCAACAAAATCCAAACTATAGGTTTGATCAGATTCATGGCCCAAATTCCATACTAAACAGGAGATACACTAATGATAATTCAATTTTTAATCTATTTAAGGGTTTCTGCTGTGCAGACTAACATCTTAGTTTTCAAATCACTAAATCTAAATAGTATTTGTAATTTAGTCTAAAATTTTTTATTTTATTTAACTATTATTAATATTTTATTTTTTAAAAATTTAATAAAAAATCATTTTTTGCATGTAAACCGGTATTACGCAATTACCGGTGTCAAAATGAAAAGTTGTCAATGTGGGGTTAAAAAAAATATTGCACACGTAATGTTTTAAAAACAAGAGAAATTTAAATTTAAATTAATTAACTAATGATGAAAATTAACAGGCTCCCATAATTAAAGAATAAAATTTCCGAGAAATTTGAATTTTTTAAGCAAAAACCGTAAAACTTAAAAAGAACTTTTCATCATCCTCTCAAATAATTAAGCTAAGTTAGAAAATAATACATACCAGAAGTATATAGAATGAGTCAACATATTTTGAGTGGATGGAACAAATTTTTTAACAGTATTTTACTATATTTGGGGCTGTCTTTAATTGGAGGATGTTTATCTGAAAATTATGAATTTACCAACAAAAAAACTGTAAACTATTCTCCAATAGAGGAATTGATTAATAAAAAGTTTGACAATAGGACTCAAGAGCTAGAGAGCTTGAAGTTTATAATTGGGGAGCCTTGGGAGGGGTTTGAAGTCGCAAAAACACAACTAAACTCTTCTTTAGTTAATGGCAATATAAAAGGTTTTAACTCACTTAGTGGAGAAAATAAAGTTTTTGGCAAGTATAAGAGACTGGAGACAAAGTATCCTTCAGGTTCAAAAAAAAAGCTGATTGCCTTACAAAACTGTAAGACCGGGACTACTGCACTTATCAACTATTCTCCAATGAGGATTAAAACAGAGTTCTCAATATATTTACCCTTTGGATCGAACATTGACCCAATTGATAACCAAGGTTTGACTTATTTAATGGGATTCATATTCTTAAATATGGGTTCTAATTTAGATGATTATTTATTGAACTTTGGTGAATACATTGAGAAACAGAAGGATAATAGTTTGACAAGTGTAACAGTTTCCAGTTTGTATACAAAACTAACAGCAACCGTTTCAGATAAAAAAGCCACTGAAGCATTAAAGAGGTTCACAGATTCAGTTGGATACACCTCTACAAGTACTGATACTGTAACTTCTCATGATAAGCACAATGATGAGTTTTATGTAAAAAATAAACCACTGACGACGAAGAATTTACTCAATTCTTTGTGTAGATTGTATTACATTTACAAGTCATGTTTGAGGGATGAAGAATATAGGATTAGCTATATAAAGACGAGTATGAGAGCTGGCAGTTCAAATAAAAGCAAAGAAAAAGATCGTGATGGTTCAGGATCTTTAGACAACAATGGGGAAGATCCGATTTCAGATTACTTTTCGAACTGTGGTATTTTCTCAACATCTTGGCAAGAACATCTAACCTTCTTATCATCAAGTATGTGCTCAGTTCAAAACAGTATAGCAGAGGAAAGCCTTTCTAACAATTTAAAAGATTGGCTATATAACCTTAAACTATTAATTAAGGAGCAATATGAAAAGTATTGGTTACCTGAAAATATGAACCTATATATTGACTCAGCAGTAGATTATAGATTATTTGAGAAATCACTAGCAAACGAAATGGTTGTTTTCGGTTCGGAGTGTGATAATAAAGGGAAGTTATTTATTGAGAAGAATTGGATAACTCAGGAAGCTGAGAGGAAGAATAACCAGGAGAATATGATAGAAAAGGTTGAAAATTCTGAATTTAATGAAATCGTGGATTCTGATACTGAACAGCTAAAAGAGTCAATAAAAATATTTAATGTGGTCCCTCTTTCTTACAAAACAAGTGTACTTGATATAGATTATAAAATAGAACTGGAAAACATTGTTCATGTGATTTCAATTTCATTGACTAGAGTAATGGATATTATAACAGCTCTATACTTGGACTCAAAGATGGTAAGGAGACTAAGGGATGAACTTGGAATAATACAAGATTTAAAACTAACATGGAGACTACACTACTCATCTCAAAATCTCAGACTCATTTTTAGGTTTTTGTTAAAAAGTATGGAAGTTATGAATGCAAAGAAAGTAATCGAAGATTTCTATTCTTACAGTATTTTCCTTCTCAGACAATTTGAGAGGAAGAGCAAAGACAAAGAATTCAAGTCTGAGTTTAAAGTGAGTAAGGAGATTTTTGAAATTGTGGATGAGATTCAAAGATTAACTGAAATTAATTGGCATCTTCAGTACTTGTATGAGGATCTTCCAACTCAGTTGACTACTCCAATCAACAACTGTGGAACTCCAATACAAGTTTTTCAGCTTAATGGCTCGCTGTCCAATTGGGTTAGGAATGAGATTAGAATATACGACCCTTTACTTTACAAAAATTACCCTCAGCTAATTTTGAGTTCAATCCATAGATCCCATGTGAGACTTCCAAGAGAATGCGAACTAATGGGGTGGAATGAATGCAAAACTTTCAGGTCAGATTTTGATGGAAATATAAGTGAAGCAAAATCTACATATGACACTGGGAGCTTAGTTTTTGTTCTAATGGAGTTCATTATAAAGCATATAGTTGAGTTCAAGGCAAGTGTGATTTTTACAGACCCTTATTTCAGATATAGAACAGATTTTGTTCTTAAGGTGAAGGCTTACAATTATCACGATTATGTGAATTTACAGTTTAGTTCTTATTATCAGAAAAACAGTATGTTCAGAGAACAAGACATAATTGAGTTTACTAATACTAATAATTGGACTTTACCTGACAAAATAGTCAACTTTGAAACTTCTATGACAATTCCAAACTACCAAAAGTATAAAAATTCAATTTCAATGGAGAACAAGCTGCTGTTCCCAAGGGTTTCCTTTAAGAATGATTTGGGTATTACTACTACACTTGAGAACTTTAAACTTTATTCTCCCATAGTTTTTGTAAGATCCATAATCAGAACAGAACTAAGTCCATGTAGAATATTCAATGACGATTTATGCGGTATAGATGACATGCCTAAGAAACAAAAAGGGTTAATCATGGTAAACATACTAGCAAATATTTTCAATCTTTCAATAGAGAAATTCTGGGAAAGTGAGCCTATTCCAGGATATAAAGATATAATTTCTGGACTTTACCAAAGTAGTAATACAAAATACAACAATTGGAGGATCCCAGGATCACTAACAAAACCATTTCATTTTGGGTCTCTGATGCTTGGAATTAATGAAGTGGAATTTAATTTTGTTGGATCTTCTTGTTCTTTAATTGAATACATAAAAAGCTTATTTAAGGAGATGAATTCGCGATTTAAGCCTTTAAATATTGTAGAATTTTATCAGATATTACGTAATTTAATGAAGAATGAAATTAAAAATAGGAAGAATAGAACCCCAATGGACTTTATTCGATACTACCAGGGGTTATTACAATACGAGGACCATTTTGAAGATGAATCTTTCATAACTACTGGTATTTCAATAACTTATGATAACTACTTGACTTTCCACAATTATATTATGAATACCTTCTTCAGTAAAAATTCTGAAAACCCTCGTCAAGAAGGCTTTATAGAGACAGTCGTTTTGGGGGTTAATAATGATGATTTTAACAAAGAGTATACCAAGTTGATTTTAGATTGGGTATATTTCAAAAAATCAGATTCTTATAAACATATTTGCATGTTTCAAGAACCTTATTTTGCATTTTCAATTGATGATGAACCACTTATTATTAGACAAACTTTTACTGATGGTATTCTGACTACTAGTAGTGCTTCTGTCAAGTTTCAGTTACCGTGCAATAAGAACAGTTCTACAGGTTTTAATTCAAATTTCTCTGATATCGACATTTTCTTCAAAGATGAAGGCGAGGACAAATGGGAAACTAACGACAATTTACAACCAAGATGTATCTTCAATGTTGTAGTTTCAAGAGTTTTAGAGAAAATACTTCGAGAATACTACTCTTCAATCGTAAAAAAACTGGTGGTAGAGATGTCCCAAAACCACTCAAACAACGCGAATATACCCCCACATTTGAACTCCAATTTTTCTATAAGAGGAGAAGTCGAAGTATCATTCTACAAGCTAAATAGTATTCCTCAATTTACTCTTTACATATTATCATCCCATTTTGACAGTTTCACACTTTTGTCAATACTTAGGGCATCCATTCAAAAATTCAAGACTGACATAATTGATAACGAGGAAACTTTTACAGAAGAAGTATTCAGCTCAGTTAAGAGCCATTTTATCAAGTATTACTGCTCAAGGGAAAGAATACAAATTAGAAATCTCAGGGCTTCTTTAATGGAAATGTCAAAGTGGAGATATAACTATAATTGGAAACATGAGTCATGCAAAGTTATCCGAACTCTTAAGAAGAAACATATTGTTCAATTTTACTATGACTATTTCTTACTAGATTCTCCATATAGAAGGTCATACATTCTATTACTACAAGCTCCTCCTTTCAACAGATTAATATCAAACCTGAAACGAAAGGATAACTCAGTTGATTCAACATACGTAGTTTTCCAGAATTATATTGTTTCCCTACTTAGAAAACGTGGGAGAATCGATTATTATAATCAGACTAATACCACAAATAATCCTGATTGGAATATAAGCATGCTTTCCTATCCCAATATACTACAAAGTGACATTGGGATTTTAAACTATAAGTATAAAAATACCAAGAGGTATCAACCAAGGTGTTCCAAGTTTGTGCTTAAAGCGACAAATACACAATAGCAAAACTAGCAAACATTTATAAATCAAGATAGACGAATTTCAAATTATTACATCAGCCCATGCATTTGTAAAATATGCTGATCTATGGTGCTGAAATTCAATTTATGTACTCATTTTAACAACTATTACCTCTAATTATTGCTTAAATAAACAACAATCTTAGATATATTTTAATTTAGTATTTTTAACTAATTTCTACATTTTTCACATTAACGTATACACGTCAAATTGTTTTTTATACACTACATACATTACAGCCTAAATCCTATTTTTAATTCACTGCGCGCCATATTTTTGGCGGGCTATTCGACTTATTTACGAGGATCTGTATGAAAAAGTTATAACATAGATAAAGTATATTTATAAGGGCCCGCTTTGCCAGAAGAAGAAGTTTCTAATAAAAATGTCAGAGGTTGACGATTGGACGTAAATATGCATAAATAAGTTAATAAATAGTAAAAATAATTAGTTAAAAATGTAAAATAGATGCATGTACATTAAAAAAGCAAGAGGGAAAAAATTAATTAATTTTAAAGTTTTCTGGCGCACAAGAGAGTTGGATTAATTTAAAGACGTCTACCGGTTAATCGATAATAAAAAAAACAATAAATAAATAACAAAATTATAAAATATATATATTTATATATATTTTTGGTATACATTTTACATATTTATTTATTTATATTTAATTGCTGTACTGAAAAAAAAAATTAGAGAATTATTGGTTTAAGACTTCTTTTTTTGGTCCTGTTGACTTAATTAGGAAAGGTGTTGAAAGAAAGCTATTATTGTAAGCTAATATACTGAGAAAAGGCTAAGGACTGGTGATGTTGACTATTTAAAATGGATAGTCAAAGTTACAGAGATGTAACAGACAACAGAGTATTTTGGGTGAGTGACAAAAAAGGCCAGGGTTTTTCACGAACAGAACTTGGAGGAGGTAGACAGGTGGTTCCGGACTTAAGTAGGGTATCTCAAGCATTATTCAACAGAAGTAATAGTTTCCCTGCTTCTTTTTGTAGTAACAATGAAGAGAGTTATTTTGTAAACTTTGATCAGATTACTGCAATGGGAGAGGATCAGCTTAATCCCTTCGTAGAGAGTATTAGGGATGCCAATACTCTTTTTCTAGATGATAATATAAGCTTTATTGGGTCAAAAGAAACTGATAGTTACTTTGACAATACGTCAAAATACCAAAGATCTGTTACTATGGACTTTTCAAACAATTCCAAATATCCAGGTATATGCTCATATTATCCCAGAAATGTTAATTGTATTGATTATTCCAGATCTAATAGTGACTTGGCGAGACTGTTGGAAAATAAAGATGAATTAGAAACTTATAATACTGACAATTCATTAACTCGTGATTCATCTGGTTCAAGTACTGAAGGCACTGGCCACTTTATCTATGGCTCTTCTAATGGTTATATAGAATATGGAAATGAAGGTATTATTGATTCAAAACATTCACATTATTGTGGACCTAATATGGCTGGAGGAAGATTACCTTCTCCTAAGAGAGATAGATTTATGAGACAGAGTGATTCTTTAAGCTCTTTGACAAGCGACCAGCTTAAGGATATTGGGTTTATTAATAAACAAAATAATAAAAGGAGGTCCAAACGAGGTTATGCTCCTGTTAAGCTCTTTGTAAACAGAGTTCCAAAACATATGACAAATGAAGAGCTGCTTAAGATCTTCAATAAGTATGGATTGGTTGTTGAATGTAATATAATTCGTGACTCTAATGGTCCTAAAGGATGTGCCTTTGTAAGATTTTCTAACATTTATGAAGCACAAAATGCAATTCTTTGCATTCATGGTAAGACTGTACTTGACAAGGAGGTTGGTCCAATTCAAGTTAAATATGCAGATGGAGAGATTGAGAGGTTAGGACTTTCACCAGATGTTCAGCCATGTGGTGAATCAGTTAAGGTTTTTGTTGGTAGTCTTCCAAAGAATTGTACTGAAGACCAGCTTCTTCTGCTATTTAAGCAGTTTGGTCATGTTGATGAGGTACACATTATAAGAGATAACAACAAACAAAGTAAATGCTCAGCTTTTGTTACTTTTCCTCGCAAATTTATGGCAGAGAACGCAATTATGTTCCTTGATAAAAAGTACATATTTGATAACTCTAAGAGACCAATTGAAGTTAGGCTAGCTAAGAGTAGGGCTAAACAAAAACAACAGCAACAACAGCAGCAACAATCCCAAAATGCAAACTGTAGGCCAAATAACAGTATGAGTCCTAATCATTCAGATTTTAATACAGGTAATATGGGATTCGGTCTATCATATAACAATAAATCTTATGGATCGTTTGGGATGCAGGGTATGCCTTTGAGAGGTGGAACAGAGCTATTTGACCCTATTCCTGAGGTTCCACCATCACATATGCAGTTTTCTAGCATCCAAGGTTCTCATCATAATGTAGATGTTGCTATGCAGAACTTTGTTATTGGTCATGGTCTTAACCATGGGCATCTCAGCCATCAACTTGGTAGCCATCGCCATGGTAACCATTCCAGTCATTCTAAGGTTACCACAAATGGCATATCTAATACTAATACTGATATTTCTAATACGAATACTGCTTCTCCCACCAATAGCAGTTCTAAACTTAACACAAACTCTTCAATATTAATTGGGACTAATTCGAGCATGAACAACCGTCTTGACTCAGCTCCAACCGTCATCCACAATATGAGGAATTTAGAGCAACAAATGAACCAGGAGCTGGCAGGTGGACCCAAACGAGGAATGCATATGGGCCCCAGCCATTCTTCTTTAATTAGTGATTCTTGCCATAAAGGAGGTCCAAAAAATGAGGATCAGATCAAATTTACTCCTCCAACACTTTTGGATTTCTGGGCAAAGCCAATTCTTAATGTCTAATTATTAAATTAATCTTTAAATTTACCAAATAAGCTCAGTAAGTCAATTTTGAGCTTTTAGATTTCAAGTTTTGCATTTAAAAATGGCAATGACAAATAAAAATAGAGAGTTTTGGAATTCAATGTACCCAACTCTTTGTTTCTTAACAAAAACACTCACATTCCAGACTTAATTCGTTCACTGGAAATTATTTCCACATCTTTTCTGTCAGTTAGGTTCCACGAAAGAGAAGTCTTCATTTTATGATCTTTACTATATAATACCCATTTGTGCTTTTTTTTAGTTTCATTGGTCCTCGATACCGCGTGTTTTCTAAGTCAATCCCGCCTTTTGTTCACGTCATCTATTACAATAAGCTAGGCACAATTCCTCTTCCCATTGTATTTACAACTAACGTTCCCGATGAAATCGCTATTTTTCTACCAAAATCGGATTTTGTATTCACGGAAAAAACAATAAAAGAAAAGAATGGAGGTGTTTTACGGTTTTTTCTTAAAGTTTTGGCGCCAAAAGCATGTAAATATATGGTGGATGGTCCAGGTTGGGATTTTCTTTATTGTTAATTTAATCGTAATTATTTTGTTTAGCAGAAAACATTATTTTTAATTTTTATATATTTATGAAGGGAGTGAATGGGAGAGTGAAGAGTGGGAAGAAATAAAAAAAGAGTGTAGGAGAATGTTGTGTCTTGTGAAGTTTTTTCTGTTATGTATATATTTGAATAATTGAAAAAATACTGGAGAAGGCAAATCTTATTTGCGGAATAGTTAATGTAATCACGGTGAATTAATTTTTTAAAATTTGATTTAAGCATGGAAGAAAAAAAGGGAAATATAGATATTCTTTTTATACTGTGCTAAGTGAGGGAATTAATAGAAGAATTTTGAGTATTGATTGATAAATATTAATTTCTGCATATTGTTAGTTATGAAGCTACTCGGGTGAAATAAAGTGGAATGCACTACTCGATTATGGCAATTTTGTGAACTATAGAGTTAAATCTAACAATTAGAGTAATTTATTCCTTCTTCAATTAGTTAAGAAATATGCTAATTAATTTTTTAAGTCTTTCAATGTCTTGATTAATTTTTGATGTCTTATAATAGTGGCTTACGGAGTGTTTGTCATTAGTTATTCTTAGGCTGAGCCTGTTTCCTTTGGACTTTTGTACCTTAATTACAAGCTTAGTCTGGGTGGTTTTTAAAAGGTAAGGGGGAGATGAAAATTAGTAAATTATAATTAAATTGTTTGTTAGAGAATGTGTATTTAAAAAGTGGCCAAAATTGATTAGTATAATGGGGTGATTAGTTGAGACTGAGATCGTGTAAAATAATATAAGATAGGTCTAGAGGTAAACAAATTTGGCCTTAAATACAACAAACCCCAGTTTATTTAAACCAATTTAGGTTAATTTGCGTTTCTGACTTACCTTGATTGGGTTTTCCGCATATAAAGAATACCCTGCAGTTTCAAATTCTCCAAAATCGTGAAAGAGTACCATGATGATATAGAAATTTAATAAACCAAAGCTGGACCTTGTACTTGCTAAAAACTTTTTTTAGAGGGTTTTGGTGTTTATCTTCAGATCCAAGCAAGTTTTGTTTTTGAAATTTTTTTAATTACTTTGACTTTTTTGCAAAAAATTGTTTGGCGCCATAATTGTATTTTTTTTTAGCTTAAGTGGGACAAAAGTGCGGAATAAATATTGAAATAGTTAATAATGTATTACTTTTGAGTTAAGAGAATTAGATAGTATAAATAGAAATGTTTAGAGGTGGTAGGACATTTAAAAATATAAATTGATACCTTTTGAATGAGAATATTACCCAATTTTGGAATCAAAAATAGGTAGTACTTTATATTTTATTTGGACCCGGTTTACATGCATGCGCTTTGGATTTATTTATTAGCTCAATTATATACAATGGATAGCCATAAGTTGGGCGCCAAGTTATTTGAGTTAATTAAAAGGAAGTAATTACATGTTTGGATGAATTTGTGGGTTTTAGTGATAATATTTACAGATGTTGTATTGTTAGTGGTGAAGTCATTCAGTGTAGCTGCTTTTGGAGGAGCCAGGTTATTCCCCTATAGGAATCCACAGGTTGGGGTTATTCCAGTTTCAGTAGGTAGCGGGCATGGAAATTATGTTGTTCGTATATGGGAAGAGAGTGTGACATCTGATTGGAAAAGAGCCAGAGAAGAGAGAAGGGAATGTTTAGTGATGGGTAGGGGAATAAGCTGCGGAGACTCGGATTGCAAAAAATACATGAAAAGCGAGAAAGGTGTTGCAAAAGTTTGCAACTACAATGAGTTCAGACCAGAAAATAGATGGATTCCGTCCTTTATTGATGTGGATTTGCCTATCTGTAAGGTTTTCAATTTGAGAAATGCTGAAGGAATTGAGAACACCCTAACGGAGAGCTTATTTAATTCCCCAAGAGCATGTTTATGTTTTGGAGAAGAGAAAAGTGAGAATTATAAAATTTTAAGTCCCCCTATTTCTGGAGATAAAAGTGGAGGGTGGAGGTTTGAACTATTTCAAGATGAGATGGAGGTTCCAAAGATATACCCTTTTAGTAGGTTTATTGTAGATGTAAGAGTTCTAGTGAATCCAGGTTGGAACTTTGAGTTTGTACTTTCTTCAAGTTCCCTACATATAAACAAAGCAGCATTCTCAATTGTTTCTCTAAAAAAAGACTATTTGTGCCAAGGATTTCCAGAGGACGAATCCCTTCAGATTCTACAGCCTACAAGCTTGGCCTCTAAAGGAAGTCAGCTTATACAGACTTATTCATGGAATCCCAGAAAATTAAATACTAATATAAAGGACAACTTGTTTGATTATAAGTTCCCTGTTAACCAATTAACGACCACACACTACTACATTTGTCACTACTATCATTACAATTCTAATTCTGGCAACCTCCTTGGAAGTGTCTATTTTCGACTAAATCCCGAGGACGCTACCCAAACATTTTCACTATTATTGCTGATTATAATATTCACCCCCCTAGTCTTATTTTCAATATATATTATTATTAGCTCAAAATACAAAACTAACATTGAAAAGTTGCAGGGATATATTTTATTTGAAGACAGAAATCAGGTGAGCTCTTTATTTTTCTAAATTGTCTTCTTAATATAATTTCCCCTTTCAGATTAAACATCTTTTGGAATTGCCCGCCCTTACCAATTTATAGGTACTTTAAAAAAAAAATCACTTTGTAGTAAAATAGAAAAAATTTCATTAATGTGGTTTTCAATTTTTATTTTTTTTACCTGAAGAAAAAGGATAAAGTGAATAAAAATTGGCTTTTTTTACAACATTACTGATGGGTTCTGTGAATGTTTTATTCACAGAATCTATTCTTATGGAAGATATTTTACTACTAAATAAAACACTTATCAAGACAGATCCATAGTACTTGTTAGGTATTATTTCAACAAAATTCATGCTGAGATATAAAGAGTCTAATAAGCCTCCAAAATCTGTCACATTTTTCTTTTTATATTTATTTTTCTTTTGCTACTAAAAATTATTCTAACCAGTTTCCCGCCAACTGCCCAATTTCTAACGTGGTTTGGCGCCAAGTACCGAGATCATGTAAAGTAGGTTGTAGATGGAAAAAAATAGGGGGAAAAATATAAGAAAATTGTGAGCGACTCAAAAATTTCATTTGCTAGATTATATGTAGATTTTCGTATAATAATAACATAGTCTGAAACTTGGAGCATTTGCAACTTAAGTTTGGGCTTGACTTTGGGTACCTGACTGGGTGGAATCAGAAATAAAGATTACGGAAAAAAAGGAGTGAGCCAATAGACTTAAAGAGTGTTTCTAACACATTCACACAAGTGTGAATTTACATCGAGAGAGGTGATGTCTATAAATGAGAAATCAATTAAGCAACTATTAAGTGAGTTGGTGGGAATTCAGGTCAGAAATGATATAAAAAGTAATGATGAGAAAAGCCATAGAAATTTAATTAAGAAAATAGAAGATAAAATATGGTCAACAATTCTCTTCAAAAAAACTAATAAGAGGACTATGGATGATTCTGACTACATAAGCTTTCTAGATTCCAGTCTATCAAATATTATTGTACAAAGTCATGTCGGGCCAGAATCTGTTGAGAATATGAATATGATCATGGAACAGAGATCTAAAGTTATAGAGAATAGAATGTTTTGTTTTCTACCATTATTTATTTTATCTCATAATTTGGTTAGACATTATTACCAAAGTTCTTCAGGAATTTGTATTTTACAAATAATGTACATTCTTTTTGGATCTTTAGATTATTGTAGTTTGGATTTTTGGCAGGACCAAAGTTTAGTCAAAACCTATCAATCTGACTTTACTTGGAGATTGAACTCTATAATGCAGAGAAACTTGAGTGATTCAGTAACTAACTATGAGAAAGATAATGAGGAGTTAAAATTCGATTATAAAACATGCCTTGTTACCTTTTCTTCTTTAATATTTAAAAATTCAGCCTTTAGTAAAAGTTCTCGAGATTTTTGGTTGGATATTATCTCAGATTTTGCTCTTGGAATAGTTACCTTTAGAAATCTGGTCTCTGATGTACATCTAAGTGTAGAGAATTTGTTTAATAGTGAGTTAACTGAATATACTGAAAATTTCGAGGAAATTGAAATTTCCAAAGAAACCAATAAAATTGCTCAAATCGCTTTTGGAAATGACAATTTTAGTCTCACTGATGATAGCATTACAAAAGGTACCGAATCTAAAATTTCTATATGCCCAAAAAGTACTATTTCTATAAACCAAAACCCAACTTATCTTAAGACCAATAAGAATTCTTTGCTTGCATCATTTATGGGTAATTCAGATGATGAACTTGATGAGCTAGAGGAAATGGAATTCCACCTGCAAGAAAAGTTGGATGGGGAAAATGAAGTAACTGTTGATGGCGTGGAGGATGCACTGGAGATAATTGATAATAAACAGGATCTAATCCAAAACAAAAGTCAGATATTATGTAACAATCAAAAATCAGGATTACCACCAGATATGGGAAGGAAAAAAGATACAAGGATTGTGGATTCCCAGTTAGAGAGAAGAAATGATAAACACTTAAATATGTCCTCATTTAACTACTTTGATGGCTTATCTAAGTTAATTAAGGAGAAAAAAGAGGAATTTGTAGATGAAAACCACAGAATTTGCAACTTTTCAAAAGTAAAGCTTCCAAGCTTGCTAAAAAGAATCTCAGGACGAAGCCAAGTGGAGTATAATAGAAAATATTTGGGATTTTCATGGGATCAGCAGTACTTGAGTCTAAGTAGAACAAATAAAATTTTTAATGAATCTATTTTGAGTGTCCTTACTACAGAGAGAATTAAAAACTGTACCATAGTTACCCCAGATCACGAGATCATCAACAGAGATAGACATATCTGGATCAAATTAGATTCATTAATGAAGCTTTTTCAAGGATTGGATTCAGAGGAGTTTTCTCTTTGTCCAAGGTACCGAAGAGATAGGAAGGATTTGTCTGGAGAACTTTTGAGAAGCTATAATATATTTATAGATCAATACAATATTTCACTCAAACTAGTGGAGGAATTTGGAGAATTATCTCCTTGGATGAACCATTTTGGCCAGGGGGACAAATTTATATATATAGGAACTGGCAGGAAAACCAATGATTTTTCAGCTTCACAAAGCGAGTTTAGAAATTTGTATAATGGTCAAGACGAGCAAATATATCTGTCTGAAGATCTTGTCTCAATGATCTGTCTGTTTGGTACAAAGATAAACTATTTAAGGAGTTTTGCAGAATTATTGGCTTTGTTAGGAGACAAAATGAATAGTGAACTTAAATCAGGAACTATTTGGAAGAATGAGTATCCAACATGTAGCCAGACGATCAGAGAAGAGAGTATGGTATCCATTCGTATTTTAAGCAAAACTATCCTGGAACTCTTGTGTATGTATTTACGAGATATTGAGTTATGCTTTGCTAGACTTAATAATAGTAGAAATGGCCAGATTACACATAAAAATTCTCCTAGTAATAGTTACCTCAATATCACTGTCTTATTGGCAGAATTTTCTCCAGCTTTTGAAATGCTTGCTAGGATCTTCAAATTAAGATCCCCCTATAGTAGGTCAGAAAATGAGATCTGGAATATCCCTCATGGATATTTTCTTTTGAGTTATATTTATACTTATTTATGGCAATTTCAAATAAATACTTCATGTACCATTAAAAGTAATCATCATTCAAACATAAATAACAAAAAAGGTATCAATAATAAAATAGATAAAGGTAACTATAGTAATGGCCACATTCTGAGTGTGATTTATAAAAATCTCTTAAAGGGTATTTTCAAATGTAAGTTGGATTCAATTAAATCAAATAAGGAAGAAGGAAATCTGGAGATTGATTTGAAGGTCAATCTGGCTTTGAATAAATCAATATTGAGATCTATAATACCTGTATTATTTAGAATATTAATCATTAAAAAGATTCATTTTACAGAAACTTTCAAAGTAATAAACCAAGATCTGAAATGCATGTCTTTGGTCAAAACTAATGAATTTTCAGAGAAAAATCTGTCAATTTTTTTTTCAGATACTAATACGTTTACTCAAGATTTTGTCCTTAATTATAGAGATGACATTTATTTGGATTCTGAAGCGGAATTTCGTGATCAAGATCTTGAAATTAAGGAGGTATCGACGGTAACGGTAAAAAATTTTACAGAAGAAAATACATTGAGATTTAGTCAAGAAGCAATTGTGGAGTATTTAAGAAGAAATGAGCTAGATTTTAATCAAGTTTATGGAATTTACTTTAAATACCTGGACCAAACCTTTGAACAAATTACTAAATTGGAATACAACATAAATAAATATTTAGATCTTGCCTTCGAGATTGGAGAATTGATTGGGGAAAAAGATCCAGAAAGAAAAGATCATAATGTAGAAATACTGCCTTTGGGATTATTTGAATTTCTAAAGGAAGTTATTCAAAACAAAGTTAAGAATAAGAAATTGATCTCGACAGGTAGATATGGTATTCTGGGGTTAGGAGAAATAGGTATCGAGAATTTAATGTGGAGAGAAAATTGTAATACAGCATATACTAAACAGCTGAACAATTATATTTCAGTTAACGGAGACTTAAAATATGAGAACTTGATGAGGTTTGTCTTTGGGTTAGATTTAAACTTAATTCAATTTAGGAAGGAAATTATTAGAGAAGAGATTTCTAACACTTTTGAGATACAAAAGGTTGGAAAAGAGCAAGGAGAAGATGATCTATTGAGACTTTTTCAGATGATAGTTTTATTGGAAGTTATCTCCAAAAAGTTCTTAAATATGAAAAGCTTCATTGGAAGACTTAGTTTATATATTTGGTGCAGGAAGAATACCACGGATTATAATTTATATCTTAAGTTCTCCCAAGGGTACCTCTATGATGCATTTTCTGAGGAACTTCAAAAATTAATTTGGGAAATCGAAAACAATATTAATAAAATTCACAGTACAATTCAGATAATAAAAGAATATTTGGTAATGCTATTTAGGAGACTTGACCCTAAAATATTACTAAAGAGCCAAAACTGTTACGAAGACAAAGTGAGTTATAAAAGTTGTAACTATGACTATAAATGGAGAGTTGTTCAGAAATATTATTATGGAAAGCTATTTAATCATCTAAGTTTAAATGAGAAAGGATTTATGTACTTTATAACGAGTATAGTTTGCCAGATCTGTCTAATATCATCAGATTTGGTTTCAAAAATAGATTCTTTTAAAGACATTCCTAAAAGGCCAAGTTCATTTTCTCCAAATATATCTGATGATCAGGATCCAAATGACAGCCAGAGAAACATTATTTTGGAATTTGTTAACAATTGGAAATCTAACAACCTTGAGGAGAAAGTTTCTCATTATTTCCGAGTCTACAAATCTCTAAAGATTTACATTTCAGACAACAAGAGTATTTTTAGTACAGAAAACTCACATATCCTTTATTATATTGATAGCTAAATATGTTATTATGATTTTATATTTGTTTTTCTTCTTTAGTTCTCCTTTTTATTATTACTTTAGGCTTATGTTAATTAAATAACTAAATACTAATGCGGTAATTCTAAATAAATAAAATCGAAATATTAAAAATATTAATGAATACCAAAGTTTAAACAAGGATTTAAGCTTGAAATTTTAACTTGAAAACTCATACCTACCTTATTTAATTTATAAATGAAAAATTGATTAAGTATTTTAGTAGTGGTTGGCAATAACTGAATGTTCATCTAATTAAGTAAATGTAAAGCCACATTAAAAACGGAAAGAATATAGTATAATCGTTATTTTTAACTGCATACTAAGATATACTTTAAAATACTTGAGAAAACAGCAAAAATGGGCATTTCCAGTGTGATATTGAATGAGGATTTTACCGGTATTAACCAAAATACATTCAACAACTATTTGAAAGTCTACGAACAACTCTTGGATCTAGTTCCAAGCAACTTTTATGAACACATACAATTAGAGGATCCTAAGAAAAATCTAAAACCTATTAATAAAGAAGAAGTTCTTCAATCTAATATTACAAACACAAAGTTTAATTCTTTGACACGTAATATTTCAAATAAATATTTCGGAGTTTGGCGCCAAGAAGTTTTTGAAAATCAGAATGTGGGGGCAGAAAAAAAACCAAATAATTATGGGATTAAAGCTGAAAAAGAATTTAATATCGAAAATGTTTTTAAGAAAAGATTTTTGTTTTGGATTATCAATAACTACGAAAACCAAAGAGTTCCAAATCTCAACACTGTAAACCAGGAACCAACATTATAAACTGTCTTTTTTAACGGAAAAATAAACTATTATCGTCGGTCTCTATTAATTATTTGTATTTTCTTTACTCATTTTTTTAATTTTTTTTTTTTTTGCCTTTATTAATGTGCACGCATGCATGTAGACAAGACACATTAGATTGTATGTAATGAAAAAAGGGAAGAGAAAAATAGTAGTTACTGAGTAAATTACGGAAAAAGTCAGGAGAGAAAAGAAGGGGTGTATTTATGGAGGGAAATAATAATGAAATAGAAGATAAAACTAGAGTTTAGTTGTTTTAAAACTGGTTTGTAATATAGAGGGTGCTAATGTAAATAGTGGTGTCATTGGCGGTAGAAGTGGTAGTATTAGTAATAGTAGGAAATAGTGGCAGGAATAAGGCTTTAGGAAGTAAAAGGTAAAGTCGCCTTAAAAAATGATATAAGTAATTACAAAGAAAAACAGAAATTTCAGATCACGAAGAGTCTTTGATATATTGGTACTAAATATAAATTTTGAGAGGAAATTACACAAAAAAACGAGGACCACAGAATAAATCTAAAAAAATGCATGAGCGCTGTGTGCAACTTACACAGAGATCAGACCCAATGCACATTATCTAAAAAATAAAAAGGAAAATAGTCACTAGGCTTGTGTGAAAGTGGCAATAAATAGTGTTAAAGTAGATAAAGAGATTTTGTTTCAATCTCGATAATAAAGAAAGGTAAACAAGCAAAAATTAAGGTTTAGTATAATAATGAGTAGTCCAAACTTGGAAAAAGGGAATTATGCAAATGCACAAGTTGAGGAAGAACAGATTGTTTTTGTAAAATTGTTGATTAGCGATAAAGCAGCAAACAAGATATTAAGCAACTCAGGCTCAATATTGAAGAAAGTTAAACAAGTGAATCATGTTTTCATATTAGTTTCAGGTGCTAATAAATATTTTCCAGGAACAAATTTTAGAGTGGCAACTTTAGAAGGGAATGAAAAAAATGTGAATGAAACAATGGAAGTTTTGGATTTTCTTTTGAAAAACACAGATGACGAAGTACAGGAAGAAAATTTGAAGAATTATGAGTATAACATTCGTCTTGCAGTCCCAAGAAGTGTGATTGGAAGTATTATAGGGATAAAGGGGGAGTTTATTAGTCATGTTAGAACAGTAACTAGTGCTCACATTAATATATCCCCAATTTTTGTAACATCAGAGAAAGCGTGTAATGAGAGAATTATTACAATCTCAGGTAACAATAGTAATCAGGTAATTCATGCATTCATAATTTTAACAAAAAAAGTTAACAGTTCACCTGAAGGAAGGTCATGTAAAAGTATTATATATAGAAGAGCGGACTTTTTCAGAAGAAAGAGTCAGAAAACAGAACAGGAGAAAATCGACCCATTATTAAACTCTCAGCTTGAGGAGATGAACAATTTTTTGAATAAGAATCCAATCAATTCAACTTATAAAGTAGAATCGAGAAGTTTAGAAATAAAAGAAAAGCCAAAACTAAACTTTAAGACAATCTCAAACGGACGTTGGAGCGAACAAGTTGACTTATTGTCACATGAAGAAGGCACTGTCTTGGAGAAGCTGGGAAGTAAGCTGAAAAAAGTTGAAATTATAAGGGATGAACTAATTGAGGGAGATAAAGTAAAGATTAGCCAACAAGCTGGTTTTGTCAGTGGCGATGATAAGATTCAAGAAGTATCAGTAGAAAAGTTCTACGAGGTTCCTTCAAAATCAGTTCAAAATAGAATTCCTACAAATATATTCATTATATCCTTCTTAGCATTAGTTACAGGTGCATTTTTCCTGCAATATATTTCGAATGAGATTATACATGTGTGAGCTATATATTAAATAATTTTGGAGAAGCTTGCTTTCGTGGACGGGGAGACTCCAATATTGAAATTCACAGATTTTAAGGTCTGGAATAGCATCTAAACAAGCATTTGACAATATTAGACTGAAAATCGTCAGTTTTTTCGGTTACTATTCTTTTTATACAAAATATTTAGCGAAAAGTTTTTTAATTGTCATTTATTTTCTTTGCATATGTGGGGTGGCGGGTTTTCTGCAGCCACGTCATTGCATTATTTTGTTGATATGCTCGTATTTTGGTAGATACACGTAGAATAATTTTGCATGCAAAGTGATGAAAGCAATCACTACAGCATTTCTGAAGTGAATTGTGGGGGAAGTATGTAGTGAGAATAAGACTCCTAAAATGCCTTTTTTGATATCAAAAATAATATTTTCTGAATATTTTAACTAATAAGGATGTTACCTCTTGTTAATAAGCAATAATTCAGGTCAAAAATTTGCCGGCCAAACTAATAATGGGATTAATTATTTATTTATTCATTTTTTATAAAAAATAAATAAGACCAAAAATTTTTTAAAACTAAGTAAAACTGAAAAAAACATTGGAAAAAGGATTTATATTAATATTTTATGGAGCATACATCCAGATGCAAAGAAGTTGGAACTTTATAGGCAAAAAGTATAAAATACAGTAAATTAGCAAGACTGTCATGCAAAACGAGAAGGCCAAAAAAAGTAATTTCAATGCAAAGACATTAACAACTGCCTCAAAATTTTACACGTATTTGAATAATTTACTGATTATTTCTCCCAGAAGAAGATTAGGTATTTGGAGAAGAGTTTTTGGAGAAAAAGGTGAATCAAAAAAATGTTTTGTTTCAATTTCTGGCGATTCAGTTCTGGAACCAGAATGTTTTGGAGTAGCAAAAAGGGAGCTTTCGATTTTGGAAGAAAAGGGAGTTTCCCTGAGAGGATATAATTCAAGTCTGAACAACATAATGGATTTAAAACCTTTTTCAGATTTTAAAGGTCATGATATGCATAGTTTAAGTTACTGGTATGTTCCCAATTCAGTTAAACATCAGTATTATGTGAATTATAATTTAAATAGATTGTCCGATTGGCAAGTCGATACATTGTCACAGATTTTGAATTTTATGGTAGTTGAGAAAGATCGACTAATTGGCAAATGGGATAACATTTTCACTGACAATTCTCGCCAAAATTTGTCTCCATATTTGATTGTTTCTCCAGATGTTTGCGAGAACTTAACAATCTGTGAAATTGTTGCTTTAAACAGCCTATTATATTCTGGAGGGAATATATTGGCAATTTTCCCAAACCCACAGAAATGTGATGCTTACTATCAGAGATGCAAATACTTGTTTGGCATTAATTCATTAAATTTAAGGATCGAACTTTTTGGCCAAAGTTCAAGGTCGATTAATAAAAGTTGGTTTCCAAATATAGATTTGACAATTTGCACTTTGGAAAAGTCTAATTCACTAATTAATCGACTTATTTCAGATAATATGCTAAGTGAATGCATTAAAACTATTATTATAGATGATATAAACTTTGTTGGAGATCCTGAGAAAGGCCATCTACTAGAAAATATTCTCACAAAAATTTCTTATTTGAATTTGGTTAACGATTTTTACACAAAAAATAATTATTTTAAGGGAAGAAATGGACCATTAACCTGTTTATATGTTTCAAACGAAAAGATTCCTAATTTAGAAATATACACAGATGTCCTTAAAGTCGGCAAAATTTTTGAAAATTACAGATACGAAAAAGAGCGTGAGCCTGATGTTTATATTAAAAGAGGAAATAACGTATTTTTCTGGAACAAAGTAAAGGCTAATCAAACATCAAATAAAGACGAAAAATATGAAATTTTTGAAATTTTTGAAAATGATAAAAACAATAACAGTTTTCAAAAAACTGCCATCAGTGATTTGAAATATTTTTCAGATCTGATTCTCGAGTCTTTGATAAGCAATAAGAAGGCTCTAGTTTTCTGTCCAACAATTGAATGGTGTAAGAAATCACTTCAAACGATTTCTATGGAAATTCTTGAAATTGTTTCTAATAAAGACAATTCTATGCCTTACAAATATAAACACCTGAAAAACAACCAATTTGGGTTATTTGCTAACCAAATAACTCAAGACAGACCTTTAAGAATCAATATTATTGAAAAACTGAAAAAGGTGTCAAAAAATGGATCTAAAACAGAGAATGATCTCTTACTATTCGATGGAATTTTGAATTATGGAATTGCAATACACAATTCAAAGTTCTCTTTTAAAGAAAGAAAAATCATTGAAGATGCTTTTAAAAACAATCATTTAAAAATTCTTTTCTGTACTTCCTTACATATGATGGACTCTGAAATTAAAGCTGACAGAATTATTATCAGATCTATTGGGCTCGGTAAAATCAATAATTTAACAAAAAAAAAGACTGGAAACAGGGAATGGATTTCAAAAAATACTCTCAAACAATTTTTTGGCAGAATTTCCCACCCCAACTCCGATATTACCGCCAAAACAAGAATGCATGCATCCTCTAATATATGCACTTCAAATTGGGCGGGAGACGGTTTTAAAATGGGAATATTTATTTTCACTGGCGATGATTTAGAGTTTAAATATTTGGATAATTTGTTGAATGATGCTAATTTCCAGAGTCTGGAGTTCTTATCTCATTTGTCAGAATTAAATTTATTTAGGTTAATACTGGAGTTGATACAAACAGATTTGGTGAGAGAAATTGGAGGTTTGGAGTTATTAATTTCTAGACTCACTTTTAGAGGAAAACTAGAAGGTTCTAATTTCAATTCAATTTTTGATATATTTGCAAAAGATTACCAAAAAATTCCTCGAGTTTTTCAATTTAAAGGGCTCAATGAAGATATGCTTTTGTCAATATCATTTATGGCAATGAACCAATTAGTTTTCTTTAGCTCAGGTAAAGAAAACTATGACATTAACGAGATCTCAATATCCAGTAAGTATGTACAGCAGTTTCAAGATAAATTTGGGCATCTTAAATCTCCAATAGTTTCGTCAAAGTACGCATTAATCGGTTCTAAAACCAAGGATAAACTAAACAAGTCTATTACAGCCATTATAATTAAACAAAATGACTTCCTTGCAAAACTAGGATCTGGAAAAAAGTATTTGTTATCATTTTTTAACGCCATTGGGCCTTGCATTGGTAATTCCCAGATTATTGGAACTTGCCTAGCAAGTGCATTAGTACAGTCCCAACTACATCCTTGTATAGTCCTGGAAATATATAGCGATTTGATTAAGTCCAAATTACTTGGTTTAGATCTTTCAAACAACCTTCAGATATATATCTTGGGATTATTGGCATATAACGGATCTCACTTAAAAGTAAATTGGAGTAATTATCTGCAAATCTTTAGTGAGCTAACACCTAGAGAGATATTAATTGCAGACTTTTACGGAGTTAACTTTAAAGTAATAAGTGAGATTGTTCGAACTGTAACTTCAAATTCAAACTTAATCCCTGATTTAAGCAAGCTTTCTCCAGTAAGCATTCAGCATTCTTATTTTTACTCTGAAACCCTTAATTTCAAGGGAGTCATTGAAAAATACAGACTGATATCCATATACAGATTTTATTATGCATGCTTTCTAAGGGACCTATGCAACCCAATGATGACTTTTGAGCTCATTATGGCAAAGTATTCTATTGATTCCAATGCTATTAAACTCATTGTCAGTTCATTCAGTTTATCTATTAATACAGTTTCAAGCTTATGTAAGTCTATTGGCTGGATTGACTTGGGGGAAATCATTTTCAATATTAAAAATCACTTGGAATCTAGTATATCCATTCGAAATGTCAAATATTTGTATAAAATTACCCAAGAACAAAATCACTACCAAATGGTCACCTCCCCACATAATACTACTAATGGCCTTCCCCCAGCTACTCCATTACTGAATGATTATCATTTAGACCAACAAGATATATCCAGGATCATGAACTACGTAAATATGGCAACTTCCCTAAACAACTACATTACTCCTAATATAGCCATTTCTTTCTACTTTTCTGGTCTAAATTGCATAGAAAATATTGCCACAGCATCTAAAGAAACCCTATTAAGGTCTATTCAAAATGCAAACAAATTAGATGACTACTTTGGACAATTTACCAATAAGCCTCCTGAGCCAAATTTAAATTTGATGGTTATTTGCCAAGAAATTGTTCAGCAGGCCAGGAAAGTTCTATCACAATCGGAAAATCTTCATGATATTGATTCTCTCTCTAATTCAGATGTTTATACCGAAAACCATGAAATTGATATTGACCTAAATGACTTGGATTTAGACCTTGTCCAAAACGTGGGAGAGCTCACAGCAAAGTCCGAATATTTATAATAAAGGCCAAATTAATTACATACTTATAATCCTTAATTGTAATATCTTAAATTAAATAAGCTCATATTTAAGTTTTATTCTTTTATTTTTTTTCGTTATTCTTTGATATTAGAATTATACATGTTTTGGCGCCAAAGTCATCTTCTAACTAGTAATAATTAAGAATCTAGTTGGGGATAAGCAAGACAACTACTCAAGTGAATTTTGGGGGGGGAGAGAATATAAATTTATAGGTTTATAAATAAAGATAATCATTCAAATTAGCTCGTTTTATTTGAAAAATCCAAGTGGATGAAAAGTTTTGAAACTTTCAAGAATGTTTGTCTAGTGATAGCTCATCCAGATGATGAGTCTATGTTTTTCACTCCTGTAATAAAGCAGGTGTGTGGGGAAGGCACCAAAGTCCATTTATTATGTTTGACAAACGGTAGGTAAATCAAATTAGATTAAGGTATAAGTAGGTAACTCAATCTGTCTTTAAATATATTTAGGTGATTATTATGGTTTTGGTAAGCTTAGAGAAAAGGAGTTATTCGAAGCTTGTAATGCACTAGGTATATTGGGAGACAGAATTAGAGTGATATCTAGTGAACAATTTCAAGATCAACCAAATGAAAAGTGGCCTTGTAATGATGTAATCAGTGAAATTGAATCCTTTGTGGACGAATTTGATATAGATACTGTAAGTTTCGATTTAGAAAAGCAGAGAATCTGAGAAATTAGTACTTTCAAAATTTTAGATTATAACATTTGATGAGTTTGGTATTTCTGGACATATTAATCACATTTCCACAAATGAATCTATCAAAGAATGGATTAAAGGATCAAGAAGAGATAAGTACCCCAAAGTTTATGTGCTTGAAACATCTAATTTGTTCGTTAAGTACTCTGGTATACTTTCTTTACTTTACTTGTATATATTTCCCAAAAATGGATGGTAAGTTTCCATTAGAAAAAACTAAACAGATTCATAACAATCATTATTTTAGTTTATTGGCAAAAAACTTCAATCCCATTCATTCATTAAGGTAGGTTAACTCAGTTCCCAAGTTTTCTTCTCTTGAATCTCTGATTACTTTTAATTTCCTTTACTAAATTCCTAATTTAGAGCTCTCTTATGCCATAAAACTCAAGTCACCTGGTACAGACTAGTATTCACTCTATTTTCTCAATACAGCTATTTGAATGTCCTAAGGTGTATTAATTAGGGAAGATATTGTGATCATAGACATAGTGTATTCTAATAGTATTTATTACTTATTCTAACTACTCCCCACTAGTCCTATGAATATTATATATATAAGCGTTTATGTATGCTTTCCAAGCTTTACTGCTGGCTTGACCAAAATGATCAAATCTCCTCTTAAAAACAACATCTCTATTCTTCTCTTTTTCAGCTTATTCTCATTAGTTTGAATGTCAGGTTTCGATACTTCTTCATAATAGGTCTCTTCAACATTCCCCAAAACCATATTCATATGAGGATCAAAAGCGTATAGTATCCCCTTTAGTTCTCTATTTCCTCTGCACTTTACAAATACCTGCTCATCCAGGCTTAGTCTAATAAGATCCAGTGGTTCTACAAAATTTAATAATCAAATTATCTTGATCAGTTTCAAGGTTAATTACTTGGCCCATATTAAGACAAGTCAAACCCAGAATTCAAAACTCTTTTGATGGAGACAAACTTACCTGTCACCAGAGAAGACACCATTTTAGGATTTTTAGGAAATTTCTAAATAATGTTGAATATTTTACCTATATTTGGCGTAAAATTAATTAATTTTCTCAGCCATGTTCCCGCCAAAACACCGGTATAGCATTTCAAAATGCATACCGGAATACATGCAAAACATTTTTTTTTGACTAATGAACATAAAAATTGAAATATCTAGAAAAACTAATTCAGGCATAAATGAATTGTCTACAGATTGTTGATAGCCAAGCAATCAATTTTCTCTGTCTCTATAATTACACAAATACAATGTGTATTCCCTTACAATATGCTCTGTTTTCTTTGTTTAACAAAATATTCCTCTTTAACTAATCATTCTCTGCTTTAAAGAACCTAGATCTTTGCTAGAACCCCAGCTTTGAGCTCTTCAAATGAGAGCTTAATCGACTTTAAGAGGAGAGAAGGGTTCAAAATTATTTCTTCATCAAAGGTACATGAAACAGAGACTTTGTCATCAAACGAAAACACTGAAATTCCGAGACCAATGTGGTCAGTAAGAGGCAGAGCAAAGGTCATATCTCTAATTTTCTTGTTCATAAAGCAACAGTTTTTTGGGCCAGGAACTGAGCTGTAGTACATGGAACAGGATTTAGAATGAGGTCGCCATAAACAAAGAAGAGCATATGGAGACAAACAAAGAGTGTACTGAATGTATCTGATAAATATGATAGGGAGTGAGGTTTTTCTATATTCTTGCAGAGACTCAAATACACATCTGAGTCTTTCTGAGGGAGAAGCCAGAGGACATGTAGGAATTGGTAATACAATAGTAGAAAATCCATTATCCAATTTGGTTGGTGGTTTAACTCTATTGTTAGTAGTAACTACCACATTCAAATTTGAGTGGCAAAGTAAGGATAAATCATTTTCCTTATGAGGGAAGTAGTTTCCTGAATATAAACCATTTATTTTTTCTTTTATCTGTGAATTTGAATGGAAATCCAATTCAGCATCTAAATCATGAGAACTAGTAATAGAATCGTACTTGAGAACACTAGAGTAGGGTGATTTATCATCAAAGTGAAAAGGAGATGTAGATCTAGTGGCATTTTCTTTTTCATAATCATTAGATCTTCTTGAAGAAGGGGTTACTGTTGCAGGTAACGGCATATCTTTCATTAATCCTGGATTTGGACTCATTGCTACTGGAGAGTGAGCACTTGTAGAGCTATTAGAAGTTTCTCCTGAGTCTCCTCGATTGGAAATGTAATAATTAACGTACTTGGAGTAACCACTTGCAATGCATGATAAAATTATATCATTAAAAGTAATCCTTTTTGAAAAGTGGGTGGTTTCCTTTTTGCTAACTTTAGATGTTTGATCCTTTGAGTTTGATAGGTTTTGAGTTCTTTTTCTACTAATTAACTCAGTCTTATACCTATTATCTAGTAATTGAGAGTTGCATTCGGTACTTATATAGGCATTACTAGTTGTATCTTGCTTATTGTTATTCTCATATATTGTCCTTTCCCTAAGGTTTAAATCCTCGTTTAGTTTATCTTTCACTAGATTTACCTCTTTCAAGGACAAATTTACTGGCCCAGCTGAACTGATCTTATTTGATCTTTTAGATCTTCTCTTTGAAGGAGTATCCCAAGATCTTTCTGGCCTTGCCTGTAGAGCAGCCTTGAGTAGAGTAATTGGCCCTGCCACGGCTGCCCAAATCAGTCCATTTACCCACTGGTGCCAAAATCTAGCAGATCTTGTCACACCCTTCATCTTTTCCTGTTTCAATTTACTAGTTTCTTGACAATCTAATACTGTTTTTTTCACAAACTCTGTCAAAGTTGATCCATCACCAATCACATGATGAAATTGTCCAATAAGAATTGAACTTTGAGTATCATTCCAAATAACATCATCTAATAATATAATTCTCCAACAAGGTCTTTCAATGGAAAGCTGACAATCTCCACAGTTAAATAACAAGTTATAAAAGTTCTTCATTTCTTCTTCAGACAAGCTTGATTCCTTGTAGTTAGACTCAGATTCATCACTAAAGTCGGAAATCCTCTCAGACAAAGTTTTTAAGGAGTCTTTATCCATCACAAGCTCTGGCTTACTGAGAATTATTCTGGCATGCTTTGGAGTTAGCTTGATTATGTTTCTAGATGTATCATATTCATTACCAGCATACTTAAACCACAATCGTCCAAGAGAACTTTCTACTTTGCAAAAGAATCTCTTATTCTCTCTCAGATTGTTTGACAAGCTTACATACTTGGATCCTGGTTTACTTGAAATATATGGATAATCTTTATTAGATTCATGAAAAGCATCCTTATTCTCTATTCTCCAAATCAAATGTTTTTCTACTTGGTTTGCAGGTATTCTGTCAGTAACAAAAAAACACATAATTAAAGGCTGGCCATGAAAAGCCGTTCGCCACATTAAGTAATCGATATCATTTAAAGGTTCCAGGAGTAGATGACGCTCACTACACCATAAATAGCTCAATCTAATCCAAATTATATCAAATAATTTAAATATATAAGTAGTTATAATACCAATAGCTGCAACAGGAGACAATAGAATGCTCCCTAATACAGATATCAAAACTGATACCCAACCTCCTTCTAGAGGAATGAAATACACAGTCTTCAGAAGATTCTTAGAATTCTGATGGAGCTGCTTCAACATACGTAAAGCTTTGAGATGATGATATTGATCAATTAATTAATATTAATAATATTATATATTATTTCTCAAAAGTTGACTTTTAGCTCCTAAACTTATTTGAATTATTATCAATATTTTGCATTAATCAGTAGCTAAAGAAATTCATGTATCTTTAGATTTACGCGGAAATTCATGATTATGCATTATCCTCAAAACTGACAAAAGAAACTACTTGGGGGTTATTTATATATAATATTAACATTTGATATAAAGATCTTACATAAATCTAAAGGGGGATCAAAGAAGAAAAGTTGTGTGTTATATTACTCTAATAGTATATTTCGAGTCTTAGACGGTATATAATGAATCTTTAAATAAATATATTTCCCGCCTTTTAAAAAATTAAATTATATGTAAAAAGTATAGTGTTAGAATTAATGCGAGAATAAGTAGAAGGAAACCGGGAAGACCATAATTAGCTAAGAGAGAGAACTTGTATGTACTGGAATTATAGGCTTTTCTGAGTTCTCCAACAGCTTGTTTGGCAGTGTACACGGTATTGTCAATAGTAGTTTCAAGGTTTTGTATAGTCTCTCCCTGCTCATTAACCATGGATGCTAAATTTTTGAAGATTTGATTAGCTTCGTACATTTGGGATTGGATATGACCTAATCCGATAGCAGTTTCTTGAGCAATTTGTCTGTCTACCATATCAAAAGTTTGCTGATTGTTTTGCATTGTAGACATGTAATGTGTCTGGTGTTGTTGTTGTCTAAAGTTATCATCTTCAATTTGGAGTTCATATGAGGAATCTTGGTGAGGAAGCCGGTAGCTTTGATTATGGTTATTATGAACTTCGTATCCAGTGAATGCTTCTAAGTGATGGGGCTGACTGTTAGTATAAGAATTAAATTTCCCGAATCCCATAGATTCTGTTTCAACCTTTCTGCTTTGTAGATCTTCAACTTTTCGGTTTAGGAACGCTATTCTGTCAAGAGCAGTTCTTTGCTGAGCTAGGTAATTTTCAAGAACCTCTTTTTGTTCTCTGTATTCTAGAGGATTTCCTGCAAGTTCAATTCTCCAATTTCTTAAGGTGTCGTTAATATTCTGGTTAATTTGCTCAATTCTATTAAAAATTTGATTTACCCTTTTACAAACTTCTTGGCTAACCTTGGAGGTACCTTGGTTCTCCGAGATTCTCTCCTCTAAGTGAGTTAGTTTTTCCTCCAGCTGTTCAAATAGCCTAGCTATTCTTCTTTCATAAGACTCTGGCCATTCTCCTTGTGAACCAGAAACAAAGTAGTTAAACTCTTCTTCCTCATTTTCTTCATCATCATCGTGAATTCGGATTTCAAGAACCATTTTTTTTTCATGTACTAAAGATAAATTTGACTAACTGTTGGTCTTTTACTATAGACTAACAGAATTTAGATATGTGAGCAATCAAAGGAAGCTTTCCTTCCCTTTCTGATGCTCAATTTGACCAAAAGATATCTAATATACACTAAAAGCCACTTTCTAAGACAAATATATTTCTTTTTATTCAGGTTGTTAGCCTGTTAGATCTGAGAGAAGTTTTTAAGTATAATTAATATTGTTTAATTTCTACATACGAAATGGCGCCATATTTTGGCGGCACACCACATGGTACATGTATGCATGCAGAGACTGGAGATGCAGTGAGGCAGGCCAAATTTTAGAAAAGTAAATAAAAATGTGGGAATGAAAAGGGGAAAAAAGATAGTGAAGGAAACATGACCGAAGAAAAAAAAGAGGGAATTAATTATTTTATTTTCCAAATTCTGATGAGTTGTGTGGATGGTTTGACCAGATTTATTTATGTTAGAAAGGAAGGTTAAGCTATTGAAGTATTTAGAAGCAGAAAAAAAAATGTTGGAAAGGTTAGGGTCTATAAGAGGAAGGACTGTGCGTGGTAAGTTTTAAGTTTTGAGGTTTGGGTTTTTCATAATATCAAAATCTGAGTTCTCAGTAACTCTCTTAGAATAAGAGTAAGTTGAAGTTTAGAAGAAAAAATAAGAGGAGAGGCTCAAGAGAGGCTAGGCTGGACCAGGCCTAGAACTTTATAAGTGAGAAAGAGAGAGACACAGAATTTTGTAGAATGAAGAAAAACACAAGACTGGTTAAAAAAACAAGGATCAAGAAAGAAGAGAGGGAAAAAAAGCAAAAAGAAGGTGAATTAGAAAACACAGAAAATAAACAAACATTAGTAAATATAAATGATAAAACTTATTTCAGTGCAATGAGACTTGTAGAGGAGAGTATGTGGACAAGATGGAGTCTACTTAAGCTGGATCCAGAAACCCGTGAAATACAAGCTACTATGTTTAAGGTACTAAATGGACTTGGGTTAATGTATCAAGTAAAGTTTGTGAGTATTTACCTAATGATTTTAATGAGAAACACCTGGGAGGAAGTACAGTCCAATATGGGTAAATGTTTTGCAAACAAGAGTTATGGTTACAAGTACAATCTATTAATAATTTCTTGTATATTTATTTCATCCAATTACGAAGAACTTGAGCCTCCAAATTATTCCAACATAGTCCAAGCAGTCCAAGAGAATGGCTTTGAGATGAAATCTGGAGAAAAAATGATTAGAAAGCAAGTCCACATCTTGGAAAGACTTGCTTGGAGACTTACTGGCTTTCAAATTGAACTCCCATCTGCTAATTCATTTCTAATGCAAATCATCCAAAATTCTAACTTACCAAAAACCAGTAAATTCAAGGTTTCCAGACTATCTACAGAAATTATTCATAATTCTCTTAATAGCGAAATTATTACTAAATACAAGCAATCACTTATTGCTACGTCATCTATTACTTTAGCTATTACAATAGAATTTGAAACACATCCTAAAAAGAAACAACTATATATAGATAATGTAGTTGCCTACTCGGGATATTGCAGAAAAGAGATAGCATCAATACAAAGAATTCTCAGAAAAACGTCCTTGGATAGAAAGTAATCTACTAACATCCAAAATTTAGATTAAAAACACAAGTAGAGTATTTGAGCACAATGAAATATATAAGAAATCGATGTAATTATAAATTATAAAATATATAAATCAAGATAAATAATTATATATAACCCAGCAATCATATTAGCTACGGTTATAATAGGAAACAGATAAATACTCCAAAGTACACAATCCTTATCGTCACAACCAGTTTAATCACGTTAAGGAAATCTGTAGATTAATTGAATGAGTATTAAGTATTCAATCTGAATATAGTTCATTTATATTCTCCAAATACTTTATTTTGATTTAACTAATATCTATTTCAGACTTTGGCGCCAAAAGTGCCGTCTCAAAGCTGCAGTGTGTGGAGAGTAGGGGAGAAATGAGCGGATCAATTGGGATATATAAAAGACATAGGAAATAAATTAGTGTCTAAGAGACATATAAAGGACAGGATAATAAAATTGGAGTGAGGTAAATCAGGAAAAAAAGAGCTGGAAATATCATGTATATCCGTACGTGTTTCAATGTGACGCCAAAAAAAAATTAATTAAGCTGGGAGAAATGAGTAAAAGTAAAATAATGGGCCCCTCCAGTGAAGATATAAAAGATACAAAATCGGCCCAGTAAAATTTTGCAAGACAAGAAAACCAATGAATAATAATAAGGCTTTTCCTCGACTATAATATCTGTAAGGAGAAGAAGAAAATAAAAGAGGTAGGGATTTAAAACTTGGGGGTGTTACATAAAAGTTAACAGATTTTTATGAAATTGAAGAGTGCTCTAGCTCATATTTTAATTACCACTAGAGAGCTGGTGTACCTCTAGAGCTGGATTTCAATTAGTTTAAAAATGATTGAGGACAAAAGTACGTTTAATCAGAATGAGTGCATTGGAGGTATAAACCAGAGTATTGGTATAACTACAGAAAAAGCTCAGATAAGCGTCCAGAATTTTGGTTCTAGCTCTATTAGTAGTAGCAGCAATCTGGGAGGTTCAAAATCATTTTCAACCTGTAGAAGATGGATGGTTTCCGGGAGATTTCAAGATATACTTCCAAAAGAGTCACTAACAATGAGCCTCATGGATTGGGAAGACTTATATAGAAGAGAAAGGCTTGCTCAAGTACACCATAGTGTCTATACAACTTCAGGATGTTTTCTACAGCTTGATCAGAGACAGCTTGTGATGAGCTGGATCAGTGATGTGGCCCACAGACTTGCATGGGAGAAGAGTACTTTTCATATCGCCACAAGTTTAATAGACCAATATATGTTTTGTTTAGAGAGAGATCCGATTTCCAGAAGAAAGCTCGATAGAAGCTCTCTTGCAGCCACATTTGCAGCAGCAGTAGTCACTGCAGCATCTCTAGGAGAATGTTTAGGTGAGTGCCACGATAGAAAGCACTGTCCTGGGTTGCCTCCTTTGCATAGATTCGTCCAGAGTAGTGGTATAATTCGATCAAGTAGGGACATTGTTGAGATGCAAATCCAACTTTTGGTTCAGACATCCAGATATGGTGGCCCCTCTCTACTAAACAAAACTCCAGCTCATATGACCCTACACTACCTCTCAAGACTTAAACATCTGGTGGATTCTCTCTACAACTCCTTATCCGAAGTTCTTCCTGGGTCCTCCTGGCCATTTGGATCCCAAAATAGAGAAAATTTTCCCCCAAAGGTAGCTAACTCTAACTACAATGGTGGTCTAGATGGTGGTACTACCACAAATGTTAACTTAGAAACTGGGCGTCCCGACGAAATCCTTTGCTGTAAGAAGGGAGCCTGTTGGGCCAATAAGATTGGGCTCAGTACGACAGTAGGACAGGCAGTCCTTGGAATCCGTGAGAAGATCAATTATGCTTATCTATTCGAGAAGATTATGTTTGCACACGAACTTGCTCTTTACTCAGGGCTTAATTTGCTAGTCCCAGGTAGCAGAATCGCAGCATGTGTTCTTATAAACATTCTAATCAGCTATGACCCCATCCTTCAGTTTCCCTCACATCAGAATATACTTTATAACAGCTTGTGCCTACTTGATTATGATACTGGGATCAGACCATTTATGCCGTATCTCGATCCTTTGGTTCGCAGGGTTATTTCTATGTCAATGGAGAGCATACAAGCATTAGAAAATAGTGGCGCCGGCGGCAAGCACGGCGGGGCGAAGGCGGGGGTTCCAGTTGGTATGCCACTGGACGATACATGTTCAGGAGTCATTTTGATTCATAAGCACCATGTAATTCCAGAGAAATTACTGAACGGATTATGGGTTTCTAACTTGATTGCAATGCATTCAAGAATGAACCAACCGAACATAATGACTCCATTTTCACTATCATCTCCGAACTCTATTCCGGTTTCCCCACATTCAAGTTTAGGTTCAGCAAGTGGATCGCCTGGTACTTTTCAGTGTTCTCCTTTGTTTTATTCACTGGGTGGATCCAGATGTTACTTGGATGATAAGGCAATTGTTCAAAATATAGGAAAAGGTAGATTTGCGGGTGTGGGAGGTAGCAGTGGTGGTCTTGCAGCTTATGGAGCAAATACTGGTAGTAACAACAGTAGATGTGGTGGGAGGATGCAATATTTGGAGAATTCGGGCGGGCTTTCTGGCAAGAGAGTCCTCACGGAAGGTGAGCATAGTGAGATTCAGTATGATTCGGGTGATTATAAAAGGGATTCCGTTTCCTTGAAGCTCCTCCAGAAGCAGCAAAATCATAGACACTTTATTGGTAATCACTTGCATCTTGTCAGTAATAGAGTTAGTGATGACCAACACTTATATACAACCTGTTCCACAGCAACTAACTCTCCTCTTTTAGGAGGGCCTATTTAATAATAGGTTTTATAATGGTCTAATTTCGTTTTATCTATTTTTTTCTGTTTTTTTTCAACTTTTTTTACCTTTTTTTTGGATTTTATCTTTATATCTCCCACGTGGTTTCTTTTTGGGGTAGTTTGTTTACATGCAGTAGGGGAAGTTTCCCGCCCAAAATGGGAGTCTGAGTCATGTATGGTTAATAAATAATTGTAATTAAAAATTCTTTAATAGTTTTATGAAGAAAGAATTAAGTAGGATATTTTTCTCCGGAAAAATAGTTTCCCTTTATTCTGCCGGATGTTTTCTGACAGGAGTAACTCAGGTGGAAAGGCCAGTGGTTTAATTCGAGAAAGAGCAGAAGGAAGGAAAGACAGATATCATGTGTATGAACGAGACTGGGGCAGTGAAAGGACCAAACAAAAAAATTACAAGAAGGAACGAGAATTTTACAGCAGGAGTCTTTTGGATAGAGAGGAAGAAAGAACCCAACTGCCTCAAGATTCTTCTCAGCTAGATAGAATTTGGTATGACTCATATGAGGATGGGGGCTCTGCTTCTCTAAATGACCACTTTGCCTTTGATTCTGGGTTGCTATTATATGGAAATGGAGGTGTTTCTGAACTCACAAAATACTCAAAAGAGGACTTACAAAAAACAGGAAAGGTTCAAAAGCGAAGGAGAATCAGCCAAAAAAGGATTCAAGGTAACATAGATAATGAAAGGTGGGAACTGAGCAGACTTGGAGGATCAGGAATTGGCTTAGGTATAGACATTATGGAAAGAAAAGATAACTTATTTTTAAATGATTTAGAGTTTGATGAGAAGAACAATAAGAAGATTCACATAATTGTGGATAGAACTTACCCAGCATTTCTGAAAACTTGGGAAATGAATACTATTAGGTCTCAGTTAGAATTCTCCAGATGGGATCAAGAGACTGAAAATGATGAAATTAGTATTATAAAGGATAAAACTAGTGATATAGCAAAACTGGCAAGAACTGGGAGCTCTATTTTAAAAACTTTAAGATCGAAAGAAAACAAAACTAAAATGAGGCAGAGATTCTGGGAGTTACAGGACTCCAAAATTGGAGCATTAATTTCTTCAGATAAACCCCACTCTCCTGAGAATTCAATACGTCTCCAGGAAGAAGCTGGAGAAGGTGAGAGTGGAAGTTTCAAACAAAGTTTTGGTAGTTTATTTAAAAGAAACAAAGATGAATCTGGAAATCATAGAAACAGTAATGAATCCGGTACTGATTCAGATCTATTTGGAGATCTTGAAAACAATCCTAGACAACAAATCTTAAAGACTAGACAAAACTTACCGGTATATAAAGTCAGGGATTCACTATTAAAGCTTATTGGGGAACACATGGTAGTAGTAGTAGTTGGAGAAACAGGTAGTGGAAAGACCACCCAATTGACACAATACCTTCATGAATATGGTTATAGCAGACGTGGGATCATTGGATGTACCCAACCAAGAAGAGTAGCTGCAGTCAGTGTAGCACAAAGAGTTGCAGATGAGATGAACGTAGATTTAGGAGAAGAAGTTGGATATACTATTAGATTTGAAGATTTTACAAGCAAATCCACAGTTATTAAGTATATGACAGATGGTGTTTTAATGAGAGAGAGTCTAAATGATCCAGAACTTGAGCGTTATAGTGTTATTATAATGGATGAAGCTCACGAACGAAGTCTAAGTACAGACGTACTTTTTGGTATATTCAGAAGTGTTTTATTGAATAGAAGAGATTTTAGACTAATAGTAACTTCGGCCACAATGGATTCTGAAAAGCTCTCCTTATTTTTTGGTAATGCTCCAATATTCAACATTCCTGGAAGAACTTTTCCAGTAGAAATTGAGTATTTAAGATACTTTCCAGATGACTATATAGATGCTGCAGTAAGACAGTGTTTAAAGATTCACTGTACCAATCCATTGGGTCTTTTATCAAATAAAGATGACACAAATAACCAGAAAAGTGATGGAGATATTTTAATATTTATGACAGGCCAGGAAGATATTGAAGCTACATGCGTACTTATATCAGAGAAACTAGATAGTCTAATGATAGATGGGGCTGATCCACTTTTAATTTTACCAATATACTCGCAGTTACCATCAGATCTACAAGCAAAGATATTCAAACCAAGTCCTTATAGAAAAGTAATAGTAGCAACTAACATTGCAGAGACTTCTCTTACTTTGGATGGTATTAGATATGTAATAGATTGTGGATTATGCAAAGTCAAAGTTTACAATCCAAAAATAGGTATGGACTCTCTTCAGATTACACCAATTAGTCAAGCTAATGCATCTCAAAGAAGTGGTAGAGCTGGAAGAGTATCTTCTGGAATATGTTATAGAATGTATACAGAACAAACTTTTTTAGTAGATATGCTTCCAAATAGTATTCCAGAGATCCAAAGGACAAATTTATCAAATGTTGTGTTATTGCTAAAGTCTTTGGGGTCAGAAGATGTTTTTTCTTTTCCATTTATAGATCCTCCCTCATCTTCTTCAATTTCAACCTCTTTATACCAACTTTGGTCTCTAGGAGCTTTGGATGATAAAGGTTCCTTAACTGATCTTGGAAGGCAAATGGCCAGATTCCCTTTAGATCCTCCATTATCGAAAGTTTTACTAACAGCTAACAAACTGGATTGTTTGATAGAAGTAATTGTAGTTGTTGCTATGCTAACAGTTCCTAGCGTGTTCTACAGACCTAAAGACAGGGTAGAAGAGGCAGATGCATCTAGAGAAAAATTCTCGGTACCTGAAAGCGATCATCTAACTTTACTGAATATATTTATTCAATGGAAAAGGCATGGATCACATGTAAAGTGGTCAGAGAAACATTTTCTGCATCAAAAAGCATTATTACGTGTTGAGGAAGTATTCAAACAAATTCTTGAGATTTACTCAAACATAATTAACATAGAGACAATTCCAAAGGTTGACTGGAAACCAAATCCTATGTGTTGGGATAATCTTAGAAAAGCATTTTGTAGTGGGTATTTTCACAATTCTGCAAAGATACGAGCTATTGGACAGTATGTAAATTTATCAACATCTGTTCCTGCATATATTCATCCTTCTAGTTCACTTTTTCTTTCTGGAGTGAACCCAGACTACTTAGTTTATCATGAAGTAATTATTACTTCTAAAGAATATATGAATACAGTCTCTGCCATAGAACCTGAGTGGCTTAATTTCTATGCACCTCACATTTTTAAACTTAACATTTACGATTCAAATAAAGATTTAATTTCTTTGGACAACTCTTCACAAATTAGTTGCAAAAAACCTAACTCAGACGAGATAGAGAACGTTAACACTATTACTTATACTGAAACTGGGACTATGGAAGAGGCTCAAAACTCCACAAATCTTCCGAATCCACAACCAGAACTCTGTAAAAAATCATCAAGTAAGATTAAAAGCAAAAAAAATAAGCATGCACTTTCCTTTAGCTTTGGAGATTAGTGAAATGAGCTAAAGAGTTATTATAATGAGTTATACTTTTTTTTTTAAATTACCGAAGATATTATGTAAACTGAAAACACTAAGTTACTGAACATCGTTTCTAGTTGTTTTTTTTAATGGTGATTTAGCTTCACCAATTTCTCTCAATTTCTTTTTTCATTATATTTCTAATTTTTAATTTTTCACATTTTACATTGTATACATGCAATTTGTCAGCTTTTGTTAGTATTAATAATTTAGGCGGGTTTTCTGTAATGTACAATAAAAAATACGAATTTAGAGTAATTTGATAGTAAATGTCAAATATTAATTGGGCGGGAGATTTAAAGAAAAATAATAAGAAAAAAAAATAGAGAATCTTGCCAGGTAATCAGATCAAGCTAAAAATAACATGAAATAGAGAGGTTGGGTGGAAATAAGTAAGTTATTGCTAATAGTCGAGTTTTTACTAGAGAAGAAACCTTTTGAATAGAGGTTTTGGAGTTGACCAGAAAATCAAAATAAGATGGGAAGAAACAATAAGAAAGTAATTTGTAACATTAAGCCATCCGACAAAGAATGTAGACCACTCACTTCTTCAGTACCGGAGATGTTAGACGAAAAAGGTGATATTCTTAAGGAGAAATGCGATGAACTGGAAAATAAGTATGTACATGAGATTTATGAGACAATGGCGGAACATTTTTCTCATACAAGAGGTATTCCCTGGCCAAAAGTGAAGAATTTTGTTTCATCTTTTGGGCCCGGTTCACTTTTGCTGGATGTTGGATGCGGAAATGGGAGGTTTATGGATTGTGTTAAAGATTCAAAAGTTTTCTTTATGGGAACTGATCGTTGCAAATCACTTTTAGAATCAGCTAGAACGAGGAATCCTAATTTGCAGGTATTCGTTGATAACTGTATGAAGCTTAATATCAGATCCGGGACTTTTGATGGAATAATATGCATTGCAGTTTTACATCACCTATCTACTCCTGAACGCAGAATCCAGGCAGTGAGTGAGTTAATTAGATGTCTTAGAAGAAACGGGACTCTCTTAATTTACGTATGGGCTTTTGAACAAAAGAAAGGAACGGTTGGATCACGCAGCTTTTCTAGTAAGGACACTATGGTGCCCTGGCACTTCCAGAAAAAGTATGCAAAAGATAATCATGAGAAGGCTGAAAACATACAACAGTGCACAGATCAAATCAAGGAAGAAATGGATGATCCTCAAAAAGAAGCAGGGAGCCTCGGGAATATAGTTAGAGTCCCTCCAGAAAAATACTTGATAGCTTTGCAGAGATATTATCATTTGTTTGAGGAACAAGAAATTGTGGAAATATGCAATAAGGGTATTGAAAAATACAAGGAGGGTATTAAAGGTCAAGGAGATTGTGAGTTAGAAGAGGATGTGAGCATAATAGAGACATACTTTGATTGCAATAATTGGGCAGTAAAAATTGCAAAGAATTAGCCATGCATGCAATATTTGCCATTTACATGCAATTATATTCATATATTCCCGCCAAAAAATTATGTATTTTAATACTTGAATAATTGAAAAAATTTAAACATATATTTTTTGGTGCATTTAAAACCAAACATTTGATCAGCAAGTTAGTTCATATCAAGACTTGTTTGAATAAAATTGAGATTGGACTCATTAGTCTTTCTTTAATGAAAAAAACATGTTTCACCTTTTCTATATTTTCTTTACCCTAATTTTTTCTGGTAATTTTTTTTTTTTTTTTTTTAATTTGTAGGCATTTTTGTTGGCTCTTGAATTTTAGTAGAAACTTTACGTTTTTGTATTAATTCAGCAAGCATGTGACCTTGATACTTAAGTTCCCAGAAATTGTCAGAAATAAAATCATGTTTTCCACCAAATTCCTTGGGAATGTAATTTCTATCTATAAAATGAGAAAGAGCATCAAAGTCTGTAATAGAATCTGGTGATTCAAATACTTTGTTAATTATTTGAAACTTTTTTTTTAACTTTTTTTTTGTAATAATAGCTAACTTTATCGAAAACTTAATAAGCCTATTTGGTTTAAACATTAAAACTTGCCCAATTTTAATTGGAAAGCTCTTCATAATTAATTGGAAAATCCGTAGACAATATTCAACTCTAAAATCACCGAATCCAATTTTTGACGCATTAATAAGTATGCTTAATCCATTTCTTTCTGCTGCATATTCATATGGATTTTCGATCATTATCAATTCTAAAACAAAAACAAATAAAAGTATTAAATCATCGACAGTTTGAAACCTGGGATCGTGGTGATGAAGGTTAATTATAACCAAAAGTCTGCCATGAAGATCTAATTTGTCAAATATTACTACTTTTCCAGTGCGTAACTGAGATAATATTGCTGGATTATGAATATCAATCTCATTTCCATTCTTTGAATTAAACTTACACATCATTGTTGTAAAAGATTTATAAGACTTGACTGCTTTCTCTACATTATTGTTCATACTTCTTAGGCAAAATAATGCGATTTCTTCTCTCGTCCAGCAGGATCTAGTCAATTCTTTATCTACAGTATTATCAATTGGACTGAATTTGTATGAAGATTTTTGCAACTTTTCACTCATATTTTTTAGTTGCTCTATTTCTTTCATAGTTTTGCTCCTTTCTTTGATTTTTTTTATATCTAAATTGGTATTTTCAGCCTTTTCTTCTGTACATATAGCATCATTTACATCATTTATATACACATTTGTTGCCATATCATTGCCATAAATGCAGCTATGTTTTGAAAGCTCATTATTATATGATGATGACAGAGTAAAATCATATTTTTCAATCATATTTTCGTTGATCTCAAATATTTTCCCCTATTGTTTTCAGACTTTAAACATTAATAACTCGAATATTCACTTTATCAAATTCGTAACCTTTAAAGGCCAAATTAGTGCCAATTAAACTAATAAAAGCCTCCAGTTGTTCAGCACAATGTTTTCATCACGAAACGTTACCAGCCTATTTATATTTATCTGGTTTTATTAATTTTTCTAGACATGTATGGATCTCTGGCGTATCTCCTGCCAAATTTTGGCAACGTAAAGGCGGGCTTTTAAAACAAATTTTTATTGGTAGTAAAAATATTGTTATGGTAAATGTTATAAGAAATGATTATCAAATCTGCATGCACACACGTATTTGGCAATTTTGAATAATTAATAGGTGTTTCTAGACATTTCGTAATTAGTAGGGTTATCTTAAAAGATAGCAAACAAAATCTTTATATTGAGTAGTATTAGTTTCATTTATTATAAGTAAGATTTTTCACAATAACAGAAAAAGAAAGAAAATAGCATTTATATAATAATAGTAATATTCGTATTAAAGAACTAAATTTTCTTTTAAGGACTAATTATTGAAGTTGCAATTCTCTTAACACCAAATAGAAGTTGTTCAAGGTGAGGAATTAATTCTAAAACTTCTCCTAAAGAGAAATTAACAAATAAAAGGGATAAAATACGTTAATTCATGTTGAATTAGACTACTAGTACTCAAATGTTGAAGTCCTCTATTATATATTAGTTGTATATTTAATAAACACCACCAAATTGTGTAGTTAGGAACCTCAATATAGTCTAGTATAGCTGATATCTTACCTTCATAATGAAAGTTTGTGACAATATGTATAATTAAGGGATGAAAATTGATTTGGAAAGTGGAGTCTTTATTTGTTCGAATCTAAAACGATGAGAAACAGAAAATTATTACAGTATTTGTAGATTTTCATGATTTTTAAACTCTGCTTTAAGACCATATTTAAGGTAACTTACAATCACAAATGAAGCTTTTCCAAATTCTTCCAATTTTTCACAAGAGGAAATTAAGCTGGCAAAAACTACCGGTATTGAGGGATTTATAAGGACAGATTTAGAACCAGATGAAGAATTTGAGGCTAAACAGAGAAGTATGAAATAATCAGTATGGGTAAATTTTCTCATTTCAATAAACCATTAACTTAACTTACCTTTTAGTACTACAACCCCATCATGGTCTGTCACACAAATTGATTCAAGTCCTTTTTTTCTATAAATCAAAATAAAACAAGTAAGTTATTCTAGTTCAGTCTGATTTTTCATATTCTCCTCCTCTCTCTGTCTCCCACATTCCTTTTCCTCCAATCCCCCTTAAATATTACAACACAATATGAATTCAACTTACTTCTCAACTATTGAGTTTAGCAGAGAAATTAGGTGCTCAAAATTAAAACTGAATTCCTCGCAAGAGTTTTCAGGATCTGTCATAAAGTCAGAAACACTTAAGCCTGTAGGGTGCATCTAAGCTTTAAAGAATGAATTATAATATTAAATAAAGTGGGAAAAGGCGCCAAGCTCAATAATTTATAAATGATATTAATTAGACTAGACTAAAAAAGTAAAATATATGAAGACCTAGTTAAATCAAGAATCAAGCTAAAGTGTTAGTTCTTGTTATAATATTCAGATTGAATGCTAGATTTACCTGAATTTGGAAAGTTTGTGGCTGTCTGCATATTCCCATTTGAGGTAATAGTAGGACTATTTGAAAGTGAATTATATGTCTGAAAATGTGGCACTTGAGAGATTTGAGGTACTTGAATAATTTGGGGAATTTGAGAAATCTGTGAGACCTGGGCCACCTGGGGAAATTGTCCAATCTGGGGAATTTGTTGTACTTGAGAAATTTGTGGCATTTGAGGTATTTGATGGGTCTGAGAAATTTGCGGAATCTGAGTAACCTGAGACATTGTTTGTACCTGGGATAAATTAAAAGTAGAGAAATTTGAAGGTAAGTTATTTGAATTAGCTGGAATTATGGGAACAACTTCTGAAACTAATTGCATGGTTACGTGTTCTGGCGCCAGATTCACAGATTTCATGTTAGAAGAGTGATTTTTGGCATCCAATAATGTCCCAGTGTTATTTATGTTGTTTAAATTAACATCATTCTTGATGGATGAGTTTAAAGTGTGGCTGGATGACTGTGAGATAGGATTATTATGCTCTAAGTGTACTGAAGTGGGTAAAATTGGGGTTTGGTCTGAAACAATCGAGTTATCATCGACTTGGTCTTGGTCATTTTCAGTGTTATCTTGATCTTTTTCAGATTCTTCAATTTGCTGTTTTTTTGCATTTCTTAGAGCAAGTCTGTCACTTCTGTCCTTGACAATATTATTAGATGCTACTGGGGCATGCTCGTAATTTAGTAAATCTGAATCATAACCGTGCTTATTAATCCTAGATGATCTTCTTGTAGCATTTTCGTTCTTAGAATAAGAATAATCAATGTTCATGGCAGCCTTTCTTTTTGTTCTTCCTCCATTAAGCATTTCATCAGTAGGAGCACAATTACCCCAGGATGATTCCAGTTGGTTTCGAATAGATCTCATTTGTCTGATTTTCCTTAATTTAGCCTTTTCAGCAACAATTAAAGCATTATACTTAATTTCAAGTTTCTGACCAATTTCATACAGATCTTCACTATTTAGAAAAGTCTTGAATGTATTGCATAATGTATCTGAATTATCTGAAAGTAATGTCAGTTCACCTGTCAAAGATGATTCCCTGTATAATTTAAAAATAACTTCATCATTTGGAGGATTAATATACCAATAGTGGTGACCAAGTTTGTCATCACCAATATATGGAGGAGAAAGCCCAAAAAAACATTCTCCTGGTACCACTTCTTTGCATTTCATAGAATAATTCTCCATTCCTTGAAAAATACTCCTTAATTGTCTGCTTTCTTGAATGCAAGTGTTTAGCAATATTCTAATAGTTCTCAATCTTTCATAACTGTGTACATTTTTATATTCATTATCCCTATATGGGTTATATAATTGGGTATCTAATAGCTCACCTTCCTCCTTATATATCTCAGAATTCTCATTTTCTTGTTTGTCAGCTTCTTCTGACTTAACATTCTCAGAATTCTTGAATGTTTGATTTTTATCCAAATTTTCTTCCAAACTCTTATCTGAAGTACCAGTATTTGATTCTATCTTATCCCAAAAGATCACACTAACATCTATAGGCCTTTCATCTAAAAACTTGGTTAAATTCCTTTCTAATGTAACATGTGGAGGAAACCTTTTCCCTAAAAACCCCAGTAATTTCAAGTGAAGATTTTTAGAGTACTCAGTTAACTCTTCATTTTCAAACATATCTTGAACATCTTCAAATGTCCACTCTATTGCCATACTAGTGTTGCTGATTAGTCCTAGGAATCTAATCAATACAAAATAATGCGGATTCTCAACTACTGGTACATCTGGACCGTCATTATATCTCAAATACTCGAATTCAACCAAACTCTCCACCATTCTAATCTCACAAGAAATTCTGATTCCAATGGGAAAAATCTATCTTCTTCCTGCCTAAACTGCCACTTTAATTATTATTTATTTTCCTTCTAAATTTACTTCTATTCTTGCCCTATTCACCATTTTTTATTATTTATTCTATTTGGCGCCATATTCGCCCGCCCGAAAGTGACCCCACCTTAATATTATGGTGTTATAAAGCTGTCAAAGAAAGAACACAGAGGATTAAAAAGGCATTCCAAATGAATATCTAATAAACTAAAGTCAGAGATCTTGCCAGTTAGTTGGAGTTTTTAGTTATTTTTGTGAATTAAAAAATTGAGATTAGTTACATGTAAGAGAAATGGGGTCTATTGATGAATCTATTTATTATGGGGTTTATGGCACCAAAATTACATGGGATGTAGGATGGATTCCTGTGGAGAGACTTAGAGGTAATTCATATTATAGTGAGTCTTGGCTGTTGAAAAATGATGTAAATTCTTCTATGGAAAAGTTGAAAGAGGAATTGTAAGTTTAAAATGAGTTTTTTTTCCGGTTGTATGGGATAATATGTATATGCTGTTATTATATAGAATTGAATGATTTGAGGTGATTAAAAGAGTACCGGATTTTATTTTAACATTACTTATTTTTTTTTTTTTTTACAATTTTCAGGGAAGATTTGGATTCTCAGATTAATATATGTGATAGACAAATAGAAGAAAGTTTACAGGAAATCATGGAATCTCAGCAGATCGATAACTTGGGTGAAACAGATATAAGTGATCTGAATCCAAATAACTTGGAAGACCCCAATGTTTTTTTAGAAAATGCTCAAAATGTTAAAATTCATCTGGAGGTAATGTTTTAAACGAATTAATAAATATAGTATTACTTAGTAATTTACACTTCCATTATAACAAACTAATAGGACAGGAAGAAAGCTGTTCAGGAAAGTATGAGGAATTTGAGGTCAGCAACTTTGCTTTTTAGGTGGGACAAGAAGTCTTTGCCTCCTTATCTTCATAGGTTAGATGCACCATGGATTCATTTATTAAATGTGCAAATTCAACGAGATAAAGATTTCCAGAATTGGATTCAGAAGCAATGGGATGATACTAGAGAAAAGTTTTTCAAATCTAGAGGTTTAAAACCTCCGAAGATAAAGAGAACTATTAGCCAGGCAATAGGAACTTCAGAAGAAAAAGTACCCGTGAAAAGTGGGTCTAAGAAAAAGAAGGGGTCCAAGTCTAAGGAGGATGAGGAGGGTTCTGATAAACCTCCACAAGTTGCAAATGAAGATATGAGATTTGTAGCAAAGATGGTAAGTTAAGTTCTGATTAATTTTTTCTTTAACACTATCAATATTACCCTTTGATCATAGATTTATGGAGAAGTAGGGGTTTCGGAAACTGGCAGGAAATTTTACGCAACAAAAGCCTTGGAAAACGCAAGAGTTCTTAGAGATGATGCAACTGAGGCTGAAAAGGTTATGAGAGGACAATGGAGGTATATTCTACTTTATTGTGGAGGAGATTTTCAAGAATCTGGCTTGGTTCCCTTAATTGCAACTACTGGTACAAAGTACTCGCACCCAAAGTTTAAAATAAGACATGCACTAGCTCTCATTAGTCCATACTGTGAACATGGAAATGGGGTATCTCTAATAAGAAATTTATCAGGCCAAAGACACATATACTATTATAAAAGTGATTTACTTCATTATAATCTTTTATTGATCATTAAGGCTCTCTCTTTCCTAGAAAGCTATGAGATCTTCCATGGAAATATTAAGTTATCTAATATATATGTAAGCGCCACAGGGTTTATACTGCTTCTCGGGGACTTTATGCTCCCTTTAAGACTGAAACATTGGTTTATAGAAGTAATGAAAAAGAATGCAAAAGTTCCATTAAACACTTCTCCTGAACTGAGATATGCATTAATGAAGCCAAACTACAAAACATACGAAGATTTTGAGAAAGAGGTAGACTTACATAAGAACGATGTTTTCTGTTTAGCTATGGTTTTTCTCTCATTGTCACTAGTTTACGAACCAAAAGAGACGGACTATAAAAGAATTAGGAGCTTTGTTAAGGAAAGCTTACTTAAACTAGCTGCAGACCCTGCTTGGAGTGCCGGTAAGTTTAAAGTGTTATTTTAGTGTAACATGGACGAATTAGTAGGATGAAAACAACTAGTTTACATTCTCTTGAGGCCACTACTAATAATAACTACAAAAAATTAAATAAACACTAACTTCTATAATATAATTGAATAATCCCTCAGAATACATTGAACTACTCGGAAAAATGCTCACTATAGATCCCAAGAAAAGACCTAGTTTTCAAAATTTGCTAAAATCCCAGGATTGTGAAATGCTCCTGGGTGATGGATTCTTTGAAAAATTAAAAAAACTTTTCCTAATGAAACCAATCGACAAAGCTGTTGAAGAACTTTTACAGCCAGAAGATGAAATCCTACATTTTTCAAAACTTTCTGACGGAGTTGTTCTTCGAGAAAAAAAAACTAATGAAAGCACATGCAATTACATGTAAAATTTTACCCCACATTTGCTTCCTCATAATAATACGTTGTTACAATACCGGCATTTTTGGCGGGAAAGTTGTGGAAAATCAGACCCTCACACATGCGTATGTAAGAAAAAGCAGAATAAAGAGTGTGGTATAATGGGATTATCGGGTTCGACAACAGTAGAGAATTGCAGAGTAGGAAAAGTGAAACTGAGATGCGATGGGAGGACAAGGAAAGAGAGTGTTTCTGCCGGAAATGGTGGGCCAGGCAGAGTTGTTAGTTTTTTTGAAGAGTTGAATGAGTACCTTGACATAGAGTTTTTGGCGGAGGACATTGAAGAGTCGGAAAGTTTTTCGGAGGTTGGAGAGACTTTGAAGAGAGGGAAGTCTCACGATGTTTCCTTGGTTTCAGTTTTGAAGGAGAATTCTAAGGAAGAGAGTAGGCCAGAGTTAATGAGGTCTGAAACTTATAATATAGGCTCAGAAGCCTTTGGTTGTGGTTGCGAGAAGTCTTCATCTGGCAACTTTAAACGCAAGCTGAGAAGCTTTTTGAGCCCAGAGCTATGCATTCGGATTCCAAATGAAAGCAGAAAGTTTTCTAAAGAAGGGATTGTAGGATCTGGTAAGGTTTTAGTAGGGAGGGATGACTTAATAGATACAGCAATGAGGTATATTTGTGACACAGAAAAGAATGCTTCTCTACCTCTATTCCCATCTTCTTTATATGCGAGCAATATAACATGCAATTCTTGGTATTCTTTGACTGGATTTTTGGAGAATGGAATATCATTTGAAGTTCCAGAAGGAGTCGAAGCAATTTCTTTGATGGGTTACGAATTTTCAGTAGACGATGCAAATGTTAGGAGATCAGCTAATTTGCATAGTATTTCGCTTTTGGAGAATTTGAGGTTGGTATTACGTGAGAAAAAAACAGCAAAGTTTACTATTATCAAACCTCAGATATGGTTTAAGCGCACAGAAGAAAGCTTGTCTCATTTGGAGGAGGAGAACCTGACCAAAAGATCACTTGTTTCTAATGTAAGGGATATTAATGATGACCAGGACAGGTTTTATTCACAAGGGATAATTTACTGTTCTATGCTGTCAGGTACAGTTAGTCTGGCAGAAGGTAAAGAAGGAGTAGAGGTTTGGTGGAGCTTTGAAAGCCCGGCTCCCAGTCTTCCTAATGAAGCTATTAAGTTACCTTTAGTGGCTTCATTGGATGTGGGAATTTCAAAGCTGGAGAATTGGTTATTGAATGAGACAGTTCAGCATCCTGAGACCTGGGTTCCTTTCTTTGTTCCACAGAAAAAACTCAAGAATTCGGCTCCAATTTGGGTTCATAGACTAGAAAAACTATTATTAAATGCTCAAATCCTCTGGAAATGCCAATATTTAATTAAGTCTTTGAATACTTATAATTCTTGTTTTTTAGCTTTGGCTGGAACAAATTCAGCTGAGGATGACTATAGAGTTGGAGCAAGTTCAATACTATCGAAGTTCATAAATGAGGACCACATTACAAACTATACCGTTTGTTTCTCTGAGTTAATTAGTCAATTTGAAAGTTGGAGAGTGAACCACCGTATTACAAGTGATTACTGTATGGAAATGATGTCCCTAATTTGTGTGGGAAGCTTGGTAACTTCGGAGAGCTTATTAGAAATCATGTTATCCCTCAAACAATCTGGATTTGAGCTTAAGTTGTCTATTTCTCTCCAGAAGGAATCACCTTTCACTGACTCAAAGATTCCAAAAAAAATGCTGGAAGAAAAGTTCACCTCGTTCTTATCAAAGATACTTTTGTTAAGAGGGTTGTCTTTAAGAAGCTTGCTCAATTATCGTACTAGAGAATTTTTGGTTCAACATCTTAAGACTAAAATTCAAAGCTTGCAAATGAATGGAAGTGAAAAGGTGAATATAAAAGAGTCATTTGGTAGGGTTTTGGATGTTTTTGAGAAGGACCAGGCTTTTGAAAAAGCTACTCAGACATTTATCACGGGATTGAATTTGATCAGTTCTCTAGTACTTAAAAGAAGTCATTTCCTAGTAGTAGGAGAGACTATTATGTCAGCAATGCTTTTTTTCGCAGAAGTGGACAGAAATATAACATTTGCAAAGATTATGGGAGAAAAATTACTTGAAAGTGGATTAAAAGCAGCTGGAAAAGAAACCCTGGAGCAGGTTTCCTGGAAGGAAGTTTCAGGAATTGAGACTCTGTTTAGTTTGGATGAAATTTCTAGGGCTATAGAAACTTTGGGCTACTGGATAGAGGAGGAGACTTCTTTGTTCGAGGCATATAGTGAAAAGATGACCAGAGAAAACTATTTTTTACTAAATCAAAGGCTAGAAAGGATCTATGAATCAATTAAAATTAAGGTTCACGTACTAAGAATAAAACTAAGCCCAGCTTTCATCAACTTTTTGCTCCCAAGAGCAGTAGATGAAGTTAAGGAAGAGCTTTACTCTTTGAGAAAAGGTGCATTTTCCAGACTTCAAGATAACAAGGAAAACTGTCGAGGAATGATCTTTGAAAATTGTTGCCAAAGCAAATGCTTTACAGACTCTAACAATAATAGCCACATTCAGGAAATTGAGACTTTTATGCCTGGGATAGATATGAACCAGAAAAAGATCTCAGGAAAAGATCAAGAATTACAACAGTTATCTTCTTGTGAAAGTGAGTCTGACTCCTCTAAGCCAGAATTAAAAAGAATTTCAATTTCCTCTATGATATTTTCAATGGCTAAATCTTTGGTTTCTCGGGAGAGAAATATTAGTTTTACTGGTATTCAGTGTTGCAATACTGATAGAACTGATTTCAGAAACCTTTTGGATCTGGCTGACTCTAATTGTGGAGAAGGTGCCTACAACCCTCCGACTTGGTCTATTTCTGAAAATACTGGTTGCAGGACTCTAGTAGAGAAGTCTACCTATATGTCATCACAGAAGAGAGCAGATAAACTGGAAGAGCTTATTTTGGATTGGATTAAGCTAAGGTGCTGGAACTTTACAGATTCAGATCTCAGATGGATCGATGGTTGTAAATATGTCGGCGGTGGTGAATTCGAGACGGCTTTAATGCAGCTTTCTTCGGACTTAAATACTGAGGGGGTAGCAAAGAGGATTTTACAAGAAGTAGACCATTCTGAAGTTCGTCAAAGCCTTAGACATGTTACTTTTGAAGAAAGCTCTCCTCTAATTCTTGTAAGAAGCTATATACTTCCGTACGGGGAGCTATTGCTTCCTAATCCCCAAGTTTCCCAACTAATTGGTGCTGTGAGATCCTGCAATTATAGATAATACAAAATTTAAAAGGGTCCTGTAGAAAAATACAAAGATCTAACAATTACGGAAAGTAAGTACAATTTGCAAGAAAAAAAGAGATTTATTATAAATAACTCCAGTAAATTTTGCTAATAATCTTCACAGTGTTTGGTAAAATTGAAGATTTTTCTTTTCAGAACAACTTTCTGACCATCACTACCTCCAACATGTCCGTATTGACTATCAAACACATTTGGCGCCACCGGTCGTGGCATTGTTTGAGCGCCAAAATTAAAAGCTGATTTATTGTAAAACAAAATGAATCCTAAAACAAAAAGTATGCAAATATTAGATGATAACCCAATAAATTCAAAGGTTTCTCAAGTCGTTACGACTGATGAAGGAAGTGTTGGCGGAGTAAGCGTGTACGAAGAGGAGGACGATGATATAGATTGGGAGGTGAATCCAGAAGCGGTAAAGAAGTTGGTAGAGAAGTACCAGGGTGAGGAATTTCCTTTGTTCATGGGGGAGGATGTATTAGATCCAAATAATCCTCATATTCAGGCGTTACAGGCGCTAGTATATGATGATGAGACTCCAGAAAGTTTGGCAAGACAGTTCAGAACTGTAGGGAATGAGTATTTTCAAGATGGAAAGGTAAGGTACAAAGATGCAATCATAGCATATACAAAAGGTATAGAACAAAAAAGCGCAGACAAGGAGACAAATTCTTTGTTATATTCCAACAGAGCGCATATATATTTGTTGTTGAAAAGGTATGTAGATTGTGTGGACGATTGTAGAGCCTCTCTGAAAGAAAATCCAAGGAATGTGAAAGCAGCATATAGAGGGTGCAGAGCTTCGATGTGTATGCAATTATATAAGCAGGCTTTAAACTTTGCATTGCATGGGTTAAAGTATGAGCAAGCAAATCCTGAGTTGTTAAAGCTCAAATCTCAATTGGACGAAAGGCTTTCGGAGATTGAAAGGAAAAAAAAAGAACGTGAAGAGCTTGAGAAGAGAGATGGTAGAAGTGAAAATGAGCAAAAAAGAGATCATATAATTAGTGAAAGAGGATATATTTTAGGAGAGGCAATTTATGATGTGATACATACTTACAATCACGAGATAAAATATTTACAAGGTGAGTTGGTGTGTCCAATATTAATATTATTGGATGAACCAATGCTTTGTGAATTTATATGTGAAGCTAAAGAGAGCTCAACATTGTGTGACCATCTTAAGGTAATGTTTCCAAAAGATAGGAATTTACCATGGGATACTAGTGGAAGGTATAACTGGGAGACTGTTTCGGTGTTTTACGAGCCTGGTCCGCCTCATCACAATATTGTTTGGGAAGTTTCTATTGAGAAATCTATACGAGAGATTTTAGATGTGGTAAAATATATTCCCAAAATCCCAACATTACACATTATTGCAAAGAATTCAACATTTATTGAGGAGTTTACTAAAATAACTTATAATGTAATCAGGGATCCTTTATTGGTTTGTTAAGTGTGTAGTAATTAGTAAGTGATGGGGACTTTATGAATGAGAAGATATATAAGGTAATAGTAACTAGAATTATCGATATTATTATTATTTAATTTTAAATTATACTTAATAATCATTTTTTTAAAAATATGTTAATTAGTTTTTTTATTTTCCTTATTAAATCGTCTATGTTTACATTTACTTGAAAAAATAATTATTAACAAAAATCCCGATATTGGCGCCTAAATTAATGTATTTTAGGGTACCGAAAATGAGGTTAAAAATAATCAGTGAAAACAAAATTGCCTATAGAAAAAAAAAATTGGGAGAAAATTAGGTGATAGAGAAATCAGGAGGAAATTGGTTGAGGAGATAAACTATTTATATGCCGAATAAGGCTTAATTAGAAGAAAGAAACGATTACAACAGGCTTAATCGCAAAATTAGTGTCTAAAATAATACCCCACACAATAGAATTCAAAGCAAAGTGAAAATTTTAATTAATCTTTTTTTATATTATATAAAAAGAAAGAAAAATAAATGAAAGTAGAAACCCCTCAGATTATCTGGCACTCTAAAGATAGTAAATTCGCAGATAGGGTGTATTCTTTAGATTTTCAGCCAGGAACTTCGAGATTAGCAACTGCAGGAGCAGATGAATTTATTCATATATGGGAGATAACTAGAGAAGCTGAATGGAAGTTAAAGATTTTATCAAGATTGTTAGGTCACGAAAAGGAAGTGAATTGTATCCGATTTTCATCAACTGGAGAACTACTTGCATCTGGAGGTCAGGATGATTCACTATGTATATGGAAACCAACAACAGAAAAACAACAGGTGGTTTTTGGCCAAAATTCAGAGGATGTTTTGGGATTTCCAGAATATTGGAAAAGAATAACAGTAATGAGATGTATGGCTCCAGTAATATCCTTAAGTTGGTCCCCAGATGACTGCAAAGTTGTCGTAGGAACAGAAGATGACCGTGTTACAATATGGAATGTTTATACAGGGAAGCTTCTACGTCAGTTAGATGCCCATACCCACATTGTAATGGGAGTATGCTGGGATCCAAAGGATGAATTTATTGCTTCTCAGAGTTCAGATCAAACAGTACGTATTTGGAAAGGCAGAACAAGCAAGGCAAAAAAGAAAAGCAAACCAATAAATGCTTTTAATTCAAATACAAATGATACAAAAACTTCTTCAAAGGAAGATGTTGAAATGGAAATAAATAATAAAATTGGCGGGAACTCTGAACATGCATGCACAGAAATAAGTCTCAATACCGGCCCTGAAATGCCTGCATGCAATGCAAACTGTGAGGAGCTGCCAAAAGAAGAGGCGGGCGTTGATTTTCAAAATGTGGCATCTGGAACTCCAGAATTATTAGTTGCACCATCAGAATCCTCAACTCCAATATGTGACATGGGAACAATTCAGAATACAGCAACCCAACAGATAAATAAGTCAGATGTAAAATCTTGGAAATTACATCATACAATAAAGTATGAAGTATCAGATAACTGTTCAAAGCAGAAACAAAATAATTTGGATATTGAGATGAACCCAGACTTGGTGGTTGGTGATTGTGCCACTCCAAATAATACCAAACTTTCAAGTAATAATAATATAAAAAGAAGGTGCCTGTTTTTAGCTGAGTCTGCTACTACGAGCTTTTTTAGAAGGTTGGACTGGTCACCCAAAGGCGAGATGCTTGTGGTTCCTACAGGACAATACTTGTTAAATAAAGAATTAGAAAATGATCAGGGTGATAATAAAAACGGCCAAGTACTTGTTCCTGTCTCCTATATATTTTTAAGAGACGAGTATTCTTGCCCAGTAGCAGTACTTCCATCTCCTGATGGTACAACATCTTCAATAAGATTTAACCCTGTAACATTTTGTCCATTAAAGTCTTCAAATACTTCTCAGAACGCATTCTTCTCCAGTAGAATAACTCCTCAAAATGGTGAGGATAGCTGGTTATTTTCAAAGCATGGAAATCGTGGAGAAATTGTTCCTAGATATATATTTTCTGTGGTTACTTTAGCTGGAACTATATATATATATGACACCCAGCATTTCCACCCAATTGTTTGCATAAGAGGTCTTCATTTTCAAGGTATGAATGACGCTTCCTGGAGCAGTGATGGCCACACTCTAGCTGTTGCATCGTCTGATGGTTATATTACAATCATCTTTTTTGAAAATGGAGAACTTGGGGAAGTCCTTATTCCTTCATCGGTACCTAGTAGTACTAATAATACAATAGAATCTAAAGAAAAAATCCAAAATTTTGAATATGATGAAAATGTTGACAAAAACTCATTCAAAACAAATAATGATAATGAATGCATTGTTATTGATGGCAATTCTAAGCAATCAGTAGTTTCTGAGAAAATTACTGCTTCTTCTAACATATCTGCATTAGATCATGTAGATACCCAAATTCCTTTTCCACCCAAAACTAAGAGAAGAATTACCCCGACAGTTCTCATGTCATACGACTCCTGAAGATAAAATAAGTAAGCATATCTCACTATTATAATAGTAAAACTGCCAATAATTATGACAATAATGCTTATTATTTTAATACAATACTTGCACATACATATACATAATAACATTCAAACTAAAAACCTATCTAACGTGCCAAATCTACTTTTAATATCTATATATTGTTATTTCTAGATTTATTAATTCGTTTCTATATACTAATTCATTTTTTAACATCACTTTCCAAACTAAATTCAAGTGCCCGCCGGCGCCAAACTCATGACCACATATAATACCTATGTAACATGCTAAAAATCTTCAGGTATTATTGAAGAAAGTAATAAATTAATAAAAGTGAGTTCTCTTTATATAAAGCTACTTTAGATCCAACAGTAATAAAAAATTTCACCCAACAAAACTTTATTTAACAGTATTATTACGTTATAAACATAACTAATAACGTAACTAGTCTATAACTCATCTTACAAATACTAGCTTACTATATTTCAATAAAAAAGAAGTTGAAAATATTTTTAAATAAAAATCGAATTTAAAAATAAAAACTTTTTTTTCATATGCACAATTTTATTTTCCCACAAAAACCGGACAAACAATTTTAATTTAAAAAATAAAATAAAATCCAATAGTATCCCTAATTCCCAATCATAACATTATCACACAACTCTTTAAATCAATATTTATCTCGATTTTTTCCATCTTTATCTTAAATCTTCCCTTTTTTATTTACACATCTACATGCTAATAACTCAGCTTGGAGACACATGCATACGTCTAAAAAAACGGCATATTAATTAAATTATTAATTAAATAAATAAATAGTAGACATTGAGACATATAGTAAGTATGACGTTTTGACCACACAAAATATGAGAGAAATACATGGGAATAGGGGGTAAGAGTAAAGATTTGGGGGTAGACTAAACCTATATGAATACAAGGTGTAAGTATATGGGTGTGTCTATTGAGGAAAAAATATAAAGATGTTTATGTCCATATAGAAAATAAATATAGGTTTTAAAATAGAGCAAGAATAAGGAGAAATTGAGAGGAAACTAAAAAAGGGAAAAGAGTAGATAGTATTTTCTGAATATTATTTGCTTCTTATATGGAATAATAGGCCTGGCAAATTATATATAGGGAATTAATCAGATTAAAAGCAGAGAAAGATATAATTATTGGATTCATTCAAAATGGATAATCAGCATTCAGAAACCTTATTGGGAACTTTACGTGAGAAATATGAAAATAGTGCAATTTTGTCACTAAGTAGTTTATTCATATTTGTTACATTATGTAATATGTTCATAATGTACAGATTATTATTAGATGTGATTCCATATCCTATTGGAGTTACATTCTCACAATTATTGGTTGGTATGATGTTGGCTTATGTATTAGGAGGATGTGATTTGAAAAAGGTTAAGGATGAAACTTTGAGTAGATTTAGTGAATATGCTGTACCAGTTGGTGTATATTTATTAATGTTTACTATTGCAAATATTTTATTAAAATCTACACCAGTTATCGCAGTATATCCATCTATTTTAGCATTGGCTGTGGTATTACATCATATATTCAGATATTTATTCTGTGATCAAAGGAATTTATTATCATTCAAGACTGTATTGATTACTGCTTTATCATATATAGTAGCCTGTTTTGATACCAATTTGGTACCACCAACATTATTGGGACTTTCAATTCTTTATGCTATTTCATCTGCTATTTTCAGAGCTGTATGTTTGGAGAAGGCACTTCATGTTACTGAAAGAGATGCAAATAAGCTATATAATGTTCAGGTTTTCTGTGGTGTTTTTGTTTTATTCTTTGCAACTATAATATTTGAGCCAGAATTCTTTTTATCAGTGCAATCAAAGAGTTTCTCCGAATTTTTATTATCTATTGGATGTTTAGTTACCGTTGGTACAATACCATTTGTTAAGAATATTATTGCAAATAAGCTAGTAACTATTGGCCAGCAAGCTCCATGGAGATTTTCTGAGATCATTTCTGTTGCCTTATTCTTTGTATTTGGTGTAATATTCTTTGAATGTGATATTACTATTACAATCATTATCTCATTTATTCTCGTAATTACTGGTAGAACTATGTCTATGGTTGATATTATCAATAATGACAATAAGAGACATTCAGGTTCACATCATAAGAAGAAACATGCACAGAAAAATACTTTGGCATTTAATGATGTACATGAAGATGCTGCAGCTCAAATTGTAGATCCTCCTATGAAAGATATGAGCATGCAAAACAGTCCAAATGGTTATGAAGGTGATCATGAATCAGAAATGGATCACGAATTAATGAATGAGCAAGGTATCATAGATCAAGAGGATGTTGATCCAGAGAGTGGGATTGTTCAGAATGAAAATTAGGAATAATCATTGGAAAGGATAGAATTTAAAGATGATAAGATAAATAAGAATAAGAATGAGTTATCATTTAAGAATATAATCCTTTAATGAGATATTTTATCGATATTTTACTTAGACGACGAATATATTTAAAAATTAGAATTTAATTAAGTAATTTTTCTCATATTAATATTATGTATAAGTAGATTTAAACGGAGGGAGACAGTTATTAAAGAGCTTAAATTTAGAGGTAAGAGTAGAAATGTTTTGTATGTCTTAAATATTTACTTAGCTTGAAGTAAGTCCTCAGCTTTTAAACTCGGTTTCAGTCCATGATCTAAAACATTCCATTAAAACCAATTATCCAGTGTGAATAATAAGTGAAATGAGTTACTCTTGTTTAATATTGTCCAGATTTTGGTTGTATTTAACTAGAGTATTGAAAAGTGACTTAATCCATTCACAAATGAAAATAATGATAGAAAAATTACCAATTAAAGTTAAAGAATAGTAAAGATTTGAATCGAGAGAATTTTCAAGAATCCAGATTGGTCTGATTAAAAAGGCCAATGGAATGCATATTATCCAAAAAATGAATGAAAAAGAAGCAATAAATCCAGATTTTGATTCAAATAAAGTAACTGAGTCAAAAAGAATAAAGAAAAATATCAGTAGGTAATTTAAAAAGGTTGGATTTGATTTAAATATAAAGCAAAGTAATAATTGTGACTGTAATGCCTTAAATGGGACTTTTCCCAATGATATATTTATAATAAATGCATATATAATTAAACATGATCCCAAAATAATCTGGAAAAATAGCCTAAACTCAGGGGCAATGCAGTACATAAGGAACCAGTATACATTTAAATATGGATTAAGATCTTTATTTTCCAATAATGTAAAATTTTGAATAATATAAGTATATATATACTGCTTGAATGTAAAAATGTGATTATTATCATTGCGATTATTAATTAGAATTAGTGAAAAAATATGTAAAGATAAAAATGTGATGAGAAATGAGGTAAAGAATGAGATTGTTTTAAATATTTGTTTGGAAGTTAAGTAGTCTGATTGAAAGTTATCCCAAAATTTGGTAAAGTACATTTTATAATTATCAAACTGTTTAGGAGAAACTTGAAGTTTTAAATAATGATTATTACCAAGTAGAAATAAACTTAAAGCTGAAGGAATTAAAGAGATGGATATATTTGGGGAATAATATACATTTAATCCACATATGATTGGTAATAAGGCTCTATATTTTCGGGTGGAATCAACTGAAATCCATAATAACAAAAGTTGAAAAAGTAATTCCAGTTCAATCCCAAAAGAAAGTAATGAACCATAATAAATTGAGATTGGGTTAATCCAAAATAATCCAAGAAGAAAATTAACAGACATTTGATAATATTTTTTTTCAATCATAGTTTTTGACAGTGCTGATAATATTGGGTAACATTTAATTAAATAGGAATAAATCAAGATTCCCTGTAAGAAGTGAATAAAATTAATAATTATAAATGGTAAAATTAATCCAAATCTTGAGTTAATTGAACTGCATATACCTGAAATTAGCTCGAGTAATATTACTGGAAAATTGGTTCTCTTTGATGCATAATAAGTAAGATTTCCATATTCTTTGAATGAACAGAATTCCAAAACCTCAGCAAAGTTCTGACCTAAAGTGTTAAAGAAACCATTAGTATATTCATCAAGATCATGTTCAGTAAACAGAAAAAAGGATAATTTAATCAATATAGATACAATGACCAATAATATGAGGTTTCTCTCCATTTATGATTGTTTTATTGCATATTTCAAATACGGTGTTTGGTGCTAGTAAACCTGCTTTGACTTTCTCACTCTCTCTCCTTCTATTTATTTCTTCCTATTTATTTCTCTCCCACAGCTTAACTTATATTTATGTTTATATATATGTTTGATATAGGTATTTACTTTTTATATTTGCCGTTTTATATTCAACTAGAAATATGATTAACTCATAAAATTTGAGCGCCACAGACATGTGATAGTTCCGGTATAAAGAAATGTCATGTTATTACATAGTAGTAAATTTCAATAAAAATACTGAAAAACTTGATTTGATTAATTACCCAAAATTTAATTCTTCTGATTCAAATTAGTTCTTCAACATATTTTAATTTTTTCAACGATGCCTTTTCCGTAATATAAGGAAAAAATGGGTAATCAAAACTACTTATTTATGCTGAATATTCATCAAAAAAATTAAAAAATAAAATAAAATAATTATTACGTGGCATAAATTAATTTATAAACTAATTAATAATAATAAAACAATGTGGAATGCATGCAAAATGTTTTTGTGCTCGAATTCTAGTAAAAAGGTGGCATCCCACATGCACAAAATGCATGTTAGTATTAAGTAAAGATTGCAAACAGAAAATATATATATATATATTAAGAAAGTTTGAGAATTAAATTTATTCATCCAGGTTAATATTTGACCCGAATTTAAGATATAAATCGACCTTTAATTTATCCATTTCTTGTTGAATTCCAGACAACTCTCCAGAAATTTCTTCAATCTTGCTTTCAACTTGAGATTTCAGTTCTTCAATCCTTTCAGTGGCTTCTTCCTCAGGAACATGGTAATATGACTCTCCAAATCGAATTCTATATTGAATATGGTAATAATGAGGATTGAAGATGATAATAATATAATTTTGGAATATGTAAATTAATTTAAGTGAACAATTGCAGTCAAATAAGGATGAATAAAGAGAATATGAAGAATTTGAGTGAATTTGATACCAATAATTGAGTTTTGATCAAAGAATGAAAACTTACAGAATTCCCTCGGGGTCCATGCATAATGCAATTTCATCCAATGCATCGCAATGTGTTTGGAGATTTTCCTGTATAGAAGAAAAAGTGTTAAATAAAAAAATTGCAAGAAATTGTTATTAATAGTAACTTACTTTAAATTTCTCAAGTTCACATTTTAACTCAACCTTTCGGCTTAATAATGAGCTAAAACGATTAATTTGCTTTTGGTCCTCATAATTCATATTAATGTCACTGGTGTTTGATGGATCTACCATTTTTGAAACTTAATTTAAATTTGAGTTTATTTAGAAGAACAAAAAATCAGTTAATTTACGGTAAATATTTTAATGGAAGTTGCAGTTTTGTCCCTTTTTAATTCAATCTTGGAGTCAAATCGAACCTAATGCAAAAACTTGATCAGAATCTGGCAAAATTGGTTTAGGATATCGATTGTGTAATTTAAAAATAACTTGAAGATAATATTTAACCTAATAATATTATACAATAAACATTTATTGATATATTATAATATTATTTATTCTTATTACTATTATTATTATTATATATTTATATTTGATCAATAAGGTATTATATTATAAAGGGCATTGACCATATTGGCGCCAATAAGTACAATATAAAAAGGCTAAATATGATCATTTAAAGGGGAAAAAAAAGATATATTGAAAAGAAGGCGAGAATAGAAATGTGAATTGGATGAGATATAGATTTTTTATTAGTAAAATAAAACTATTGCACACAAGGAATTGGTATAATACAAGAAAGGAGAGAAATTAAGTGGAACTGAATAGATGAGTTTAGTAAATAAAGGGCAAGAAAGCGAGAGCTCAGACGAAAGCCAAGATTTTGGGCCTGGTTTCTCGGAGTTAGTTGAGGAAAGTATTTCAAACGGAGGCCAGCAGTTTGATTGCGTAGAATCTGATCACTCCAAAGATCAAGATGAACTGGGGCATTCAAGTAAAATGAAAAAAAGGAAAATAGAAGGTACAAACATCAATGATGGAGTGAAAAGAGTTAAAGAAGAAAACGATAATGATGATGATGATGATGATGATGATGATGATGATTCATTAGGTCCAATGCCTACAATGTCAACAACAGTAGAGTTTAATGAGAAGGTCGAGATTGAAAATAAAGGTATACAGGAAAAAAAAGACAGAGATAAAGAGCTGGAGAAAGTAGTAAATATTCCAAAGACGGATTTTTATGAATGCAGCTTTATGCATAAGAAGCAAGTGACTCATGTAGTATCTAGCAATAGAACAGGATTTGCTATTACAGCAAGTAAAGATGGCGTGATAAAATTTTGGAGATTAAGGTCAGAGAAGGAAATATTGAGAGAAAAAGAAAGTCTGACAAAGGAATCATCTTCTTCAGTAATAACATCATTGGAGTTTGTGAAAGGTTTTCAGGCTCATAGAAATGAAGTTTCTGATATTTCAATTTCAAATTGCGAACAATATATGGCAAGTATATCCGAATTTGAAAATAATATAAAGCTATATAGTATATCATATTTCGACATGATTTCAATAATTAGAATCCCAATATATCCTAATAGGTGTGTATTTTTATCATCACTGAGAGGAGGAGGAAGAGGAATGTCTTGTGGATCTATTAATTATACTCGAAACAAAAATAATAGAAGCGACAGTAATATCAATAACATAAATAATACAGCTAAGCTATCGAGTGGGCTGATATATCCTCAAATTGTTGTATCGGAGCTTAAAACAGGATCTATATATATATATTCAATTAAAGGAGATAATTTAATTAGATCTAATGAAGAAGATGAAGGTGACGAAAGCTTTCTAAAATATAATAACCATAAGAGTCAAATCACGTGCTTAAGGTTTTTACCAAACCTTGGTATAGTTATATCAGCAGACATGACTGGTGGATTAGAGTTTTGGGATCCCTGGACTATGGCTTTACCAAAAAGAAGCCTTCCAGATTGTGGATTGTTTAATCAGATTAAATTCAAATTTAAAATAGAAACAGATTTGTTTGAATTGCAAAAGAATAAATGCTATGCAATAAGTATGGTTGTTAGTAGTGATGAGAGAAATCTTGCAATCAGATCTTCTGACCATAAAATTAGATTATTTTCAATACAAACTGGTAAATGTCTGAAAGTATTCGATGAAAATATCTCATATTATAATATAATGCAGAGTAACCCAGAATACGATTATTTGCATATTGATCGTTTAGAATTTGGCGTCAGATCAGCAGTTGAAACAGAAATACAAAATCTCCCAGAATATTATGATATGCAGAATATGGTTTTTGATGAAACATGCAGATTTTTAATATATCCCTCTATGATTGGTATTTGTGTACTTGATATACAAATTGGTAGGCGTGTTTTAATCATTGGTAAATTTGAAACAGGAAAAAGATTTCTAAATTTGGGATTATTGCAAATACACAGGGGAGGAATATCTTACAACAATCAAATAAGTCACGTTGATTCAGTTATTATTTCTTCTGCCTATAAATCAAATCGTATATATATCTTTTCAAAAAGACTTCCACTATTAGATAATGGTGATGTGAATTTGAAAAGAGATATATTTAATGAATTGCCAAGCAATGAAGAGATTGAGAAACAAAAGCAATTAGAAAAATTCTTAAATAAAGGAAAAGAAAGAAGTAATGCATATATTAGAATTGCAAAACAAGTAATACTACATACAACTAAAGGAGATATAACTCTAGAGCTTTATCCAGAAATAGCTCCTAAAGCTTGTGAAAACTTTTCAGTGCACTGTTTTAATGGATATTATAATAATTGTATCTTTCATAGAGTTATTAAAGGTTTCATGATACAAACTGGTGATCCAACTGGACAAGGTATCGGAGGGGTATCAATATGGGGAAAAGAATTTGAGGATGAAATTTCACCAGACATAAAACATGATGAGCCATTTACTTTAAGTATGGCAAATGCAGGTCCAAATACTAACGGTAGTCAATTCTTTATAACAACAGCGTCTTGTCCATGGCTGGATGGAGTGCATACTATTTTTGGAAAGGTTATTCATGGAAAAGAAATTGTGAAAGAAATTGAACATGTTGCAACTAATAGAAATGATAAACCAATTCAGGATGTATTAATTACTTCAACATCCACTATATTTAATTAATTAGTTCTCCTTCCACTTAAAGTCACACTTTACACAAGTGTAAAAGCTTGTCATAGGTTCGTCAGCTGATCTAATTTGTAGCTGGAAAAAGTAAGCCTCAGAAAATGAACACTTTGGGCATACAGCTTTGAGTTGAAGCAAAGAATTTAGTAAATTAAGTAGTTATTAAATTAATAAATGAATTATGAATAATAGTAGCATTAGTTTTTATTCCAGAGATTTATATATTATACATATTATAGTGTCCAAATTTCAAAATAACATTCTTTTTTTGTCTATTACCTAATAATCCATTCAAATTTAATTCGAATTTTCCACAGTGATTCTATCTTATAAATAATATAAATACACATATCTCTCGTTTAACTAGTGCTACCATCATTAAATTAGACTTACCCATTGTTTTTGAGCTTGCAATCTCATTCATATCTATGGAAGGCTCTTCCATCTTTTTAGGAATAAAGTCAGTTACTTTGCTGATTTGGTTCACAATTTTAAATACATAAGGACATGTGGGGCAGTAAAATGATAGTTTGTCTTCATGCTCCTTAAGCAATAAAATATTATGGCAATGAATACAAAACTGCACCATTTCCTTCTCAGAATAACTTTCAAAAAAATAGGAAATGTCAAAACCTGAAGTTGGCGCCGGCGCCAACAGTTTGATGATATTTAATTTAAATAAAAATATTAAAGATCACAAAATTAAAGGTAACTAATAGAAAATAGGTTTAAAGGCCATATCAAAGTGAAATAGAAATCAGGATTCATTTAAAAAGTAAGTTAAAAGGTTGGAAGAGCAGTTAAAAAAGTAGATCTCCGAGAAGAATCAGAAACAATGCCAGACAATTCGAGATTATTCAAAGAGAAACTTAGAAGAGAGTTAATAGAGAAGCATGTTAAGGGTATAGAAAATAGTAACTTGATATCACTAAAATTTCAGGAAAGACTAATAGATAATGAGGGAAGATTGGATGATGAAGTAATATTGAAAATACAGTCATTTTTGAGGCCATGTGATTTGGAGGAAATATCTATTGAAAGATCTGATAAAAGTAAATGTGGTTGGATTCAGTGTGAAATGAAGATTCCAAAATCATCTTCTAGTTATTCAAAAAGTAAATGGGCTCTGGATAAGAGTTCAGGAAATATTATTGAAAGGTCAACTTTGAGCCTGTTTTGCTCAACAAACTGCTACTATTTATATTTGGACCTTTCAATTTCACTATCTGAAACACATCCTCACCTTAGAAGTCATGCGTTGATTAATATTCAGAAATGGCTAAATTTGGATCAAATTGAGGAACAGAATGATAAAGAAGCTGCTTTAAAGAATGAGATGCAGGAAAGGACTGACTTAACAAATACTTCCAATTGCACAGCAAATGATGTCCCTTTAAACAGTACCTCTGATATCCGTCTACTAGAAACAGATAAAGATCAGAAAATGGTCAAATTTAAAGATGAAGAGATAACTAAAGAAGTAAATACTAAAGGACAAGCTGAGCTTGAAAATATTTTGGAAACCATTAAATCCTTTAGGAGTAGTAATACCCAATATAAATTCAACCAGATAGTTAAACAGTTTGATTATTTGGAAATTGAGGAGTCAGAGTCTAAGAACTCTTTAGACTTGAATAGTGTAGATCTCAATGATCAGAAAACCACAGAAATTACTCAAGGCAAAGAAGAAACTCAGGAAGACCAAGGAAGCCAAGAAGAATTGGACGACCCAGAGTATACATACCAAGATATGATGCAAGTCTTGCAGGATATTAGTGAGGATGATGATGATGATTATGATAGCGAAGAGGATGAGGAAGAGAATGATGAGGAGGTAAGAGGAGATAGAGGTGAAATTTATGACGAGAAATTAGAAAAGAAAAACAAAAGGAGTGGTAATAGTCAAGACTACGTTCTGTTAATGACACAGTTTTACGACAATTTGTCACCGGAAGTTGTTATTTTGGACTTACTAACCTCTTTTATTTCGGAGGAAACCAGAGATTTAATTAAATCTAAATGTATTGTGAATCTGAATAAAAACAGTAAAAAAGAAGAATCTAATAAAGAAAATAACAAAATTAATGAATTTAATACCATTCAAATTGACAGAAGAAATGTATTAAAGGATAATCTGTCTGGCTATATTAGTTCTATAGAATGGATATCACATACTAAATTATTAGTTTTTACTATATATAGAATTCTGGACACATTTATATTCCCATTTTCTGTACCAAACCTTAAACAATCATGTTTGGAGCTTTTAACTTTTATTCTCATAGAGGTTATTACAGATCATGAAGTTCATTTTGATATTACCAATTACTTTGAGTCATTACAGGATGAAATAAAAACTAAAGCTGAACAATGGATTTTTGAAACAAGAAGGAAATATGACAGTAAATTTATTGACAATATTAAACTTTTATTTATTAGTAAAGATTAAAATAAAATCTTAATAGCTTGAACTTATATTTTATTATAATTTTTTTTTCTTCTAATTAAGATCCTCCACAACTGGAACCACAGCATCCTGTATTCTTAGACCTATAATAGCTTGAATCCAAATACATTCTATCTCTTTGAGATGTTCCTCTTCTTCTAGATGAAAACATTGAGGTAAACCAATCAAAATTCATAAATCTTCTAAATGAGGATTGAGAATCTGAAGAATTCCTATTATTATTGTTGCTATTACATGTATTATTTGCGTTTCTAGACGAATGACTTGTTGAACCCTTATATTGTTTTGCCTTTTCTGCTCTTATTGCTGCCAATTCTTCATCCAATTTCTGGCTTTTATCAATGAAATTATCCTTCTTATTTTTCAAAGCTGATTTCGGAGTTTGAGTATTTGGTATTTCTTGTTGATTTTGAGTTGACATATTTGATACCTCCTTTACAACTAATTCGTTGTATGATTGTTTTTTCAATACCAGTTTTCTACCTTGATTATTCTTACAGTCAGAGTCACTACTTCCTTTATCTTCGCCAAAATTTTGACTTTGTAATTCAAATCCAATCATGAACAATTGCTCCCTCAACTTATTTAACTCAGCTTCTGGAAGATTTGCGTTTAATTCTATCTCAATATCCTCCTTTCCTCCTTTATTCTCAACTAACACCAATATCTCACTTAAACTTGCCATTTTACTAAAATAGCTATATTCCACTTTGAATTTTCTTAATAGTGTTTCAAAAAAAAAGAAATTGTTCACTCAATATCTTTCACTTTATTTAATTTTCAGTTTGTGCGCTAAATTATTTACTTGCAAAATTATATTAAAAACTATTATCCCAAATAATTAGCTATAAATTAAATATAACTAAAAATATTCCAGCATTCATACAAGTACCATCCTATTACTTTTTATCGTTTCTGTTGATATTTTTTCGTTATATATTCCCCTAATTTAAATTCTTTAAAATGAAATAATAGTTTTTTCTTTTAAAAAAAATACACACGTAATTTAATAATCAATGTGGACAATATTTATTCACAATATTATAGAAAGAAAAATTGCATGCAAAATTTTTAGAAAAAAAATGATTTTTAGGAGTTTTGTACCGGTATTTGCATGCAAATATTTGAAAAAAAAACAAGTTTATAAAGGGGGGGTATAAATTATAACTATTAACTCGGTAACATCCATCCAAATTTAACATTGAAAATATAATCATACAATTGGGCTTTCATTAAAGTCATAATTTGTCTCAATTTAATTAGTTTTAATTTTTTCGGAAAGTTATTTGCAAAGAATTTCAAAATAAATCAATTATTATGATTATTTAATTAAACACATATATTAAATAGACCAAAAGCCCGCCTAGTAACGTAAGCATACCTAATATAAGATAAATACAAATAAATAGAAAAAAATAAAAAAGATATTAAGGATATTTTTGCGTACAGAAATCCACACATATATAATAATTAGAGGACAAGAAGAGAGATAAAAATTACAATTGATATTTTTATTAAAATAAAGTTGAATTAAAAAGCGAATTTTTATTTTCAGTGAATTTCTTATATTTTTTTAGCTTAAAAATGATTGAAAGACGCAAGATAGCTGTTATTGGATCAGGACAGATTGGTGGTAACATTGCATATATTGCAGGGAAGGATAACTTGGCCGATGTAGTACTTTTTGATATTGCAGAGGGTCTTCCACAAGGAAAAGCATTAGATATTACCCATTGTATGGTAATGTTTGGTTCCACATCAAAGATTACTGGTACAAATGACTATGCTGACATAGCAGGCGCTGATGTAGTTATTATTACGGCATCTATTCCAGGCCGTCCAAAAGATGATCGTTCTGAACTTTTATTTGGAAATGCACGTATTTTGGATTCAGTTGCTGAGAATGTTAAGAAGTACTGCCCAAATGCTTTTGTTATTTGTATTACAAACCCACTAGATGTTATGGTATCACACTTCCAAAAGGTTTCTGGGCTTCCACATAACAAGGTTTGTGGTATGGCAGGTGTATTAGATTCATCTAGATTTAGAACTTTTATTGCACAACACTTTGGTGTTAGTGCTTCAGATGTTAATGCGAATGTTATTGGTGGCCATGGTGATGGCATGGTGCCAGTTACCAGTTCCGTTTCAGTCGGTGGTGTTCCTCTTTCCTCCTTCATGAAACAAGGTCTCATTAATCAAGATCAGGTTGATGCAATTGTATGCCGTACTAGGTCAGCATGGAAGGAGGTTGCTGACCAATTAAAGACAGGAACTGCCTACTTTGCACCTGCAGCTGCAGCTGTTAAGATGGCTGAGGCATATTTGAAAGATAAAAAAGCAGTTGTTCCATGTTCTGCATTCTGTTCCAACCATTATGGTGTCAAGGGTATATATATGGGTGTTCCGACCATTATTGGTAAGAATGGTGTTGAAGATATTCTTGAATTGGATTTGACTCCATTGGAACAGAAGCTTCTTAGTGAGTCAATTAATGAAGTTAACACTCTTTCAAAGGTATTGGACAATGCACCAGCTGCTGGAGCATAAAAACTTTTTTTTCTCATTTCAATGTGATACTTTTGCGACATCCTGTAGTTCAAATGATGTAAAAAAATTCTTTCATCCAACTAGTATCAATTATTGACTTGAGATGGCTGATTGAGATTATTGCATGTGAGTTCTCAGGATTGCTTGCTAATTAGTATAAAATAGAAAAAAAAACTTAATGATTGTGTATTATTTCTGTTTTATTTCGATTTTTGTTTTGCATGCATTTACACTTCTACGAATTCTTTTTGCCACGTCATCATATACCGTGTTTCCCGCCCATTTCCCTTTTAGTTCTGAATACCCCTCGTATTTGTGAAAAAGATAACGAAATGCGTACAAATTTGGTGGAGGGAAGAAGTCAGTTGAAATAAAATAAAAAGAATTCTATCTTTAAAATTGAAAATACAGTGTTTAAAGTAGTATTGTGACTATGAGAAAGAAAATCTCAATTATTGGAGCTGGACAAATTGGCTCAACCATAGCGCTTCTTTTAGGTCAGAAAGATTTGGGAGATGTTTATATGTTTGATATTATTGAGGGGGTTCCACAAGGGAAAGCTTTGGACTTGAATCACTGTATGGCACTAATAGGATCTCCAGCAAAAATATATGGTGAAAATAACTATGAGCATTTACAAGATTCAGATGTTGTAATCATAACAGCAGGAATACCCAGAAAACCGAATATGACACGTTCAGATTTACTCACTGTTAATGCAAAGATTGTTGGCTCAGTTGCAGAAAATGTGAGTAAATATTGTCCTGGTGCATTTGTAATTTGTATCACTAACCCACTTGATGCTATGGTATATTATTTTAAGGAAAAAAGTGGATTACCAGCTAATAAAGTTTGTGGCATGTCAGGAGTACTTGATTCAGCTAGGTTCAAATGTAATTTAAGCAAAGCACTAGCTGTGAAGCCTTCTGATGTATCTGCTATTGTAGTAGGTGGTCATGGAGATGAGATGATACCATTAACTAGCTCAGTAACTATTGGGGGAATTTTGCTTACTGATTTTGTTAAGCAGGGTAAAATCACAAATTCACAAATCGATGAAATTATTAAAAAAACAGCATTTGGTGGTGGTGAAATTGTTGAGCTTTTAAAAACTGGTTCAGCATTCTACGCTCCAGCTGCTTCAGCAGTAGCTATGGCACAAGCCTACTTGCATGACACTAAATCTATACTTGTTTGTTCAACCTATCTTACTGGCCAGTATAGTGTTAATAACCTTTTTGTTGGTGTTCCTGTTATCATTGGAAAAAATGGAATCGAAGATGTTGTTATTGTTAATTTTAATGATGAAGAGAAATCACTTTTCTCCAAATCCGTTGAATCAATCCAAAACCTTGTCCAAGACTTAAAAAACCTTAATCTTTAATCATTATTTTGCATGCTCTCAATTCCTTTTTATCAAATTGATTTCTTCATAAACAAATTTTTGTAATTTTTTCTTTATTTTTTCACACCGGTATTGACTTTTTTTTTAACTTGCAATTTTGCATGTGACCAATTTATTTTGCATGCGCGTCCACATCAAAATGCAAGTTAATACACTGCAACTATCGGCCTTTATATCACTATTAATTAAAAATCAAGTTTCAGTAGTTGCAATATATTTTTTTTTTTTTTTTTACTTCAAGTTGTATGTATACAAACGAAATCTCAGAATGAACGTAAAAACTATCTTAAAAAGTTAAGAAAAGAATACTTTTTAAACAAAAAACAAATAAATAAATATTCTATCCAAACCAAAAAATCTAAATAAAAAACACAATATTCTATACGTAACTGGAATTTTCAAACTAAATTCTACAATGATTAAACCAAATGAACCAGTTTCTGAAAAAAATGAAGAAAAGTGGGAATAACTCAAGTAATAATAACATCTAATTCACATTATTATTACTAATATTTTGCTATTATTTCGTTTTTCACTATTTTCTTGGAAATATTACATAAACTAAAATTTTTATTTTGAGTCAACTGTTCTTTTAATAAAAATGGTAAAATGATGAAAACAACGGTTAAAGTAAGAATTTTCAAGTCTAGATTTTAATTTTAGAAATTGAATTAAAGTTTATTCTTCGATAAATATATATACATGCCAAAAAGGAAGCGGCTATCCATCCAACAAGCTCAAACTTCCAAGATAAAGGAAAAACATTATTACCAGAAAATTTCGGGATGTTCAGACTCAATAGAGTGCCTGGAGTTATGGATTCTATACAATTAATTTTGAAGAAGCATGTAAGTAAATTTGGTTCAGAAAAAATTAAAAATATAAGCCCAAGCTGTGCAAATAACCAAGTAAAAACAAGAACTTTATTCTTATAGAAAGGTTCTCTGTAATATCCACCCAGTCCAAAAATTAGAGCCATATGTGAATGTAAAGAGCACATCCAAATAAAAACGGTCGATGATTCAAATCCATCTTGACGTGCAAAAATGTAAATGGGGATTGCCATGTTTCTTTTGTAACTAGAAACAAACCAAGGTTTATTTGAAAGCAAAAATAAAACAATACCCAAGTTTATTCCAATAATCAAAATAAAGTAAACAACAGTCAATACGGATTTTTTTGTTACCAATCCTGAATCTACAGGATATTTTTTAATTTTTTTTGCAGGTCGACTTCTTTTAATTCCCCATACACTTGGAAAATTGACTATTATACTATAGTAAAAGTATCCCATAGTTGGAAGAGTTGCTTGCCCAATATACAGCAAAATATTCTTACAAATGACTAATGTAAAACCGTACATGATCATAAATAAATACAGTGAACGTGAATTTGCAGCACATCCACATCCTTCTTGAATAATACTTAAAATTCCATTTAAATCTCCCTCGTTCAAAGAAAAATGGCTATTCAAGATTCCGGTTCTATTCACAAAAATTCCAAGGTTTGACTCTTTAAGAGCAGCGACATCATTTGATCCATCACCAACCATACCGACAGTTTTACCATCTTCAATAAATTGTTTAACAACACTTTGTTTATTAATATGGTTAGCTCTTGAAATGACTGAAATATTATCTTTAAGCAAGTCAAGAAGAGTTCTTTTATTCAACATTGCTTGCTTTTCATCGTATTTTGATGTTCCATCATTATTCAGTACAACTTTGCTCATCATCTCATAAGATTCATAAGTTACAACTAATTTTATTTTATTCAAATTATCAATAACTTGCTCAAGCTTAACTTCATGTCTAGATTCATTCAAAAAAACTAATTTACCAGCAATAGCATGGCAAATAACAACTTTTTGATCACCATGTATTTCAATTTTAAATTGCCTATCGGATTCTAATTCAAAATCAGAAAGTTCTAATTGGCCATTAATAATTCCAACTTGTTTAGCAACACTTAATGCACAGTCTGGATTATCGCCTGTTAAAATTATGGGTTTAATTCCAAGCTCTTTGATTTCTTTAATAATAAATGGTGCTTCTTTTCTAATGCAATTTGAAAAGCAAAGGATACCTATAGGAGTTAAGTCAACTTCAAACTCAAATCTTCGATTTTCATTCAATAATCTATAGGTTTCAATAGATTCTGGATCAGATTTCAGTTCTCTATAAGCTATTAATAAAACATAACTTCCTGACAAAGATAATTCAGATGTTTTTAGTTCAATATCTTTGAATGTTTGATTCTCTATAGAACATTTCAAAATGGATTCAGATGCACCTTTTGTAAACAAAAATACTTTATTTGAAACATTACAACGAACAATAACGCTCATTGATCTACTAATACTACTAAAATCAAAGATCTTCAGAACTTCGCATCCTCTATTGAGCATTTTCTCAAGATTTGCAGCTTTTTGGTTACTATCAATGTTTTCATTGCCAAATTCAGATTCCCTCTCAAAAATAAATCTTTTTAAAGACCTACCATCTGTGGATGATCTTTCATAAATACTAGATTTGGTAAAATTAAGCATTTCCTTTTCAATTAAATCACCATAATACTCATCATTGTTATTATCAGGATTAAAAGATAATGAATGGCAAGTCGAAGTAGCTGTTTTTAATATATCAATTTTTTCCTCATTCACTCCTTTAATTATTCTTCCAAAATAATTCCCATTTCCCGTAAAGAATCCTCTACTTTCAAGTAGATCAGAATTTAATCTCTCCACACGATCAAGAACATATTCATTCTTTGTTAAAGTACCAGTCTTGTCAAAAAATAAGGCATCTAATTTACTAGCAAATAAGATTCTTCTTGGAAAAGAGCTATCTATATTTGAGTTGCTTTTTAATTTTGAAACTGAATTGTTAATGCATGATTGTACAGAAGCTGGTGCCCAAATTGGAATAAGTTGCATTAAAGTACCAAGAATGAAGAAAACTGATCCAATATTAAATGGTGAAATAAAACATTGTACTGTTATAATTACTGAAGCAACAAATAAAGTTAATAGCCATAGTAATGGAATATCATCATGAAAATCATCAGAAATCATATTTTGAGAGGCTGTATGTAGAATTCTTGATTTAAAAGTGAAAATGCCAGTATTCAAAACAATAGATTTTAATGAATCATTAGATTCATCTGCATTAAATATCTTAAGAATTTTACATCCAGCATAAATTAATGAATCTTTTAAAATTTTATCACCAGTTGAAAGTATTTGAGAATTTGAAAGTTTTGACAAATTAAGAGGTTTTTTTAAAACAGGAGTAGCTTCTCCTGTTAAACTTGATTCATCAACAAGTACTAATTTTTCCATAAGTATCATATCACAAGGCGCAATATCTCCAACATCTGACAGTATAATGTCAAAAAGTACAATATCAGAAGCTTTAATAGACTTTTTAATATTACCACGCTTAACTTTAACTGGCCGATTATTTATAGTTTGAGTTTCTTTTAAGACTTTGTTATTTCTGAGGATTTCTTTAAAGAAACTGAAAAAATTCGTGTATAATATTAAAGCTGACCAGCAGAAAGACCAAGTAAAAAATCTTAAAAAGAAAGTTGTTGAAAGCATTAAGTATTGTAATATAAAAGTTGGGCAAAAGAAAATACGCTTAATAACAACTATTGCAGGTTCAGTCTCAAAAATTGATTCGTTATTTCCAAAAACTGATAAATAAGACATAACAGAAGCTTCTGAATGTCCACCAATATTCATAATTTTCTCAATTTGAGAAACTGGAACTTTATTTGATTGTATTTGAGGAAGAAAGTTACCAGTTTCCATTGAAAATACAAACCTTGTTGATCCTGCAACAAAATATCTTATTCCAGAAGATTCATCCACATTTACTTGACAATCATAATAATTAAATCCATCAACTTCACCATATAGGAAAGCGGAGCATCTTTTATAAAAATCTAAAACTCTTTGATTTAAAGTGGAATATTTTGGATCTTTATGTATATATTGGGCATCACTACTGGATTGAATAATATTTGGATTGCAAAAATTATTATTATTATTATTATTATTATTACTATTGTTATTACTATTATCACGTATCCAAACACATACAAAGTTGCAGTCAAAAAGATTTGATGGAATGACGAGGGTAAGTTTAATTCTTCTGGAAAATAATTTTCTTCCCAAGCAAATAATTAGGGCAATGACATATTCAACTAAGAAAACTTCCGCTTTCATTTTCCAAAACACTATGGAACAACCTTCAGGAGAAACAACTGAGTCATAAGTAATTAATGGAATTAAGATTAAATGAAGGGCTGTAATAAAATTTAGAGTGAATCTAAAAATACTTGAATATATATTTCTTCTACAAGGGACAAGCATCATTTCAAAGGACTGGTGTTTATAAATATGTTTATCATACCTTCTCCAAAGTAACAGATTAACTACATAAAATAATAAGAATATCGAAATGGTGAATATTAATAAATCTATAGATAAATGAAGTGGGAAAAAGGCGGAATATTTATCTCCAAAAGTACCAAGTTTCATTTTGTTATTTTATTATCTATCCTCTATCAAGTAAGTTGTAAGATTAAAAAACATTATATTAATACAGATTTTTTTTGTTATAATTAATTTATTGAAAGTTATTCCAACAATTTTATGTTTATATTCAATAATTTAATATTGAAGACAAAGGTTTGTTTTAAAATTTCTGAGATAATTCCAGAAAACCTTTTTTTTTAAACAATCACAGAGAAATTTATGTGCAGTTTATGGAATACTATAAGATCTCCAATAATGTTAAAATTAAAAATTTTTTTTTTTCAGAGTATTAATGATCAGCAATTTGATTAAAACTGTCTCAATAATGTCAAAAAATTTACAATTGTGGCGGGTAATTGTGCCACTATTAATAAAATGCATAGAATATTTACAAATAAAAAGAAACAGAAAATTTATATATATATATATATATATATATATATATAATACATTGAATTTAAGAAGAAATGATTGATTTTATGAAAACCTAAGTGAAGTTAAACCGTGAATTAATGCTAAAATTGGGAACAAAGTATGATTATATGTTAAATCATTTAAGAAAAACTACAATTAAAATTTTAAATTATTAATAATAATAAAATGATTTATGTGATAAAATGAAATTCTAACCACGTAATCATGTGCATGCATGCAGTAAATGACGTAATTAACTTGATTTGTGGATGAGGGGCCAATAAAAATACATGTAAAAAAGGTGCATGCAAAAAGAATAGCTTTAGTAATACGAGATTTCGACAAAAGGAAGTTGAAAAAAATAAAATTCAACATATGTTTATTTATTGAATTAAATATACACTTCTATTAAGATAATTAAATAGTGTATAAAAAAGTATAGAAGAGGGAAGGGGAATGAGAGTGAAGCTAGTATTATTGATTATTAGACTGATATATGGTCAGATAATACTGAAATAAGATGCTGAATTTCTGGTTCTGGTAGCATTTTAGCTAATTTTATGACAAGATCCAAAGATACTGACTTAGGATTGGTAAATATAAAGGCACGAATATATAAATAAGTAAAAACACCAGTAAGAATTTGGCAATCAAATCTGTCAGTGATTCCACCATGGCCGGGTATAGCAGACCCAAAATCTTTAATTCTAAGGGCTCTTTTAAGACCCGATGCAAAGAATCCACCAAAAGGAGCAACAAAAGCAGTAAATACTCCAATGACTATAGCATGTAATTGTGAATCTGAAATATAAATATGGTCTTTTCCAAAGATGAATTTCAATACGGGTGGAATATTATATGGTTTTGGGAGAAATACAGGATTTGGATCGCATCTTAATTTATACCACATTGAAAAAGGTTTTTCAAGTAATTCATTTTGAGGACAAATAAATATCTGATTTTTGGAAAGAATATTACCAAGAATTATTGCAGCAAAAATAGTGATAATAGAGGCTCCAACAAATCCTTCAACAGTTTTTTTTGGAGAAAGCCTATAAAGCCGGGTTTTTCCAAAGATTTTACCAATAATATAGGCAAATATGTCATTACAGATAACAAGACAAGAAGGAAGAATAAACCAAAAAAGTCCTCTATAAGCATTTGCAATCATAAAAACCGATTGTGTTACAACAAGTAGAAGACTTAGAATCATTATTCCAAATTGAGAAAACTGGTATCTAAGTGTATAATTTCTTAAGGACAATATAAAAGCAATAAATCCAAATAAAGCTCCAATATAACTTATCAAAGAGTGGTAATAAACTATTAAATATAATATATAATAATTTCTTCTATATTTTTCAATTAAAGGAACCCACCATAATTTTCCTGTTGAAAACAATGTTACTCCTAACCAATACCAACGTAGAGTATAAAAAAATGGAAGGCGTTTATCTTCTTCTGCACTTTTTTTAAGAGAGTTAACTTCTTGATATACTGCTGAAATTAATACAAGTACAAGAATTGCTGAATAAGTATGTCCAGCTGCAAGTATTACTAAGAATGATGATAATAAAATTATAGTCCAAATAGTTCTAGTTACCCAATTTAGATCCCCATTATTATTTTTATGGCTATTTGTGAATAAATTACTATGTTTATCAGTTTTATTGGTTCCTGAACAAGTTCCGTCTATTTTTTTATTTTCATTACTCTCATTCTTGTTTATTTCTTTGATTTGATTATCTTCATAAAATTCTTTCTTATTCCCAACTCTTCTTCTTAATTCCACTTCACTAAAAAAATTGTCAGATTCTGTTTCATGTTCTGTATCATCAAATATTGAATTATTTTTTTTATGTCTTGAATTTCTCATGGCAGTAACTTCTTTTCTTAGTGAAAAAAGTGAAGCTTATTTAAAAATTTAAATTGCCTAGTTAGCTTAACTAGTTGATATCGAAATTTTAAATCTGCTGAAAGTTTTGAATATTTAGTAATTAAAGAAATGTACTCTTAAATTCTCGTTTTGCTATCGTGCTGTAAGAATTCCATATATTCACGAATGCAGTTCCGTCTGATCTTTAACTATTTATTCCAATCCACTAAAGTATAAATAGAATATTTATATATGTGTTTTATTCTAATATGAAACAAAGAATATGATTTATTTACTTAAATTATTATTATTCATTTATGTATCTGTTTATATTTTTTTACAAAATAATTTTAAAAATACTTAATTTTCCGAATGGCGGGAAAATCGACCCGCCCATCTCTGTGATGCATATAGGTACCGATAATGGTTTTAAGAGAAAATTCAAAAAATAAGAAAAAAGGTAAAGCAATTGAGTTTGGTTGAAAAAGGAGAAATATAACAATAAGTAGTCATTTAAGTCGGTCTTAAGCAAGTAGCTGGTTTGAGTGGCATAATTTTGGCTTGGAGAAAATATCTTTTGAGTTAATACGGAAAGAAATTTAAATTTGTTTTACTGGAATAAATCTAAAATTACAGCTTAAAAGTTAATTATTAAAAAGAATATTATATATATAAATATCTTTGTATTCATTTGTAATTGTGGAAAGAAGTGAATTGAAGAAGACTCCAAATTAAAAATGAAGTTGGATGTGAGTAATATGAGATTTATAAGTAAAGATGAATGGCGAATATTGACTGCAGTAGAGATGGGTATGAGAAACCACGAGTATGTATCTCCACAATTAATAGAATCCATTAGTAATTTAAGAAGAACAGGTAGTTATCAATTATTACAGAATTTATTAAGAAATAAGTTAGTATCTAGGGAAAGTAAGATATATGAGGGATATAAGTTATCATATTTGGGATATGATTTCTTGGCTTTAAGAGCACTGAACAAAAGAGGAATTATATCATCAGTAGGAGCAAGAATAGGAGTTGGTAAGGAGAGTGATATACATATAGCAGCTAATGAAAAAGGAAGGTTGGTATGTTTAAAATTGCATAGATTAGGGAGAATATCTTTTCGAAATGTAAAGAATACAAGAGATTATTTGAGGAATAGAAAAGCATCATCTTGGTTATACTTATCAAGATTAGCAGCTTTGAAGGAGTATAGTTGTTTAAAAGCATTATATGAAAATGGATTTAATGAGGGTGAAATTAAAGTTCCTGAACCAATTGATTGGAACCGTCACGCCATAGTAATGGAGTTAATAGATGCTGTACCACTCAATTCTGTCAAACAGTTGGAAGATCCCTATGGAGCATTGGAAAGACTAATGAAGATGATTATACGATTAGCAGATTGTGGATTAATACATGGAGATTTTAATGAGTTTAATTTATTAATAGATTCCAAAGAAAACATAACATTGATTGATTTTCCTCAAATAGTTAATACAGACCATATTAATGCTGAGATGTATTTTAAAAGGGATGTTAATTGTGTGATTGAGCTTTTTAGAAAGAGATTTGGCATTCAGGTAACAGAGTATCCAAAGTTTGAAGATGTAATTGTATTTAATAGCGATAATGTTCACAGCTCAAATAGGATCATCAATATTAGTAAGATAGATAGGGATATGAATAGGCTTGATTACCTGAACACTATAATCTCTCAAAAGGCTGAGCAGGATAACTCAGAAGGACAGGAATTACAGGAGGATGGATCAACTCAAGAAGAAGAGGAGCAGGAGGATGAGGAGCAAGAAGAAGAAGAAGAAGAAGAAGAAGAAAGTCATGATGATGATGATGATGAAGATGATCATGATCATGATCATGATAACGATGATAATTATGATGATGATGATTATAATACTGATGATGATGGCGAAAAGCAAGAATACGATGAATTCAAAGCGAGGATGATTAACGAAAGAATGAATAATTTGTGGCTACCTAAGAAAAAGAAGACACAACTGAACCAGGACAAAATAAGGAGATATTTGGTGAGTCAATATGACAAACACCACAATTCTAAAGGAAATTCTGGCTCAAAAAAGAGCAGAGAGTATAGAAAAACAAAGGCAATGATAGATAGTATAAAGAATGACTATTAGAAGTTAAGTATATGTTATTATAGTTAATATTTGATTTTAATTTATTAATAATCTTTGAATTAGTTTTTAAGGTAAATAAGAGGTAGTTCAGAAGGGTCACATGGGAGGGGATAGCTTTTAAAATATTCATGATCAAGAGCTTGGCTGGCAGAAATCCTCTCTAGGGGGTTAAGTCTTAAAAGAGACTGTATAAGATCAATAGCCATTTCTGAGGCGTTAGGAAAGATGTCACTAAAGTTTAAGGGAGGCCTTGGACTAAATTCACAATAAAGAGGTAGTTCTTTGGCTTGAGGCCAATTATTATTATTTGGAGTGCCTAAAAGCTCAAAAATACGTCCAAGCTGTCTAAGCTCATCTTCTCCAGGTAATAAGGCTTTCCCACCTGTCAAAAGCTCTGCAAATATACACCCAACACTCCACATATCAACTGCATGAGTGTATTTGGTGGATCCAAAAAGCAATTCTGGGCATCTATACCATAAAGTAACTACTTCTGGAGTATACTCTCTACGTGGTTGTCCATAACTTCTAGCTAACCCAAAATCTCCAACCTTTGCTATACCTTTTGAATTAATGAATATATTAGCAGGAGCTAAATCTCTATGTATTATAAACCAATTATGCAATTCATTAATTCCAAGAATAATTTGTTTCAACAAACACTTTATATGTGATTCAGAAAAACGAATTCTGTTTTCAAAAACCTTCCTTAAATCACTCTCCATGTAATCCATAACTAAGTTAATAAAGTCTCCTTGAACAAAAACATCTCTTAACCCCATTATGTTTGGGTGATCAATTTCATTCATTATTTTGATTTCTCTCAAAACTGTGAAATGAATACCACATTGTCCCACTTTCTGTCTAGATTCTGTCAAGTCTGATGGTAACTCACATATCTTAACCTTTTTTATAGCTACTATAATGTCATTTTCTTTATCTCTAGCTTTTTCTACCTTACCATAAGTACCTTGTCCAATATGTGCATCAATTTGTTCATATCTTTCTGGCATAGAAATCATTTTTTCCCTTAAATCCCAGAACCAAAACTAAAGAATTCCATTTAGATACAGTTTTTAATGCTATTCTCCTCTTTAAATAGCTAATTTATTTATTTTAATTGATCATATTTTTTATTATTTATTTCCAAAATGACAATTTAAATTAAATAGTTTTGGCGGCAACATGCTGCACATTTATTCATAAAGTTATTTCTTGTATACCGGCATTATATAAATTTGGTATAAAAAATATTAAAAAAAAGAGGAAAAAATTATTTTTAGATATTAAAAAAAGTTTGACATATAAATGATTAAAAAGTAAATTCTTTGATTTAGTTGATGCTATAACGAGGATAGATGCAGTGTTTGTTACTGGTTTAGTAGTATGTAAGATAGAACATTTACATATTTAGATACTTTCAAAGGTCTGTCAACTTGAGTTTTTGGGATTACATGAATATTCATTCATTTTAAAGTTTGTATTACATGCAAATTATTGATTTTTGAGAATGGCAAGATGTAAGCCAAAGCCTTTGAGGTATGGAGGAATTTTGGACCAAAATGAGAAATATAATGTCTTAGAAGAAGACGTAACAAAAAAAGATAATGATTTGGACACAAATTTGCATTTAACTTTCAAGCAACAAAAAAAAGAAGAAAAAAAGGAGGGACATGGATTAGAATATAAGAGGCAAATTTTGATTCAAAATAATGATTTAATCTGTTGTTTGAATGTTTGGGAGAATGTTAAGATGATCATTTCTGAAAGTGAAATAATGGATTTAGGAGAGAGTTTAAGTGAATTAAGAGAACAAGGAAGAGAATTTATTGCAATATTCGGAGTTTTAGAGGAAAATAAGTCAAAATGTTACTTTAAAATATTAGATAATCAGCTTATTGAAGAGTTAAAAGAGGTTGAATTTTGCAAATCTGATCAAGGAACTAATGTAGAAAAAACTATAGATACTGAATTATCTATTGAAAGTAAAGTTTTAGGATGTGGAACAGTTGGTTGGTCAAGTTTAAAGCCAAAAATACCATATTCTCATGTTAGAAAGGCTCTGTTGTTACTACAAGTTGAAGGTTTCATAGTATTTACTTGTGAAATATTGGGTGTGAAAAGAAGTCGTATAATAAGTAATAGTATTAGTACTAGCAATAATGTTAGTATTAATGGTAAAGGATTCAAAGAAAGTGTATTGAATATGAATATTAGGATGTATTTGACTAGAAAGTCCCTTGACGGGAAGTTATTATCAAGGAGGAAAGATGGGAAAAGTAGTCTAAAATCTATATTTTCTTGGCTTAATGAGGAGCTTAGGTTTCCAATACTTGAGGGATCCAATAATAAGCAAGCAAAGAAGACGAGGAGTTACCAGACTGTGCAGATAAAACCAAATGAGTTATATTCTATATTTCAAGAATATGACATATCTATAAAAAGAATGGGATCTTCTAATCAAAAAGATGGAAATTGGAGTCAAAGCTTGGGATTAATTTCAGAGTTAAGAAACTATCAAAAAGATGCAGTTTTGTTTGCTTTAAACGTGGAAAAAGATACTGTTAAAATACATTTGGAATACCCTCCATATTGGTTTTGCCTTAAACTACCAAAAAGGGGAGAAGAAAAAGAGGATTTATTATATATTAATATGATTAATGGAGAAATTTCTTTGAATATTCCACCTTTGGGAGGAGGTACTTTCAACATAAGAGGAGGATTTTTATGTGATGAAATGGGATTGGGTAAAAGTTTGGAGATTATTGCTTTGATTTTAATGAATCCAAGGTTGGACTATCAAACAAATTTTCAAAAATCTAAGGATTTTATCTCTTTTCCTACTTTAGAGTCTAAAGAGAATTCTTTTGATGTAGAATGTCCATGTGGGGTTAGTAATCCAATCATAGATTTGAAAGTAGTAAGATGCAACAAATGTAAAGTTAAATTTCACTTTCAATGTTGTATAAGTGATCAAATTACAATGGATTCAGATACTAATCTATTATGTTCTCTTTGCCAAAGTACTGAATTTAATCAAAGATTAAAGACAAAGTCAACTTTAATTATAGCACCAGCAAGTATTATAGACCAATGGTATGATGAATTTAATAAACATTTAGAGGATGGAAGATTGAAAGTAGTTAAGTATAAAGGAGTTAGGTATATTCAAAACTATTTGAGAAATAGAGCATTAAAAAAAGGGAAAGATTATGGTTGTGGATATGGAATTATAAAAACTAGAAGGGATATTTTGGACTATGATGTAGTAATTACATCTTATGAAATTCTTAAAGAAGAGATTTATCATGTATTAGATCAGGATAGCATAGCAAACAAAAGATCTATGAGGTTTAAGAAGACTTATCCTATTTTGGCTTCTTTATTAATTAACATTGATTGGTGGAGAATTGTTTTAGATGAAGCTCAAATGACTGAAGGATATTCACTTGTTTCAAAAATGACCAGTAAATTAATATGTTATAATAAATGGTGTGTATCCGGTACCCCTATTGTTAGATCTTGTTCAAATGATTTGATTGGTTTACTATTAAACCTTTCAAATGTTGGATTTGACTTAATACATGATTCTTTATATAAAAAGTATCTTGGATACTTATCTAGTATTTTATATATCAAAACTATTAAAAGTAAGACTGAACAAGAAGCTGATATTGAAATAGAGAGTGAAAAATTAGATGAAAATGATCAAGAGGATCATGATCACTCTCGTGATCATGATGAGGATTTAATTGGTGAAAAATTTCAAAAAGATGGATGGATTGGATTTGAAAATAGTTTAGATTATATTACTAGTCAATATATATCAATGAAGAATTTGGTAAAACATTTGGAATATGTAATTGGTTCTTTGTTTTATAGAAGAGAGATGAAACAAGTTAAGGAAGAAATAAGCATACCTCCAGCTTTTTATGGAAATACTTATTTAAGTTTATCTTCAGTAGAGAGATTTTTTTATATAAAACAGTGTGAATTAGGGTATAACAATATATTAAATTATAGAAGTATTGATAATTTTTTAAGAAATAAGAAAGAACTGGACTCATTAATTACAATGTTAAGGCTTGCATGTATACATCCACAATTAGGTATAATGGGTATCCATAATAGGAATAAGAATTTAAATAATCAGGAGAATTATTATGATTTAGATACTCAAAATGATTCAAGTATTGCATCTTTAAATACAGGATTGAAGATTATGACAATGGATCAGATTTTAGATAAGTTATTAAATAAATGTAGAATAGATATTGAAGAGAGCGTGAGAAAGTATGTGATGAACACTTTAGGTTTGGCTGGTATTTATTTTACAAGAAATTTCAAAGAGGATGATGATGAGAAATATAATAAATCATCAATTTTTTATTATAAACAAGTACTTGATATTCGTAACGAAGATAGAGTGGATGTTTTGCAACAGATACATACTTTATGGAATCTTGGAGAGATTTGTAGTAATGAATCAGAGAAAAGAGAGCTTTTTAGAGAATGTAATGAACTTGAGATTAAGTACAGAAGTAAATACTATAAGGAATATATGGAAAAGCAGGAGTCTTTTATTAAATTAAGAGACAAAACTAATTCATTATATTCTGATAATAATTGGTGGCACATATTCAAGAGGCTTAGTAAGGTTAGGGGTATTAATGGAAGATTTGGATTAGGATCTGGAGTAGGTAGTGTTAATGAAGAGGATCTTTTATTGGATAGAATTGAGAATTTCCAGTATGAATTTAAGAGTGCTAAAGATGGGGATTCTGAGTACAATTTACCAAGTTTTAATAGCATTCATGGCCTTATAGTTGCTTTAGATTTAAAGGTCAAGCATATGCAAGAATCTCGAACAAGACTTTTAAGCCAGCTTAGTCAACTAGAACTTTTGAGTTTAAGTCAGGATTGGGATCAAGATCAGGATCGGGATCAAGATCAGGATCAGGGTCAAAGCCAAAGCCAGAACCAAAGCCAAGGCCAAAACCAGGAACAGAACCAAAACCAAAGCCAAAGCCAAAACCAGAACCAGGAACAGAACCAAAACCAATACCAAAGCCAAGGCCAAAACCAGGAACAGAACCAGAACCAATACCAAAACCAAAGCCAAAACCAGAACCAGAACAACCATAAATTAGATCAAGGTAATAGACAGGGTCAAGATATCCAATACCAACTCATTCTGGACGAAATAATTGCAAAAGTGTCTTCCTGTTCATTGTGTAAAGAAGTTCAAAGTAGTGAAATAGAAGAGGAACACCAAAATAGTGCAGGAAGAAGGAATCAATCTGGTCAAAGACGAGATTTATGTGTATTTTGCATAATCCAAAATCATATAGAAGAACTTGAATATTCATTATATACCATTAAAAAGAAGTCTTTTTTTAGGTTTAGTGAAAGCAGTAATAGTAACTTTAGAGGAACTAAAAGTAATGAAGCAGATAATGGTCAGCAAAAAAAATCAATTTACAATGATTCTACATATTTGAGAGATTCAGAAACAATTGCAATATTAAAGTTTTTGAACAAAGAGCTAAAGAGAGTCTTTAAATCTGGTTCAAACATGAAAGAGGACTTGGATGAATCTGATGATTTATCTTCTATTTCTAAGATATCTACAAAACATATCAAATACATTGAATCGTTAAAGCTTGAGCTTTCCAGCAGTAAAGCCTTTGTATCTGCTACTAGACAACTTATTAACTCTTATTTGGAGCTTATAGATTGTAAGCAAAGAATTCAAGTAATTCAGGATGGCGAACCGAATTTGTCTTCAAATCATAATAATATCATCCACCAAAGTGAAATTCCTTTTTTGGCAGAAAAGTATGAATCAGAACGTATTTCTGCTCTTGGTGTGAGACGTAATCTAAAATCTCAACAAAAATTTCTATGTAACCTTAAGTTGCAACAAAGATCAAGAAAAACCTTTAAAGATCAACAGGAACAGCAAAAGGAGCAGGTGCAGAAACAAGACTTGGAGCAGCAACAGGAGCAGCAAAAGGAACAGGAACAGGAACAGGAACACGAACAGGAACAGGAACACGAACAAGAGCAGCAAAAGGAACAGCAAAAGGAACAGGAACACGAACAAGAGCAGCAAAAGGAACAATACCAAGAACACGAACAAGACCATGAAATTTGTCCAATATGTCTTAACAAGCTAAAGGAGGACTATTCACAAGTCATTTTACCATGTGCTCACATACTATGCATTGACTGTTATAGGTTAATTAATAAAAAGTCTAATAACCATAAACTTAAAAATCAGTGTCCAAAATGTAGATTTGCTTTTCAAGATACCAATGTAGTCCTAATAGTGCCAGATAATGACAATAACAAAGTTAATGTAAAGGTAGGAAACAATTCAAATAATGAAAAAAAAACTTATTCATCCTTAATTAACGAGTTTTCAAATAAACCAAACCAAGTAGATTTTGGAATTGATTACAACATAATACAATCAAAAAGCATCTTAGGTAACTTTGGAACTAAAATAGAAGCTATTATTAAACATATTAAATGGATCTTGAATTATCCTGGTACTAGTGATAGCTTTGGTATTCACTCTCATGATCCTCAACTTCAAACTATTCGTGGAAATAATGATAAGATTATTATTTTTTCTGATTTCCAACCTGTTATAGATATTCTTTCCTCAGCTCTTCACTTAAATGAGATACTTTTTAAAAAATATAGTGGGGGAAAGTCAGAATATCATATTATTAGAGAGTTTTCATCTAATAATATTAATAATGAGTATTACCCACATAACAACTACAGAGTCCTTTTATGTAATCATTTAAATGTTGGAAAAGGAGTTAATATTACTGCTGCAAATCACATTATTTTTGTTAGTCCTATTCTCAACAAATCTGATGAATTACAGGCTATTGGTAGAATTATTCGTATGGGGCAAACCAAAACCCCACATATTTGGAATTTCATCATTAATTACTCAATTGATGAACTTATTTTTCATTATTTATCCAACTTTTACTCAAATCAAAACCCTCAAAACTCTTTTTTTAATTCTAATAATCAACATTCACTAAATCTCAAAATTATTCAACATGTATCAGATACTAATTACTCCAATTTCAAACAAAAAGAATTTGTATTGGAAGAATAACAGGATGATCGTTTCTCTTATACTAATTAAGATAACTACACAAAAATGTTTCCAATTTTAAAAAAAAAAAAAAAAATCAAATAAAACAATTTTTTTTCTTTTTTTGTTTTTATTATTGCTAAATAAATATTTACATGTTTATGAGATTAACCAGAAATATATATACCGTTATTAGAAACAGGCGCCAAACATATTTTCTAAAAAAATGCGCGCAATGCATGCAAATATATATTTGTTCTCAAGTCAAAGAAACAAAATTAGGGAAAGCGGTATTAATAACAAAAAAAAAAAAAAAATAATAGTAATAATATAATGAATCATTTCTTGTCATTTATTTTGATTTTTTTTGTTTTAAATAGTAAAAAAAAAAATTTAAAAAAAATTGAGAATAAAATTTTTTAAATCAGAAAAAAAATTAATTCATCTGGCAATAAAAGTAATTTGTGTACTTTCTATTTATTATACGTGTGCATAAACTTAGGCATGTAAAAGGTGTCTAACAAAAATATTGGCAATAATTAGAAATAAAGTCATTAAAATTATTATTCTATGTTATTTTAGAAAAAGGGAATATATAGGAAACAAAAAAATCGTAATTTTGGAGTATCTGATTAAACTTTTATTTAATATTACTGCTATTTTTGGATAATATTAGATATAAATAATTGGTTGGTAATGATAATTACAAATAAAATTATGTATAGTTAATTAAAATAAGGGAAAACATAATACAAAAAAAAAAATTGTAAAAAAAAAAATAACAGTAATAATATAAAGTTCAAGTAATATTAAGTAATATTAAACATATTGATATTATTAGATTTGTTCATATTTGTTATTAATTCAAAATAATTGTAAACCGATTCAAAAATTAATAATATTAACGTTAGTGATTGTAATTATAGAATATAAATATATTTGAATATATAATTTAAGTAAAAAATATAATCAAAATTAATGAAAAAAAAAATCCAAATTAAGAAACTGGGGTAATGATTAGACATATGAATTTATTCATAATTTAAAAAAAAAAAAAAGTAAATTGTTTCATTGAGCCAATACCAAACTTTGTGTATTATAAACATTTAAGATATAACCATTAAAAAAGAATATTCTGCTGCAATTATTGCATTTGGTTATTGTTTTAATATACAAAGAAATTGAATACTTTGTTAGTCAGAGGTTAGGTAGATGATCAAGTAATATGAATGTTTTATCGTTCTTTTCTTTTTTCTGGACGATACATACAATGAATGAATTGAACTTCAAATAATGACAAAAGAAATGGATAGCATTCTGAAAAGTAAATATACCGAAAATAGAATTGAATACGATAAATTTAGCTTAATATCTATTAATTCAGAGTTTAGTTATAACAACACTATTGATAATATACAGAATTTTAACAAAGGAACAAACAATTGTAAAACGTCCCTAAATCCAAAAAGAAACTTAAAAATGAATTCAGCCGGACTCCGAAAAGATAAAGGAGGAGGCACAGGGACAGGAATAATTGGGCCTGGCCTAAAAATTGGGAAAGAAAAAAGATTGGATTTAATTAGGGATGCACTTAAATCACTTTATGTTGATAGAACGAAACCACATCTTCAGGAACTCATTAGAAGATTAAAAGAGCGTGTAGATTTAGGTGCGAACTATAACTTGCAAATGATGATAAAAGATTTAAGTGAAAATGAAGAAGAGTTCTTGCTATTTGATAATGGCGAAATTTACTTTAGAAATTGTTATGTTCCTGAGAACCATTGGGTTGATCCAAAAAATCCGAATAATCCTTATTCCCGTGAAATATGGAGTGGATTCTTACAATATATTAATAACTTAGTATGTGTTAGAGGAGAAGGTAATTTTAATAGCTCTATAATAATGAGAAATTCAAATAATTATTTGATAGAACCCAGCAATCATGAATTCATTTTAAAGCAGAAAGAGAATGAATCAGACTTTTCATTATTATCATCAACATTATCATCTTCATCTTCATCAACCTCATGCTCAACTAATTCTCAATCTCAGCCAAACTTACTTAGATATCAATTTAAAGGAGGGCGGTATGGAGTTGCAATGGAGATACACAAAGCAAAAATTTCTCAATTAGAAAACCTATCATTGGGAGAATTGTCTCATTTAGTCCAACTTGCTATTAATGGAGGAATTCTACAATATGAAAACAATGTTTTGAAGCCAAGATGTACGTGTGTTAAGATTGCTGCTGCTGCTTTATCAGTGGATGTTGATCAAATTGAAAGCAATGAAGCTCCAACTGATGACTCAAACTGTCCAGCAACAACAATAAACAATAACTTAATAGATTTAAAATATAAACTTAATGAAATTTTAATTATGTATCCAAATGGCATATTATTAAGTTTATTAAAAAGGTTTTTTAATACATATTGGGGGAAAAAACTCTCACCTACAGTTTTCGGTTACACACACATCTCGACTTTATTACTATCTGATGAGTTAAAACAGACTTGTAGATTGTATTTTGATTCATTCAATCATGTAATTGTTCAGTCTACGAAATTCGATATTCCAAATAATGTCAGACTTCTAGAAGATGAGAAATTTCAAAAAAGAACCTCCTTTTTTGACTTTGGTCTCTTTGTTCCCATAAGGAATATGTCTGACATCTCATTTGAATATATGAGGTTATTAAATAAATAGCGATTGTTTTTTTTAATGAATTATTCAAATAATGCTAAAATAATGTTAATTCAAATAGTGGGCGCCAACATTTTGGTTATTAATTCAATGTTTTTGCATGCATGCAAATTACGTGTACTTAATTGGTTATTTATTTAGTGAAAAATTAAAATCTGACAAAAAAATAAAAAGAAAAAAAAATGATGAAAGTGATCATGATTTAAATAAAACTAAAGCATGAAAATTTATTCCAATGAAATCTAATTAGAAAAATGGTAAAGATTTGTATTTTACTATACTAATCCGTAGTATATTTGGACTTTCATCGGTTAGCTATTAGTATCGAGAGTATTCACATTTTTTCTTCATCCCAAATTTTTTATTTCTTGATTTCATAGCTACTCTATTCTTTTTTATTAAAAAAAATAATAATTAAAGTTTTTATTTAAAAAAAAAAAATCGAATGTTTCATTGCTTTACTTTAAGCTTGAAATTTGGCCAAGCATTTCAACTCCCTATGAACTATTTCAAAAACAAAATCATTAAATAAATTCAGTTTTACACTTCCCTCGTATACTTTGAATTTTTATCCAAGTAATAAAGAGAAGCAATAAATAAACAAAATGTAGAAATAGCACTAAATAAATTAGTAAGGAATAATTGATGTGTATATTAATATATTTAATGATTTAATACACATCTCAATTACTTCAAAAATGGAGATCTTAGATCCTCCTCATCCTTTTGATAATAGTGACAATAATGTTAATGATAACAGAATTATTATATCTTCAGGTACAGAATAAATCTAATATTCGTTAAGCAATAATGGCTGGTGAAGAATATGCAGTGGGGCGCTTTAATGCACTAGCAAAGTAGGCAAAGTCATCAGGAGAAATATTTCTGATCTCCTCAGAAGTGCATAATTTAAATACATTTGCTTTAATACATGAACATTTGTCCTGATCCAAGATTGAAGTTGCAAGCCAAGATTGGAAAGATAATCTCTTACAATCCTCATCACAAAGTTCATTATTTGCAACAGGAATATTCTGTGGTAAGAACCATCCTTTTCTTAATGCTGAATTATATAAATTTTCCATTCTCATAGAGCTTTCTTCATTTAATGAAAATGTTACTGGATATGCTGCTTGTGATATAAAATCAACAACAAATCCTAATCCTCTATCGTTGGTTCTTTCCAAGTCTTGAGGACAATTCTTTTGATGTGGGCCACCACGTATAATATTTTTAGCTTGTTCTACAAGCAAAAACATCATACAAGAGTATTCTGGAGGTAAGCCTTCATTTGGATCCAACAATTTCTCAACAGATTCTTCATTTCCTGATAATATAACCATCATTGCGTTAGATGAACGGATTGTATCCAAGATCGTATTTTGGGTTGCATCTACTAATCCATCCTGGTCATTATCTAAAACACTTGCCAATAACTCCGTTAAATATGATAATTTGTCATCTGGTACCATATAGTCTCCAAGAATATGAATTCCAAATGCAGAAGTGAATTTTGTTAATCCTGCTCTTGTAAAACCTGATTCTGGAATCTTAGATGGTCTTATGTAAACCTTATCATCTCTTGGCTGAGAAACAAAAACTTCGGATGGAAATACTGCATTATCGCAATTTGGCTCGTTCTGTAAGGATTTCATTGATAATAATTCTTCTGAAGCTGAATGATTATTTGTTTTTAAAGTGCTTGTAGCTTTTGTTGCTGAGGTTGTAACCACTGAATTTGAATGACCATGTTCACCTGGGTTTCTCACATTCAGTGTTGGTGCTCCTCTTACCACCATAATAATCATTAAAAACATATATATTATACTTTCACAGAACTTCATTATGACCACAAAATTCCGACACTTTTTAATTCCAATCTTCTTATTATGAAATTAGTAACATAAACTTCTATTGTTTTTATTGATATTTCTGTTGAAACAGATTTTAACCTTTCGAAATTTATTATACTATTATTCAAATTAAGTGAATACTAGTTGATTCCTTTTTTTCTCTTATCAATTTTGTTTATGTGGGGTTGCGAGAAACATGCAATATGTGGATTATTACTACATGCAATTTTTTATGTTACGTGGAGATTACATGTAAACATGACAACTAATTTTTTTTTGAGGAAGCACAACTTCTGAGAAAAAAAAAAATATCAATCCTCAATATTGTTTAAATTAATAATTAAAATTCAACTATCTAACCCAAATTCTCAGATAAAATTTAGAAACTAAAATCTGAATTTTAAAAAAGTAATAATCATTTCCATTATCTCCCTAATCTATGACTATGCATACATTTTGCATGCATTCAAATATTTATTTTCAGACTTTTGGCGGGTTTGTCTTTTTTTAATATTATATTTCAACTGGCATTTCAAAAGTAAAATATTTCTGAGTATGTTAATAGATCACTTATTATTCGGCGTTTACAGAAAATTATCCTATTTTTACAAAATGTATGAATTATAGTCAACTCACACCTTTTTTATTGTATCTTTTCCTTAATCTAAGGAAATTCTGAATTAAACTAGAATAAAAAAAAAAAAAAAGGAAAGGGATACAAAATATTTTTAGAAAAAATAAATAAAATTGAGAAGGTACCTCAAAACTCACACTTAAACTTAACTAAAGTTCTTACTTTGGTATTTCACCTAGGTTAATGGCAAATTACCAAGTAGATTGGGAAATTGTGGGGATATTTGAAGATAATAGTGTTGAAAATAATTTTAATCTATTTGAGCTTTTTAACAATAATAATTACAAAAACAATACAAGCTTAAAGAATATAGAGGATTACTTCCTGGATCCTAATAGATATTGTAATAACACGGACAATAGTAGTAATGATAAAAAAACCACTATCATATTATCTAGAAGTTGGATTTGCAAATTATACATATTATCTGGAATAACAGGCAATGATTTATCAGTTTGTATGGATTTTTTAGAAAATCTCATATTCAATAATACTGGCCTATCCCACCTAAATCGAGTATTCTGCTACTTGAAATATTTGCCAGATTTGCTTTCTTTCCCATTATTTCATTGCAAATTTCAAAGTCACCTTACATATAAAAAAAATGGCATTACTCAAAAAGATGAAATCATTGAGAAAGTAATCAATTTAATTAAGAAATGTCTAATTCATTTATTCTCAGACCATGGTGGAAAGCCTAATATTATATTAATAGCAGGTACTTCAGGCAGTGGAAAAAGCACCATAAGTTCTTACTTGGCATCATTTTTAAGGGTAAAATGTGTCATATCTACCGATACAATCAGACATGTACTAAGGTCTACAGAAAAATACAAATACAACAAGGCTCTTAATTGCTCAACTTATGAAGTACACAAATACACCAATATTCAGCCTAAACAAAATGGAAACAATCAATCTTCTGAATCATCTATTGTATTGGGATACTTATTACAATCGTCTATTATTGAAGATTACATTTATGAGATCATCGCAAATTCTGTTAATAAGGAAAAAAGTATCATTTTAGAAGGAGTTCATATTACTTTTTCATTATTCAAAAGAATCCAATCTTTTGCAAAACTTAAACATGCAAACTTAAGTACTTTTCTAATATATATACAAGACTCCAACGAACACATACAAAGGTTCCAACAAAGAAGCAAGGGTATCCTCAATTTCAAATACCACAATAACATCTCCAACATTAGAGAAATTCAAAGTTACCTAATCAACTCCATTGGAAAACTACCCTCGGTTATTTCTATTGACAATACTTCAAACGACATTGATTATATTGTCCAAGAGAAGATACTCAAACAAGTCACAATGAAGTTCTTATAAACCTTTAAAATCCTAATTTCTCATCTTCTAATATACCTGTTTTAATTAATTACTTATTTACCTATAAATAACGCTAAAATTCGTCCTTATCTCTCCATATCTCCAAATTATACTTATGTAGCGACGATTTTTGCTCATGATTCACTCTTTCCCAAACCGATCCAAAAACCCTGCAACACACAAAACATATTAACTCCTCCTCACTCACAATTCCATTCTTACTTCCGGCATCGATCCGATTAATCTCCTCACCCATAGTTTCTTCCGTGACCCCCACGTCAGAAACTGACCACATGCACACTGAAGGCGCCACCTCCCCACATTCTGGAGCCTGCTGACCAGGAGTCTTACATACATTATTAGTGCATGGATTTTTGGCGCCATCATCAGAGTTATTGTAAATCAGATTACAAAAGTTTGGTCTTTGGCCTGTTTGACTCTTTTCATGAGTTATGTGGCTTGAGGTATCAAAAAACTGGGTGATTTTTTGCCTCTTGGAATCGTATTCACTATCTAAAATGGAATTCCTATCTTCCACAGAATTGCTATTTATATAGTTATTCATGTTATAGTTTAACTGGGACCTTGCAGTTTCTAAAAAAGAGGCTACTCTTATTTCCTTTTCTTTTCTAAGTTTTTCTTTGGAAATTTGAGTTTTGAAATGACAATCTTCTTGAATATTTCTATCACTATAATCTTCACCAAAAGTGTGGCCAGTATTGTCAAATTGAGAAGATTTCCCTGAATTATAAATAAACTTAAGGCTTTGTAATTCAGGGTCAAACTCAAAAAGTGACTTACTTTGGCAGTCCAGAAAAACACGAGTATCCCAGTCCCAAAGGAAGTTGAGAGAGTTACAATAGTATAACCTCCCTCGTCCCCTTGGAAACTTATCTATTCCACTGGTATATAAAGCTTCTCTATACAATGATTCGTAGTTCTCATCACCACAGTACTGAAATTCTGAATTTCTATCTACTGGAACTGACACACATTTTGATCTTTTCCAGAAGCTTAAATAACCCTGCAAAACTTTACCACGAGAAATATTCACATTATTCAACTGTTCAGAGTCAATAAAGTTCTTAATGCTACTTTCTAGACTCTTTAAGGTTTTTGTCTCAAACTTATCTAATCCTTTACATAAAGTTAGTAATGCTTTTACATGACTTGTACCAACAAACTCTGGAATCAAATTCTTCCTATTGAAATTAGGCCCAAACTCTTTAGAATGCTTTATTTCCCACTTTAAAGCTCTGTATGACGTTAAAGGTGAAGAAAACTGGAGAAAACAAAATCCACTAACACCTTCCTCATCCCTTATATACACTAATCTCCTCAGAAACTCACCATATGGATTCCTTCTTCCTACAAAGTCCCAGATAACTTCATCATTCTCAATGTCTTTCGGTATACCCCTAATTAACCAATAACATGTTGATAAATTCATTGTTTCAAAATCATTAAATGGCCTTAATTTATATGCAGGATCACAATATACATACAATTCACTATAGCTATCTTTTGAAATCTCCCTCCATATATTACGCCTAGATAGCCTGATAAAGCTTTTTGTGGAACTTCTGGACGGAAAACTAACTATGTAAATCTTTTTTTCTCCTTTTTGTATACACAATTCGTCCGATTCTTCCACTAAATTTGGTAATGAAAACCCTAAAGAGACACTCCACCTTGAAAATGTCTCGTATAATCCTTCAAGTCCTTCTGGAACATTTCTTATTATTGCACTCCAATTTAATCGATACCTCCTTCTTAAAACATAACTTGAGTCACTCCACTCTTGGTCTTCCTCCATTTACAGTACAATTCCTAAATATTTCTTTACATTTTACTTTATATAAATTTGCTTAGATTTTCTTTTTTTCCTCTATTTTTCCCCTCCATAATTTTCCCATCTTAAAAAAATAACCCCCCATACCATAACTCAAACATTTTTGTTCCTACAAAACCACGAAAAACTTAAATCTAAGAATAAAAAGGGAAAATAAAAACCATTACCACTAATTTACTTAATCAATACTACATAAACGGCTATCTAAGAAATTAGTACTTTAGAGAATATTCTCAATCATTCTATTTTAATAACTTTGAAATAACTTTTCGTAGACCAAAATTAAATCCGGTTGCAATAACATTAAAGAAAGTTAGAAAAAATGCTAATTAAATTAATTTCTCTGGTAGTTATATTTAGCCACCTTTTTTGGTAAGCTTGAAGCAATACTTGAGTTTCTGGCTCCCTCCCCTATTGAAGATGGCTGCTGACCAGAACTCATACCAACATTCGAATAGCCTATTCCCCCTCCCCCTCCTCCATTAGATAACAATATACTACCATTTCCCATAGCACCATTTGTTTGAAGAATTCCCTTCTGGTTAAAACCGTATGGATGGTATGAAGGAGAGTGTTGGTGAATAATATTTTGATTCTGGTTACAGTATTGTTGGCTGTTATTAGTGGTATATTTTGTACCAGGTGGAGATATTTGATAATTCCCAGTTGCTGTTACATAGCTTGAGCTTGATTCAGGCCCAGCTAACTTTTCCTCACTACTAAATTCGGTACCTGATGACCTAATTTGATAAGAAACGGGACTAAAAGCGTCTTTAAATTCTTCAAATGAGCCTATAGTATTCATTGTATCGCCTCTCTCCAATCCCTGATTAATTGTTTCGAAAGTAGTGCTTCTAGAACAAGAAGCATCTGTAGAGTATATTGTTGATGAAGATTGCTTAATGTTCTCATTATTTAAGGGAATCATACGGTCAATGTACTTGTCAACGTCTGGAGGGCGCATTTGGATTCCTTTGTTCTGGTTTTGGTTACTAAAAGATTCATTCGAATCGGATCTAGTCATTTCATCTCTCTTTATATGCTCTTTACTAGATCGAACATTTTCATCTCTTTGAAATGCTGTATTCAATGAAGGAACAGGGCTATTGTTAGTAACCTTGTATCTAATATACTGTTGGATAGCATAGAAAGACTGAGCAATTGGCTTTGGAAGCTTGCCATTTTCGTCATAGTACAACTCATCATAGTTAAAAAGTAGGCTTAAATCTGTATTTATAAAAGACTTCAAAGCATCTGCAGATTTTGGGAGTTTGAAACATTCAAATACTGAGTAAAAGAATATTACAATTGAAGCTTTAACAAACTTAGGTCTTTCAGAATTGTGATTACCTGGAATTATCATGAGCATCTTCTCTCCTCCATAGTTGTCATGTAACTTTTTAGAGTGATTGGGATTGACCAATGTGTCATTTGTACCTGAAATAAACAAAGCAGGAACCTTACAATGGCCAATAGACTTAATGGGAGCAATCTCATCTATGTTAACTTTTGCCTTGTCATTAATTGTAGATTTTATAAATGAAAGTGCCGAATCCACTAGAAAATTGGGTAGCAGAGGGACATAGTGATGGACCAACTCGTGGCATAGCTGACGGAGACTGCAAAAGCTGGAATCTACAACAATCCCCCTTAGGAAACCGTCTCCCCTATCAACTCCAGAGTACATTAAAGCAGTAGCAGCACCCATTGACCTCCCCCAAACTCCAACTGAACTACATCTTTTTGAGCTTTTCAAGTATTCAATCAAAACGGAAAGATCATCTTTCTCATGGTATCCCAAACTTATATAGTCTCCATCAGACAACCCGGAACCACTTAAATCCACTGCCATAACTGTAATTCCGATAGGAAGAAGCAATGGAACGTATGGTAAAGCCTCTCTCCTTGAACTACAGTTTCCGTGAAGATAAACTACGCAAGGAAGAGATTCCGATGGTCTTTCATTCTCAATTGGCTCAAAATGACTACAATGAAGAGCTTGGAAGCGGCGATTTCTCAAAGTAAAGTCTGATCTCTTAAAAATAGACTTTCCTATAGCAAACCGCATTGGGCCCAAATCCCGAATACTATATTTGTCTCTTGGAGGTCTTATAATTGCCCTCCATAATTCATTGTACTGAGAAGAAAAACTTGACAATATTGACGCCATTTCTTTTATTCTGATTGTGACCAGTTTATTTACAAAACTTGTAATAATTAGTATATATTAGCAGTATTATATATATCAAACAGGAATCTCTGGATAATTCCTTTAATACTTTCACAAAAAGAACTGAAGAGATTACCTTATTCTAAACCAAGTGTTGATTTTCTGATTATAAATATTTACTGGTGTTATTTTCTTAAGCAATAAATTTTATTAAATACTTAATTTAAGAATGATTAATCAGTCACTTCAAATCTTACTCCTGTTGCATTATTTACCTGATTCTTTTCTTATTAGCAGCTCTTATAATCAATTCCTTGTTAGACTTTTCTGGCCCGGAAGATTTTACTAGTTACTTTTTCTTTTCTCTTTGAACTTTTAAAGATATTTTTATTTGCTCAAAACTAAACCCTTTAACCTAGAGTTCAAATTAGACCCAGAGTAAAGGACGGTAACTTTTCAGAGTTTCTGAGAAAATACCTACAATACCTTGTCTATTCTACTCCACCGTCTTCCTTTCTCTGACTATTACATGTACATATATATACATATATATGTACACATATATATGTATATATATATATGTAATATATATTATTTTTCGTTGTAATGTATAATATACAGCTTCTTTCCCCACCCCCCTCAGTTTATGTTTTCCTTTTTCTTTCGATCAAGACTGCAATTATTTAGACCAAACATTGCGTCTCACACACATTTTTAAAAAAATGTAATATCAAAATTTTTTTAATATTACGTAATTCCCTAGTCTATTTTCACCCACTATTAAAAAATATTGTTAATTTTGACTTGCGTGCCCCACATTCCACATACTAATTTTTGGCGCCTAAAATTGCTTCTTATACCGGCAAATCAGCATGCAAGAATATTGACATAATCTGGATGCTAGTAATGCATGCGCATGCAGGAGTTAATGTTTAAAACATTACAAAGGTCGAAAAAATGATTAAAACAATTTTTGGGGTGAAAATAAGTTAATTTCTATTACTTAATATGACTAGTACTAGTTAATTCGAATATGAAGGACAATTGAAGCTCCTTACAACATTAGTTTTAGAGCTCGTCATGACCTGAGTAGTCATCACCGCCGGCTTGGCCAGCAGAACCTCCAGCCTGACCGTAAACAGCAGCAATAATAGGGTTGCAAATACCCTCGACTTCCTTGAGCTTGTCCTTGATTTCCTGAGCATCAGCATCGGGGTTGCTGCTAAGGAAATCCTCAGCGTCCTTGAGTGCTTCCTTGATTTTCTCCTTATCCTCCTCCTCAAGCTTCTGAGCGAGTTTGTCCTTATCCTCAATGCTCATTCTCATTGAATGGACATAACTGTCAAGTGCATTCTTGGCGTCAACCTTCTCACGAACAAGCTTGTCCTCTTCGGCAAATTGCTCAGCTTCCTTAATCATGCGCTCAATGTCCTCTTGAGAAAGTCTACCCTTATCATTTGTGATAGTAATCTTCTCAGATTTACCAGTACCTTTATCTTTTGCACTGACTTGTAAAATACCGTCAGTATCAATCTCAAAGGTAACCTCAATCTGAGGAACACCTCTTGGAGCTGGAGGAATTCCAGAAAGCTCAAACTTTCCGAGTAGGTTGTTGTCCTTGGTCATTGGACGTTCGCCCTCATAAACCTGAATAAGTACGGCTGGTTGGTTATCCTGGTAAGTACTGAAAACCTGGCTCTTTTTGGTTGGAACAACTGTGTTTCTACCAATGAGCTTGGTCATAACTCCACCAACAGTCTCAATACCCAAAGTCAAAGGAGTAACATCCAATAATAGTAAATCACTACCACCCTCGCCTGCTAATATACCGGCTTGTACAGCAGCACCATAGGCAACGGCTTCATCTGGGTTGATTCCTCTGTTTGGCTCCTTTCCGTCAAAGAACTCCTTAATCAAGGCCTGGATCTTGGGAATACGAGTCGAACCACCGACCAAAACGATTTCATCTACCTCAGACTTCTTAATTCCAGCGTCTTCCAAAACTTTCTTAACTGGCTCAATAGTTTTTCTAAATAGATCTGCGTTCAACTCATCGAACTTGGCTCTAGTCAGAGTCTCGCTCAAATCTACATCCTCCATCAAACCTTCAATTTCTACCTTAACTTGTGGAGCTGAAGAAAGGGCTCTCTTAGACTTTTCAACCTCTCTTCTAAGCTTTTGAAGGGCTCTCTTGTCAGACTTAACATCCTTTCCTGTCTTTGACTTAATGATCTTGATGAAATGGTCCATAACTCTCTGGTCGAAATCCTCACCTCCTAAATGGGTATCACCACTTGTGGCAACGACTTCAAATACACCATTATCAATGGTCAAGAGTGAAACATCAAAAGTACCACCACCCAAATCATACACCAAGATGCTCTTCTCAGCCTTCTTATCTAAACCAAAAGCAATAGCTGCTGCTGTTGGTTCGTTAATAATACGAATTACATTCAAACCAGCAATGGCACCAGCGTCCTTAGTGGCTTGACGTTGAGCATCATTAAAGTAAGCTGGTACAGTAATTACTGCGTGTTTTACCTCCTTTCCGAGATAAGCTTCAGCAATCTCTTTCATCTTAAGCAAGACCATAGCAGAAACTTCCTCTGGAGCTAACTGCTTCTTCTCGCCTTTAACTGTAACCTGAATGTAAGGCTTACTTTCTTTATTAATAATTTCATATGGTAACAATGTCTTATCCTTTTGGACGGAATCATCCTTGAAACGACGGCCAATAAGTCTCTTTACATCAAACAAGGTCTGAACCGGATTGATTGTAGCCTGGTTTTTAGCTGACTCACCGATTAATCTTTCATCATCAGTAAATGATACATAAGATGGTGTAATACGGTTACCTTGTTCATTTGGAATAATTTCTACTCTACCATTCTTGTAAATACCAACACATGAATAAGTAGTACCTAAATCAATACCAATAACTGGTCCATCGTACTTTTTTTCATCAGCAGCTTTGACTGGGAAAGCTACAAATAAACTCAGAAAAACCGAGAAAATGATAGTTTCCAAATACCTCATTCTTTCCAACTTTAAGAAAAGTGAATTGTTTTTAATATATTACTGTTGGGTAATTTTTCTTTGGGGGAAAATTAAGAGGGGTTTATTACTCTTAGCTAAATATAACTTATGTATAATTTATATTTATTAATTAATATAAATATATGTATTAACTTAGTTTACAATTACTCAGTCTATTGCTCTAAACAGTATCTGATGATTATTAACTTACCTTAACATTTTGATTAATAATTAGCAAAATATCTTGTGTAAAAAAAAGCCGCTATTAGACGTGATTACCAGTATTATGGTACCTCTCTTATCTCATTTTTTTGCTCTAATTATTATTCATTATGTGGGTCAATTATTTATTATCCAACCCCTCTTAAATTATTTGTTATCATTATTATTACTTTTTAATTAATATTGAATAATAAATATTATTTAGGCGGGCAATAGTCTCGTTATTTTCTGGTTGGGGGTAAAGTGGCAAAGAAGAATTGCATAAAATCGAACATTTCAAGAAGCAAACAAATAAAAATAAAAAAACTAAAAAAATTCTAAATTTGGATTTGTGTGTACCTATGCGTTACTAATATACGATAATTTTATGATCTGCTAGACTTTAAATGAGCAATTGTTCTTTCTAGTTTGCTTATAGTTTTGTCTTTTTCAGAAATTTGATTCTCTAGCCTCTCAATCTTCTGGTGGAGTTGGTTAATAGAATCATCAAAGTTCGATTTATTCCTATACGAATTAGTGAGTTCTTCCTGAAGTTGAGAGAGTTTTGTTTGTAGGAATTTGATTTGTTGATTATAAGTGTTTGTTTTCTCTAAGTCACTTGTTTTCTGGTCTTGAGGAGTTTTTGGCTTGCAAAGCTGAGCTGACACAAACTTTTTCCTGAGCTCAGTATCTTTAAGTAATAAAATTCAAAGGTAATTGTTTAATTTAAGTACAATGAAAAAGAATAATAACGATTAGAATGTGTAAACATTTTTCAAAAAAAAAAATATTACTTACAAGAAGCATAAAGTCCCAAAAGATCAGAAATACTTGGCTGATCTCTTTTTTTGACTCTTTCTAAGAGAAGTGATTCCCAATCTGCCATTATTCTGATTTTTATTTCTGTTTATTTAATTTAGTGGTATGATTTTGGCGGGCTGACACACATTTTTGATATGAATAATACAAGCTATACAACAGAGAATAATGAATCTAAATGAATAATTGGCGAACATTGAATATAGGAGAGGAATTTGAAAAGATTTAAGGTAGCAGAAGCTTTTAGAGAATTTTATCTATTAGCAAGATGCAGAATCCTTTGGATCATAGTATGTCATCTCAAAATGCAGAATCTACTTCTGTTAATAAAATTCTAGCAAATGTACAGGGATATTATAGTGGGGATTATGACTGGAACGACTTTTATGGAGATGATGATGAATTTTCTGTTGACGAAGATGATGATGTGAAATTGGATTCAAAAGCAATTTTAACTTCAAATTCAAAGACATTTGATAGTGTGATACAAGATAAACTTAAAGTGTTCCAGAATAAAGGAAGCACAGATAACTCCAATTTAGGAGATGTTAGATTTAGGCAGAGAATAAGAAATCGAAGGATGAGGGATAAGGCAAATGATGATGATAACCCTGACTACTTGCATGATGAAATTGTTGAACAAATTCAAAAAGGAGAAGAAATTGCTGCAATAGGACCAGAAGAGATGAATGAAATTCGAAACACAGCATGGATTCCCAAAGGAGAGTATATTCCTGAGGATATTGCAATGGGGTACCATACAGCTTGGGATATTGGGAAAAGAGGTTGTGTTGCAGTAAAACTAGTAGGAAATTGGGACTCTCATATTTCCCCAAATAAAGTGAGATTTTTCATTATGGATGGAACTGACCCTATTGCATTTCTTTCATACTATACGAAAAGTGACCTCAAGGTCAGTAGGGGTGAAAAGTCTGAAAAAAAAGGAATCATATTTGCCAAAGACTTAAGGGATGGGTATTGGGATTATGGCAGATCAAAAATCATTTTTACAAGGAGAAACAAGTCAGGGCAAACTACAATCATAGAAAACCTTCCCACACAGTTCATGGATGCCATGATGGTTTGTATCCGCGAAATTGAAATTCACAAAAAAGTTACCAAAATTATCAAAGAAAGAAGGAAGCAGGCTAATATTAATATTCTTGACAAGAATCCTGTTAAAGCTGGAACTATTTCTAACTCTTCCAACTCAGATGAATCAAACCACAAAAATTTGGGTATTGATGCAACAAAAAATAACTCAGAACTTAACCAGCCTAATTTCATTGAAGATAGTGAAGTTATTGTCCCTCTGGGGAATGCTCTAATAGGTAAAAGAGCCTCTATTACTAAATTAGTTGCTCCTAAAATTGATTTTGAGAAATATAAAAATTAAATTGTGTGGCGCCACGCAGGTGCCGCCATATTCCTCACTGTAATATTTATATTGAGAAATAGTTAATTGTAGAGAAAAGAGGTAATTTAGTGTTATAAAGGTGAGGAATATAGATATTAGATTATTTAAGGTAACAAAATATAGATTATATTTAGTAAATTGGCCTTGGATTATTTCTTTGGGAGCCAATTTGGTTGAAACTGAATTTCCCCACTTAAAAATACTTTAGAGCCTTTGTTATTTTGATTATTATAATTATAATTATTATAATTATTAATATTATCATTAAATTTCTTTTAAATATCTTCCAGACCTCAAAGATTTTCGTGTAATAAATGGGAGGTGCCCAGACAAAGCAACTCGGAGGGTTTCGGGTATGTAATTATGGAGAAAATAGTCTGGGAAGATTATTGGAATTGGAAAGAAGCTTTGACTATATTGTGGGGATTGACGGAGTTCCTCTAACTCAAGTTTCGGATGCTTCTCACGACTTTTTTTTAAAAAGATTGAAGGGGGTTGGAAAGTACCAGGTTAAAATAAATATATATAACTCCTTGTCAACCAGAATAAGAACCATAATACTTAATCCATATAAATATAATGAGAAAACCGAAGGAAACACATCTAGTAGGAGATGTTCAACCGAATCTGAAAAGGATGGATTGGGAAAGAATGCATTTGTTGATGGAATTGAATCTAATATGGTTGAATTTGACGCTCCTTTAAATTCTCTGAGAGTTTACCAATTCTTAAGTTATGATGATCGAATTTCTGGACTTGGAATTGGGGTCCATTGGGAAGAGATTTCGACAAAGGGGATTAAAATTGTGAATGTTCAAGATTCATCTCCTGCTCAGGCTTCCGGGTTGATCTCAAATGAGGATTTCATAGTTGCAAGCAGTACATTAATGAGACCTTTCTATTCCACGGATGACTTTTTAGCATTTGTTAAGAAAAATGATAAAGTTTCTTTATCTTTTATTGTATATAATACAGAAACAGAAGTTATTAGGGAGTTATTTATAACTCCAGATTCAAACTGGGGAGGGAAGGGACTATTGGGATGTGATATTGCTGCAGGCCCACTTTATGATATTCCTCTAAGAGAAAAGGAGGTCTCATTTTCAAAACCTCACCATGGTAATATTACATATATAGAAGTAATATCTGAAAGCGAAGATGGACAAGGGCCAATTCGGTATAGTTTAAAAGAAGAAAATGAAGTTATTTCCAAGGATATCTTACAGAAAGAAGAAAGTGAAGACAAAGACATTAGCCAACAGAGTCTTAAGACCCAACTGAATAAAACTTCTAGAGAAAATCTGCTTGTTAAAGATTATTCTTTTGATTTATATAGAATTAAGCAGTCAGAAGAGTCTCAGTTTGATGAAAAACAAGATATCATTGAACAAGCGTTAATCAATTCAGGTATTAATAAGGTTCCAGACTTTTCAGATCATTTGAATAGGGGACCAATAGAAGTCCCAAACATTGAAAATAATCAGGAAGACTCCGAAAGTCACACAGAGTCGAATATAAATACATCAGAATCATTCCTCATTATCTCAGATCTTAATGAGCAAAAAGATTCAATCACTGACTTTAAATCTTCTCCCACCAGCTCTGATGAAGGGCAAAATATCAAAATCAGTACAGAACTTTCCAGCAACCATCAAAACAGTAATCCAACTCAAGAGCAGGGAACCCCAGAAATATTTGTAAATCCAGAAGTAAACTCAAACGAAGTCTACGATTCTGGCTCAGACCACTTAATTTCTATCAGTTCCGCTGAAACCTCCCAACATCAAACTCAAAACCAGATACAGAATTCCACTTATAAAGCAAATTCTCATTGTTCAAATTCCTCTTCAACACAACAAATCTCGGCTGAAGATGTCTCGGAAGAAAAGACCGGAGCTCCCTATTATGTTTCCAAATCATCTTCAGAGCCATTTCCCGCCAATTCCCCCAAATCCGAGGTTAGTTCTGGAATGCATTTGCATGCTGATTTGCATGTTGTGGCGGGAACTGCCCACTTAATTTCTGGGGAAAGTACTGAGAAAAAAGATTTGCAATCAAATTTAGGTTTAGAAAGAGCTAATTGTGAGAATAAAGACCTTACTTGTATTGACAACCATGATATTGATACAGAAGATTCAGTATTAAAAGACCTAAGAGTTAAAGCTGAAGGAGTTTCTAAATCTGAGACTGAACAAAGAGGCGAGTTTAGCTTAGCATTGGAGAAAGAAGATAATGCCACAAAAGTAGAGAATCAGAGTGGACCTGTAAAGAGCCAAAATGATCAAATCAAAGAAATCAATTACGAAGCCAGCAGAATTGGAACTTTAGACTCTTTGGGAGAAAGACACGAAATACAAGAAAAAGACCAGGAACAAATCCCCTGCAAGAATATAGAAATTATGTCTCCCGAAGATGAAAGAGCATGTGAAATTCTCAAAAAGCTAATTGAAATTCACCCAAGACTGGACTACGATCCTCCAGGGACTATAGAATATACGGATCAAGGAGAAATATAAGGATTTAATACTTATTCTATGTATTAATTAATATAAGGCCGTATATTAGATTTGGAAGTTTAGAATGGTAGTTTAAGGTAGTCATGTTAATATTAATTATAAGCTTTCTTCCTTTATATTAAGTAAGGAGAATCATAGTGGAACATATTTCACCCCTTTCTCTTCTCTTTAGTATGGAGTTCAAGTTAGAACGTATGAAGCCATTAGGAGAAGTGGAATTAATTGCTCCAATATTAGTCAGACTTTATGTGTTTATAGATGTAGTGAATAAATACGTAGGAAGTAATGAAGGTGATACATGAAAGTGCCAAGGTTAAAGTATAAGCAATGATTAAATTTGACATTAGGAAAAGCCTGAACTGAATGAATCCATAAATATGGTTAGAGTACGACAGGAAATAGTAAAGTGAAAAGAGGAAGAAGTATACGCATGGAGATAATCCATTAAGGAAAGAGAACCACCACCATTTATAATTTTCGAGGTTAAGCTGGATATAAATGAGAATTATTGAAGAAGTGGAGCCTACAAGGATAAGTAGGAACGTACTTATTGTCAACAAAAGAAAATTGTTATGGTGTTGATTATTATAGAAATAAAAGGGAGTGTAATTCCAGAATGATACAAACAGATAATGTAGCTCCACATATACTGCAGAAAAAGGCAGGATCCCAGAAACAACTAGCTGGAGCCTTTGAGAATTGTACCATTTTTGTCTGGGAATCTGTCTCGGGAGACGGTTAGTTTTACAAGGAAATTTGAAGTATTTCTTGGATCTTCTCTCTCCAAAAAGTCCACCAAGAAAACAAAGAGGCAGTGAGACCATCGAATAGATGGTAAATACCTTAATGGAGGAGTAAATATTGAATAAGTTGGGCCCTGAACCCAAGGTTAGTGATTTAACAGAAATTACCAATAAGTATACTGGTAAAATATATATAAAACAAGTAAGAAAAATGTTGTACTTGAACTTCTTTCCACCCATGGAAGTGTATATATATGATGAGACAAATCCAGAAATGTATGAGGAGATGGTGAATAAAACAAGAAGAAATTTGAGGGTTTCAAGATCAAAAGAAAGGTTTCTGAACATTGAGATGTTGTCAGTGATACAAATAATGAGACCAACAAACAGAATTTGAATTCCATTACCAACAAAAGATGACAAAATCATTCTGTACTTTGGAGATCTGAAGATGTCACCATGTAGCAGTTTCCATCCTTTCATTTCTATAGGATCATCATCAAATGCAAGATTTAGGTCATCTTCTCCCATTGGGAAATACCTCGAAAACTCAGATCTAAGAATCTGCATAAAGATCAGTAGAAGCATCATAATAATCAGAATTGTCAGGAATGTACTATTAAAAACTCCAAGCCATCTTATCATTGGGATCTTTAACACGCCCTTCCCAACCTTTCCTATCGGTTCATTGCTTTTATCAACCCACTTCACGCTGTAGTACATATTAATTAAGGATAGTTTTCCCGATTTATTCAGTTCCAGAGTCTTATCAATATTTATAGTATGTTGATTTCTAGTCTTTACATCCAGTGATGCAATTTCACTACCTCGGTACCCTAATATAAAATCGTAGCCAGTAATTAGAATTGCCTCGTTATTTTCATTAATATAGCCAAGGGTCTTTGCTATTGCTTTATCTTCTACATATATCTCAAAAACGTAATTGTTTCTTATATGATGCCTAATACTATAAAGCTGATCATTTGTTAGACTAATACTACAAAATGATTTGTCATTTTCAGAGAGTCCGAAAACTGCCTTAATAACTTTTAGCTGATCTCCTCTCACAACTTCATTAAATGACATCTCCCCGATTTTCCGGTTATCATGGCATAATGGAACTTTACTATAAAATGAAAACTCTGATGTCACTATATTTTCATCATATTTCCATATTCTATTCATAATTATGTTCACACTGTCTCCATGTTTATAGCCATGTGCAGCCATAAAAATCTGACCTAAAAACAACACCAACAGGACTATCTTCTTCCAATCACTCAATAATATTCCTAGTTCCTTTCTCATCTTCTACATAATAGAAGACTTAACTTTTTCTTATTTTTTTTCTCCCTGTACTAAACAAAACTTAGTGGGGTATCTAATCATAATTGTTCCGAGGCTTAATTTTAATAAATATCAATTTATAATTAAATTATGATTCCTATTTATTTATGTATTAATTTATATTTATATTTATATAATACCTAAATAATTACATTATATTTAAGAGTTGGCGCCATAATTGAATTAATATAATTCCAAAAGCATGTACATGATAATTAACTATTGAATTTTCTATATAAATAAATCAAAGACTAATAACTGAAAAATGTTTTATTTAGGTCAGAAAAAAAAATGAGGATTTCTTAGAATAGTGTCTGGGAAACCAGTTAAACAGACAACTTGCTTTGGCAATGTTAACTTGTGAGAAGAAGCCATGGAGCACTTGGCTAAGCATATAATAGCGAGAAGAAACTCCCTATTTAATTGGACAAAGTGTAGGAAACACAAAATAAGCGTTTCTACCTTTTTTCTGGAATTTACCCAGGGGTAACCCCCAAATTTTGTAATTAAAATCAATTAGAAATCGGAATTATCTTGTTTATGTATTCTAACTGCATATAAAAAATCATTTACCTCCATTCTTTTAGTAGCTTTCAGTTAAATACGACGGAGAAAAAAATCAATTTCTTGTGTGTGTACCATCCTCATGAATTTAACTTGCAATATTAAATGTTTTAAAGCATTAACCGGTACTTCAAATAAAATGCAATTTAACAAAGGCAAACAATGCAAAGGAAGCGAATGAGTAAAAATGGAAATAGAAAGAAGTTGAAAATTTGCAATTTATCCCTCAAAATATTTATTGACTTATTTTCTTTTTAACACATTATTAATGTAAATATTTGAATAGAGGCGCCAAATGTCTTTGAGCGGTAAATAGAGAGACAAAGGACCCTTATATTAAACAATAAGTAACTAAAAAATAGTTATTAAATGTATTATAATAACAAAATAAATAAGTAATAAAGTTAATAATAATGTACTATGTAAAATAATGATTAAGGGAAATTTTTGAGACGTGTTAAAAGTATTATATAAAGAAGAAAATTGTCAAGAACAAGTCTTTAATTTTTTGTATATAAGATATATATTGAATATACAAAAATATTGAGTTCTAGAAACTACAAGACCAGAACTAAGAGAAATACTCAGGTAAAAAAGAGAAGTTCTTTGGTTTGAAGGAACATTTAAAACCAATTATTAAGATTTATATTGTTTTAATAATAGAATAAAAAAATGAAGTCAATGCCAGATCCATCATTACAAATGAAGGTTAACCAATATATGGTTATTGGGCGTGGAAAACCAACCGAGCTCAATCCACATCCTAAAGTTTTCAGAGTCTGCATCTTTGCTCCAAACGAAGTTGTGGCAAAAAGCAGATTCTTCTACTTTATGTCAAAATTGAATAAGGTTAAGAAGGCCAATGGTGAGATTCTTTCAGTTACTCGTGTCTTTGAGAAGAGACCAACATATGTAAAGAACTTTGCAATCTTGCTTCAATACAGAAGTCGTACAAATGTTGTATATATGTATAAGGAGTACAGAGACATAAGTAAGACTGGAGCTGTTAGCCAAATGTATGAGGAACTTGCAGGATCACATCGTGCTCAACGTAGCAGCATTCAGATTATTCGCGTTTCTCAGATTGATGCTAAGCTTGCAAAGAGACCAAAGACAACTCAGTTCTTCAACTCCAAGCTCAAATTCCCAGCTATCAGAAAGTTACCAATGGCTCCAAAGTCTTTACGCTCAACATTTACTGCATCCAGACCAACTACTTTCCAAAAGTAAACAATGAGCAACAGGCCTGAAATTCAAATTACTATTAGACATTTATTTTAGAATATTAATATTATTTTAATATTGAAAAGTTTTTGCTGTGTTTTTGTGTTGGATATTGCCTTTAAATTACTTGAAGGAAATCTTCTTCTTATAACTCTCATTGAATTTTCTATTGTTTTTCTCTTTAGCATAAATTCTCTGGCAGTTATTTCGAAGATAACTCAGAAAAGAGTATCTCGATTTGGGAGTAGACAATTTACCTTTCAATTAGGAAAATTTTGGCATATGTAGAAAATTTATACCTTTATTGCAATATATATTTTTTTTGTTCCATTTTCTTTCCCACGTAATTCACTATTATGCCGGTATTCAGTGCATGCAGAAATGCGAGTAAAGAATAAATATTATTTTAGGCCTAATTCTAAGTAGCTAGTATAATATTAATCTGAAAATTAAAAAATTTAGTGAAAATTTGCTCAGTAACTTATGGATAAGTAAATAATATCAATGTTTTTTTATGAGTTATGGAATAATCCACATATAAATCAATGGGTTTCACTATAATCTTCACAAATAAAAAACAATGTTTCTATGTTTACCTTCAATATAATCTATCACTTTTTAAATTTCTAATTCTGTCTTTAATTTGTTATTCATACATCTCTCTTACTCTTCTTTGATAATATAATGCATTTGCTTGTAATTAACTTTGGGCGGGAACTTTAGATAAAAATAAATGAGTAAATATTTACTATGATTACAAAGGCTGAAAAGATACTCATTTGCAAGTAATGAGATAATGTGTGTGAATTTTTTAGGCTGCTTGAGATAAAAATTCTAATTTGAATGCATCATATCTTATAATATTTAATTAGAAGAAAAAAACTTATTAAAAAGTTAAAATATACAGATAAAAAGAGCCGGGGAACTTGGTAATATGGATGGAGAAAAACTAAGCCAAGATTTGAACTATTTAGTTTTAACTTGGGAGTCAAAGTATGAGAAAAATGATCAGATCTCGAAGGAAAAAGTAGATCCAACCATAAATTATAATCGGAATTCTGAAGAAGCATATCAAGACGAAGATACTGTTTCTCCAATAATTAATAGACATATCCAGGAAATTGAACAGGAAATTCAAAGAATTAACAAGGAAAATGAAGATAAGAGAAAAAGAGAAGAGGAGGAGAAAAAGGAAAAAGAAAGAATAGAACGAGAAGAAAGAGAGAAAGAGGAGTTGAGAATAAAAAAAGAGCAAGAACTGAGATTAAAAGAACAGGAGCTAAAACTGAAGAAGGAAAAAGAAAAGGAAGAAAAAGAAAAAGAAAAAGAGCAAGAGCTTAGACTAAGTGAAACAAAAGAAAAAGAAGAGAAACAAAAAGCAGATGAAGCAAAGAGAAAAGATATTTATTCAGGCCCTTATGACTCCAAAAATATAACAAACTTTGAAATACAAGGGAAAGTGTACATTGAAAAGATAAGTAATTATCAGAACTCCAATGAATATAAGGAGATTATCTCAAGTACAGAAAGTTCAATAAAGTCTACGAGGATGAATATTAAGAAGACAATACAACTTTCGATTAACCAAATATCATCCACACACCAACAGATTTTATCTTCTTCGAAGAGAATCAAGGAGTTACTTTCTGGTCTAAGATCATCTTCAAAATCTATTATTGCTTCCTCTGATTCTCCATCCCCAATGTACAGCTATGGACTATATATGGCAGCATCCCTATTTATAGATCAATGTTGGACTCAGATTTCTGCTTTCCCTGACTCTGTTTGGAGCTATGCATATTCCTGTATTCATATTTTAGATGAAAACAATGAATTCGAAGTGTTTCTTGAGGGTCTAATTCTTACAGAATGTCGAGTATTATATTCAAGTAATCTTGAAGATTTAAAGAAAAGAGAAAATGAGACTGAAGAAAACTTCGGTAAAAGACTGAATTCTATTGTTCGATTTTACTTATCAATCAATATTTTGAGAGGAAACTTTGGTAAAATATGGTTATGGTTTGTAAAGTTACTCAATAAAGAATCCCCAAATAGATTATTTGTATTTGTTGTTTTAGCAGTAATACAAATTGTTCCTCACTTCTTCTTTTCTCAATTCAAGAACCAATTTATGAAGATTATTGATTATATTTTGAAATTTAAATTACCCCAAATATATACATTAATAGAGGAAAACCCCTTTCCGATTAAAGGCCAATGCAAACAACTTGAGGCTATTTTAAATGATCTCAAATCTCCTTCCTGTAATACTCCTCCACCGAATGGTTTCATCCTCAAAGACAAACACTTGGATGTTGAATGTTAAGGTCATTGGAGATTTTCTGTTTCAGAACTCCCTCCTTTTTGTCTTCTTATTCTTTATTCTATATATAATTATTTATTTAGGTTATATTTTATATTATATTTATTAGAGTAATTAATCTTTTTTAATTCGTTTATTTTCTGCCTCTTTTATATATTGAAATTGTTTTATAATCTTGGAGAATGCACTGCAAATAGCATTCTGATAGTGATGCCTCATCAGCTTTGGAATCTTTTGTTAATCCATCCAAAGGTTGAGTATTACAACACATCTGGCACATATCTACAAAACATACGAATTGATCCGTCCATTCATCATTGAGCATATTAATGTTGAATTGGCCTCTTCCTCCACCAACATTACACTTTTCAGAATACAATTTGACAGCATCTTCACTGTGGCAATCTCCAAGTTTCTCTAATACCTTTTTACTTTGTTCATCTATAATATCCTTTTTGTGACATTCTTGCTTACACTTTAATTGTTCCTTAGATGTCCTATTTGAACTGTTTTCACAGCAATATGAACAGTAATTTGCTTCACATTGTTTTCCTCCTGAAAGCTTCTCACAATCCTTCCTTCTCAAAGTAGTATGCTCGGCTTGGCAAGTCATTTCACTATCTTCATAAGAGGTGAAAGTATTAGTAGAAGTACTAGCAGTATTTTTCTCGCTATCTTGAGTGCTGATTTCTTTCCCTGTTTTGGATGATGAATTCTTCTCAACAAACAACCCTGAAATGCTCTTCATTGTTGACAAAGGCCTTAATTGAATAGTCTGGAAAGCAACTCCTGGACACCTGAAAGACGAAAGACCAACAGAACCGTCATGGATACCTAATGGAGAACCAGAATACAACAACTGTGTCTTACCATAATTATTGGTACTTGCAAGAATCTTTGTTCCAAGAGTGCCAAATTGAATCTCAATGTTATTCCAAACTCCAACCTGGTATCCAACAAATACGTTAGATGCTGTAGTTTTAATAACTCCATCTTTGATAGCTCTAATTCTTGAATAATATGATCCCATTTCAAAAATGACATAGTTTGATTCAGATTCATAGTGAATAATTCCTCCGATAATACCATTTGGACATTGTGGGAAGAATGAATACTCAAATACTCCGGAGTTACATTGACGGTTTCCTCCCAATATTGCGTGTGTACCAATGTTATCTGAGCTAATACTGTGAATATTACTTGTTTGGATTAATGATCTAGTTTGTAAACCTCCAACATTTGAACGGAACTCCCAGTTAGAGGGACCATCATTAGAAAATTCTGGGTCTACAAACATAAATTCATTATGTACGCCTCCGAAAGAGCCAGATTTATAACTGCTACAAACTGGAGCTGTTGGGGGAGTGCTTGGTCTCAATAATGATGAAATCATTGTTGGCTTTGTGCATGGTTTTGCTTCAATGTTAATGTTGTCAAAGTAAACACCACCTCCTTTAATGGCACTTGAGAAGAAACCAACAGATCCTGATAATAATGTACTATCATATAAATCAAAAACTTTAACTGGATTAGTGTATTTCTTATTTTCATTTTGTACTGAATTTGCTTCAGTTCCTACCCAGATCTGAATTCTTGAGCCAGTGAGCAAAATTCGAACATGATGCCATGAGCCAGTAGCATAACCACCATCATATTTAGTAGATAAAATACTCTTTTGACCATCCATAACTCTAATCAATCTTTTAAATCCACCATTTTTATTTTGGTTGAACTCTAAAAGATAGTACCTCTCAAAGTTTTGCATTCTGAATGTCAAACCAATAGAACCTTCATAACTATCAACATATACATCGACGTGGTAATCAATATCATAGAATTTCTTATATTTAATTCTTGAGAAGGATCCAATGGCTACATTCCTATCTGGGGTATTTGGGCCAACTGAACTTGTCTGGCCCAAAACTCCGCTTCTCCCTCCTCCACCAATTGGTTCATAAAGAATTCTCCAGTTACCAACTCCATTGACTAATCCTGGGGTATCCCAAGATTCGAAGATCTTTCCGTACTGAATAAAATCACTGATTGGCATCTTGAAGTTGTCAAATCCTGTTTGTGTTGATTTCAATTCACGTACTTTATTTAATAAATCTTCTTGTTCTACTATTGTTTCCAAAATTTCTTCCATATGGTAATATAAAACACTTGAAACTGTATGCAATCTAACTAACATATCATCAGCTGAAGTTCTCGTGTGATAATCCATTATTTGAGTTGGTTTTAACTGACTTCTTACTTTTGAGACCAAAACTTGACTACCTCCAATAGACTCTTTCATTGCTGGAGAATAAGTAATACCTCCAATATTATCCATATATCGTTCCATTCTATTAATTGCTTCAAAAGTATCCACAGCTATTCCCATTCCAAGAGACTTTGCTTGTGGCATTGTGTAGTTACTAGTAATGTTCAAATCTTCATTTCCTTTATTCTCCATTTCTACAAATGAAAGCAACATTGTAAGACTACTATCATTTGGACATAATCCATCATATTTAGAAGTTACAAAGCTCTTTGTCCAACGCTTTCCACTATAAGTAACACTAGAAATGCCATTCCTTCTAGATGCTCCATAGTTTTCTAATCCCTCAATTGGAGTAATCTGAACGAGTCCTGTTGACCTATTTAGAGTATTAGCATGCATTGCCGCTAAACAAATGCTGCTATCATCCCTATATACGTCAGAACCTATGACAACTCCTCCGTTTTCTGGGTTACATGACGTTGGACATTTGACTAGAATTGAAGTCAAAAGAGGAGACGATTTTAGTGCTTTCATATCAGAAAATCTGCTTTCGCAAGCCAAAGAAATTGCGTTACTTTCATGTTTCAAATTAGTATTTGTGCTGCAAAGAACCAACTCTGGAAGTGTTTCAGATGTAGAGTTTGAGGCTCTTGAATCCTTTGATATAACAGTAAATGACTCAACACCACTACCTAATTGAGTGAATTGTGAATTACATCCTTTGGGGTCGTCGCAACCAAAATCGTGAGTCAAAGGAATAACTCTTCTGTTGTCATTAATATTCATCATACTTAACATCTTTTTAATACCTGCAACTGACTCTTTTTTATCTCTTAACAATAATGGTTTTAATCCAACTGTTGCACATGCCGAAGAAGCTGCTCTAGAAGAATAGACACTCATTTCCATTGGATAAATAGTGTTTCCAGTATTCATATCACAATAAACTCTCAAAGGCTTTGTTGAACAAAATGGTCTAACATAATAAAAACCACTAATGGCTTCCTGGCTCTTGTCATTCTTAATCGCAACACAGTCTTCTCCTGGATACAATTCCGAGCCTCCCAAAGCTGGCTTTGTAAACTTATATTCAAGATTGTAGTCTGAAGTTAATTTCTCTAACTTCTCGGACAAAAATCCCAATTTGGTTGCCTGCATCTTTAATGTAGTATCTCTTCCATCTGAGGTCTTTCTGCACGCATCTAAGTTTGGTAATATCGAGGTTATCTTACCAGAAAGCTCTTGTAACTCATTAAGTCGAGTTTTTACACTATTTCCATGTGCTTTTAACAATAGGCCTGGAGCAAAATTATCACCATTATATGGTAATGGGAATATTTTGTCTCTACCATCATTATGTTGTTTAACGCTATTACAGTCTTCGACAGCACTTCTCATTGTATTACTAAATATTCTCACCTGCTTGATACCATATACATATTTTCCTGTTCCATCTTGAGATGGGGCTGTCATGTGAATCTTGATATATCTCGCCTTCTTTCCATCTAATGAGTAAGTCGTTGACATTAAACCATTATTATTTACAGAAATAAGGGTTTGATATTCTTTTCCATTTTCACTTAAATCAACATTAAAATCAATAGCAGGATATTTCCACTCAATAAAGATATCTTTGAGTTTTGTAACCGAACCAATATCAATACTGAAGTCAACATTTGGTGAATCTTTATCAAGAGTAAAGTACTCTGATAACCAGAATGATGTATCTTTTCCGTCAACAGCCATTGCTGGCCCATTCTCAATATTCGATTTGATTACGCTTGTGGAACTTGCTGCAGAGTTCAAAGCAACATTTGCCAATCCTGGCTTATCACCTGGACTTGTTAAACAGAGATTTCCACCTCTAACTAATCTGAGCTGATTATTTGGCATTAACTCGAATAATCCACTTCCATCACTAGCCTTACGACAATCATCCAAAACTAAAGCTCCTCCACCTACAATATTGTCCTTAAGTTGTACACACAACTTACTTACTGGGTTAAATAATTGGCCCTTGCTATTAAACTCAAAAATTTCTCTACTATCTCCAGAAGCCACTGCCTCAATACAACTTCCTAATACAAGCTCTGCACCCTTTGAATAAATGTCTCCATTTTCAATCTGCCAGCAAAACTCCTCAGTCATTGATGTTATACCACTTGTTAATTGTACAACTGGAGCACCAACAACTAATAGACCAGTGAAATTAATTCCAAAGAATTTATTAACAGGGTTTCTCATACCAATTCTAACTCTTATAATACGAATTGGCTTTTCTTTGAAATACAACTTCTGTTCAAATTCTTTGGATGATAACCTATTTGTGGTCCAATCCACTGCTTGCTCAAAAGTAATACCATCTCTTGAAACGTCAATACGAACTTCCCCTGGAGAAGAAGCCCAGTTAATTACAATTCCTGAAACTGTTCTAGGCTCAGAAAGAATTCCTGTAAAGTATACTATATCTTTCTTGATTGCATTTCCATCTGAAAGCCAGTGATTAATTCCTCTTCTAATACCATTTTCTGGTAAAAATAAATCTCTCCCATCTGGACCATAGCTATTGTAATGGTTATCAGCCACAGCCGAAGTTAATGGTACTATAAATAGTTCTCCAAGTTTTAGTGGATTATAAGCTTTAGATAAGGAAGATGTTGCTAACGGTACATCCTTATTCTTACTTACATCCGCCTCGTACGCTTCGCTCAATACTTGAGTCTCATTCAATTTCTTTGTATCATTTGTTTTTTCCAAATTCTGAGAATCAACTAGGGATTTCTCAAATTCCTTCAAAGTTGTTCCCAAGATTGATTCTAATATACCTCCTTCATTTTTACCTTCTATTAATGATATTCCAAAAAATAGAAAAAAGGCAATCAACCAATCTAACCTTGTTTTCTTCATATTTTCTAAAAAATACTCCCTACTCTTTTTCAATAATCTGCTCTAACTAAATTTAAAAAAAAAAAAAATTGTTACATGCTTTTTTTGACCTGTCCACATGCATGCACATGTAAAAATTAACTTGCCAATGTGCATGCGCAGTAATATATACCGGTAAAATGCAAATTAGATATAACAAGAAATTAATATAAAACGGAATAGCGTTTTTCTTTGAAAATCACATAAAAATAAATGCTATTAAAACTTTTCATAAATTATTAAATATAAAGTCTAATATAACAGTTAGTGGGCTACTAATTTACATAATTATATTTTGGGTATTGTCTAATATAGGGAAAATACTAATTTCACCGAATGGTTCTTCCTGCTTGATATCTATCATAGATTTTGACTTTAAATGTAGTATTTGGACAAAAATGGGAGCTACTACTGAGGCATCACTGCCTATAACTAAATCATCAAAACTTAAACGGTCAGTCTTTAAAAACTTTGAATTCAAGTATTGCATTGTTTTTACTTCCCTCGATGAGAATAGTGATCGGATCTTCCTTTCGTCATCATAGTAGGCATTCGGAGATATATCTGTAATATTTCTTTGTTCAGTAGCCATATAATTTGTCCAAGGAGTGAAAATTAATTCGTCCTTCTCATTTTCATGAGATTGAGAATTTTTCCTTCTCACAGGAGTTCTTATTTCAAATTCCTCATTAGGATTTTGCTCTTCAGAACCAAAATTTTCAAAAATTTCCTGACCAATGTGATCTCCGGAATTTTCAAATGAAAAACAATTTTCCATTAAAGAATTTGGTGTTTTCTCAACAAATCCCATTTCAAACGACGATTTGTTACTTTTTTGGATGACTCTTTTTCTTATATTTCGAACTTTAGACTCTCCATTATTTGTAAATCTTTGAAGGTAGCTACCAGAAAGACGTATTGGTAGAATTTTGCTAAGACCCAAAACACCCACTTCTGAATTCTTGCTTAAATAAATTATATTTTTCAACTTCTCAATATCAGATTTGCTATTAGAAAAAACCAGTTTTAGAGATTCATCCCCATTTTCCAAAGGTCTAGAATAAGTTACAGTATCTTGAGCAATGTCAATCACTTTCATCCTCTTTGTTCTCGCTCTTCCAGAATAAGCCTCACTAACCTTGACTGACCTTGATATTTCTGGAATAGTCAAAACCGAGATACTACCTGATTTCGGGCTTTTATCCAAAATTTTTTCAGAAACTGCTGAAATACTCAATCTGTTTTCCGAATCTTGAAGTAAATCTAAGGCAGCTGAAAACCCTCCAATACTTTCTCTGTTCGATCCAGAAATAGAAGAAGTTCTAAAAGTGTTAATGCTTCCCCTAAATTCTTGGTGACTATCCATATCAAGCAAGTCTTCTTGACCACCATATTCTAAAAGTTTTCCTCTTTCAGTTGAACCAATTTCTTCTAACCCATTTGCCAATATTTCACCAAAATCCACACTAGCACCACGACGTCTTTCTATACTCGCTTCCAAATCAATTTCCACTCCTGCTTCGTTAACTATCACTCTATCTTCTATCATCATCTCCACATCTTCTTTCTCTTCATTGTTAATGAAATCATCAAATTCCATATCCAGTATGATAGGTGCTGAATCCATGTGGCACAAATTATGGTCACTTCTTTGGCTTAATATCAACTCCAAGTTCTGATTTCCACTCTGTTCACTTGTTTGGGACAATGGAACCATTTCAAGCTGATCGATCACATCCTCATTAATACTATCCAGAGTTCGATTTATTTCTTCAATATCTATCACACTTTTGACTTGTCTCATACTATTCTGAGGCCTATCTATTTTTGAATTGGATGTTTCCTTATTTAAGGCTTTACTAGAGGTCGAATTATTCGCACTGCTATGCAAGTTTTTGCTAAAATTTTGCATTCTTGTAAATATAGTTGTACATTTGTTGTCGAGATACTCAACTTTATGGTAAAAAAGTTTCACCACTCCTGACAATAACCCACATGAAATCCTCAATGGAACCCATTCATTTTCCGAGTTTGTGATTTTAATAATCTCCTGAACACTTTCATCTATATTAATGCTCATTAATTGTTTTTTTTTAATTCTCTTCTCAAAGTATGCTGTTAACCACAAATTCACTAAAATCTCACTCTTTACATACTTTAAAATAGAAAACTCCCCTATGGAAGCCTCCTCAACCGTATGAGTATTTTCCAAACTCATTTTCTATTGTAAAAAAAACTTTACCAGCCAGGGACAAAGCTAACTACTATTTTATCTAACTTATTCTCGTTCAAAAACTTGTTAATTAATTATAGGCAAGCTTGGACTTGGTTACACCATCTGCATCCTATAAATCCGTTCCTCAATCAAGTAGAGGCATACAAAATATCTAATAATTCAAGGAATAAAAAAAAGACCATATATCAATTGTCTCCTTTAAAAAATAACTTTTTTTCCACACTAATATTGTATTATTTCGCTCAATGTTAGTGGAACAAAATTACATAACCCACACATGCCCGCCTTAATTTAATAAATTTTGACTATATACAAAAAATAAAAATAAAAAAGCCTATATTTTGAAAAAATTTATTAAAATATGATGGTCAAAAATAAAAACATGCTGTACAATATATCAAATGATTTTTCTTCTTAAGAAATATTCAATTATTTGAGCTAAGTTTTGCCTTTTTGTTCTGTTCTGTAGATGTATATCTCTAACAAAAACTTTCTCGAAAATAAACGCACATTCACAAGCTGAAGGTCAAAAACTGCATCTCATTTCTCACCTAAATTAAATTATTAAACTGAATAATTGTTTAAAATCTTTATAATTTCAATAAATTAAATATTTGTCACAACATTTATTAGAATGATTATCGGTATTAATTAGTGAGGTGCATGCAAAAATTGGGCGGGCGATGTGGGGTGTGCAAAGTGTGTTAGTAATGTTTTTTTACATGTGGCAGATACCAACACGTGAAATATTGGTTAATAGAAAAGGATTTATTAGAAAAATAGAGTTTTTAGTTCACTTTCCGATAGTGAATTATTATTTTTTTCACACTATAGGTAAAGTTGAACAGCAGATTACGCCAAAAGTTCTACATATCAAGAAGGGCTTATGTTGTGGCAAAATTAAGTGGATAGGAGGTAAAGAAGGCAAAGGATTAACTTATTGGCATTTGGCTCTTGCTTAGAAGGAAGAGATTAATTTTTTGTAATAGTTTATATGGGTTTTGATTCAAGAAAAAACATAACACAAGAGGTTAAACACTTAATTTGAAGAAATGCAACAGACAACAGTAATTAAATCCAAAACGACAAGTTATGTAGTTTTGCAGGATTTAGGAAGTGGCACTTATGGAAGAGTTGTGAAAGCTTATGACCAAAATAACCCCACTCATTTGGTGGCGATAAAGCTATTTCACCTTGAAGAGCACGAAGATGAGGGAGTTCCAGCCACATCTATTCGTGAATTGGATATATTACGTACTTTAAACCACCCAAATATTGTTGACTTATTTGAGGTCCATTATAGCAGGCCAACAGATGGCTCACCATTATTAATGGGAGTTTTTGAGCTTTGTGCGCATGATTTGAAGAAGCATTGTAAAATTCACACTCAGCAATTGAGAGATAGGTATCCCGATTTGAAGAATCCCATTGCAGAACATACCGCATGGGCAAAAGAGTTGATGTTTCAGTTGCTGAATGGAATGGCGTATTGCCATGCTCACAATATAATGCATCGTGATTTAAAACCACAAAATGTACTTATGGGGTTGGATGGTGTTCTCAAGATTGGTGATTTTGGTCTTGCCAGAGCCTGCAGACTACCAATACCTGAGTATACCCATGATGTCCTCACTATGTGGTATAGAGCTCCAGAAATTCTATTGGGGATTGACAAATACTCTCCTTCTGTAGATGTATGGTCTGTTGGGTGTATAATGGCAGAACTATTAAGAGGTGGTCATGCGCTGCTTCCTGGAGAATGCGAAATAGATATGGTCTGGAGAATTTTTAGGTACTTTGGAACCCCAAGTGAAGAAACTTGGCCTGAGATTGGCAAACTCAAGTATTTCGATAAGAATTTCCCCGTTTGGACTTGCAATGTAAAGGAGAATCTTAAAAATCTATGTAAATTAGCCGACGCTTCCGCTATTGACTTGCTCTCCAAACTACTAGTATGCAATCCAAACAAAAGGATATCATGCAAAAATGCTCTCTTTCATTCATGGTTCGATGATATAGATAGATCGAAATACGTTATGTGGGATAGTAGAGTTGTTCTTCCGTCTCCAAGAAACATTAATACAAGGTTTACTGAAATGATTAATGATGAAAACGTTCAGCAGAACAATCGAGTTAATCGTAGGTCTGTGACTAAAGGTGTTTCTTCCGATAAAAGGAGAAGAGACTCAGATAAAAGAAGTGCCAAGCCAACAGTTGTTGGGACTATATTGTGATTTAGGATATTCCTACTATAGGGAGTACTTTTAAAACTTACCAAATAAATATATATAGCATACAAATTACCTTAATTAACTATTAGCATAAAATGATTAATCTTGAAAAATTGAATTATAGATTTCTCCAAGTTTCATAATTATACTTGGGGTTCTTATTTAATTATTCTTGGATAGTGAAGATCAAAGATTTCGATAAACAAATAATAAATGCTATTCGAAAAGTTCAATTGCAATTATATTTATTGAATAAATATCAAATTATGGATCAAAGTCCTAAGATTCCTGATTCATCTTTTTTTTTGTTGGTATCTCTGTTTTTGGCTTTAAAGCCAGTTAGTTATTTAAGTGTTTGATAAAATTAATTAATTAATTAGATAGGAATTGAGAAACCTGGGTAGTTACTCTTTTAGCACTTAGAAGAGCTCCCTGAATAGAACCGAACCCATCGACAGTAGTTCCATCTCCTGCAAAATACAGATGCCCCTCAAAGTGTGGCTTGATTAATTGATTAATGTTAGTCTCCTTGCTGTTGTTTGAGTGGATTGGAATGCTTCCTAAGTAATAGGGGTCATCCTTCCAGCTCTTAACAGAGAAGTCTACCAACTCAATTTCGAGTTCTTTCGGAACAATCTCCTTAAGTAATTCAAAGCAGATGTTAGCAAGTTCTTGGGAGCTCAAAGATTCGGAATTTGGAGTAAAATCAGATTCTGATCCTCTATTGAAGGATAGCTTTTCTGCTAAAGGAGCAGAAATACCACACATAATTGTGTTTGGGATATCTCTATGGGTGTACATGGTTATGGAAGGGTGATCTAAATGGTGGATTTTATCTGCAAGACTTGAAAAGTACATGTCAAGCTCCTTGTCGCATTTAGCGGAATTTGATGTTAAGGATGATGGAGAGCTAGAGATTATGTTGCTGTTTGTACTTGGAGTAGAGCCTGAGTTTGAAAGAATTGGAGTAATATTTAATTTGAGGAATAATTCTGTGTAGCTGCTCATATCCAATAGCTTAATAGATCTTATGGTCTCATAAGGTAACGATGGAATGAACTTAATGGAATTCTTTGATTCTGATATCTTAGAAACTTGGCCTTGAAGCCCATTTACCTGACCAGAATTATTCTCAGATGACTGAAAACTCTTCTTTAATACTCCTATAGGAAGAGTACAAATAACACAGGATGAGCTGAACCATGTTCCATTACTAACTCTAACATTAACCTGGTCTGTCTCGCTATTATACAGTATGTCAGATACTGGACTATTAAAGTGGATATTATTAAGTATATCATTATTTTGGATTAGCTTTTGTAGCTCACAGTCAATAAGATCACATTCATCAAAGCTTCTTTCAATAAGGGATTCTTTCTGTAGTTGGACATAGTGGAGAATATTAGCAGGAGTTTTGAATCTTTCAAAGTTGTTTTTTGGGTAACACCAATACTCTCTCCAAGGGAGCTCTTCAAACCCCACAAATCTCGGTAATCTTTCCCAGTAAAACTGTTCTATGTTTTTGAAAAGATTTTCTCCATAGTCTCCACATGTTACTTTTTCAATGTATTTTTTTGAAGATGTGGAAAGATTCTTTATATTTAGCCGTTTCAAGGAAAGTGGTAGACAATAGTTGATAAGAATCCACCTCCAGTTTACTGTTTCCCCAAATTCCTTGATTCTCTGAAGCACAAGTTTTGCAGGATTAACTTTTTCAAAATATTCATTTCCACTTTTGCACATAAATTCTTTGATAGGAGGCTCTAGAACTGCTGAAAGAGGATGAAACATATCAATTACAACTTCTTCAAGCAGCTCAACAGAAAGTCTGATTAGTTCATTTGCAATTGAAACAGTTTCTTCGGAAAGCTGAATAACAGATTCTTCCGTAATTTGATCGTTATTCTTTTTCTTCTCTGTTTCTCTGTAGTTCTCTTTAGAGTCTTTTTTTTCCCTGTAAAAACATATTTCACTTGAAAGTCTTTTTTTGTGGTTTGTCCATTGACTATAACTGGAAATTCGCCCAAAAGGAATATTTTGGGCTTCTAGCACAAGGACATTGAGACCCTTATTGAGTAGGGTCTCTGCAGACTTGAGACCAGAAACTCCAGCTCCAATGATTATAACATCATATGTTTTGGAAATTGCATTAGTTCCAAGACCAGCTTTTTTTTGAAACTTCTGGCAGTTCTCGTCTTTATCCATTGACCATACAATCCAAGGAGCAAGGAAGTATCGCTGCAAAGTTTGAGGAAGAGAAAGCCAAGTTAACAATTTTGGGAAGAACGCCTTTCTCATTGCTTTCTCAGCACCATAATATTTAAGAGCATCGAGGTCCCACCTTCTTCCAGCTTCATCATAGGTCTCAAATGGGCCGTAGACTCTCAACATCCCATTTTTTGCAAATTGTGTATAGTAGCCAAGCTTGTTTCCTATTTCACCATAGAATATGTTCCTATCATATGAACAAGTTACCTCTAAGCTTTGCCCAGTTTCAAGCTGACAATAAGCTTCCCTTCTGGATTCTAAGATCCCTCCAAATTCTACAACGCTAACAGAGCCATAAGGAGTTTTCCATTTCATGTTGTACTTGTCAAACTTGATTAGTGGAGTATTTGATGGCAAAAGAGAACAGAAATCGTGAATAAAGTGAGCAAACTTATCAGTTGGCTGGGCAGTTAGATGTTGACACAGAGCACAGACGAGCTCCTCACTTAAGAAATTGGCAGCTATAGGACTACATGGATTGCTGCTTTGGATATATAAAATACATAATTTACAGAAAACTCTTCCACATGCAACACAATTGACAAATCTTGACTCGTTTTTTGTATCTTTACATCCATTTTGACGAATATTGGCCTGCTTTTGAAAGCAAATTGCGCAGGATCCGTCATTAATACTGCTTAAAATGAATCTTTGTTGATTTTGAAGTATCTGGTTTCCTCTATGAATTCTTCTAGGAACTATTGCAGAGTAGCTTTCTCCAAGGGCAGTAATCATTAGCGGAGCTGATTGGTAATCCTGATCTCCCGTCTTTATATTAACAGCCTTAAATTCCAGAGCAACAGCTCGACTCTCAAAAAAGCCGCCATGTTGTTTAAAACTAAAGTGTTTTCTTTTCCCATCTTTTCTTCTTCTCCAACATCCCTGACGCTTTCCACTCAGTTCAATATGTAGTCCATTTCCATTCATCAAACCACTTCTTACTTTTCTAAGAAAAGTCAGGTCTTCAGAAGTATGAAATGCCCAATGCCATTCTATTGGAGCTCTTGGGTTGACAGAATTTCGCTGATTATACTCATTTTGGTATTCACAGATAATACAGGTACTTAGCTCCAGGTTGAATAGAAGTACATCATGTGCTCTGGAAAACTGTAGGCAGGGATTACAAACAGATCTTCCACATGTTTCAACAATACATGTAAATCCTGTAACGTCAGAGTTACTGGGACATGTTTTAATCGAATTGATATCAGAATAAATTTTACTCCCAAAGCTTGATCTCAAAATGCTACCACATGAAAAACATATTAATCCTTTTTTCATCATATTTAAGAATTGTGAGTGAAATCTAATAGAAGAGTTATTTCCAATTCTTTTCTTATCTTTAGCGTTTTTATGAGATTCTGCATTCATTACACAGTTTTTGATGCTGTTATTCTCTTGGTAGTAGCTTGAAATTAGTCCTTCAAATTGATTTTTAATTCCTCTGGTTTTGTATGAATCTGATATTTGCATTAAATCATTCTCTTTATAATTTCTTCTAATTGATGTTTGCTCATTAATTCTGTACCAAAACTCATTTTTTGTTTCCCCCGGTGTATTATTCATTATTCCAATTCTCAGGGATTTTCTCTTGTTTATCTTTATTTGGTATTCAACTTTTTTTCTCCTCTTTCTCTCCTTTTCAATTTATCTCTTAGCTTCCAATTAAATCTATCCTATTAACTAATGACTTTTTAATTGAAACCAACTATTCAGATTTACCTGCTTGAATAAACTTTGATTGTAATATACAATAATAGAAATTGTAAAACTAACAATAATTAATTGTAATCAGTCCTTAACTTTAATTCTTACAATATTCAATTCATTCAAAAAATTCAAACCTTTGTCTCTTCTAGTCAAAGATTTAAATATTTTTTTTGCATGCTAATTAATAACATTTTTCTAAGACTTGCATTAGAAAATGTGGGGCATTTAATGACAATTTTCTGCATGTAACGCCGGCATCGAGTGTTGTTTGGGCGCCAATAATAAGTATGGAAAAAATATGTAAAAGTTGAATTCTGAATTGTATCTAAATCAAGTAAATTCACCAGAATTAAATTAAGTCACTTTAAGCCATATTTAATAGTTTTGACTTGATTGCATTTTCTTTTTCAGTTACTTTTCGTTTTCTTTTAGAATTTTTTGGAGCAAACTTATTTTGGAGAAAAGTCTATTTTTAGCGCCCTTAATATATTTATTTTGCAAAAACAATTATAATGGGAAATTGAACCAGGAATTATCAGTCAATTTAAAAACAACTTAGAGAATAAATATTCTTTTTAAATCATTATTTAGGGTCCAAAGGAATACGTTGATTTGCCGATATTTTTGAAGTTTAGATTTGATTAATCAGTATTCTTGCTTAAAATGAATACTATAGTCAAAGGCTTCTATAACAGCATATTTAAGCAGAGTAAAAGATTGGAGGAGGCAAGAGGTGCATTTAGAGAAGGAGATGTTGAAAGATCAATGTAAGTTTTGTCCTTCTATTTGTTTAAAAACCTATATCTAATTTTAATTAATTATTTCCACAAATTTAGTTTAGTGCACAAAGAATATACTCATACAGAGGAGCACCTTGGTGCACAGAGTGAACTACTTAAGGTTATAGTTTTTGGAGGTCTTGATGGAATTGTCACAATATTTTCGTTAGTTTCTGGTTGTGTTGCTGCCGGATTTACAACAATTCAGCTTCTTACGATTTGTATGGGTAGCCTTTTAGCAGATGCATTCGCTATGTCTGTTGGAGAGTATGTTAGCTCCAAAGCTGAAAAGGATTTCGTTAATTCCGAGGAACAAAGAGAAAGATGGGAAGTCGAAAATTGCCCTGAAGAGGAAATAGATGAAATGTATAATATATACCTTTCAAAGCACGGGTTTTCTCCAGAAGATGCACGGAAAGTTGTCGATTTAACATTCAAATACAAGGATTTCTTTATCTCAAATATGATGTTTGAAGAGCTGGGATTGGTATTCGAACCTGGCGGCTCCTCTCAACCTTCTTCGCTAAAAACTGCCACTTTCATGTTTTTTAGCTTCTCTTTATTTGGGCTCATACCAATGGTCTCTTTTGTATCTTTTAAATACATATTTTCCTTATCAAGTCTACTTGACCGTCATTCTCAAGTACTTTCTTATACTACAGCTTGCATTTGCTGTGCTCTTACACTATCCATTTTGGGATATATCAAGGGGAAGTTCTGCAGTATGCCCCCTGTAAAATCCGCATTAACAATGCTTTTTAGTGGACTAATATCAGGCATTGTCTCTTATTTTGTTGTAACCTTTGTTACATACCTTACAAGTTAATTTGCATTTTCAAAGTGAGGTGGAGCGTTGCCCGCTCCCGCCCAAACAGTCTATTAGGGATTTTTTGAATTAGTTATTTTGAGTACGATTATAATTTTATTCTAAATCTTTGCTTATTTCCTAAAGCTTAGATTCATTCAAGTTTATCTATGCTGTTCATTTTGATCTTTATTCCTTGAGATTTAGGATACAATGGCTCCCATATCGAAGCGTCCAAACTCGAAATCTAAAAATGAAAGTTCAAGATTTGTAGGTTCTACTAAAAAAATAAGGACGAACAAAAAAGATTTTGATTCTGATAGTACTCTAAGTGACTTTGATAGAGAAGTAACTGGCTCTACCTTGAAATCCTCAGATGTTTATTTTAAATGGATGCAATTTGTCCAGAATGACTTTAAAAACAATACAATAGAGCCTTTAAAAGGAGAAAGTGATACTGTTAAGGAAGTTAAAATTTCAAACAACCATGAAGAAGAATCGTCTGAGGAAAGTCAGATTGAAATGATTTTTACTGAAAAACAACGAGATTACTTCACTGATTATACTAATGAAGGTATACAACAAATTCCCGAAGCTATTTACAAGGTGAATCTAGAAACCAAAGAAAGCAGTGAGAAAGAGATAGTAAGTCTTCCAGGATTTAGTCCGTTTAAGTTGGAAAATGTTCAGAAGTCTGAAAGAATTAGAATGATTGAAAAGTCAATATTGAAAACTCCTAAACTAAGAAAAGGAAAATTAATTTTAGATGATTTTCAATTAGAACCCAAATTTGTGCAAAACTGGAAAAAGCATATAGAATCTTTTGGAACACTGGATTCTCATGAATTAGAAGAGCTCAATATTTTTTTTGCGATTATTAATGGTTATATTGATGTAGAATATTCAAATTTAAAAGCAATTACTTCTCCCTGGGTAATATCACTTTGTATATTACATATAAGCAAACATATATATAAATCCAGGCAACTTGTAATGAATAACAACTCAAATTTACAAGAAGCCATTAAGGATAAGGCCAATTCAAATATCGACCACTTGGGAGATGATAGATTTAGAGATCAAGGATTTAATAGATGCAGAGTTTTAATTTTGTGTCCATTTAAAGGGATTGCTAAACAGTTTGTGGATACTTTGGTGGCGATATTACCCCATGGAAAAGTTGTAAGAGGATATGATAGATTTGAAGAAGAATTTGGATTTCCTGATAATTCTTCAGAGAATAAAGAAACCAATAAAGAAAGTAGTGAAGAGCTGAATGAAGATCAGAAAGTTGAAAATTTCAATTATCAGAACGACCAAAGTATAGAAGAGAAAATTGGCAAAAACGATGAACTCTATAGGTATCTTTTTGAAGGTAAAGACAATGATGATGAATTTAAGCTAGGTATTCAGCTTACAAAATCTGGGATGAATTTATATAGTTCATTTGATAATTCTGATATTATTATTGCTTCTCCACTGGGTTTGAGGAGAGTAATGGGAATAAGTGAAGCCGAAAAAAAACCAGATGTTTCATTTTGTTCAAGTATTGAAATTTGCTTAGTTTTCGCAGCTGATGTGATTTTCATGCAAAACTGGGATCATATTCTTGACATATTTAAAATAATGAACAAGCTTCCTAAAAAATCACTAGGGAACTGTGATATTAGAAGGGTGTATCATGCATTTCTGGATGGCAAATCAAAAGAGTTTAGACAAACAATAATGATTTCTACATATAGAATGGAAGATATTAGTTCTTTAATCAGAAACCAGACACAAAACAGAAGAGGGTTTATAAGATTATGGAAACCACTAGAAAAAATGATAGGCTATACGGAAAAGAAATTACCATTATATAATGCACCCAAATTAGTGGAAGGTATTCAACAAATGTTTATTAAAACAGGTGATTCAGGTTCGCCAGAGGATTCATTACTTAATTACTTTAGCTCAACTCTTTATCCTGATATTCTGGCTGCTTTGGATGGGAAAACTCAAAGAGTTCTAATTGTACTTTCAAACTATGTTACATATTTGAGGGTTAGAAAATATCTTCTTCAACAAAACGCGATCTTTGCCTCCTGTAATGAGTCTACATCAAATGCATCTCTTTCTAGAAATAGATTTGCATTTTATAAAGGGGAGCTTCCTATTTTAATAACTACGGAAAGATTCTTATTCTTTAGGAGATACCTTCTTAAAGGCGCAACAAAAGTCATATTCTGCGGTCCACCAATCTACCCAAGCATTTATCTGGACTGCATTCAAAGTATTAACTTTTCACAAGGACCAGATAAAAGTAATCCAAAATCTTCTGCTCCATTGGCCATTACTCTTTTTCACTGGCAAAATTCTTTGGCATTGGAAAGAATTGTTGGCACATCAAAGTGTTCAAGTTTGATTCAAAATGCAAAGACATCCAAGCCAGTAATATTTAAAATATCAGTATAATTATTCTATCTTTTAGATGCATACAAAGTATGAAGTTTTCTCACCAATGCTCTTTGATCTTCATCCTTTTCTTCTGTTTCTAGTTTTCTATTTCCTTCCAGTATTTTCTTAATTGAGATCTCCTTCATTAAACTAGAATTTCTGTTTCTAATATAGTTGTATCTTTGAGGAATACTAATTACGCCTTTAATTGAATTTGAAGATCTTGCCGTGTTTGTAAGATTAGTTGAGTTCGATTTTGGAGCGGGATTTGATTTAGTTTCTGAACTAATTTTTAAGTCATCCATAGAAAATCTGACCATTCTATCTGAATTGATTCTTCTGCTGACCGTATGTTTTGGAGAAAGGTTGTCTTGTTCTGAATAATCATCCGAGTAATCGTTAGATTCCTCACTATCTGACTCTTTTTTATGAGAATTTTCATTATTTAAATATTCAGAATTCTCATAATTAGAATCAGCATAGTTTTTAGGAGCCTCGTAATCTAAATTTTCGTAGGTAGTGGAAGTAGACACATTTTGAGATGTAAGAACAGATTTTGCATGTAGTGAATCATTATCACGTTCAACCATTTCTACGGATGTCGTTTTAGTCAATGAGTCATTATCTAGAGTTTCTCTAAATATTATTTCAAGTATTTTCTTTTCTTCAGACTCGATTGTCCTTAGAGCACTTTCCAAAAGCTGTAATTCCTCTTTATGAAGTTTGATCAGATCCCTAATAGCATTTTTCTGTACAACACACATATCATGACGCTTCTGAAGCATTGAGATTTCAGTTTTGACAGAAACTAGGTCATTCTTTTTGCTGGCCACGTTTTCCTCTGGAATAATTGGATGAGTTTTATTCAATGTTTTTGCTTTCTTGATTAATTCTTCAAACTGCTCGGTAATAGTCTTAGAGCTTTGCATCCTAGTCTATGACACTCAAGCAAGCGTACTTGTAAGAAATTATTTTAATTTTAATGAATTGGCCATAACAAGTTTTAAAGATTTTAATTCGTTATTTTTCGTAATTATTTTTTATACATGCAAATTAGCTGTCATCCTCTTATTTTTTGGCGCCTAAAACTTAAAAAGTTGTTATGTCAAAAAAAATTAAAGAATTAATAGTGAACGAAAGATACCGAGATTTAGAGCTTTGATATTAGTTTTAAGATGAATAAGAGTTCACTTTGGTATTTAAGACCTGATGAGTACTTGAATCGTTTCTTAGAACAAGGAGTAAGGTGCGATGGAAGAAAACCTGAAGTTTGTAGGAATTTTAAGCTAGAATTGAATAAGCTCAGTTCTAATCACTATGGAGCTATCTCAGTTAGAATAGGAAACTCATCATATATTGCCTGTTGTAATCCTCAAATAATCCACACGGGGTTTGATCAAGAATCGAATAATGTCATTACCAATTCAAGAATAAATGTTTCTTTAGAACTTCCAACAATATGTGGATTTACGGGAAACTCTAATCACTCAAACTTTGTCTCAAATACTATCACTGAGTGTCTAAATGATACCCGAATCATTAACAAGAAGGCTTTTATAACCAAATTTCAGGATAAAGAGATACACTGGGTAATTGACATTAATGTGGTTTGTTTATCTTACGATGGAAACCCATTTGATTACACATTAATTGCAGCTATTGCTTCTCTTTGTAACACTTCTCTGCCTGAAAACCTTATTTGGGATGACACTTACAATTGGTTTAGATTTTCCTCGGAATCTATTTCTAAAAATGAGGTTAGGAAGGAACACAAGATGCAGGATACTTCTGAATTTTTTCTTAAAAAAGTTCCAATATTCGTTTCTTTTTCATACCTTAATGACAGCATTTGGGTTTGCGATCCAAACTATATGGAGGACTCAATAGGAAGCACAGTTACTATTTGTTGTGTTGATGATCAAATCAACACTTTACAAACTCAATGTATTAGCAAATACACTCCAGGGAGGTTAAAAAACGATCTGAGTCAACTTATTGCAGTTGCCTCTAAACGAGCAGATGAAATAAGAGCATGCCTATTAGGAAAATAAGTTATTACAACGCTAAACTAAAAGTAGAATTATAGCTTACAGTTAGACGCCACAAATGTGTAATTATATAAATATCTAAACCCATATCTACCTAATTGCATCGAATCATCTTTTTTCCGTTTTTTCACATCTTTTAAAAATAACAATTTTTATTAAGAGACCCAGTACCAAAATGCCGGTACAAGAAATCATAATATGTTGCCGCCTAATCATGTGGGTGTAAGACAGAATGTTACTTGAGGCCTATAAAAGGTAAAAATACACAACCCTGGTGTAATCTATAATTAAAAAAGATTTTTAGTGGAAGATTGCCAATCATTTAGAAAAAAAATGGCAGCTCAAGCACCCGAATTTAAGCTTGCATTAGTTGGAGATGGAGGTGTTGGTAAGACTACACTTGTTAAACGCCACTTAACCGGAGAGTTCGAAAAGAAGTACATACCGACAATTGGTGTTGAGGTCCACCCGTTGAAATTTAACACGGACTTTGGCCCATTAATATTCAATGTTTGGGATACTGCAGGCCAAGAAAAATTCGGAGGACTTAGAGATGGTTATTATATAAAGGGACAATGCGCTATTATTATGTTTGACGTTACATCCAGAATTACATATAAGAATGTTCCGAACTGGCACAGAGACATTGTTCGTGTTTGTGAGAACATTCCAATTGTTTTGGTAGGAAACAAAGTTGATGTTAAGGATAGACAGGTTAAAGCGAGGCAAATTCAGTATCACAGAAAACGTAACCTTCAGTATTACGATGTTTCTGCTAGAAGCAATTACAACTTTGAAAAGCCATTCTTGTGGTTAGCTAGAAGATTAACAAATCAGCCGGCTTTGCAATTAGTTGGTCAGCATGCAAAAGCTCCTGAAGTTAATATTGACCCATCTCTTGTTGCTCAGGCTGAGAGAGAATTGAGTGAGGCAGCAAATGCGCCAATTGAAGATGATGATGAAGACCTTTAAGTGAATCAAGGACTTTTTTCAAAGCCACTATCTTTTAAAGGTACATCTTTAAGCTCGACTTTCTCTGTTATCTAGTCAATATACCTGGCAATCTAGATTGAATTGCTTCTATTTTTAAGATTTCTTTCCTAAAGAAGTCACTAAATTTGCTTGAATAAGGTTTATTCTAGGTTACACGGTATTTTGAATATTTTAATTCCCTTATAAAGTACAAGATTGAAAGTCTAGTAGTCTACTTAATGATTATCATTGTACTGTGCTATACAACGTACTTTTTTCTACACTTTTTTTCTGAATATATTTCCTCTTGTTCCCATGTTCTGAACTGAAAGGATTTGTCCATTTGTAGGTTTGGCGCCACGCATTTTTGAATAGTCAAATTTAGCCCAGTAATTAAATTTAGATAAATAGGTAGAGATAAACATTTTGAGGAAAATCAAGTATCATGTTTAAATTAATCGGATTTACTTTGTCTACTAAGAACTCAGATGATAATGGGAAATTTGAGTTTAGAGAATTTGGGTTAACTTTGTCTCATATCACATTAACAGAAGGTACTCAAGTAAGCGTATATGTCAAGTTCCCAAAGGACGAAGGATATTTACAAGAGGATTTAATTATAGCAACAGTAACTAAGTCCCAGCCAAATGCTTGTATTCACCAGCAAGAATTCCCAACAGGCTCTGTATTATACTGTAAAGGAAGCGGAGTTGTAGACTGTATTGCAAATCTACCTATTCAAGACTGCTGTGAAAATGGATGTTGTGAAGCCAGCCACCCTAGTGATGAAGAGTCTGAAATTAATTCCATTGGAAGCAATGAAGAGGGGAAAGATATGGAAATGGAGGATTTGGATATAGATCCAGAATTAGACTCAGTATCTACAGCCTCAGAGAAAGAGATTAAGAAGGATGGGAAAAAGGTAATCAAAGCAATAGAAAAAGTGAAGGTGGAAAAAAAACAGAAGGCTTCCGCATTGGTAAATGACATAAAAAAGAATCAAGATGAAATGATTTCTCCAGGATTCAAGAAGGAGTTACCAAGTGGATTAAAATATGAAGTTTTATCAATTTCAAGAAATGTTAAATCAGACACTCCTCAAATTGCTTTAGTAGGAAGCAAGGTTAATGTTAAATACGAAGGTAGACTAGCAAAGACAGGTAAAAAGTTCGATAGTGGAAATCTTTCATTTACTATTGGAAGTGGACAGGTAGTCCCTGGGTTTGATCAAGGAGTTAAGGGAATGATAGTAACAGAGACTAGAAGAGTCTTCATTCCTTCAAAGTTGGGATATGGTGCAAGGGGATGTCCTCCTGTAATACCCAAGAATGCTGATCTTATCTTTGAAATCACATTGCTTAGTACTAAACATTAATTTTTTTAGATGAATTAATTATTCTAAATCATTGCTTGTATCATCCTTATATAGTTTTTTGAGTGAAGTGGGAACTCTTTCTTTTTCAAATACTGACAATAGGTCAGATCTAAATGATGAATTCATCTTCTTGATTCCTACTACCTGAAAATGCCCTATATAATCATCGTAATAAATTAAAACTATTCGTTTGAATCCCTGTTTATTTCCAAGCGTAGGGTAGAAGATCCCCCTATTCTTCCATAGAATTATGACCTTAACGTCATAGATGCTCTCGATATAATTCACATCCCATTCATTTCCCCAGTGAGTGTTTCCAGGTTTGGATAAAAGTTTGTGTACCAAAAAGGCCTTTTTAATATTTGTAGATACATCTACTCCATAAACAAAGTCATTATTTAGTATACTAGCTGGAGACCATGAATCTTGCCATTCACCAATTGCCTCCATTGTAGCAAGTATGTTCATTCTTTCTAAATAGATTGTTTCGTTCCAATTACTCAAAATTTCTGTAGAATTAAAACCTGAACTAGAGCCTGTGTAGGTGCTATTAGTGGAATTTGAGGTACTTAAAATATTTCCGGCTGCATCAATTATCTTATTAATATCAACAGCTTTTACGTTTTTGTTGGGACTATAAATTGAAGTAGTGTTAAGACCTACAAAACGGTCTGCAACTAACATTCTAAGTGAAGAAACATTGGTGTTATTCAAATTCAAGGATGATATAATGGAGCTGTAGAGGCAGTCTCCTCCTCCTCCACAATCTCTGAAGCAAACCCAATATCCAAATCTCCTAAATCTCTTTTGCCAGATAAAAGAAACGTCCTTCCATTGGTACTTTGACCTTACTAGCTTGGAAAGAGTTCCACAGTAGTTAAATGGCGCAAGTCTAGTTAATAATGAATGCGAGTTAGAAGTTTTAGAACCAATATTGTGTCTTGCATTAATTTCTTTCTGAATAACGGACTCATCCACCTCATGTAATGCAATTGACTTTGGTGAATCGATAGAAAAGACCCTAAAGTCGTATATGAAGGAAAAAAAAGCAATTGAAAGTAAGACCCTTAAATGCATTTCCACATTTAATACTTTACACGCTTTTTCTTAACGATGTTTCATATTTTATTTCAATAAAAACTTGAACGTATTGTGCTTTTGGGCGGGAAAATAAGATTTATTAATAAGTTATTTTTTTTTTAAGAAAATTGCATTGTAGGCCCAAAGGAATAAGGTTAGTATAAGTAAAAAATCAAATCAAAATAACTTTTGGAAGTTCTATGGTTGTTTAAGATAATTAATCTGAGTTATTGATTAAAAGATTTGTTTATTGCTTGTTCTTTAGTCGTTGCACACAAAATGATAAGGAGCACAGAGGATACCGTTTTTGAATATGATCCAGAAAATAGGAACGAACAGGAATCCCAAAAAAATGAGAATTTTCCTTCAAATGATAGCCCTTCGATATTGAAGTCGTACAGAAGGCTGGTGAGTAGTAATGAGCAAATGATTAATGGTGAATTAGTGAAAACGGACTATTTAAAGTTAATTAAAGCTTTTTCTACTGATGAGAATATTAAATTAAATAGACTAAAGGGAACCACTCTGAGTAGTGAAGATATGAATGGCTCATTGGTTCGTATAAAATCTGAGATTTCTGAAATAGAAGATATTATAAAGACTTACGAGGCTATTAAGAAGGGAGAAAAAGAAGTAAATGCAAATTTGAATATTGCGCTTTTAAATGATTCAACATCGCTTTTATCTGAAATTGAAGATATTAAGAACAACTTAAATAGCTTGATTGATAAACAGAAATCTTTGGAGAATTCAATGAACTCTTTAGATACACTAAAACAACATAATTTTACAACAAAAGACCTGCTTGATGAGCTTTCAAACGTAAGTTTAACTCAATAATAAAACTAAAAAAAATGACTATTATTTAGTGTATAAATAGCGTTAGTAATATTAACTCAGAAGAAGGAGCTAACAGTGCAGAAAAAGAGATCGAAATTTCGATTGAATGCTTAAAAAATAATTCAGAAAACGCTCTTGATATAAAGAATCTTCTAGAATTGGAGAGAAGAGTTTATGAGATAGAATCCAAAATAGGTATTGATAGACTCTCGGCAATGCCGTATTCTGATATTCAAAGTGCAATACATAACATTTCTCAAAGGCTTTCACTTCTCGATACAAACAGGTTAGAGGGAATTTTTAGAAGAGTGCAGGTAAGTTTGATTTAAAATAATAAATTACAGCAGAATTTATTCCTAATTCAACCAAACAAATATAATTTTTTATAGGCATTATCTACGTCTATTGAACAACTTAATAAGAAAAGAAAAGACTTGAATGATTCCTTGTTTAATGAAACAGATTCTACAAACATTACCAAACTATATGATATCATTCAAAAATGGAAGTGTACCGGAGCAGCATTACCATTTATACTAGAGAGATTAAAGCTTTTGAAAGCTCTACATCAAGATGTCTCTACAATTAATTCAAGACTTACAGGTAAGACTAAAATGATTATTTGTTAATTACATCATGAATATTAATAATCTTTTGTTTTAGTTATGGAGTCGCAGCAAATTGAAGTTGAGAAAACTCTGGAAGTGTGCAAGTCGTCATTCACAAAACTCAGCTCCTCTATTGAACAAGTTTGTAAAAACTTACAAAAGTGACTATATTTTTAATATTGTTTAAAGCTTTTTTATTAAATAAGTTACATTCATTACGATTTAAGTATTAATTAACCGTTTCACTGTTGATTTAATTCCTAAAATCATATTCCATTAGTTTCTTACTGTTTAAATATTATTTTCTTAAATCATAATGTTAATTTACATGTAATACTCACAACTGCATGCAAATATTGTCCATGCAATTTCATGTGGATGCCACGTGTCAAAAAAAATATTTATTACGTAACAGTTATTGTGGCAATGATACAGAATTTGCATGTGTAATAATATTTCGAATAATTGAGATTTTTTAATTAGAATTTTTACCTTAAATAAATTAATTTTTTTAAATTTGTAATAAGAAATGATAGCAAATAAAAGGTTAATATTTATCATTTTTGGTTTACTTATTGGATTAATAAGTTGTCAGGAAAGAGAAAATATTTCTATTGAAAGTTCACTGAACGAAACAAATATCCCAAGTGAGCCAGCTAATTTAAGAAGTTTGTATGGTAAAGGTCAATACAACACTGTATATGAGCCAGTATATATGCAAAAGGTGCAATATGTCCCAGCAAAGACTTATAAGAAAGTAATGTATTCGGTTCCGGAAAAAAGCACTTATGTAGTTCCTCAAAAGCAACAAATGAGATATGTTCCAGTTGGTTATGCAAAAGGAACCCCTTCTCCACCACAAATGTATGTACCAGTTACAAAATCTGAACCTAATGTTTATGTTCCTGTAACTTATAGCAAGGGAATGAGATATTTAGAAGAAGAAACACCAGAAAATACTGTGATTCACGAGTAAATAAATTGATAAATCAAATTTATTATTAAAAAAAAAATTTGAGATAAGAATAAACATCAATAAAAATATACAAGTAATTTATTTCAAGCTAAAGATCTTGAAAGAAGTCATTATGAATTGTTGATTTCTTCCTTTTTTTTTTGCTTACAGAATAAGTGCTGGAAGATGAACCTTTGGAAATTATGTCGTCTACCATACTTAAACTGTAAAAATCAAGCTTAATTCCATGGGAATGGACTAAAAAAGGTGATAAATAAAAATCAATTTGAAGATATTTGCAACCTACTAATGAAATTATTTAAATTTGAAATCGTTGTTTTTGAACATTCAATATTGATATCTTCTGATTTTTTCATAGAATTTAATGTGAGTGTACCTAATATTAAATGTATTAAGTATCAAATATTTTTAAAAAAATCAAATTATTTCTCTTCAGTTTATAATTAAAGACATTAATCAACTTACCAAGAATCTCATTTGGAAAAAATTCAACTACCTTTAATATTCCATCACTTGTTGAAATAATTGCAAATTGGTCTTGGTAAATTTGTATGTGCTCTACGCTGTTGTCTTTTTCAAACCCATCTACAAATGGGATTAACATACGATCAGTACAATCTCCGAAGTTACCCCATGAAAAGAATAACAGGTTTCCTTCATCTGTCCCACAGACAATTTTCGAATTATTCTAAAGTGATTTATTTGTTAAATTTTAATTAAAAAATATCAAGTACATTCAAAATTCTTTATATGAACTTACACGAATAGTCTTGCTACACAATATATTTTCTTCTTGAGGGTCTGATAATGAAAGAAGATGATCTTTGTTTTTTTTACTAATGATACTTTTAGTGTCATAAACTCCCAGAGTATCACCAGATATTACGATTAAAGAGTTCTTATCTTCAACATGATAAATATCTAGAATGAATTTAAAAAATAATCCAGATTTAATTTTTTTAAAATAAATTTTTATTAACTAACCATTAATACAGTCTTCATTATCTCTAAATTTTGAAAATGATTTGTTACTTTTATCTCTAATATCCCAAATCTAAATGTTTAAGTAATTGTTTATGCAAAAATAATTAAAAAAAGCCGTACCTCAACAAATCCCTCATCATCTCCAGTAACAATGATATTATTGTTAAAACAAGTAACTGCATTGACTCCAACTCCACTATAAATGCAATTTTAAGTATAAATAGTAAGATTTTTTAAAAAATAATGAATATGATTACTCACCTTTTAGGGGTTTTCCAAACGGCTTTTCCTGACTTGTCCAATAGAATAGTTTCACCAGTATTATATATTGCAATAATCTTTTCTAAATTGAGCTTAATGATATTATTTAGTGTAAATATAAACATACCATTCATAAATTCGATGTTTCTACACGACCCTTTTTTTCCAAAAACTTTTGATACTGACTTAAGTTTGTTTTCATCAAAGTCAAATTCGAACCTAAAATTGTGGGATGGGTTGCGCTAGGATATAGTTTTTTCTATATTTTGAAAACATACTTGAATATTTTACCATCAACATGAGAACTGTAAAGTAAGTTATCTTCGTCATTAAATTTACAATCCATAACCAGCTCAAAAGAATCGTTTAAGTTTGAGAGAATTTCACTCTCACAATCTTGGAGAGAAATACTAAAAGATGTCATTTTTTCATAAACATTAAGTTTTAGTATTCATAATCAAAAAAAGTCTTGGCGCCAAACCCAAAAAGTCAGTTTTTGAAAGAAAGAAGCTTTAAAAATAGATTGAATATTTGAATTTCTAAATGTTAAAATTAAAGAGGAGATACTTAGTAAAATAAAACTTGTCAGTAAAAAATAAAAAGTATTGTTCTTTCTGGAAAATAATTTTTTTTTATTTTTAGATCTCTTTCACATACCGGTAATGATTATTACCGGTATAGACGGTATCAAATAGGAATACAAAACAAAAAAAAATTTTTAATTGTAAGGAAGGCTCGGAAATTTCTCGGAGCATTTTAAAGCGTTGATTCTCTAAAAGAATACAGGAATTTAGCTGGATAGTTATTTATTTATAGACGAGGTATAAAAGAGAGCAAACCGATTTTGTATTTTAACCATGGAAGCCTGTGAAAGTGAACAAACTTTTAGGCATCCTCAAAAAAAGTATTATAGACAGCGAGCGGTGAGTTATTTAAACATTACAAAGTAATTAATATGATCAAATACCAATTACTGATTTTTTTTTTTTTTTTTAGCATTGTAATCCGTTGGCTGACAATTATATGATGCATCCATTAAGTCCAGAATATATTGACTGGGAGTTGCATTACCCAAACTATTATTCAGATCAAGAAGGATTTAAAAAGGAAATTTACTTAAATACAAAAAAGTACCCTATAAAATACAGTGAGGATAAGGTATTCAGCGAAAGAAGCGTAGCTATTTCAAAAAAATTGAAGATATTGGATATTGGATGTGGTTATGGGGGTCTACTTGCTTGGTTGAGCGAACATTATAAAGATAAACTTTCATTAGGATTGGAGATTAGAGAGAAAGTAACTAATTATGTTGGCGAAAGAATACTTTCAATGCAGCAAAACGGTACTGGAAAGAATATCAGTGTAGTTAAAACAAATGCAATGAAGTATTTACCAAATTACATTACAAGACATCAACTAGAAATGATTTTTATTTGTTTCCCAGATCCACACTTTAAAAAAAGAAACTGGAGAAGAAGAATTGTAAGGTAAGTTTGCAATGTTTTGTTATTTTGACATCTTTTTTTAACTTAAACCCTACATTTCCCTTTCTTAAACCATCTCAGCTACTCAATTGTTCCTTTATATTGGTATTTATTGCAAGAAGGGGGATTAATTTACATAGTAACTGACGTTTATGAATACTATGTATGGGCAGTAAAGGTAATGGATACATATAAGTTATTATTTGAAAGAATTCCAGATGAAGAGTTAACTTCAGACCCATGCGTAACAGCAATTAAAACAAGCACAGAAGAAGCAAAGAAGGTTGAGAGGTCAAATTCTCCTGCATACTCATGTGTATATAGAACTATACCAGTTAAGGTTTGATTTTAATTGAATTATATTTTTAACTAGTCAAAATTGATTATTGGTTTATAATTAAACTTTTTTTTTCAATTCTTTGTCCCCAGTTGTTTAATTACATGCATGCATTTAATTACATGTATATGGCGAAATTATTTTCACTCTTTTAAATAGGTAAAAAAACAAATGAGCAAAATAAAATAGAAATGAAAAAAGTTAAATACAGTCTTTTAATAGATATTTTACTATTTAAAATGATATATGGTTGGTTACTTAACTTTGATATAGTACCAAACTCAATTTCTGAGAAAAACAATATTTCATTGGAAAACTGCAGAGTAAATTATTGGACTCGGCATAATACTGAATGCATGGATGGGTGTAGTATGGTGGGGGAGCTGAGGTATGGACCAAACTATCTAAGCAGTAATACATTACAAGAGTTTCCTTATTCTGTTGGAATAAATTGCAAAATACCAAGTTTTGGGACTTTTTTTGAAAAAAAGTTCCAAAAAGAGGACTATTGGATTAAAATGGACGTTTGTACGAATATGATACAAAGCCTAATAGATGAAGTAGTAATTGAGTTAAAATATGATTCCAGAAAATTCTTTAAGAATTCGGTACCTATTAACAGTATTGATAGTAATCAAAATATAATTGACTCAACTTACATTGGAGCTTATCATATGAACAATATTGGAGAGATTTTAAGATACAAACATATATTCTACAAGTATGTCAAGTACTCTTTAATAATTGATTTACTGCTAATTTGCTTGCTTGCATTAAACTCAATAATTTATAAATATAGGTTAGTAAAAATCAATAAAATAAGAGTGGAAGATCAAATCATTGCGAAAAAGGTTGATAAATAGATCGCTTATAATACCTCAATATATTAATTGTTAATAGAAAGCTTTTCAAATTCTTGGATTAAATCTACTGTCTTTTTCTGTTTCCAAAGTTTTGCAATTTCTCTCATAATGCTTGGAGCTCTTCTGGAGGGGGTTCTGCCCTCTCTGATGCTTCTCTTAAATTCTGCAAACTTCTCCTTAACAAACTCAGAGTACGGATTGGATTTGCTCTTTTGTGTTTGAGGTAACTCTTGGGGCTTAATTTGAAATCCCTTGCTATTATTACTTAAAGTTCCTTTTCCAATGAAGATTACTGTCCCATTACAGACTGAGCATACAATCTTAGTTTCATCATTTATCTTGGTTTGCCTTCCAAACATTTGAAAACATCTCAAACATTGATATCTATATTTGTATATGATTTCATAATTGTGGTAAATCTCAACCTTCAACTCTGGAAATACTTTTGTGGCTACTTTTCCCCATTTCATAAATATCTGCCCATGAGGAGGCTTAATACAAGAGTCCAATAAAAATTGAGCTACATGGCAACATTCATGAAGCAATGTTTTCTTTAGTCTGAATTCACAATCTAAAACATATTTTGAAAGCTTGATTATCACTCTTTTAGAGCCATCCACATTAGTAATAAATAGTGTTTGAGCTGCAGTTCTTTGTAATCTTCCTGTCCATTTAATTGGGATCTCTTCTGGAAGCCTATTTTGAAATACTTGTTTGTTAAAATTTTGGTACCAGAATTTTGCAAGGGATGACCTTTGTCTCACAAATGCTCCAAATTTGTCTGAAACATTTTTCAAAGATATTTCTTTGGTTATATTTGCCACTTGATTGATATTCAAATTCCTTAGACTATTGTTTTCCTTTTCACTTTCAGAGTCAAACTGTTTTTCTTGCTCTTCATCGCTAAATAAGCCAAATCTTTCTAGGGGTTCTTCTTTCTCATCTTTTTTTAGAATCTCTTGGTGTTTTCCTGTTTCATCTTCTTGTTCGGTTCCGTAGTCGGGATGAACAATTAGCTCGTTTCTTTCTATCTCTTCATCTTCGAAGTCAAAGTGCGAAATAGCTGTTTGCCATTCCAATTCTTTCAAAGTGTCTGAAGAATCGTCTTTCTCATTAACTTCCAAGTCAGAATCAAGTGATCTCCAGGAAGTTTGTTTGTCTGGAGTATAATTCGGAATTTTTGACCCAGAAATTAGTTCTGGGCCAAAGCAAAAAGATGACCTTCTCCTTGTAATATCAAGATTGAATTCATCTTCCGAATCAGATTCTATTATTAGGATTTTTCTTGAATTATTTTTTCTTCTAACTGAAGACTGATACTTAATTGAAGGTCTTGAAGTTATTAGGGCACAGTCCTCCTCTTCACTACTAAATATACAGTTTCTTCTTCTATTTCCAATAGTAGAGTAGTTAGAAGATAGATGACTATTTGGCTCAAATTCACTTTCATAATGAATACAAGGTTGGGTTGGTGATTCATGGAGATTTTCCAGAATCTCTGGCATAAAACTTTCCGGATTATTATTCAAGTAGATTAAGTCTGCATCTTCTGTATAGCTATCTTCACTTGAGTCTATGTGATATACTTTTCTCCTAACAGAAGTTGCCAAACTTATTGAAGGCCTTGAAGAAGGTTCATTTAAATTTGAGTGATCACTGTAAAAATATTCTTCTTTTAACTTTGTACTTGGATTTCTTGGTGGAGTATTTAGGTTGCTATTTTCGTCATCTATATCACTGTCTGAGGAGACCAAGTAATTTTTAACACAGTTTTTTCTTCTCACAGAACTTCCCAAAAATATAGATTGACGCATTTCATAGTGATTCTTTCCTACTGATTTCCAATATTTTTTAGTTTTTGTAGATTTATGTGGGTTTAATATATACTATTAATTTACTTGGCTTTTAAAAGTTTTATTAAAAAAAAAATATATTATTAGGATTTACACACAGTTTATTAAATACCGGCATATATTTTTTTTTTGCCTATACCGGTATAGTAATTGGAACAGCAACAATACTTAATATTTACATCAGAAAATTTGAGATTATATATACCATATAGAAGAAATAAAACATTAGTCAAAATTAAATCAGAACTTGATCATGAAAGTCATTAGCAGGGTCTCTGCATACTTGCTCTTAATTAGTACTTTTTTAGTTATATTTTCCAACTCGGAAAGAACCATAGATGAGGTAAGCAAATAATGTGAGAATGCATTAATTTTTCAACGTCTAATGATCGGTTAACTTTTCTAAGTATAATGTGAAAAACAGTATTGTAATTTTTCCAGGAAAACCATATTATGGTGTTAAAATGAATACAAGTAAGTAATCTTGTTTAATTAATATAGTTTTTTCACTGTTCTAATATATAAGAGTATCCGCTAATTATAAGAGTGAATAAAAAGCATCTTGTTGACGGAAGATATCAATTTGAGTGTTTCTCTGCCGGGCCAGTAAGTTTTGAAGTAATGTAATTTATTTGTTGTTGGATAAGAGAACTAATTTTATAGGATCCACAGGGAGAGTTTAAAATAATTCCATTGGTTACCGAAGAAAGTGAGTTTACATTGTAAAATTAAAAGTTTTTGTTACTCTTAGACTTTATTAATTTCAGGGTTGAATGTGTCGCAAGGCTTTCTAACTACTATCTTTAATAAGTTATTTCCAAAATCTCTAGTTTTCACTAACAATGAACTGTTCAATACCCAGAAAGTAAGTTCCCCTATTGAAAAATTAAGCAAAAATTAACGATCAAAGCAAAAATTCCTAAGCTACAACCAAGAAAGTGAACAATTTATCATTTTTAAAGTTGTTGCAAACTTGAAAAACGTAACATATGACAGGCAAATACAATCTAAGGACATCCTCCTTAATATAGGTAGGTTAAAAAACCAAAATCAAGTGATATTTCGATAACTAATTCAATATCTTTAGAACTCGAGCTCTTCAAATTTGGATTTCCCAAATTATTTTTCCAAATATTGGGATCCATATTCCTAAGTATTGTTTTGACCTTTATAACGTATTTGGCATGTGTAAAATTCAATTTAGTAGACAGACTTTCAAAATTTATATTTAATGAAAAAACATACAAAAACGAGTAATTAGGTTTCGGCACCTTTCCTAATAGCAACTTTTAATAAATCTTTTTTTTCTTGCCTTGAATTTATAATCATTATTCTGCCTTACCAATATTACCGCCTAAACTTCAGAAAATTTTACTGTAAAGCAAGTGTTCCGTCTCCAAAAAACAAAATTTAATGTCAAATGAAGAAAAGATGGGCGGTATAAAGAAACAATATTTGACATAAAAATTAAGGTAGTAAGGCGGATAGAAATTATTATATTCGGTTTGTCTAATAGATTATTAATATTAACATAACTCAACTTGGCGCCTATTCAAATAAGTCTGTCTCCGAAAAAAAAGTAAAAATAAAAGGAAACACTGATTATTCGTTACCAGTTGTAATTAAGCAAGTTACAACATTCATTTTCCTCACAATAATTCAGATTTGAGATAATCAACTGTAAAATGGCACCAAAGAAGAAGGAAACTCAAGTTGCTGATGTACCTTTCCAGCAGGTAAGTTGTAATATTATAGTGGAGTTATGCAATAAATGTTGTGGCCATGGATTAAGTCCGAATCTCTTTTAATTCTGACTGCATTTCCTTGGTTCGATGACCTGATAATTATCTACGATCCCCCGAACTTTTCTGTCATTTTGTTAATGAGAGATCTTTCTATAATGACAGTATGTATAATAAATAATTGATCACCCTAATCATTGGCTAACTGAGGTCTAGCACGTTGTATAAAGTGATTGGGGAATATTTAATTGGATAATTTAACTGGGTCATTCTAGATGAAACTCCATTATATTAGTGAAATTATTTGAACATGAATAACATTTTTTCTTCTTATAGGTTCGTGAGGGTCAAACAAACTTCGCTGTGGCTCATATATTTGCCTCTTTCAATGATACATTCATCCACGTAACTGACTTATCGGGAAGAGAAACTATTGTAAGAGTTACTGGTGGAATGAAGGTTAAAGCAGATCGTGACGAGAACTCCCCATATGCTGCTATGATGGCTGCCGTAGATGTTGCCCAGAAGTGCAAGGAATTCGGAATTCACGCTCTCCACATTAAGCTCAGAGCCGTTGGTGGAGTCAAGTCAAAGACTATGGGACCAGGTGCTCAATCAGCTCTCAGAGCTTTGGCCCGTGCTGGAATGAAGATTGGCCGTATCGAAGATGTTACTCCAATCCCAACCGACAGCACCAGAAGAAAGGGTGGTCGTCGTGGTCGTCGTTTGTAAATCATTACTCACGACGATTATTTCTATATGGTTTTTCTATTCTGCATTGGCGTTTATGAACAATTTACTTCCTAAAGAGAATGCTAATGCACATAAGTGCAAAAAACTACCATGTGGATAATAACGTACTATAAGGTAATGGTTTAATTGTACACGACTACAGATGCTACCTACGAAGTTTTAAATTCTGTATAAATGAGGGATATTTAATCCGGATCTTAGACACAAAAACATAGGTTTTCGGCTAGTTTAGCTGAGCAATTCATACCTCAGGATTTGAAAGCAATTACGGAAAAAATCTGTATTCAAGGACCTCTAGACATTATATATGTTGTTTCAATACAGACATTTCCGTTGGCTAGAATCTTGAGGTTGTCATTGTACCAGTCATTTAATAGATAATAACTCGATTTTGTTCTCTCCTTTTCCATTTTTTTTTGCTTTTTCTTCTCCCTGTATTTCTTAGATCAACGCCGGTATATAGATATTGCTATGCATGCCGTATTAACATGCAGATCTGGTATTTACGGCATGTCCAGAAATTTGAATTTTGAAACCAGACCTGAATAATTCTGACGAAACAAGGAGGCCTTTAATAATTGATCAAGGTTTCTTTTTCATTTGTCTCACAATTTTTGGATTTACATATAATTTTTTCGTTAAAAAAGACACGTCATCATACGCATAATGCCTAAAAGTTGTACGCAAATTGTAAATATACGGAATGTAAAATGTACAAGTTTGGGATTCACAAAAAGAAAATAATTATTAAGTAATATAAGAGGGTAAGGAGAAACGGTAGTAATCAGGGCAAGACTCTGCTGAGAGCATTATAGTAGGAAGGACAATAACATATTTAGAATTAAAAAAAAAAAAATATATATATATATATATATATTATATAAATACAAATATAATATAATATACTTATTATATAAGTAAAAAACGAAAATGGGGTTTATTTGCCCATGGTAAGTTTTAATATTCACGTATCATTAATTTAAATCCAATTAATTTTTTTAAACAAATTTTGCAGTGGTTCTAGTGTGGATGCAGTACATCCGGAGAGAATATCTAAGAAAGATGATATAAAGAAGAAGAATAACGGAATATCTTCTGGATCAGAGAGTGAATCAGATAGTGATGATGTAAGAGACAGCATTGAGATACCAAAGAATTTCTTAACTAGAGGGCCCAGAACAAGTGTGAGCGCTGAAGCTTACGGTGCATGGAACAAAATGAAAGATTTTACTCCTCCAAACTATCCAAAAACAAAGGAGCAGGAGAGACGCATCCGTGAAAAGCTATTGGAAAGTTTTATGTTCACAAGTTTGGATGAGGAAGAACTAAACACAGTAATTTTGGCATGTGTGGAAACTCCAGTAAAGAAGGGTACGGAAATTATAACTCAGGGTGATAATGGAGACAAACTATATATAATAGATCAAGGAACCGTGGAGTGTTACAAGAAGACTAGTACAGAACCAAGAAAACATCTTTGCGATCTAAATCCAGGTGATGCTTTTGGAGAACTTGCTTTGTTGTATAACTGCCCAAGAGCAGCAAGTGTTGTTGCAAAATCTGATTGTTTGTTATGGGCTTTAGATAGAGAAACTTTTAATCACATAGTAAAAAATTCAGCATCTAAGAGAATTAACACCTACGAAACCTTCCTTAAAGAAGTAGAGATACTAAAGACGATGGATGTTTATGAGTTAAATAAACTAATTATGGTTTTAAAAAATTTGGTTTTTGAGGATGGACAAGAAATTATTAAACAAGGAGAACAAGGTGACACGTTTTATCTAATCATTACAGGCAATGCAGTAGCTCTTAAGGACAATGTTGAGGTAATGAAATATAAGAGAGGTGACTATTTTGGAGAGTTGGCTCTCTTGAGAAATACTCCAAGAGCTGCCACAGTCAAGGCACAAGGAAGGTGCAAAGTTGCTTATCTAGAAAGAAAGGCATTCAAGAGACTTTTAGGCCCTATTGAAGACATTTTAAAGAGAAATACAGATAAGTACAAGACAGTAATTAAAAAAATCACCACAAAGGTATGAAAATTTCTAACTCTTCTCTTACTGTTCGGATAATATTAGGACTTAAAGAATTTAATATTAGATACTACTAGACTTTTTTGTTAACAAATCAGTTAGCAATAAATGAGTAAATATTAGTGAATTTTTAGTTCTATTACTTATCATTAAATGAATAACTAATATATCAATGTCAATGTTAAATAATTAAATTAAAATAATATATAAATCTGCTTGTGTTCGAATGAGGTGAAAAAAGCATAAAATAAATTACCGGAGTACCAGGATTAAATGCAGCCAAAATGGCGGTAAATCATTAAAGCATTAGCTTTAATAATATAATAATGATCTTTCCAGCATAATATAGTGTTATTAGAACTCGATTTAACGAAGAATAGCCTTTAGACTGACTAATAAACTATAAAAGTTCAATCCCATTAGAGTCTTCTTGAGTGAAGTTGTTCCCAATATTTGATTTGCTATTGCTTGTTGGGGGAGGAGTGATCTTCGGGAAAGATGTATTTGACATTGAAGATAAGTTGACCTCCAATTCTGTTGGATTGAAGCTGTCAAAATTTATTGGAGCATTAGATGATATAATATCATTTTTGGGATCCAAGTTGCTCAACCCGTTATTTTGATTAAAAATTGCATGTGAATCTAAATCTTCTTCAAAAACATCAAGATCATCAAAGATTGGATCCATAGCTGAATTATTCTGGATTGCAGATGTATAATTGTTGCTAATTGATCTCTGTCTTTGTGAGAGGTTAGACCCAGAACCAACTCTGCTGTTATAATTATTATTATTATTATTAATGTTATGATTAATATTTCCAGATATTTTGGTCATATTATCAAGAGCATGATCATCCTCATCCTCATCATCTTCCATAAACATATTTGAGTTAAAATTATTTAAAGTTGTATAGTTGTTTTTCATCATCCCAGGAGAGGATCCTGGTACGTTTGATGATCCAAAGACTACTTTGGAGGAGTCTCCGTTAATATATGAGGAAATTGCACTCAAAATTCCCTGTAGAGAAGAGCTCCTTCTTTTTGCTACTCCTAATACTTTATACTGAACATTCTTATAGGCATCGTATCCCAATTCACCAAATCGGGTCCAGTCACCAAACATTCCTTGTTTAAGCATGAAAATGATAATGAACAATGCAATGACTAGAACAATTCTAGCATGAGAACTTGTTGGTGCATGGCCAGGGCATGGAATTGCTACAGGTGGAGGTACCCAACCGCCAGAGCAAGCATCACCAGGTAGTTTCCTGTAGGCAGTTACATAGAATATACCCGATGATGTGCATTGGCCAGTTTTGACATCGTCAAAGACAATATCAAGACTTTCAGGCCTACATTCAAAACTTCCAATTTGTCTGGAAAACCCAAATTCACATGTAAAATCCTCTTCAGTACAAGTACAAATCTTTTTTTCAATAGGTCTTCTAAAGTCTTGGCCATTATAACACTCTGCTGTTTGTTTCTTTCTTGTGTAAAGAAGTTGTTTGCCCAACATACACTTTTCTGAATTTTTGCCGTCATGTGGACTCCAAGTTTCATAGTCAGAATCAGGTCTATCCGGGGTGGCAGCTCCCACGCACTGTACCTGTCCAAGAGTGTTAAAGTCTAAGTGGTATAGGATTCCAGATTTCCCTCTGGATCCATATAGTAAGAATTCCATAGAAGAACTATTTGGTTCAATTAAGATGTTATCAACTTGCAAAGGTTTGCTACCTAGCTCAAAATCATACCAGGACATGCCTTCATTCCAGCTGAAAATGACCTGGTTCGTATGCTTAAGATCATTTGCCATCACAATAAGACCTCCAAAATCTCCGAGCTCATAAATGAAAGCTCCCTTGTGTACTTCCTGCCAGGTAAGTCCTCCATCTCTGGACATGTAGGTATTAACATCATCATGATCAAATGACAAATAGCTGCCTACATTACCAGTTCCGAGAATTATGCCAACTGCATTTTCAACAGAATAGAAAGGAGCCAAACTTTGGTAATTACTAACTCCATGAAGATGTAAGTAGCACCCATCACTTTCGTCGCAATCTATCCTATTACCTCTACTATCAACTGTTGGGGCCTTTAAATAGTTCCATTCACCACCTTTGTCAAAAGTTATTACGGTCCTGATAGGTTGCTCTATTTTCCCCATTTTAGTTTTGTGTTCTGTTTTTGAAGTTTCTACATCCTCATCTTCTGTTTCTGACTCTGTAAATTCGTGTAAAGTAGCAGAAATGTGCCCAAAGTCATTATCAAGTTCATCATTCTTAACATTAGCGATATATACTCCTTCCAAAGACATAACTTTATCAAATTCACATTCTCCAGTTAAAGTTCGAACGTTATTCATAAGAGAGAGAGCAAATCTTGTACCAGAATAGTTGCTAATATAAATATTACCAGTACCCTTTAAAGAGTCTTCTCCGTGATTAACATGAAGCATAACGGTTTTTTCTGAAGTATCCAAAATTGTATAACTCTTTTCAGTCAATGTATGTGGTAACTGAACCTGAGTGAAAGAATTTGCATCATTGGTAGATACAAGTAGAGATACTGTTTGTCTTTCATAATCAAGTATTTTTGCAACAAAGATATAGCCATTCGAAGCTAAAAACTTATTTCCTCCTCTAACTGGAGTCTCAATATGACTTCCAAAGTCATCAGTAAAAGAAAAGTCTATGGTCTTCATCCAACCACCAAATCTGGGTTGATCTCCCTGTTTTTTTCTGTGGTGTGTGAAAAAAATTCTATTTTGGTTTGCCTTATTATTACCATCCCAATGGAATTGAACCACATAGTCAACAACTTTCTGGTACGTAGCCCCCAAATCCTTCGTAAAAAATAGCTGATGTATGCACTTATTTCCAGCTGAATTACTTTTCTTTAAGGTTTGAAGAAAAGACTTGTTACATCCTTCAGTCCAAGAAGAAAATAAGGCGAGCTTGGGCTTGTTTGGATGAAATATCCATGTGTGTATAGTACCCGAATGAGATATTCTTCTGAAAGTCTCACCTGCATTCGAGGATATAAAGTGGCTGTGCTTTGAACCAACTATTAAAATAATATTCTTATCGACAGGACTGATTGTAATTGACTTGATAGAAAAACCATTTAGGTGAGAGTAACTCGAAGAAGACGAATTCGATCCCATTCTTGCCAACACATCTGTGATATCTCTCCAGTTCTTACCTCTATTAGTTGATCTGTAGACATGACCTTTTTGTGTCTTTGCAATAACTACATTATGGTCTGTGCCAGCCCACTCCAAACTCTCAATAGGGCTCTCAAACACTATCTCGCTCACACTAACTTTCTTCTCTGCACTTACAAGTCCATATTTAGTTCTAAAACCTAAAAATGCAAGTAATTCAGCTACTACCAGCACTTTAAATGCTGTTATTACTAATTTCATAGTAATCCTTCTCCTTATCTCTATATTTTAGTAGGTCAATCAATGAATAAGTTCCTTTTCTTCAGTTTACTATATAACTTCCTTTACATACTCCTCTCACCTCACCAAGTCTCAAATTAAATTAAAATAACAGTTTGTTAGAGATATACCCATTGTTACCGCCAATTCTCCAGTATATTACTTTCATTTTTTCACAAAAAATGTTTTAATATTTATTTTGCTTTTTTCTGATAAGTTGTTGATAATTTATTATTTTTGGAAACTAAACTGCTAAATATATATTACTGTTACAAAATTCAATTTTAAATTTATTGTTAGATTTTCTGTGCTCTCCCAGAACGTATGCTTCACTCACATTGTAACTATTAGTTTTTGTATAAATTCTACTCAAACGTTTTTAGAATGTGAAAAATAGAGAGACAATAATATTCCCCACAAGCTAGTGTTTCTTTCTGCTTTCCACTTCCCCTCTTGCAATTAACACCCCTTCTGCGAGCGGAGATGCAACTGGTAGCTGTAGCACAATGTGTATTCTGGGAAAGAGCGCGCGCGCGGGCCTAAAATCTAGGTGTAAATTAATTATTGGGAGTAAGATAAAACTCAATTAATTTCTAACTGAAATAAGAGGTTGAATGCGGTGGAATTTTTGAAATTGAAATGTTTGAATGGACTAACATTTTTTCCTCCTTTTCAAGGCCCTCTGATCAGACTCCTGACGCTGATAGAAATGATGTGAGCAAGGATTTCATTGAAATTCCAGAACAATTTATGTGCCCAATTTGTCTTGGAGCATTCGTAGATCCTTGTACACTTTCATGTTCCCACTCCTTTTGTATTTCGTGTGTCAAGGGTTCTCATGAATGCCCGATTTGTCGGTCTCCATTAAGGGAGGAACTTTGGTTGTCAAAAAGTGACCAACTCATGGATCAAAGCATTCTAAGGTCAATGAATGAGACTCAAATTAGATGTCATTGTGGAGCCGAAATATCAATATCTGAGGCAAATAGTCACGCTTCTAAATGTTCTTACTGCAGAGAAGACGATGTTCCAACTACAGAAAACAAGCTGATTGCCTCACTAAACAAGCAAGGCTTTTCTAATAATCACCAACAAGACCAAAGCGGTACTAACACTTCTAATACTCGTTCTACTTCCAACTCTAGTGGCCCTACTTTTGTGTGTCCTCTATGTCTCATGAACTCCAAAATACCCAATAGCTCCTGCTTAAAATATAATGTAGAGTCCTTAATCAGCCACTGCGAAACTATGCACAAAGACGAATATTCGGAATCTCAGCAAGCAAATGATCATATGACCACTATGTGCCCTATTTGTGTTCATATTGGAGATGAAAATGCAGAGGTTGAATGCAAAAACTTTCTACAACATCTTAAATCAAAGCACTTACTCATCTCCACCTTTTTGGCCGCTGCCAGAGCATCTTTAAGTGCAGGAAGCCCTGAAACCAGGTTCCAACTTCTAGAAGATATCCTCTTCCAGTACGCACTTAGTAGATCCAGGTATGAAAGCTGTATCCATCCGGGAAGCAATAATTCCCAATCTTTTGGAAGCTCTGTAATTGAAATTATTGGTTTAGATGATGAGCAGGATAATTCTGAAATTTTTCAAGATGACAATGATATTCAGGAGATTTCCTAGGAAGAAATTTCTACCAACTATATTACTCCGTCTTGTATTTATAAACAAAGATGAGCTTGGGAAAATTTGTTTTCCATTCCCTAAGTAAATGGCTTAATATCTGATATTTTCTTCTTCTTTACATAGCTTCTTTTCCGTATGGCTTTTTTATAACTTTATTTGAAATAAACTTCTTTATCTATTATCTTAATTCTTATTCTATGTTCATGTATTTCCTTCTCATTCAAAGTTAGAAAATCCCCTCTTTACTTACAAACAACTGGAAATTGATACCTAATGTAAATTCTAAAGATTGTGTTACACGCACCATTTAAAAATATAACATAGAGTTTCACATTAAATTCACTGCTAGAAAGACAAGCTGCTCATTTCTGTAGTAATTTTTCATTTTTAAAGTTAAAGATCTAATTCCAGGCTACACAACATTTTTTTTCACCTAGCTAAAAAAGAAGATCGAATTTCAATCACAAGAACGAGCAAAATCGAATAAAAAACATATACTATTTTCAAGAGATGCTGTTTCATTACTTCTTAATTACTCTTTTATACTGAAATTTAGAATTCTTTTTACATAAATAATAGACATTGACGTATCTGCAAGGGTAACGCACTTAACGTACAAAAAATAATGGGAAAAAATAAATAAAATCATAAGAATAATAGAACACAAAATAGAGAATTAAATTTAAGAGTCACTTCTGCATAATCTAAGATCAATTCTCTATTTAGGTCATATTAACTTCATGTGGGCCTCTGCCCATTATTAGATTGTGATAACCTGAAAATAGAGCAAGAAACTGTAGAATACAGATTAATGCGTAATAACACTTGGATTAGATTTTATACTTCGATTTAAATGGACGAGAATAATAAAGAAATTATCAATGATATAAAGATTAATCCGAAGAGTGGTTTAACAAAAGAGTGGGATGAATTCCTCTCACTGTATCATCAGAGAAGTGAGGAAATTAACAATGACTTTAAACTTCACAGTAGATTCTACAGAAGAAGTAAAAGTGGTTGGAGAAGTTTTTTATCAGTTATTATTAAATCCATTCACTCATTTTTCTTGAATGAGTCTTTGATTGGAATAAAATATCTCAAGCAGGCAAAATGGACCTGGTCTAACGTGATTTGTGATTTCTTTTGTGGCCTTGCAGAGGCTGCACTTTCCATTCCTCAAGGCCTTTCATACTCTTCTTTGGCTAATGTTGTTCCGTCCATGGGTCTCTGTAATGGAATTCTACAACCAATCATCTATCTATTTATTGGGTCTTCTTTGTATATTTCAATTGGAGTAAACTCAGTGGAGTCTATAGTTGCTGGTACAGCCATTGATAATCTAGTAGGAAACGGAGCATCTCTTGAGGTTAGATCAGAAGTTTGTTCTGTGGTGATTTTATTTCATGGGATTTCTTGTTGTCTTTTAAGAATTTTTGGACTGGCTCATTTTGTTGACTTCCTTTCTGATTCCGTATTACAAGGTTTTCTCTCTGGAGTCGCATTTTCTATTATTGTGAAAGAGCTCCCTTTTATGCTTGCAATTGAACCTCCAAACACCAACTGTGTTCCAATCAGAGCGTTCTTCATTTTGTTGGACAAACTGCCAAAAATTAGTTGGCATGCAACAATTTTTTCAATTTTTACTATACTATTTCTTGAAACCATCATATGGATTAAAGAAATGTTTAAGACAAACTTCCCAGTACCTTCTCAACTAATAGTTATAATCATCGCAAATGTTGCAAGCGCCTTTGTCTCTCCTAATATTCCTATGATTGGTAAAATTCCCAAGTCCACTCTTCTTATCCCTAACAACGTCATTTGGTCTCAACCCCCAAATACTTTTCCCCAACCTACAGGCATAAGTTCACTTCCGTTCTTCGCAAGAGCATGGATAGCAGCTCTCCCACTTACCTTCATTTCTTTCTTTACCCACTACTCTGCTGCTCAAAGCATGGAGATAAGAGCTCACAAACTCCCAGAAAGGCCTAAAGATAGTGAATCGAATTCAAAAGAAATGGAATTACTTAAAGAAAAGGATGAAATCGAGCTCGACAAGAACTGCGAATATAGTAAACAAAGAAATATACAAAGTACATCGACGTCAGTTCAGCTTCCAGAAAAGATAAGCTCAGAAACAAAGACTAGCCCAAGAATAAATATAAAGGACAATACTCAATCTTCTCTTGAACGGTCACAAGGAGATTTAGATCAAATCCAAGATTTCAACTCAAGCCTTTCTCCATGCTCTTATAAATCGTCTGTCTCACCAAGCTCTTCTTCTTCAGTGATTCTGGAAGAAGAGCGAAGAATTTCGCTTAGCATTAGGTTTGAATCAAAATCATCATTTTCTAATTCACAGAGTGCAATTAAGAATAAACTAAACTCAAAATACTCTGATCTTGAAAATTATCAGCCTCTGAGACATGAGTCCAGTAACTCGAGCAATGTTTCAAAAACGCCTCAAGAGACTTTCTTTGATAACATGTCTATGAATGAATGCAATACTGACAAATCCAAAGAGGCAGAGCTCAACATACTGAACTCTACATCTTCAAGGAAAAAACACATTGAATCCAGATCTCTTTTTTCTGTAGGAACAGAGATTCTCGTTCTTGGTGTTATCAATATTGTTGGAGCTTTTTTTAACTGTCTTCCAGGAGCAGGATCTTTGGCAAGGACAAACCTAAATTTTACCCTGGGAGTTAAATCACCTCTTCACAATGTTGTTTATTCAATGGGAGTTCTTTTGGTTGCAATGTTTCTGCTTGAATATATAAGATTTCTGCCAGAGGCAGTGCTGGGGGCCATAATTGCTCAAGCAATGATAAGGATGGTTAATATCAAGTACTTCGTAAAGCTTGTCAAAATGAGAAGTATTGATTCTGTATTTTGGATGATTGCTTTTATTGGAACAGTCACAACAGGAATGACATATGGAATCATTTTTGCCTTGGTTTCTTCGGTTATATATCTTATTAAATACTTATATAGGCCTAAATTTGAAATACTTGGCAAACTACCAGGTACTTTAATTTTTAAAAGTATGGACAAATTTCCACAAGCCGTGCAACTTCCATATGTTCGTATTGCAAGATTCGAAGGTCCTTTAACATTTATTAATGCTGAAAGGTTCATTAAAAACCTTGAGAAGATGGTAGAAGTTTGGTTAGATGAAGATTTAAGAATTTCTAATCGGAATGATTACAGAGAAGAGGCCTTTGATGAATATCTTGTAAAAAATCAATACTTCCCCAGCTTTACAAGTTCCACAAATTTCGGAGAGAGAATCCCCACAATTATCCAAGACCTTAATGAAAATCACGTAGAAAGAGTAATAATCATTGATGCTTGTATGATTAATGAAATAGATTACACCGCCCTTCAAGTTTTACAGAGATTCAACAATCAGGCAAAGAAGCTTAATATACAGCTTTGGTTTGCCTCGTTTTCTCATCCAAACTCGAGTTTTCTACTAAGATCTGGATTCTATGAAATTATTCCTCTTGTTCATTGCTTTGTAGATTTATCTGAAGCTGTTGCTGCTGCACAAATATGTATTGGTCAAAGATATTCAAGTTGTATATAAAAAGCTCTCTAAAACATTAAGGAGGGGAACAATATATATTCAGGAAAATGGATTCTAATTGGTAATTATTACTCATTTTGAAATGAAACATTTTACATTTATGTTAATTCCAAGGATATATTTTATAACATTAAAAGTAAAATGTTTGTACTCTAAAGCTTTAAACTACTTAGGTAAATTTTAAATATTCTATAAGTTATTTTTCTTTTTGATTTTGATTTTCTGGATACTTTTCGATGTATCTTTCGTAAATTGTTCCATACATTTCCTCATTGGGAAGCATATTTATGTTTGTTTCTATTCCTAAAGCAGAATATTCAGAGTATTCGCTCAGCATAGAAAATCTAAAATTAATGAAGAAATTTAATTGATTATATTCGAATTTAGAATTGAAGAAACTTACCCATTGGATTTGTCGATTAATTGTAAAATTTGCAAAACCGAATCTTTGTCATTAATATCTACTGGAATAAACTGCATAATACTGGAATCTTCAACTAAATCTACAAGCTCACTCTGAAAACCTTTATATTTGAGAAATAATGGATGATCACCCATGTTTGACTCGTGTTTCCAAAACGTTAATAGTTGATTTAGATCCTCTAATTGTGAGAAATATTCTAATTTGAACGGTAAGTCATCCTTAAAGTGCTCCAAAAGGTCAATCTTAGAAAAAACATTCAAGTATGGAAGCTCGACGGACATTTGAGCGGAAAGAGAAACTAATAATGCTGAAATATAATTTGTTGGAGATGATAGCAGAGTACTATCAATCAAATGTACCGCTGTAAGACGAATATCGAGTTCTTTTGCCAATTCAGAAAGAATTTCTTTTAAAACATAGTTGTGGGTGTATAACTCAACTTGTCCGGGAACGTCTATTAGAATATATGAAGCATTTTTCCTCTTAGTTCGTATTCCGTCAATTAACCAATCAATGTTTGCCTGTAAATATTCCATACAATAAACCAAGGCTCCATTTGGGCCAAGTCTACACTCAAACATAATTTTTTCAAAGTTGATTAGCTCTCGTACATCTACATCAGGAATATAGGGGATATTTTCATTTGCAGGATCCAAGTTGACAATAATATTTGGTCTGTTAAGTGCAGTACACATTTGGTGCATACCATAGACAAAAGTTGTTTTACCTGAGCCAGGAGGCCCAATTAATACCTGACCAAATAATGTCATTATTATACTAGTAATTCTTGCAAAATATTGAAATCCCAAAGGTCTAGGAAGAAATTTCAAATTATAAATTCAAAATGACAAATACATGGCGCCAATATAGTACCGAATAATTAGATTTTGCAAAAGTTTACAGAGAATGAACATATGAATAAAGTAGTGAATTTTTTTTGTATTGTGTTTCTATGGAAATAAATTTTCCAAGCTAAAGATCTTGAGTAGCAATGATTACTGCATTAATCTTTGTTGAGTAATTATGACTGCTTTGCAGTTTATAAGTAGCTATAGCCGAAGTTGCCTGCCTACACGTAGGACAAAGACCAATCTAGAATTGATTATTATATTATGAATTAGAAAGCCATTTTAAAAGAGAAACTTACTCTGTAGAACTCTCTTAAAGCGCAGCTACTGCATAATCCACCATGCCCACATGGAATAAACACTGATTCGCAGTTATTATCACAACAGATAATACATACTTGCTCATGATTATCGTCATGAGAAGCAAGTATAGAACTAGAATCCGAAACAGACTCTATTTTTGACTTTGGAGTATGAGAAAGTACTGGCGATAGTGACTTGGGGCTTGTGGGAGAATTTGCAGTGGATAATGTATGAGTTGAAATGATTTCACAATTTAAAATTTCTTTAGAATCTGAATGATCTCGAAATAGTTTAATATTTCCCTGATTTTCTATCTTATGGAAGACTCCAGTACCCACTTTTGTAAGAATAACTTCAGATCCTATTTTATATGGAGAAATCATTTTTTTAAATTGCTTAATATTAGATGAAATAAAGTGATCATCTGAAGAACTTATAGACGAAAATCCTTCATCAGATTCCTCAATTAATCCTTGGGAAATGACAGCTGACATTACTGCAATCATTGTTTGAGTGCAAATTATACAAATATGCCATAACCTAATGTGTGAATTTTGTTCATAAACATGATAACTAACAGCATATTTATTTTCTTTAATATAAATCGTATCATTGAGGAAATCTGCGAGATCTAAGCAAGTAATAAGTATAGTTGTTGATAGGCAACCGAGAAAGATTCCAAATACAGCTAACATTCTGTCTGCTACCCCAAGAACACAAAATACTGTCGAAAAAGAAAAAATGACCCCACACCAAAACCAACAAGGCCAAAAAACAACCCACCAGGATGGAATTTGCTGAAATTTCTCGGCAATATTGGCGAGATTTCCATGAAATTGAACTGAGTTTTCCCAATTAAAATGGTCTTTAGATATTTCACGATAATATTTACTTTCAGACGAAATTCTGAGAAAAATTTGAAACAACAATAATCCAATCCAAATATCAACAAAGAGAAATCGTAATATTACCCATGGGCACCTTAATGAGTTTGAAAGACTTGCAAATAATACTTGGAAGATTACTGCCCCAGTAATCAAAGCTAATGGAACTTCTAAGTCTGGAATTCCAATTATTACATAACTTATTAGCATAACCAAAGAAATCCCACGAGATAATAGTCCAATAATGTGTACAATTCTAATTACCACATCGCTCAATAGACACCAAGAAACTGTTAGCCTTAATATCCCAACTCCCATTAATACAACTGAAAAGTCATATAATACTGGTGGCAATAAGCATAGACACCATACATACCTGAGAAAATAGATTAAGGCACTGATTATCACTAATTATTTAACTGACCTTGATTCAATTGAAGATATAGAAAATGTAACTGCCAAGAATACCGTAACTAACCAGCTAATTTGCTCCCAAAAAATGCCCATGGAGGCTCTATTAATCGCTCCATTTGTGTTATTACGATAATCCAAGCTTGGTAGAAGTACTGCTACATTATACATCAATATAAGGAAAATAGGTAAGAAAAAACCACCTCTGCCCTAAAATACCTCCAAAAAAATTGGTGGTTGCCTTTGAAGAGTAAAAACAATATCTACGCAGGCAAATAATAAACAATGCCTAACTATTCTTATAAATTTATCATAATCCGAGCAAGCATTAAAACTATGAAATCTGAATAATTAACTCGTGTTCGTTAGATTTCATTGGGAAAAAGTGAAAATTAGATGATTTATTTTGGTTATAAACTCAAAGAAATAAACTTTCCAAATATAGAGCAAAATTATACTAATTTATGATCAAAATTTGTTAATTTAATTGCCCCGACTTTGGTGCATGCATAAAAATTAATTAAATTTTATTATAACATTATGCCGCTTAATGCAAACAAATTGTGGGAAGTATTTAATTAAAGAATTGGTTACCAGATAAAAAGCTATAAAAAAAATTTTTTATTAGTTTTGGGAGAAGTTAAAAAAACCATTGGAGTAGAATGGATGATACAAACCCTAATAAACGAGTGAGGCTGAATGAAGAGCCCAACTCGCAGTTATCTATTCCAATTAAAATGGATAATGTATTGAATAAAATTCTACTCCATCCATGCGAATCGTTGAGTGACTTTATTGAAAAAAAGAAAGTATCATACGCCCCGTACTATGCTCATCACTTTTTTCAGGATGAAGAGATTGCATTACTAGATGATTATGACACACAGATTCATATTTACTACTCTTGTAATTGGTTTGATGTTTATGTGGAAGTAGATGTAACTGCATTAAAAAATAAACCTAAAGAGGAAGTTACATTGAATGAAGAGAAAAAGAATCATTATATAGAAGGTATTATTAAGCAGCTCACTACCATTCCCCTTGAAGGGGGATTTTGTTCTAAAGAAGAATTTATGAAAAGACTGGAGATTCCGTTATCATGGCTTCCTGGAGTTTCAATGAGCAAATTCAATGTAGAACTTGAAGTTGGAAATGTTGAAGAAGTTGATTTGAGAAGAATTGATTTATCTGAAACAGAAAATTTAACCTCGAACCTTAACAGAGAATCTAATAATGCGAAGTCACATCCTGTCGTTAAAAATTTTCAAATATTACATAGGAGGATTGAGTGGTTCCTTCACTGGTACATTGAATCCGCTTCCTCAATTGACCAAGAAGATAGGTGGGCAGTTTGGCTCCCTATTGTTAAGAGAAAACAATCATTTATAATTTTAGGTTTAATTACGACTTATCTATTTTTTTCAATGCCCAAATCTAGAATGAGGATTTCTCAGGTTTTAATATTTCCTCAGTACCAGGGAAAGGGTTTAGGAAGCTCATTCCTAGATATAATTTATGAATTTGCAATAAAAGACGAGGATATAATGGAAATTACTGTTGAAGATCCAGCTCTTTCAATGATGCAGCTACGTGACATATTAACTATTGAAATTCTTTTAAGAAATAACATAATTAAGAAAAATTTTCTAAAACCATTAAAGGATGACGAAATTTTAAAAATTTTACAGAATCCAAATGGTTCAATAAATATTTTGAAAGATGTGACCATGACGTGCTTTCCTTCTCAAACTTGGGAAGATGTTAAAGAAAAGATTCATAAGTATACCAAAGAGTCTCCAAGACAAATCGCAAGATTGCTTGTATTAATATCATTTTTCAGATATTTACCAAATCCATTGCCCAAGGTTGAATTCAACCATGAAGACGAAATCAGGGGTTTGCGAATAAGAAAGGGTAAGTTGAAATATATTTTAAAAAAATGATTTTTGTTTTATTACATAAATACAGATGAAGAAATACAATCGAACAAAAAAAGTGGTGATAGACCAACTATTGATAAACTTTTTAGGGTAGCTGTGAAAAAAAGATTGCTTGCAGATAATTCGGAGTCATTATTTGGTTCATCTCAATCAGAAATGGTTCAAAACCTGGAGGTTGCTTGGAATCAAGTCTACTCAAGTTTCTATGCAACAGTGAAGAAAATTAGGACAGTATATATTAATTAAAAACTAATATGTATGCTTATATTTAAAAATATTGAATGTTTCTGCAGAAAGCTAGTTCAATTCTAAAATGGCAACTTCTTGTCACCTGTTTCTATATTCTCTAAGATCTTGTTGGCAAAAAAGAAGTAACACACAATAGAAAATATTACTATTAACCAGAATAATATTTTGTTAAAAAAGTAAATAATTAACAAGGTAAGAACTACCACTCCAAAACCAATAATTGAATTTAATTTTCCATCAGTAGCATTTTCTGGCATCACATTTCTAATTGGCTGACTTCCGTAAGTGGTACTGTTGTGGATGATTAGATCTTCATAATTATTTGGTTTAATTCCTTTCCTCACAAAGTGTTCTAAATCATACGGAATACCTATTTCTCTATAAACCTGCTCATTTATCTGATTAATGTAATCTTTGTTATAGATGTATTGTTGCGCCATTTTACCGCTTGAAATTGCGTTGTAATAAGAAAGCAATTTTCTTTTTGACTTAGATTTGAAGTTAATGGTGCAATCATATTGTTTCTATAATCCCGCTTGTCTGCAGAAGTCCACACTTTAATTCATGTTAGTTATTCCAGCACCAATTTTGGCGCGAACGGTTCCCCACACTTTGTGGGCATGCAGGGAACCACAGTCTATTTAACGACAGAATAAAGGAAACAAAAAAAATATATGTTAATTTTATATATAAATTGGAATTTATTTATTACTAAAATTGACTAAATTTACCAGGATTTTACGCGAGAAGGTAATCTTCGTGTAATATCTTGGCTAGGAGAAGAGAATACCAATGGAATCACTGCGAATGGAGATATTCACGAGAATTTATCAGGAATTTATTTCAAGTTTTATGAAAAGTTAATATTTGGCCGTTATAAGGCCATTTAATTTATATTAACAAAATGGAAAAGAATCGAGTAAAGGCTCGAACACCTATCAGTCGTCAGAATGCTAAATCTGTAGGTGGTTTTAAGAATTCTCAGAATTTCCCTGTTATTGAAAGAAAAGGAAACTCCATAGGATTTGATAAATTCAAGGATGGATTTGTGAACTCAATGGAAAACACCCCAGTTCGACGGACAACAAATAGAAAAGGCGATCCAAATAGTAGCTGTAATCGTAAGTGTCAAAGCACCGAAAGCTATAGAACAAGAACTAAGCTTGAAAGTTCTGAGAGAGCTAAGGGAATGTGTTTTTCACCAGCTTTCAAATTAAAATTTAGCCATAACGTATTTATTTCTTTGGGTTCACTTTTAGAGCTACAGAAAAAGTATTACCTTAAAGGAGTAATTGGGCAGGGTTCCTATGGAGTTGTAAGAGTTGCAGTAGAGAGTCAGACAAAAGCAATCCGGGCAATAAAAATAATGAATAAGAACAAGATCAGACAAATTAATCCAAAAGATGTGGAAAGAATTAAGACGGAGGTTCGCTTAATGAAGAAATTACACCATCCAAATATTGCTCGTCTTTACGAAGTTTATGAGGACGAGCAATACATATGTTTGGTTATGGAGCTTTGCCATGGTGGGCATTTGTTGGACAGACTTAATGTTTCTATTGATGATTCTACAGGGAAATGCGTGCTAGATATGGGTGAAACTCAAATATGCCCTTGCCCAGAATGCAACGAAGAGGCAATAAATGGAACTGTACGAGGGTTTAGAACATCTTTAGAATTCATGCAAAGGGAAGAACTTATTTCTAAAATTATGCGTCAGATTTTTAGTGCTCTTCATTATCTTCATAATCAGGGAATTTGCCATAGAGATATTAAACCTGAAAACTTTTTGTTTTCTACTAATAAGAGTTTTGAAGTCAGGCTTGTTGACTTTGGCCTATCTAAGGAGTTTTATAAATTGAACAATGGAGAGTTTTATGGGATGACTACAAAAGCTGGAACACCTTATTTTGTTGCTCCTGAAGTTCTTAATAGCACAAATGAATCTTATGGCCCAAAATGTGATGTTTGGAGTGCAGGCGTGCTACTTCATTTATTACTTATGGGAACTGTACCATTCCCAGGGGCAAATGATGCAGACACTATTTCACAGGTATTAAATAAACAGCTTTGTTTTGAAGACTCAAACTATAACATTCTTTCTTCTCTCGCGAAAGATTTACTTTCAAAGCTACTAAATCGTAACGTAGAGGAAAGATTGGATGCTAAGAGAGCTCTACAGCACCCTTGGATAAGTCAGTTTTCTGATGGAATTTATAGAATGAGTTCTATTGGTGAAATTGAAACACATGAATTACATTCATCTAAGAACAATCTGTTTGGAACCACTGAGCACAGCTCATTTCAAATTTCAATGCTTAAGTCTTTAAGAAGATATTACGTCTCTCCTCTGTTAAAAAAGATTGCCTTGACTGTAATCGCAAGGTATTGCCCAGATAAATGGATAGAAAACCTAAGAAACGTCTTTTATAAATTAGACACCCGACAAATTGGTAAAATTAAACTTTGCGATTTGCGTGTCGCCACTCAGCAAATCGCAGCTCAACAGAAACTTAGAGTTCCACAGCATCACATAGATCTTCTTTTGGATGCAGTAGATAGCGATGGAAATGGGGAAATCGACTACATTGAATTTGTTGCTGCCGCAATTTCTCCGAGACTATCTTGCAGGAAGGATGTATTAACTATGGCTTTTAAAATGCTGGACCAGGATGAAGATGGACTAATTTCTACAAGAGATATCAAAAAACTAATTAGTAATGAAAAAATTTTACTAAGCTCCGCAACAGTACTCGAAGCTGGAGAGGACAGCATTTTAGAAGACCTTAATGTTGAAGTCACCAGGATTACTGGGAAAGGGAATGGGAATGTCACGGGAGTTTCTTTTCAGGCATTTGAAAAACTACTTAACACAAGTTACGACAAGGTTTGTAGGTGCTATCACGGCCCTAGAGAGGGGGAGAGCAGAGGAGTGCTTCCAGTATGTGGTGAAGACAGTATGGATACTTGGTATGATGACTTACTTTCTTGCAATACAGAAAATGAAAATCCGGGACAATTTTTAATAGAAAATGAGCCAAAGATGATTCAAAAAAAGGCTTCACTGTATGTTTGCAGGCGTACAGGATTTCGAGATTTGCTAGCTTTGACTCAGGGAGCCGAGAAAAAGAATAAATTTCAAGCGGACATGAGTAGGAAGAGAAGTCTGGTAAACCATCAAGAAAGAGATGATTGGTATAATAGAGATGGACCTCAAGGTGATGGCAAAAGTAGATGCGAAATAAACGAACAGTGTAATCTAGGGATCGTAGGGTTTATTGGAAATGGATTGGGGGTGAGAGTGGGAGGAAATACAAAGAACCCCTCCAAAGTTCTGCTTTGTGATAACTAACTCTGTTCTCCATCTCAAGTTCCTATCGTGATGTTAATTAGAAAACTAAATAGGAAAATCATAGATTAAATTTGAAAATAAAATTAATTAATATAAATTTTTGTTTTAGTTTTTTCTACTTAGAGGAAACCGAAATATTTATTTTTAATTAGGAATCGGGTGGAAACTTTCCAGCTTTATTTTTATTTCTTTTAGTAATTCCAACTCAGATTTGCAGCTTCTGGAAGTTTTAGATAATTTTGAATTCAAAAAGTTGTTCTTTATTTCTGAGCTTAACATAAAATTAATTGAGGTTATACATATTTTTACAGCTTCTTGAAATGGGTCTTCTGCAGAAAGAATGCTTGAAATTGAATTTAAAGGTTCTGAATATTTTGAATTGCATAGGAGAATGGTAAGAGATGCTCTGGCAAGTACAGATACAACGTCTTGTACGACATGAGAAGGTTTGGATTCAATTCCATCTTTCAGAGATGAAGTTAAATATGAAATGCAGTTTGAAAGCCATCTTGCAATCTCGAGTTTAAGCTTTAGAGGATTAATTGGGGGTGAATTTTGAATACTAAAGCATACTTCAACTCCCGATCTGGAAGACTTATGTGAGAGAAACTCCACTTCAGACTCAAACCAAGAAACACATGAGAATATTAAAGAGTTTAGGTGATTAAAATTAGGTATCAATGAAGCCATTTGGGATGCTGTTTCAAGGATTTGACCGGTTCTAGAGTGTAATATATTTATCATGATAAAGTTGGTATCGGGTTCCTGAGCGTTCACATGTTTTAATGAAGAGTTTAGATTAACAGTTTTCTCTGTTCCAGTAATCATTCTGGATTTAAGATCAGAAATATGGTATCCTGCAATAATAACTTTTGAAAACAAGGAATATACAGAGCAAAGTATGGGTGAGAACTTTTCAATGACTAGAATACTCCCAAATCTACCAGAGTTGGCCATGTATTGGTTGTTTTCTGAGTGGAATTGCCAGTCAGATTTTTTTTGTTGGCAAAACAGCAGGTGTTTAAGGAAAAAATCAAACAAGGAGGAGAAAAATGCCTCAAGTTTGGTAATCCAGCCAATAATTACTTCAAAATTATCTATTGAGCCATAACCTGCAAGAATGTTTTTTGGCAATATACCTCTATTCATAATTTCAAGTAAAAGAGAAAATATTGAGATTACTAGTTCAGCTCTCTCAAACGCCTTTTCAAGCTGTAAATTAAAAGAAACTTGTGGACTTACAAACTTCAAATCAAGGAATAATTGATGACAGTCTTGTAGTGCAGTTAAAACCACCTCTTGCGAAAGCAAGCAGTTAATATAATCTGACTCAATAATTCTCCTAAGAAAAGATGGTGACATTCGAATCCAATTAATCGTTATATAATTCCAAAAAACAAGACTTCCATGACAGCATTGTCTAGAAAACTTTGAGTTCTCAATCAGAGCATATAGGTTTTGGATATGCTCATCACCAGTAATACAAGGAACCAATCCAGAAGAATTTATTGAAATTGATTGGCTGGAAACATGTATTTTATTATAAATTAAAAACAACAAGTAAAGTGAAAGAAAAGAGTGGTCATGTTGATTTTTCGCACCGAACAATAAATCTGAATTAAATGGCATCCAATTACAAAGCTCTGAAATCCTGTGATTTTCGTTTTCAACATCACCAATATCAATATCTTTTGAAATTTTGAATTGATCTAATTGGCTCAAAAGTATAAACTCCTGTGATTTAAGAACCCAAGAAGTGTTTCTTGACTCGAGTGTAGAGGGAAGAAAATCATCTAATCTCTTTAAAATTTCATGTTCATGTCTTTTGGATAAAATTCTTAGATTATTGATTAATAGAGAAACAAATTCTATAAAGGTAGAAAATGGCCTGTTAGAGCTGGATTTATTAGACAAGTTTTTATTATTCTTATGGCTAGTCCAAACTTCTGGCCAAATTTGTTGAAGAAATGAACTTGTAAATGGTTCATTTGTTTCCTGGTTATTTTTATTGAAAAATTGGATGGAGTCCATAGCAATACAGTTTGAGAGGAGGAGAAGAAGTGTATTCTTCCACCCCTGTGGGAAATATTGATTGGAGTTATAATTTGTGGAAGAAGTCTTTTCAAGCTCAACCAAAAGTCTTACAAGGTCTTCACAACAATCTTGGATGGTTGTAAAGCATATTTTCTGTCTTTGAATCTCCGAAATCGAATTATTGGGTAGGTATAGCCTCAATGAGGATTCATCATTAGAATATATGTTCTCAGAGGAAAAGGAAGTATGTACATGTCTTAAAGTAGTAAGTAGAGTCTGGGAGAAAATTGAAAGTATTGCTGAAGAAAATGGTTCCGGAGTTTTTTTAAAGAATGAAAAATTAATAAATGGCCTGCAAAGCTCTATTATTGTTTGCAGAGTTGAAAATACATTAGCATCTATATCTCTTGACTCTAACTCTGTATGGTTTTGAGGCGAAGTTCTTGAAAATTTATTAAGAAGTAATCCAAGAAGTTGTACGTACTCGTTAATAAATAGACGGCAAGAAATAGAGCTAATTGATGGTGCGAGAGTAATGGGAAATCTGTCTTTAATTAACTTTTGATTTCCAAAATGATCCGGAACTATAGATTGTAAAGAGGTCCTATATATACCACAAACCTGGGTTTGAGCTGTTAAATATGGGAGAAAAGAACAGAAAAGATATGTTTGGCTAGGATTCTGCTGGATTAGAAGTTCAATATCTGGTGATGATTCATTTTCAAGAAAATAATGTGCGATATTTAAAATGGGAGAAAGTATATCAAGCTGATCATGAGAGGAAGATGAAGTTTTGGGGGGAGTAAGGAATAATCTGAATAATGCATGTAGGTTTTGGATACATGAAAGCCAGAATGGGTCTCTGAGCAGTGAATTATGGAGCTCCAAGCACTGAATCTCTTTTAATGCAGAGGAAACTTGCGATACTACAAATATTTCGGAAGAAACCAAGTGTACAATTAATGCCAGATGAAGGAAATGAAGCCAACGGTATTCTGGAGGTATCCAGGTTACTGGCAAAAGAATTCGTTCCTTGAGAATTGAGAACCTTGAGTTAAATCTTTCGGACAAAAGACGGAGAGAGAAGTCCAAAAGCTGTGGTACTTTTAAAAGGTTTACTGTTAAGCGAAGAGTAAGGTAATAAAACTCTAATTGCGAGAGAATGGCAAAATCTATGGAAGGAAAACACGGTCTTTGGTCATTGGGATGTGATAAAGGAATTTGTGGAGGCGCTGAAAGAATATCCATAATGGTTAATAATGGGAAGGTAGATTCATCAGCTGAAGAAGAGGCATCAGGAATATAGATCTCTTCGTAAGTCTTTGACGAATAATTTTCATCATTTGACGTTGAAAAAATGAGATACTCTTTGATTGTAGGTACGTCTGTTGCCATTCCAAGTCCTAATCCTAGTAAAAGTGGTACAGCTGAAGATGCAGTATCTAGAGCTTTTGATCTTGCCCCGATTGCAATATTTGGAACAGAAACAGAACCTATTAGAGAGGATGAGACCATAAATCTGTCTTCTATAGCCTTAGAAAGTGCAAAAGCAATTAATGTCCTTGTGCTAGTTAAATGGAATCTTGAGATTTTGTTATATAAAGATGATTTATTTGGGATGAAGGTTGGAGGAAGCAATTGAAGGAAGCCATTAAGCACTGCTTCATTAGTTCTGGAAATTTCCAGTTTTGAAGAAAGAGGTAACTCCCCAAGGAGAGTGGTTTTTAATGAGCACCAAAGTGACAAATCTGCCGACTCTACAAGTGAATCAATATAAATTCTGTAATTCAACTCAAGTTCATTATGAATTGGAAGAAGGGTCTTGAAGGACATTCCCAAGAGGTTATTTTCGCAAGAGTATAATGAAGAAGTTGGATCAGCTTCTGTAATTTCATCCCAATAAACAGCCTGTTGGTCGGCAACTAAAGAGTAGCTTTTTGTACCAGACTCGGATTCTGCTGGAATAAATGAGTTTGGATTATTCCAAATAATATTAAAAGAGTCTTCGGAGTCAAGAATAAGTCCTTGTATAGAAGTTGGAAATCTGTCAAGATCAGGAGATGAGAATATACGTGAGAATGATGATCTTAATTGTAGCAATAGTGCAGGTGAACTTGTGAGCAGAGCTGTAAGCGCCTCTGGGTCTCTATGTAGAAGTTGGCAAGCTATATAACTTGCTGTTTTGAGTAGATCTGGGTCAGTACCAATAATAATATACCTGAGAAGGGAAACTCGATAGTACTCGTTTTTCTTTAAATTAAGCAATTCAAATTGTGAAGGAGACAGATCTTCTTGTACTGGAAGAGCCAACTGCTCGTGAATATGTATTAATGAGCTGTCCGAAGATGTGACTGCATCAAGAGCTTCAGTGTCCAACAAAACTTCTTGAATATTTATTGGTCCTCCAGTACGTGAAAGCGAGCCTGTACAGAGTCTTCGAAGAGAACTTTTATGGTAATTAACCCATGAGAGGAAAAGATTGTCCCTCTGAAATAATATTCTAATAATTTCAAGACCAGTTTTGGCTGTTAGCAATTTTGGCCTGCTGGAAGTGTTTCTGTTTTGAGTTTGTAGAAATGAAAGAAAAGGATCTTCAGGAGGTATTACTAGAGCCATAAGTTGATGGAAGGAAGGGGAGTCGATTGATAAAAGACACCTGAATAGCCAAATTGTTGCATCCGAATCTTCTGTAAAGTTTTGCTGGCTTTCAGGAAGTGGATTTGAAAGTGTAAGCCTTACAAATTTAAGTACCAGTGCCGAGATTGTCCATTTTCTGATAGTTGGAATTGAGTTTAATTTATGTATAATTGGAAGAATTTCCAACATTACCCATCTAATTAAAGGAAGTTGTGATTTACTTAGGCCTCCATTTGCATCAAAAAAAGAATTTGTTTTACCATGTTTGTCTGCTTTCCCATAAATGTTATATTCTGTGTTGTTAACTGCATTTCTATTGTTTTCATCATTAAGACAATAATTTGAATGATTAATACTGGAGATTCTGAACTGAAGGGAAATTATTGAGGAAAATAACTTAATTAGGAAAATTCCTGAATCATTCTGGTTAATTGAATGTTGAAGCACTTTTGATAATAAGGGAATTTTTGAAGAAAGTATCGCAAGTATTTCCGATGACTGACTATGAAGAACACCCTGTGAAAAAACATCGAGGGAGCCAATAAGTAATGTATATAAGAGTTTTGGGTCCTCAAAAATTCTATTTTCGAAGGAATCTCTTAGAAGTAAGATAAGAAAGTCTGGAACTGATCTAGAATCATGGAGATTGAGTGAAGGACTCAGAAGTGGAGGCGGAGGAGGGGATGAAATACAAAGTCTGGATGAAAAACCCGCACTTAGGATTCGCAGAACTGCCCTGCAAATTGGCCTAAAAGAACGAGGGTTATCAAGTCCAGCTCCACTCCATATTCCAAGCCTAGGATGATCCTCTGGTTGGCTTAGAATGTCGTCTTTTCGTAATAAAGTTCTAGATATGAAAAGAAGAATTGATGGGAGGTGGAACCAGAAGTTTGATGGCTGGTTTTGTAAAAAATGAGCAACCTGCTGCCCAAGTGAATAATGCCCAACTGCCATAATAGTTGCTGCAAGATCCAACAAATCCACAAAAAGCTCAGAAAGTACCGGTGGCAAAGGCACAGATGCAGATGTTCCATCTTCAGTTTCTCCAAATGATGAGTACATGCTCAAAGTAGGAAACATTTCAATACAACTAGAAAGTACTTTGGAAGCTCCCCAACTTGCCAAAGGGTATCTCCTGCAGAGAGAATCCAAACAACAAACTAATGGACTTAGGATTGAAATTACAGGCTCAGAATTGCTTGTTTGAACAGAATTTTTCGTTGGAGCCCTCAAGGTGTTGGATGGAGTGTTGTCTCGCTCAGACGAGTATATTTTAGAGTCTCTTTCCATTAATATTCTGCGTTGAAGTTGAAGAATTCTTGACCACTGAATTGGATCTTGAGTTGGGCTTAATGCAACTGAACAAATATCGTAGATGGCTTGTATAAATACTAGCCCGACTGGATCCTGTGGATCCAATCTTGGCAGAAGTTCATCTTGAATAAACCTCAATGTACGCCAGTGTGTAAGACCCATAAATCGCTTCTTTGAGTTCTGGCCAAATGCTCCGTTAATTGAAAATGCTGCAAACCTTCCCAGAGGAGCGTCTATATCCCAAAACTCACCAGATAAAGTCCTGCTTTGTTCCTCTTGTATTGAGAGAGAGCCAGAAGTACCAATTGTTACGTCTTGTGAAAGCTTTGTTATTAAAGAATGTTTAGTTGAAAAAAAGTTGCTCTTCGAAGACTTTGGTAATCTAGAACTAGAACAGAACCAAATATGTGTTTCATGTATAGAATTTGGTGTAGCAGAAATACTCTTAGTTCTTTCCCATCTATTAGGCATATTATCAAAACATATAATTATTATCAATAAAATTTTTGCTGAAAGACTTAGTCTCGTATCAGACCTGCTAATAGCTTGCTTTGAGTCTTGGCATTCTGACCCAGAACCTTTCCCATTATAATCAGAAAAAAGAGTTCCAAAACCATCCCATGAATCGAAGTCAGCAGCTGTTGGTCTATTTGTAAGGAAGCTGGGTTGCATTCTTGCAGCATTTGGAATTAATTCCATTAAGGCTTCAACCTCATCAAGGTTAGGAGAAAATCGTGACAACAAAATTGCAATAGTGTCTGTTAACTGAATAATTACGTTTCTATAATGATCTCTCAGGCAATCTGACGTTTCAGAGTTGCTTGGTAAATCTACCATGGATTGTGAGTCAGTTTTAATATTAGCTTGGCCAAGTTTTATTACTTCCTGGATACTTTGAAAGACAGAATTTACTGCATTTCGAATAAAGCCTGACTCTAGGATCATTGAACAACCATATATACATATTGGTGGGCACTGAGAAGTGAATGCACTTCCAGCTTTAGATTCGCCTGGAGAATCTGAAGAAGCTTGTTCTTCTCTATTATCAAGGTCTGAGTCAGAATCGCATAGAACACCCAGTACCACACAAGGGTGGCTATTATTTGCCAGTTCTCGGATTATCAATAACAGGAATTTGAGTTCTCTGCAATATAATTCTAAAATTGTGGAGGACAAACTAGCAAGTTCGACTTGCCCAGAATCAGATTGTAGAGAAGGGTCCTGAAGAGCTAAATCTATGAATCCAAAAACTTCTAGTTGATGCAAAGAAAGCTCAACAGATATATCCTCACACAACCTTAGGACCTGAGGTTCTAAGAGCAACTCTGCTGTTTTTGGGAACCTTTCTCTCAAAAACCCCCCTAACTGAGAGCCTCCACTACGCACGTCTAATGCAGAATCACGAGGCAACGAATATAATGGGTTAGATAAATATTTGATGTGAGCATCTACAAACTGTACGCACTCTTTATTAAGATCCCACCATTCATCCAGCTCTTCTGGACGTGACGACAACAGAACTCCGAACACACCTGAATAAAACTTTTCAAAGGCTCCCGTTCCCCAAACAGGGTCCAAATTTTCCCACATTCTTCAAATCCTGATAATTTTCACCGACCACTGGCCAATGATTCTTGTTTCTTTGTTTTCTCGCCCCAAATTCCATCTAAGGCTTTTTTCTTCTTCCTTTCTATTTTACTTTGAAGTCTAAATTCCCGCAGGCGCCATGCCAACTCGTAATATCGACCAGCTCAGTAAAAAGTTGTATTTCTCATTTTATTCTTTTCTTTGAATAACTAATCGCATTGTTTAATTATCTATTTTTATTAAAAAACCAAAATTCTTCCTAGCTCTTTAATTTTATTCAGTAGATACTTTTATCGCCGATTTCTCATTAGCTAAAATTGCACATTTTAGGAATCCTTCTATTAATATTTTGAAATATTGTCTGAAGGCTTGCGTACAAAGCGTAACTTTTTAATCACTTATTTATGTTTAATATTCAACTTCAGATTTATTTGTTTAATTGGGGTTCTCACTGCGCCATTTGGACCATTTAATCAGCTTATAACTCAGGAATTATACTATATTGTTGATGAAAATTTTACTAGATAATGGAGAGAAATAAGTTTTTTGCTGCAATTAGCTTTGAGGACGAATCTCTCGCTAGGAGCATTTTTGAATCAATCTCTGAAGCTCAAGTAAATATTTGTGATGATGATGAAAGAACACTTTTACATAATGCGGTATCTAAAAATAAATTATTTGTAAGTTCGAAAAAAAACATACAAAATACAAACTATCTGAATTAGATTGTGGAATTTCTTATTAGTAAAGGTGCTAATGTAAACACCTCAGACGATAATATGTGGTCGCCACTTCACTCTTGCTGTTCAAGTGGCTATTTTGAAATAGCGAAGTTACTTCTTGAAAGTGGAGCAGACTGTAAAGCTAGAACAAGCTCAGGATGCACTCCACTTCACTATGCAGCTTCAAAGGGCCATGATGATATTGTGAAGCTTATAATAACGAAAGATAAATCAGTGATAGATATTCAAGATATATATGGAAGGACTGCAATATTTATGAGCGCATGTTCTGGAAGACAGGAATGTTTTGATCTTTTGTTTCAAGCAAATGCAGACCTAAGTCTGAAAGAAGAGGCCACTGGAGATACAATCCTTCACGCCGCAATAAATGGTTATCACGAAGAAATTGCACATAAAATCGCCTCAAAGAATCCGGAGATGCTTATGGTAAAGAACAAAGTAAGTTAATAATTCTAACCAATTTCAAAGTTAAAACTTCTGTAGGATGGCAAAATACCACTAGATCTATCATCTAAGGAATTTACTGAAGAACTATTCGAAATTATTAAGAAAAATTTTGACCCAAACAGTATAGAAGAACTACTTTCCAAATAGCTACTATTTAGACAATTCAATTCCTATATAAAATTGAGTCTTATTCACCAATGCAGTCTAAATTACATTCTGCAAATCTACCTATAATGCTATCAACACAAAACTGATCATTAAGCATGTACTTATGTTGTATGCTGTAGTCATTTGGAACAAAATCTTCATTTATTTGAACCGGATCTGGAAGATATGTAGGCCTTCCGTGAATACTACATAACTGTTTGTATGAATTGTAAAACTGCAGATAACCATCCTGCTGTTCATATGGAATATAAAAAAGGAGCAGTCTTTCAATTAAGTTTTCTATTATCCCAATCTCTATATTTTCTGGTGAGTTTCTTAGGAAAATTTCAATCAAAAAGAAAATGCAATCTAGGGTAGTTGGTGAAAACCCATTTTTTGAAAATTCCGAGATATAATCTAAAATATCAGGACATAGAACTAATCTTGAGTTAGCTGGAATATCTGTGTTCCTCAATATTGAAATTATCTTAACAAGAAATTCCACATAATCATCATGAAATAACTCCCCTCTAACCATTTTTACTCTAGAAATTTTGAAAGATAGGCAAATTCTTAGTAGCTCCTCCGATATTGAAAATGAAAGCTCAAACAGTGATTTGCTTAAGTTTGGTACTTTGAATACCAAATTTAAAAGATCAAAACATGTTAAAATAACGTTAGGGCCAATTAAACTATACTTTCTTATTTCCAATTTAGTACATGAATCTGAATTACGGTTGAAATTTGTAAAAATTACTTCTGAAATCATCTTAATTGTTTTTGAATGCGAAGAGTTTGGTATAAGTTTTATAAGGTCTAAAGAATACAACAAAATTAAATATTTAATTAGGAGGAACAATTGCCAATTAGATAAATCATCTTGCTCATAAATAGACAACAATTCTCCAATTTTTAAATTGAAATTTGTAAAGAACGATGAATTTACGAATTTTTTGCAACTAATTATGTTTTTACTTAGCAGTAAAGTTGAATAGTTTATTATTTGAGGCTCAGTAATTTGAAATATAGACGATATTTGAGATAAATTAATTAGTAATAGTTTATTTATTTCAAAAGAATAAACAAAGTAATTAATCATAAACTCTATCTCCAATTCTGTCAATTCATTTTGTGAATTAGTGGAAGTTTTGCCATGAACCAATTCAGTATTATCATTTGTTCTTGTGAATAGCTTAAATGAAGAAGCTATTTTCAATAACATCACGACTACTCCTCTTTCTATAAAAACACTATTGTTTGTAAATTCAGGATAATATTTCAAAATTGAAGAAATGAAATTTATAATAAGAATACCAAAATCAGAATTTACAAGAAAGTTAGAATTGTTATTTCCAATAACAATGTTTAAAAGTTTCAAATTTGTTGAGAATTTGTTTATGAGGTGTTTTCTGGTCTCTTTTGGAGAAAATGTGCTGATAAAAGCTTTAACAGAATTGATTACATCCTTAATAAACACTTGAAAGTTGTTGGAGTATAATCTTGATTCATCAGATAATGCCAAATTAAAAAGTTCAATTCCTTGATTTGAGATCAAAATATCATTGTGAAAAACAAGAAAATGTACAAAGTTGCAGAATTCATTTAAAATTTGAAATCTTGGTTTTTTACCATTTATTGAAGAATGATTTTCTAGTTCGTTTTTTAATTCAATATTATTTTGAAATAGAAATTTTCTTGTATTAATGTCACTGAATAAATATTTATAAAACTGAAGTCTATTTATTAAGCCATCAGAAACTTGTATTTTTAATGATAAAATCAAATTACTCTGAAAAGTTAAAAATTCTTGCAAGATGAAATTTTCCAAAATTTTCATATTAATTAATAAAGAAATAAGCTTTGTAGCAGATAACTGAATAAAATATGTTTCATTTTGAAACCCTTTGAAAATCAATGCCACTAGTTGTTTTAAGTCTGATAAAATTCCATTAATAATGACTCTAGATTCAATTAGAGCCGAAATTATAGATATTCTCATGCAGATTGCTCTTGGTTCAAGTTTCAACCAATCTTCAATGTTGAAAATAGAGATAAACTTCGTAAAGTCTACTTTAGATGAAAGCAAAACTGTCTTCACAGAGTTAAGTAAAAATATCCGTAAAATCGCATCTCCTATTAGTGCGTTTGGATGATCTATTAAGATCAATATACCGGGATAAATAATTTCTTCTAGTAAAAGTTCCGATTCCTCAATTGATAAATTCGAAAATTGATTATTTATTGCATCTTCAATTTCAGGAGGTAATGAATGGGTTGAATTCAAGTTTGAACTTTTCAATTCATTCAAGTAATCAATTAAAGCGATTTTAGTCTCATTATATCTAGCTTTCTTGGCTTGCACATTGTTGCTATCCATTTATAAATTATGCATTCAGTGGAATATATTTAATAGCATTAGCGCCATATAAAATTTTTGTTATCACGAGGTTAGTAATAGATTAAAATCCAAATTGCCGGTGGATAAAAATCCATCTTTGAAAAATATTTTAACCATTCATTTAAATTTAGTTTTACCATAGTGCTAATTTATTCGGCATTCAAGAAAGTTTTTTTTTATCATGCTACCAAGTGTTTAAATCAGTCTTTATTATAACCGGTAAATCTTGTGTTGGTAATATATCGCAACTTATTGAAGGTAAATGAAACGTTAATTTCACATCCAACTATAAAAAAATACAAATTTGTTTGAAGTAAATACTGTCGAAGGTCGATTGGCCAGGTATATTGCTACTGACTAATTCTCTATTACTAGAAGAGGAGAAAACATTAATTTCAGGTCAAATAAAGAAATACATTTTCGACTTCTAATCAGGTAATATGTTTTTCTGTTTTCATTAATTCAAAAGCAAGTGTGCAGTTTTAAGAAAGTTTCAACAGGTATCGATAAAATAATTCTTATTACTTTGCCTTACAGTATTAAAAGGAATTAATGATATATAACTGTAGTTGTCTAAGATTGCTTGATAACATTTTGTGTTAGTGACTCATTTTTCTTTATTCTAACTTGAACTGAGGTCGTATATCTAACCATTAAATTATCAAAATCACCTAATATATGAATGCAATTATGGAAATAGAAACAAAATTTAACAATTTTGTGATTATTTTATTAAGAAAAACTACCCATGAGACTAATCACAGTTTTTACTCAATACATGAAAATTTTAGTGCACCGATTGAATCTTTTAAGCGCCAGGTCAATTATTCACAAATTTATATATTAAATTTTTTCAAGAAAAAAACTAAATTATGTAAAGAATACGAAATTAGCTGAGATGAGGATGATTTGTGCTAGAAATTCTTGTTGTTATTTTTAGAGTTTTACAGTTTTTTCCTCTTGTAAAGTTTAAGTTGAAAAGATATGGGCGCCAGCTGGCTTTTCTTAAATGTCTAGTTATTAAATCTAAAATTAATTAAAAAAAAACAAAGAGCACAAATAATTATTATGAGAAGAAAATTTAGTCTTTCATTCATGTTACTGAAATTGGTATGAGGATTCTTTTACTTTTTCTACTTGTATTGGCACTGCCGATATCCTCGATAAATTGTTCGAGCTTGTCAGAATCTCCACTAGAACTAGTAAAAGAAAGATCAAAATTGGATCTTACTACACACCCAGTAGATGAACGAGCGTGCAAAGAAAAGCTACTCAAAACATTTTCTTGCCACAAGTTATACTCTCTTCTTATTAAAGTTAGGTATATATATTCAAAATTAATATCTATATTAAGATACCTATTTATTTATGCAAGAGAATCTGACATTAAACTAGATAATTTTGAAGAACTTGTAAATAGTGAAATTGACATGCTCTCATTAGAAAGTGTTGCAGTAACCTCGATGTTTTATAAAAAATCATGCGAAAAAGTTTACCCAAAAGCTGTAATTCCGATAATTAGTCGATTTGATACAAACATTCTCAGACATCATAAAGCTCCTCTTAAAAGCCAAGAGTGTGATAGTGCATATGTGTCTTATACACTCGAAATCTTGTTTAGAAAAGTTCGTAAGGTAAAGAGAATTCTAAAAAGATCTAGCCAACTTACAACTTTGAAATTTTGCCTTACAAGGTATACGTATAACTTACACAAACTTGCTGAATTTTGTCAAACCGTATTTAAAGCCTTGATTAGAGCTATACTTAAAGCGCATCCAGGTGTAAGTAAGTTTGTTACGTATGCAAGATCGAAAACGCGTCTCTCTTCAGGTGGATATGATACTTCTTCCTCTTCTTCGGAAGATGAACGTTATGATATGTTATTCGAACAAATATACAGTAATATGTCTGGCGGTACATCTGGTGGCTCTTCTGACGGTGCATCTGGTGGCTCTTCTGACGGTGCATCTGATGGTGCATCTGGTGGTGCATCTGGTGGTGCATCTGGTGGTGCATCTGGCGGTGCATCTGGCGGCACATCTGGCTGTTCATATAGGAATGAACCTATAACTCACAGATCATCTAGAGGAGTCACTACTAGTTCGAAAGCTGTTTCTGATGCGCCTATTCAAAAAAAGCGACAAAAATGTACATGCACAACTAGATCTATTGTAAGACGTGAGTTATGCCCTTTTTGTACAGAAAAGAACGAAGAGAAAGAGAGAGAGAAAGAGAAAGAGAGAGAGAAAGAGAAGGAGAAAGAACAAAATTTAGAGCAAGAAGCTCCAAAACAAGGAGCTCCCTTTCAATTTAAATTACCTCCAAAAAAAAAGAAGAAACGTCCTCAAATAAATTTACCACATGGTTTCCTTCCTAATCCTGGAGAACTAGATCCACATCCTATTAGAACTACTTTTGACTATGCGATACAACATAAGAAAATGTTAAATGTTCTTAAACTTCCTCTTAAAGTAGCACTCCAGGAATTAGATATTGAAACAAGTTCTGAAGAAGAACTTTTTTGTGAAGAAGACTTTTCTTCTATATTTAAAGATAGAACCTCGAAAGATAAAAAACCATCCGAAATTGACCCAGAAACAGGAAAGACTACTAAAACGAGTAAATCAAATCAAAGTAAATTTCTTGAAAAATGTCGACTGAAAAAACAAGAGCGTGAGCAAAGATTGCATAGTCCAAAGACTGGCCCGCAACAACAGCATACACATCAATCTCATAAATTGGGTGCTCATGAAAGACGACAGAGACATCAACTTATTCATGAAGAATCCTCTAGATCTACAAGGCATGTAAAAACACATAATGCTGCAAGTTTTCCAGTTTTGGAAACCCCTCTAAGACCTCGACGAAAAGCAGAACATTCAGATGATACAAAACCTCATGAATCTATTCCGCAAACAGGTGCAGGAATGTTTAAACAAGAGACTTTAGAATCACAACATGTGGCTGCTATAGGAACTAGAACGGGATTAACACGGCAAATTGGCCCAGATCCTGCAGTTAGACCAAAGATTCCAAGGCCTCGGCTCAAACGCGAAGATTCGATTCACGAAGATCATCAAAGATCACGCCACAGATCGGATACTAGAATAACTCGACAAGATCATCACGAGGATTCCGAATCTGATGAGAGTTTGGAAAGAAAATTCATGTCGTTTCATATTTCAGGTTCTGGTTCTCGTAGCCATGCAGCTTTGAAACACAAAGAACAATCAACTCGTAGAAGTGGAGAAAGAACAAGAAGAGAGACTCGTGAAAAAACTAGTTCCCACCATCATAGGAAGGAAAAAACAGTCAAAAGTACTAAACTGGCATTTGCATCTGCATTGGGAGGCAGTTCATCTTCGGAAGGTAAATCAAGTATTGATAAATATGATTTGTCTGACATTCTTGAACAGTCTAATTGAAAGATAAATGGTCAGTAATAAAGTTGAATTTCGTAATATTATGAGAGATTTAAAATCAAATTGTTCATTTCATGAATAATTTTTAAAACGTTTTCATTGTAACATCAATTGTTGAATTTTTTAAGGATTGATTCAAGAATGTTACTTTAATTCGAAGTAAAGGAGAAACAAATGATATAATTAGTGCTAAAAATTCATAATTTGTACTAAAGTGTTAATTTGAACGCTTGTACTACCGAAGGTCGCTTCAATTAGGTCTCGAATATATTTCGGATTTTTTATTTCAATGGGAGCTATATAATCTAAAAGTATATCTAAAACTATTTTGTTTTACAGAAATATAAATAGCTTGTAATATGTACTAAGCATATTAATATTGAAAAAAATATAAAAATAATGAAGTTACTACACTGAAGAATTTTTGTGGCATAATTTTGGTTATTGATTACCAAACATAATTTGTTTCCGAATTTTACTTTCGCAGAAATTATGAATTAAGTACGAGAATCTAATTTTTTAAATGGGCTCTAAATATAAAGCTAATGCTACTCTATTAATTCAATCTTCAGTGAAGTAAATAATTAAATGAAACAATCTAGTTTTATTTTTTTTTTCTGCTCCATTTTTCAATAGTTTTTTATAATCAGTTATTACTATGAAGAAATGCAAGATTTTGTTAAATTGTGGGAATATTATGGAAATTGATTTAATTTGTATTTGAAATGAGTTATTGAAGAATTATGTGGTTCAAAACTTTGTTATTATCTTGAGTTTCACGATTTCTCAATATAGAGAATATTTCGATTTATGATAAATCATCTAAACTCATTTTTTTGTGGGAAATGAGTTGTTCGTTTTAATGAAAGTTGTGATAATCTATCAAATATTCCGAAGTTTCTTAATTTTTCTTTGTATAATTTGTTTTCTTTATATATTTGAACAAACGGAAACATGATTTTTTTAATTGCTTTCTTGAAAGCTTCGAAAATTATTATTTTATAAAGTGGTTTAATTCAATAATTAAAGTTTTTATAGAAATTTATTTTGATTTAAGCAATTATTACCTTTAATTCAAACAATAAAAATTTTTAAAACTTGTGAAATAAGAAGCCAAAATCTTTAATGCTATTATAGAAAATTAACAAAATATTATATCTGCTTACTAAAAAATTGATCTTACACAGTTTTAATTAGTTGAAGTTCAAAAAATTAATTTATCATTAATATAATTAAAAAAAAAAAAAAAAATAATGGCAACTAATCATTAAAAATAATAATCTAATGGGAATAAAAAATCTGTTGGATTAAGAGTTGCAAAATTATTATTGTTTAATTCTCAATGATTTGATGAGTATTTTCAAATAAAAATGAAAATTAATTGTAATCAGAAACAATGATTGCTCTACCGTTTTTTTTTCTAATATTTGGAACATATTGACTGGATTTTTAAATAAATGAGAATAGTAAAAAATTAATTAAATGAAATGAATTTGCTCAATTGTGTTGAAAGTTGCTAGTCGAATATAATAGTAACTTAAATGTTCTCATTAAATAATTATCCAATATTTTTTAAAGAAAATTACAGTAAAGAACTAAAATTTATGTTGAATTATTTTTTTTAATTATAAATTTGTTTAAAATAAAATCTATATTATTCAAAATATGAAAAATAGTTTGGAATTATAAAGCTCTAATTATTTTTAACAAGTGTTTTTTTTTCAAAAAGTTAAAAATTTTAGCCAACGATATAAATTTTTATTTACTCATGAATTTAATATGAACAATTTAAATTGCCAGTTATTTTTCATTAGAATATGATTTTAACACAACACTACGCTGCTTTTAAGTTCTAGAATATTATTATTTTAATTTGATTTTAATACATTCTCAGTAAAATTTAATTATTTGTCTTTAATTTTCCTTATTAAAAGTAAATGAGTAATTTTAATATAACAACTAAGATTAAACTTTTAATAGGTATGCGCTCATTAATATTTTACAAAACCAATTGAATTGAAAAAACAAGCAATTCTATATGTTTTGATGATTTAGCCATGTATTTTAATATTAAGGTAAGACTAAATTTTAACATAGAAATCAAAAAATGTCGCTAAATTTTGTGTTTTCTCCGTTTTGTTAAGTCACCATATATATTTAAAACGAAATAATAGTTAAATGCCGATTATAATTTGATATACTTTATTAGCTTTTCTCTATCATGTTAATTACTTAGCGCATAGGAAACTCAGAATTATGGCTAATTATTTGTGAAAAGCCAAAAGTACATTTTTATTGTAAAAAAAAAATAAATCTAAAGAGAAAGATCTTTATTTAAACGATTAAAAATAAATATATACACAAGAAATTCGAATTAATTCCTATTAAGTTTTGCATTATTTGATTTAAAAATCTGAATTGGTTTAGCAACTTTCAGTGAATTACATTTACAAAGAATCAATAAAAAAAACGAAGTGTTCATGAAAATCATTTTTTGTCTGATTCCACATTAATATTAGTTTGGTATTTGTGTTATTTTACTATATTCATTAAAGAAAATTAATTTTACAAGTAAGCCTTGCAGTTGCCGTTTAACGAAATGAGAGGAATTATACAAGATTTACGGAAGCGAAATTGTTAAATATTTCAAGAATAAAAGTGTAAATAAATCATTTGGTTATAATTTAAAACACAAATTTAAAAGGATTCCAAAATGAGCCAACTTTCCTGAAAAACTTGGCTTAAACAAGATCGCTTCATTGGTATTTCAATATAGTAAATTTCATTATAATAACACACGGCGGTAATTAACGGATTAATATTCAACTTTTGAAAATTTTATTCAATCTACCAATTTGTGTGGTTACAAATAATTATATGGGTAATTCTATTTTGTGGGAAATCGTATCTGAAACTTGATAGAAATGGGTCACACAGTGTAATTAAAAATGGTAGAATTAGAAAATATGTATACGTTTGTGTCTAGGAGCATATCACAAAATTGTGATTTCACTAAAAATTCATTCTTAACTATTTTAAGAAAAGTGGCGTAGGCGGTAGGTTATAAGCCATCAAGGAATTTACATCTATTAACCTTAAATCTATAAACTGTAAAGTTATCAACATCAAATCTAGTAAATTTACGACGTCATTAAGCTCGGAATCAACCGTCAAAATAAAGGTTTAATAAAAAAAGAAATCTTACAATTTTTAAAGGCACTTTTTTTCTTTCCTAGGTATAGGCAAGTTGTTTAAGTGGAGATTTCCAATTATTTAAAGTTTTTAGTCCGCAAAAATTGAGCTTAAATATTATTTAAGTACTGATGTTTAAAGAAATAAATTCAATATTACTTTTTATTTGTATAACTTCCATTTTTAATTTTTATAAGGGAGAAGTTGAGCAATTAGCACCTGCTACTAAGAATTTATCGTTTCTTAAGCTCAAGAATGGAATATATGGAAGGAGCACAAGATCTGGTGGAGGAAGAAGGGGGGGTGCATCTGCTAGGTTTGGAAATAGAGCCCCGCAGACTCAAGAAGGCCAGGGGCCTTTGCAATTCCCTCCTCCGGATTACCCAGAAGCTGAAACAGATCCATTACAGTACCCTCCCCCAGATTACCCAGGAGCTGAAACAGATTCATTACAGTACCCTCCTCCAGATTACCCAGGAGCTCAAAGTCTATTAAAATACCCTCCTCCAGATTACCTAGAAACTCAAGGTCCATTACAATACCCTCCTACTGATTATGAAGAGACTGTAGAAAGTCGGTCGCCACGCCCTTCCCGTCCTCATCACCGCCCAAGCAATAGGGACAATAGATCTCCCAGTACTAGAAATGTAGGTACTCCATTAGGTTTTAATCAGCATTCAAATCCAAATACCGGCGGTAACCGTGGCCCAAGAACTTCCCATCGAGCAGTGGCAGCACCACCACCACCACCACCACCCCCACCCCCACCACCACCACCACCTCCATCAAGACAAGACCCACGAGCTGGCGTTGGCAATCAAAGTCTTGCTTCTCAACTTGCACAAGGAGGCGCGAGGCTAAGGAAAACTGGAGTGAAATTAACTTAAGACTTCTGTATTGGGTCCTAATTCCAATCATTTGAATTATTTAATACATGAATTTCGGATGTTTTATTTAATCTTTAGTAATTTATGTTTTGTATTCTTAATTTTTGGCCATTATGAAGCTCATTAGTACCTAGGATAATCAGCCAGGAGGAAAGATTATGTGAGATGTGATGGTGTTCTCTAAAGCAAACAATTTTAATTGAATATAATCAAGGTGTTTATTCTTATCACACGTTAATTTAGTTGCTATAGGTGAAATTTTAGTTGTATGTTTATTTTAATTGATTGGACAAACCACTCTTAATATTGAATACTTCCATTCTTAAAATTTTTGTATGAAAATATAATTACGAACTACAGTTTATAAATATCTTCAGTACTTCTGTTTACCGAAAATCTTCTAAATTTTTTTTCTGAAAAGCTCCTATTGTGAATAATATCTGCCAATGTTAGATTCTTAAGAGAGGTCTTTTTATTGAAGTATTAAAGATTGATTATTCTAGTAATATAAATGTTTTTATTTATTCTTCATTTAAAAATTGTATTTTATCTAAATTGTTGACTCTTTATTTTCAAGAAAACTTTTGGATATAAATTTCAAGAGCCACTTCTCTATTATGTGTTCTATCAAGTTTCATGTCATTTTGCAAGTATTAAAACAATTTAAAGTTTAACTTATCAGCAATTGATAAAGCTTCTATACCTAAAAAAAACTATACCTTGGATCTCCTAAATTAGAATATAATGTAAAATTAACTTTGCAATAGTAAAGATAAAAATCAAATTGATCAAATAGTACAAAAGTGTGAGGACTATTGAAACTCGAAATCAATCTTTAATTAGTGCCAATTGAGTTCAAATTGCAATTTAAAAAATTAAAATTTTTTTAAATTGAATTAGTGAATATACAAAAAATACGAGTGTTATTTGTTTGATAACTGAATATATGAAATGTGTATTTCTATAATAAATAAATATTAAATAAATACTTAAGATTAGTTTGTATTTTTTAATGTTTTAGAAATAA